CAAGAAAGAGAGAATGGAAAAATCAGCCGGCTATCAGCACCGAGTTCTCCGCGCGCTCTTTCATCCGCATGGCTTGCGCTTCAAGCGATCGAGCCATTAGTTTTGTCACTAACAAAACAGTTAGCAAAGGTCGTCCATCTACAAGGATAAAGATGAAGGAGGAAATACCTGGCCAGACGGCAGCCTGGTCGAGAAGGCTGGCCGTTGCCACCAGTATCTTACTACCATAGCCGCCCTCGACCACGCTGGGGAGACGGCGGAGGAGGAGGTTCAAGGCGGAGACGGACCTGCTGGACTGGACCTGGCGCGTCATCTTGGCCTCGATGCTGCCCAGGATCTCCTGGATCTTCCCGACTAGCTTGCAGTCTTCGTCCTCGAGCAACATGATGCCCGGCACCTGGAAGAGATCGATCTCGTCGCGGCCCAGCACGCCCAGATACGGGCCTACTCGTTCCTGCACCGTGGTGATCCATTCCGCCAGCACCTGTGCGCAGTCAAAGGCACACATGGCGCACTGCAGCGGGAGCTCGCGCGAGCTGAACTCGGCAAACGTGTTGCCCAGCCGGTCGGACATGGAGATCGAGTCGGCCGCGTAAAAGGCGGCCTTGCGGAGATGCTTCTCCCGCTTGGTTTGATGGTGGTCGTTAGGGGGGTACATGTTGGAGAGATCCAACATGGGCTGATCCTGGGTGGGGGTGGTCGAGATGGCGAGCTCGCCCACCCCGAGATCTGCCACGGAACCCCGTCGAACATCGCCAGAGGTGGTGCCATTCCCACCACCATCGCCCCCGCCATCATCGATGATTTGAAACATGTCCGGACCGCGAGCCAGCTCCTCGGCCATGGCGTTCCAGTCTCGTTGCCAAAACGCTTCCTTGCAGCGGGCCAGGTTGACAAACAGTCGCACGTACGCCAGGTCGAGCAACGGGATGCTATCGGCCGACAGGGGCCCGGCGCCATATGGGTTCGGCCGCTCCAGACTGTGCACGGGGTTGCTGGCCCATGCGGCCTGCCAGGCCCGCAGCGCCGGCTCGATGTGGGCCTGCATGGCATCCATCTCCGACGTTGTCCACTGCCGGCCCATATGTCGTTGTCGAGTCTCCCAGATATAGTTGTGCAGCGCGTAGATCAAGACAAGACAACCAAAAGTGCTCGGTTGAAGGTCGGTCGGCGGCAGAGCTTCTTTCGGACTAGGGACAGATGACAAGGATGATGATGATGATGATGATGATGATGGTGGTGGTGGTGATGTGCTCTGGGACGAGCGCCGAGGTTGTTGTTGTTGTTGTTGTTCCCGCTGGCTGGCAGTTAACAGGGTCGTCAGAGCGGACGAAAAGGATAGCAAGGGGCTGCTGTGCTTCGGGGACGAGCCCAGTTGCTTCTTCCAGGCCTGGGGCGACTCGGCGGCCCATAGATCCTCTTCGCAAGGGAGATCCAGACGGATCTCCGAGTTGGTGAGGGTGGGGGCGTGGTTGTAGGCGGAAACCAGGAAACTCGAGAGGGAGAAGATGGCGTACATGGTTCGTTTGCGTTCCTCGGCGATCTTCCAGTCCAGCCAATCCTTGCGCTCCTTGTGGAGGGATGATCGCCAGTGGTGCGGGGGCACATCGGGCCCGAGTCCTGCGGCCAGATAGTCTGGGGGGAGGTGCTTGGGGTGGAGGTGGTGTGTCAGCTCGGCGGCGCGTGCCAGGCTGACGAGGGCGGCGCAGTGGGTGCTGGCGATCTCGGCGGAGGTCTTGTCACCGCAGGCGTGGCCATAGATGACGTTCAGCAGCATGGCCTGAACCAGCCAGAGCGGGGTATTGTGGACGGCATTGTCGCGGGCCGAGGTGGAGGACCGAGTGAGGGCGGCGGACATGTCTGCCTTGCGACGCTCCTCGAGGTAGAGCTGGATCATCTTCTTGGCAGCCTCGAAGAGGTCCTTGGATGGGGCCGAGTCGAACTCGTACAGGGCGCCGAGGGCGGCCATGGAGAGGATCAGGCAACCCCCACCGCCGATAATACTCGTGGAACTTAGGTTGAGATGACCGCTCGGGGTGCGCAGATTGTTGGTATACTCCGGGGCCTGAAAGTTCAGGGTGGGGATGTGGAGAAAGGGCATGTGAGGATGGAAGTAGGTGATGTAGGCGGCGATGTAGCGCTGCATGTCGGCCGTGCTTGGAATATTGCATCCAGGTGCGCCGGCGGCGCCATCAATGGGCAAGGTAGCCGCCGCGGTGTTGGCGGTGGTGGTGAGGAGGAGGAGGGAGGCAGCGGAGGATCGGGCGAAGAAGAGGTCATGCGCGGGTCGGTGATGCCCACTGGCGGGTTGCGAGTACTTACGGCGGGTCTGAGGATGATGATGATGAAGTTGTTGTTGTTGTTGTTGATGATGATGATGATGATTGAGACCGGCGGGCGGCGACATGCTGGCTAGTAGAGCCTGTCGGGTTGCGTCGGTAAAGGTAGCCGTGGATGCTGCTGCGGCATGGTTACTTCGTAGGGTACTATTGGTGACAGGGAGGTGGACAGGATTAGGAGGGGATTCTCCGCGGTGAGCCAGTGAGGATGGAAACATACTCTGCGACGATTGTCCACTCAACAGGGACGAGGATGATGGTGAGGGACCGATTGTGGTCATGGATGGGGGGGTGGCATAGCTGGTATCTGGATACGACGGTTGGCTGGTGCCGCCGCCGCCGCCGCCGCCGCCGCCAAGGAGTGACTTGGGAGAAACGGTCTCTGGGGCGATAGCGCCAAGGTTGGTGGTTCCGTTGAAGGCAGCAGTGGTCACAGCCGGGGAGAAGTCGAGGGAGAAAGGGTTGGTCTGCCAGTTGGATGAGAGGGAGAGGCGATGTTGATGATGGTGCTGGTGTTGGTGAGCGGCAGCCGCAGCAGCCGCAGCAGCAGCAACACCACCGTCCATCATGGCTTCACTGATACCGCTCTGGCTCCCCGTACTCATGGCGGAGGGGGAGGATTCGTCAATGGCGGACTCGTTGCTACCATTTCCCAACGAGGGTAAAGTGGGATCGAAATTGTGCATCCAATCAAAGGCGTCGTCCATCAGGGGGTCGGTGGGCATACCCGTCAAAGGATGGGCAAAGGGGGAGGAAGGGGACTCATGACCGAAACCCTGCGGCGGGGAGCCACTGGCGAAATGGAGCTGAGCCGGGTTGATAGTGCTGCCCTGACCGTGACCCATGAGCATCTCACTGATACCAAAATCAAACGTCCCGTAGACCGGGGCCGTGCGCAGACCGCCGGAGAGGTCCATGGACAAGCCGGAGGTATCTAGCTTAGACAAGTTATGGCTAGGGGTATGGCTAGTGCTGAAACCACGATAGTCGAAGCTGGGGGGGAAAATGCCTGCTGCTGCTGCTGCTGCTGCTGCTGCCGCCGCGCTAGCCTGCTGGGTCGGCGAACCATTAAGATTGACATGGTACGGATGGTTGGGTGGTCCTACGGGACGATTGGATGGGTCATCCACGGGGATCGCAGCAGCAGCAGCAGCAGAAGGAGGAGACTGCTGATGATGGTGATGATGATGATGATGATGATGATTATGAAGATTGGTGAGACCCAAGGCGGCAGTACCATCGATATGACTGATGGTGTTGGCTCTAGGCCGCATGGTATGGTTTGCAGCGGCGGTGGCAGAGCTGGCGGCGGCAATGGAGTTCTTGCGAACGCGATGAGCGCCACTGGCAGCCGCGGAGGCAGCGCCGGTACTCTCGCGACGAGCATGGCGCGGGCGCGAGGACGGGGTGGTGGTCATATGAAGTTTCTGCTGATGGCGGAGGAGCAGATCACGACGGGCGAAGCAGCGGGAGCAGTCCGGACACTCAAACGGCTTCTCCTTGGTGTGGGAGCGTTCGTGACGCTTGAGATGCTCCAGCCGGGCAAAGGAGCGGCCACAGGTGGTACACACATGGGGGCGCGGCTTGTCGGTCTTGGGAGGGGGACCGACATTGCCGTTGGGTGGAGGGACGCGTTTGGGACCTATACATGTTTGGGTGATCAGTCTACTTATGAAGATCCATCTCCATCATCCATTTGATTGTGCTTTTCCTACCTGGCACATCACCCGGTACTTCGCTGATGCTGGCCAGATCCTCCATCTGGGGGCTATGCCCGAGGACTTGATTGGACATTGCAGCGTCTATTAACATGCCTTGGGTCAAGAATCTCGAGGGAATGTAGTAGTATTGTCCTGGTGGTGGATAAGAAGGTTGTGGAAGGTGGTGATGGTGGTGGCGATGGTGGCGATGGTGGTGGTGAGGGGGTCCAGGTATCACCGAGTTTCTCGCATTGAGGGTTATTTATTTCTCAAACTTTTCAATCTAAACAAAGAAGAAAGAAAAAAAGAAAGAAAGGACATCGAGTTAGCTTTTGATAAATTCTCTCTAGGATGTATGTCATTGAAGAGGGAGTCCCAACATTACCAGCGGCAAGCCACGGGCGGCACAGCGATTGTAACCGGGAACGTCGGGGGGGAGACCAACGGGCGGCCAGAACTCAGGAACGCAGAGGGATGTCGCAACAGCAGCAGCAGCAGCAGCAGCAGCAGCAGCAGCAGCAGCAGTAGGAGTAGGTAACTAGCAGTAGTAGAGACTAGCAGCAGCAGTAGTGACAACAGCTAGAGTGTCTAGAATAATAGCTGATTGATGGGACTGTTCAGGCGGGGCGTTATCAGCCAGCGACCATGCAGCGATACGGGGGGGGCAGATAGGAGAGAGAAAGTGGAACCGACGGAATAGACGGATGAGAAGATAAGAGCGGTCGAGTGGATTGAGTCTTCATTTAATGCGATACGATTGAGAGAGAGAGGGAGTGTGTGTGTGTGTGTGTGTGTGAGAGAGAGAGAGAGAGAGAGGGAATAAGGCAGAAGAGAGGCAGACGAGAGGCAGAAGAAAGGCAGAAGAAAGGCAGAAGAAAGGCAGAAGAAAGGCAGCAGAGAGAACGTGAATCAGCCTCAGGCGAAAGTAGGACGAACCGGATTCGAGCAGCAAAAATAGCGACAAGTTAGTAGGTAGTTGTAGGAATAGGCAAGAGGACGAGGAATAGGCAAGAGGACGAGGAAGAGGTAGAAGAGAGAGAGGGTGAGGGTGGTGAGGGAGTGAGGTGACTGAGACAAGACGAGGAGTGGTGAGTGGTGAGGTAGGCTAGTAGTACTAGTAGTAGGAATAGGAATACCACTGCTGTATACAGAGTATACAGAGTATTAAGTTAGTCAACTAGCAGTACTTTGTACTTGAGAATAGTTAGAGAATAACTGCTACTTTTTACTGCTGCTGCTGCTACAATAAGTTTGGAACTCTTCTAGGCGACTCCTCCAGCTGTATTACGTTCCTGCCCAGACGGGGACAAAGCACGGGTGGGTACAGAAGGAAGGATCCATACATACATCCATACATCCATACATCCATTACATCCGGTACTGACAGTATACCTACCTAATACTATCAGGTAGTAGATATATGACAATCCCAACATCTAGATACTATATATCTAGGGATATGGTATAATGATAAAGATAAAAATATAATAGTGATATTTCTGTATAGCAGAGTAATGGTATGATATTATACTACCTAGGTACTATATAATGATATTAAAGTAATGAATGTACTAGATGTAATACAGAGTATGTACGTACCGTACCGTATGTAATGTATGTATATACGTCTGTACTGTAATTAGTGTAATAATGACCTCGTGACAGACCAAACAGGATCGGCAGGTCCAATCAGCGCAGCTCCACTGCTGTGGGTCACTCTATTCCCTTCAATCTAATTGGTCTGTTTCAGCCCGCCAGTGCCACCAGGTGGACTCACCCGGTGGGCTTTTTAGGATCGGGCGACGGATGGCCCTTAAAATGGCTCGTTTTGTGGGGATGGACGAAATGTGGGGGAAGTCCGGATAGCCTGTTCTAGTCCGTAGTCCGTAGTTTAAGGCGTGGATATGGGGTAGAATACGACTATCTGAATAGTGCCTACTAGAATACAGTAGAATACATATAGAATATATAGTAGCTATGTATATAGTAGAATACAGTAGAATATTTAGTAGTATACTACAAGAGTAGAATACTACTCTACTACAAGACTCTCATACGTAGTATGTAGGTAGTATGTCCTGAAACATGGTTCCGTATCGATACTCTGTTCTACTCTGTACTCTCCGTACTTGGCGTTCGGTTAGTCGTCATCGGTAAGCCTCCGTCGGAAGATTTGCCGATGTTCAGTACCTAGGTACGATGTACGATGTAGTACTACATGGCTAGTTAACTACTAGGTACATATAGTATTAGACTAACTAACTAGTGGGAATATACTAGGATGTATCACATCATCATACTATAGTTAGATACTAATATAAACAAGGTAAATACTCCATACCTAGTGTGCAACACATGGTATTGGATACTACTAGTATTGGAACTAGAAGAATGTGACTACGGAATTATCTCCGATGCGACTGGTCGGCAGTCAGTAGAATAGACTCTGAATATGGAGATACCAGTTACTAACTACATGTATACCTAGGTACTAACTTAGTTAGGTACTATGTATCCTAGTAGTCAGTTTAGTCGATTGACTAGACTATACACTGATTGTTTTGAAGACACTGCTCAGTTAGTTAGATTCAGAGTAAAAGAGAGGGAGACATGGAAAAAGAGAAACCTACCCGAATCCATTGCTCCCCGTGGCCATCAGCGTGCCCGGCATCTGCGCCTGCCAGTGCACCTCCTTGACAGACTCCATGTAGTGGACAAAGAGCAGCTGCGGCGGCACCTCGGCCAAGGCCGCCTCCCGGCTCTCCTCCTCGTCCAGCTCGACCGCCAGATCCCACAGGGTCACCGTGTTGTCTGCGGACCCGACCGCCACCACACTGTCGTCCGTCGGGTGCCATTCGATGCTGGTCACGGGCTCGCGGTGGAAATCAAACGACGCCACGGGCGAGGCCTGCTGCGGCGCCGCCGCCGACGTGGGCTTCCAGTGCCGGAGATCCCACACGGCCCATTGTCCGTCATCTGCGCCCGTCGCCAGCAGGTGGAAGGTCTGCTTGGACCAACTCATCACATTGACGTCCGTGCTGGAGATGCGCACGTCGACCGCCGGCTTGCGCGACTTGGACCGTACGTCCCACACCTTGACCGTTCCGTCACTGCTCGCCGAGGCAAACACGTTCTTCTCGTTGGGCGACCATTGGATCTCCTCCACCGACGACTGGTGGCCCGTGAAGGCCCGCGAATCCGTCACCCAGCCGCCGCCCTCGGTCCGCGTCGTCACGTAGATCAGCCCGTCGTTGTCGCCCGTCAGCAGCTTGCCCAGCGGGTACAGCGGCGACCAGTCCAGCGCATATCCCTCCGCCTTGTGCATGCGCAGCGTCGACAGCGGCTTGTACGCCGACGGGGGCAGCACCGTCCCCGGCACGTCGAAGCTGCTCAGAAACGGCGTCACGTCGTGGATCAGCACCTGCGCGTTCTCCAACATGGTCGCCGTCAGCGTCTGCGGCGGCTTGCTGTAGTCGCCCGACTGCGTGCCGCCAGGCGTCTGGTGCGCGCGGATCCGGTTCGTCGTCGAGTTCAGCGGGATCGCCTTGGACTCCAGGATCGGCTCGCCCAGGTCCTCGTCGTCCGAGTCCGACTCGCTCTCCGAGTCCGTCTCGTCGGGCCGGTCCATCTTGCTCAGCCCGCTCATCTTCAGCACCAGCAGCTCGTTGTCCTTGGCCCGCGCCCCCTCCGCCTGCGTCCCCGTCACCGCGTAGATCGTCGCCGGGAACGTCTTGCGGCTGTCTCCCAGCGAGTCCCGCACAATATCAAACGACAGACACGGCCACGGCGTGCTCAGCGTGTGCAGCATGTCGTATGTCGACGGATCCGGTGCCAGCGTCTCTCCCGGTGCCAGCTTGGTTCGCCCGGGGATGAACGTCTGCTTATCAACCTCCATGGCATCTATTCATCAGCCTCCCATTCATCTCAACCTCATCTCAACCTCATCTCATTCAATCACAATATCACCACACTCACCCTCCTGCTCCTCCGCCTCCCGCTCCGCATCCGGACGCCCGTCAACCCCCGCCTCTAGGATCTCATCCTCGCTCTCAAACTCGTCCTCGAACTCGTCCTCAAACTCCCCCACCTCGTCCGGAGGGGCGTCCACCATCGGGCGCTCGCCCGCCTTGAGAGCAGCCGAGTGCTCCTCGTCGACATCGGCAGCGCGTTTCGACATGCTGACGAGATTGTACCGGTGTAGAATGACAGTCCTCGAGCGAGAGCCGGTCGTTGTAGTCTCTCTCCCCCTCTTTCCCTCTTCTTTTTTTTTTTTCCTTCTTGTGTTTTTTTAAGTAAAAGATCGGGAGGAAACCCCGCTAGTCCTATCGCGGCCTAGTGGCCCCGTGCCCGCCTTGCCTGCTCGAAGCCCGCTTTTGCAGCTGGCAGCAGCACGAGAAGCGACTGTTTTTGTGTCGCCCGAAAGAAGAGGCTGGGTGTTTTGCTTGGGAGACCGAGCGTGTGGGAAGCTGCCTTTGTGTCTCTGTGACGGGTGGAATAGTCGCTCTCGGCACTCCTTTGCTGCGTCGTGATCCAGCGCTCTCGTTGTTTGTTAGGGGCTGGCGGACGGTCCTCAGCTACCCCCCAGTCAAAACAGTCAAAACAGTCAGAACAGTCAGAACAGTGAGAACAGTGAGAACTCCAGCTCGCCCAGGGGTCGCTACGGTCGCTCTCGGCGTTGACCTTGTTTGTTTTTGCGTCTGATGAGTGTGGCGAGGGGTTTGGTTAAAGACTCATTCACTCCAGTCGGTGAGTTCTTTTTTGATCGCGCGGGGGTTGGTTGCTAACGGGTGGTTTTTGGGATACAGATTCGCCTGCCGAACCAGCTCTTTTTTTGATTGCTTTTCCACATTGCTGCGACCATGGAGGCGCCTCAGCTGCCTGTTGAGGGCTTAGCGGAGGGCTTCGACTCACACCAGCAGGATCAGACGAGTCTGCCGAGTCTGCAGAGTCAGGATCGGGAAGAGATGCAGGTCCCCGCGAGCGAGCAGCTGCCTGGACCCGACGAGCAGCAGCAGGAGAAGCGACAGCAACACCAACAGCCTCACGAGCAGCTTCCTGCTGCGGATTCGGATACGCTGGCAACTATCAGTCCATCTGTCGACGAGAACCCCGTGAACCCCTCCATCTACCACAACGGCTACAGCAGCGACTCGCGGGCGCACTACTCGTCACGGTCCGTCGAGTACACGGCTTCGCTGCCCGACTATGCCGCCCAGAACGACGACCAGTCGTCGTCGCGCTTCAACTCGTCGCCGTCACACAGCTATCAGCAACCGGCGCTACCGGCGTCACGGCCGGGCTCCGGGTTATCCAGCGGCGGGGAGAAGCACGGCGGCGGGTATAGCAGCCAGCAGCAGTACGTCGAGGCGAGCAGCAACCAAAAGTCCGTCACCCAGTCGTCGAAGAACAGCGTGGTGATCAAAGTAGGGATGGTGGGCGATGCACAGATCGGCAAGACCAGCCTGATGGTCAAGTACGTCGAGGGAAGCTGGGATGAAGATTACATCCAAACATTAGGTAAGTATAGTATCTTGATCCTCTGTACATTTCTATCTCTCTAATAAATCCAGGCGTCAACTTTATGGAAAAAACCATTTCGATCCGCAACACGGAAATCACCTTCTCCATCTGGGATCTGGGCGGCCAGCGCGAGTTTGTCAACATGCTGCCCCTGGTGTGCAACGACGCGGTGGCCATCCTGTTCATGTTCGATCTGACGCGCAAGAGCACCCTCAACTCGATCAAGGAGTGGTACCGCCAGGGCCGCGGCTTCAACAAGACGGCAATCCCCTTCCTCATCGGCACCAAGTACGACCACTTTGTGAACTTTCCGCGGGAGGATCAGGAGGAGATCTCACTACAAGTATGTATCTTTAAACACTGAGTCATCCTGGGTACATCTTTCATCTACTAAGCGATCTCCCAGGCGAAACGATTTGCCAAGGCGATGCGCGCCAGTCTCATCTTCAGCAGCACCAGTCACAGCATCAACGTGCAGAAGGTCTCTCTCTCTCTCTCTCTCTCTCTCCCAAGACAATCGGAGTTCTCCATACAATGCTAACTTCCTCAGATCTTCAAGATCGTCCTGGCCAAGGCGTTCGATCTCAAGTGCACCATCCCCGAGATTGAGAACATCGGCGAGCCGCTGCTGCTCTACAAGTCCGTTTGATTTGATCATCATGTAGTATGTACATTTGACGATTGACGTTGCCTGTCTTTGTCTCTTCCTGAAGCTTCTCCTCGGTTTAACTGTTGTCTACTTCTTTCTTCTTTCTTTTCTCTATCTCTATCTTTCTTTCTTTCCTTCTTCTGTTCCTTAGTTCAGTTCCACCATCCAGGTGCTGCGGTGTATGTACGGATTGGCTCTTTTTTCTCCGGTCTCTAGAATAAGTTCATAACATATCCATATCTGTCCCTTTCACCATGTCTTGGAATACGCTATAATATGTAAATTGATTCAATAGATCTTTGTCATACAGCTGAGTCTATTGGTACCTACCATTGCCTTACTGCCCTGAAAAAGCCTATTCAATCTAGATTGTTGGAAGAATTAACAAGAATACATACTAAATAGAATCAATTTAGTAATTAATCTGACTGATTCTAGACTAATGATATATTATAAAGTAATAAGTATTCCTCGGACCCAATAAAACAAACCCATTCTCAGAAATCCCTTACCAAAAGTACAACAATGTTTCACCTGAGGGGCTCAGCTCCCCTCATCTTCCCAGTATTTACTCTGTAGGATTCGCTACTGACTACCCCAGGCCATCGCTGGTTCAGCCATCACCAGAGTGGCATTCATCTATTCTTCTTGCCAGCATGGAGGAGCCGCAAGTTCTGTCCATCCAGCAGCGGATCGCTGCCCTTAACCAGGCCCAGGTTCGTCCGCGTCCTGTTCCTGTTCCTCGCTTGACTACTTCTACAACGACGACGACTTCGACGACGACCTCTCCATCGCCTGCCTCAGTGAACAATACTCAACAGAATGCTGTTCCTACTCCTCCTCCCTTGCCGGCGCGGAAATCGTCCTCGTTGTTGTCGACGTCGTCAACCTCCTCCCAGGCCGCCGCCCCGGCGCTTCCCCCGCGCAGACCCTCGGCCGGAATCCCCCCTCGACGGCCCTCGACAGATTCCATCGTGTCAGACAGTTCGACGTGGTCGGCAGCGACGAGTGGAGGGAGCAGGGCGTCGGGGAGATCGCCGTCGATGCCGGGGAATAATCGTGTCCGGGCCCCTGCGTGGGGGGCTGAGCTGCCGCCGCTCCCTGCGAGAAGAGTCTCAGCAGCAGCGACGGTGCCAGGCGTGGAGGTGAAATCCGAGATCAGATCCAGATTCAAGAATTCAAAGAGCCACGAGAGTCTGCCAAAGGTGCACCTACACCTACAGACAACCCCCCCGGTGCCCCCGGTGCCGCCTCTCCGGCGAGACTCCAGCCAGGATGTCGGGGACACCCCCCCGCGTCTGGCGCCCCGGCTTCCTCCAAGAGTTCCCTCGAGAGACCGGCTGAAACGCTCGCAGACGTCTCCGGGCGGGGGGACAGTTGTGGAAACGGTCGAGGTGTCGCTGCCCATCAGGAAGCTACCGCCTGCTCCCATCTCGGGTGCTGCGGCGGATAAGTTGCGTCAGTCGGGATTCGGGGGCCTGAAGTCGACAATTCCAGAGATTCCAAAGCTTTCTTTTGCCAACGGTGGACCTCCGCCGCCGGTGCCTGTGTCGTCCCGGCCGGACCTGTCGAAGATCCAGGCGACCAAGCCACGCGTATCGACTACTGTCTCGACGGGCTCCGGGTGCTTGAAATGCCGTGATTTCTCCGCCCCAGACGCCCACGCGGCGCGGTTCCCGCGGGCATCGCTGCCCTCGCAGGACCTGGCGTGGCTGGCGCGAGAGCTGACGGCGCCGTTCCCCTCGGCGACCGACCGGGCGAGAGCCATCTTCACCTGGCTGCACTACAATATCTCCTACGACGTACAGAGCTTCTTCAGCGGGAACCTCCAGCCCGCCACGCCAGAGCGGACCATGTCCACGGGCCTGGCGGTCTGCGAGGGCTACGCTCTCCTGTTCGCCACTCTGGCCTCGCATGCAGGCCTCGAGGCCATCAAGGTCTCCGGCCATGGCAAGGGATTCGGCCACCACGACCAAGCGCCCGGAGATCCCCTGCCGCCCTACACCGGCAATCACGCGTGGAATGCCGTCCGGCTCGACGACGGGCGCTGGAAGCTGATCGACTCCTGCTGGGGCGCAGGCCACATCGACGGGCCCGGCCGCCCGTACGTCCGGGAGTTCAACCCGGTCAAGTTCAGCGAGACCAACGACGAGTTTGGCCTCCGCCATTTCCCCGCCAACAAGGAGCACTTCTTTCGAGACGACGGCCGCCCATCCATCACCTGGGAGGAGTACATGCGTGGCGACGGGCTCGAGCAGCCGCGCACCTTCGACATCCACAAGCGGTTCATCGGCGAACGGACGTTCCACCCCGCGGCAAAAACCCTTTCCATCTCCCAGCCAGGGCCCATTCGCTTCCAGTTCGCTCTCCTCTGCGAACATTGGTCCCTCGAGCGCCACGCCAAGGAGAAACCGGGCCTTTTCCTCCTCATCATCCACGGCCTTGATGGCCGCCACGACGAACGGCTCCCGCTCACCCACGTCCGCGGCAGTACCCCGGGCGGCGGCGGCGATTTCTGGTACTTCGACCTCCAAGACCCGCGTACCCTCGGTGCACCGGGCCAGAAGGCTTCCATCGCCGTCTTGACCAAGTTTGGTGATCGTGACGACTGCCGCGGTCTCACGGCTGAAGAGTACCTGGCTGGCTTTGGGCCGGGCAACGGCGGCAGCTTGGCCTGGTCTTATATTGCTGAATGGGAGTTGGTCTGAATGTTTATTTTGGGAATCATGATATCCTTCCTTCTATTCTTATTTCTATTCTTTGGACTGGCGTTGGTTGGACAGCGCTTGCGCATAATGATAATGATATAATCCTCCCCAATCGATTCCGAACACATTTCAGGCATAATTCATTATATGAACGCACCAGTTGTTCTTGCATGTACCTGTGCAGAGGTCCTCAGGCTGGAATCCACTGCACTTGAATCACATTCACTCCATCACGTCGCACGAGGCAGATATCCGCTCGACGTAGCGTCAATACCAATACATCGATATCCTTCACGAGGTTGTCTCAACAGATACCAGATGTTTCATGGCTTCGGTTCATGGCTTCGGTTCATGGCTTCAGTTTCATGGACTTGGTTCTTGTTCTTGGTTCTAGTTTCTACCGTGAAGCAGAGCTATTCTTACAAGTATCAGCTATACCGTCCCTCAGTCTACCTTGCTACCTGGATAGGGGAATCTAAGTACTACCTACGCCCCCGTGCATGGCCAGGATTACAATCAACCAGGATAATTCATATAAGATGGCTCGGACTCACCTCCCACCTCCCACCCACCAATCCATTCATTCTCTAGATCAAAATGCAAATAGGAAACTTATACACCATCTCCGCCATAGCCGTCCTGGGCGGCAGCCTGTTCGGCTTCGACATCTCCTCCATGTCCGCTATCATCAGCACGGAGGCGTACCTCTGCTACTTCAACCAGGGAGACACGACCTTTGACTCTCTGGGAAATAGACAATGTGCCGGGCCGCGAAGTACGGTCCAGGGCGGCATCACTGCTTCGATGGCCGGGGGTTCCTGCATTGGAGCTTTGGTATCGGGGTATCTTTCTGATTGGCTTGGACGGAAGAGATCCATCATGGTTGGTTCTGTTATATGGTATTCTCTCTATTCCGAGGGACGCTATACTGGGATGCTGATGGCTTTTTTATAGGTGCATCGGCTCGATCGTCATCTGCGCGGCGCAGAATATCCCCATGTTGGTCGTGGGGAGGGTCGTCAACGGGTTCAGCGTGGGGATCTGCTCAGCCCAGGTGCCTGTCTACATTTCCGAATTGGTATATCTTTTATTCAAATCTGTAATATATCGTCATATCTAACGGGTTAGGCACCTCCTACAAAACGCGGCCGCGTCGTCGGACTCCAGCAGTGGGCTATCACCTGGGGGATCATGATCATGTTCTAGTAAGATCCGAGATTGTGTCATTTGTCCCACTGTTATTAAATGGCGAAGTGTGTCATACGCCTGCAGCTACATCCAAGGCCCTGCCTCGTTCCGGCTCCCCTGGGCCCTCCAGATGATCCCCGGCATCCTCCTATTTCTAGGTCTGACGGTGCTCCCAGAGTCCCCCCGATGGCTCGCCCGCAAGGACAGATGGAACGAATGCCTGGCCGTGCTGACTCTGGTGCACGGGAACGGCGATCTGGCCAGTCCGTTTGTGCGGCGCGAGTTCGACGAGATCCGCGGCATCGCAGCGTTTGAGCGCCGCAACGCCGACGTCTCGTTTCTCGAGCTGTTTCGTCCGGATATGATCCATCGTACGCACGTCGGCATCTTCACCCAGATCTGGTCTCAGCTGACGGGCATAAACGTGATGATGTATTACATTACGTATGTATCTTATACTTCGCTTGCACCTCAAAATAAACGCTCGTCATTAAGCTAGCATCTAGATATGTCTTCGCCATGACCGGACTACAAGGCCACACCCTCCTCGTGTCAAGCAGCATCCAATACATCCTCAACGTGGTGTGCACGATCCCTGCCCTCCTCTGGGTCGACCGCTGGGGGCGACGCCCCACGCTCCTCCTCGGCTCAGCAGGCATGTTGATCTTCATGTTCGCCAACGGCGGCCTCATGGCGGCAGACGGGTCCTCGGCCCCGCGAGGAGGCATGGACGGCCTCGCGCCCGCATCATGGCAGATCAGCTCCCGGTCAGCAAGTACGGGAATCATAACATGTACGTATCTGTTCGTTGCGTGCTTTGCGGTATCTTGGGGTCCCGTCTCGTGGATCTACCCGGCGGAACTGTTCCCGCTGCGGGTGCGCGGCAAGGCCAACGCGCTGACCACTTCGTTCAACTGGCTTTTCAACTTCGCCCTGGGCTATTTCGTGCCCCCCGCGTTCGTGCATGTCCACTGGCGCCTCTTCCTGCTGTTCGGCGTCTTGTGTGCCGTCATGCTGCTCCATGTCTTTCTCATGTTCCCGGAGACGGCGGGAAGAACCCTCGAGGAGGTCGAAGGCATCTTTACTGATCCCAAGGGCGTCAAGTATATAGGTACTCCGGCCTGGAGGACGCGCAATGCTTTTTACCATTCGGCGTTCTTGGAGGGAAGTAAATAGGGGGTATGTTGGCTCTGGTTTATTTGGAATCATGTAATAATATTAATCTTAATGAATGTGTCGAGTTACATCAAGAGCATTACAATGATTGGAAAGAAAATACTTGCACCCACTACTGAGCCAGTATTGCTTTTGGTCGACGACGACGTAGCAGACCCAGAAGTACCGGTTCCTGTACTAGTTTCATTCGTCGTGCTGGTGCTGTTGTTAATAGCAGGCCACGACGTCACCGTAGCTGACACATAAGTCCCATTAACGGTGGTGGCTGCACATGAAGTCGGCACGTCTTTCGACTGGGAAGCGCCCCAGCTCGGCGGGACATCGCCGCTGCGCCGCCGTGTGGCCGTCAGGAAGGACACGTACGACCAGGTAAGATGTACGGCGGAGGTCTGTGTACCGTTGTTCTTGGAGAACTGCTCGGAGAGCGCGCCGTTACTCGGCGTGTACTTTTCCACGATCGAGACGAACCCGTCCGCGTAGTCCCTGATCGCGGCGGCGAGAGAAGTGTAAGTCGTTGATGAAGAGGTGTACGTGCCCGTCTTGACGGAGGGGTCAAAGACCTGGAAGAACCCCAACGACACGTCGGTGACATTGAGCGAGCCGAGCTTGTCCCACTGGTAGAGCGCGTCGTACAGTTGCTCTGCGGCGGCAAGGGTGCAGAGATACCACGGGTTGCCGTCATAGTAGACGTCTTCGGCGTACCGGCCGACCGCCACGGCGGAGGTATTGGCAATGCCCTCGTTGAGCGCGTACACGCCCCGGAACGAGTCCACAACCTCCTTGTGGTTCGCGAGCGCGCGCGCAGAGCAAGGCTGGAAGAGCGAGTCATCGCATCCACTGACATCTGGGTCGAAGACGTGGATCGCGGCCAGCAGAGAGTTCGCATCCTTGCCAGTCCGGTTGATGCTGGTCTGGAGATTGATGTTCGAGTCGATGAACTCTCCCGTCCAGAATGACTGCTGGAAGCAGAGAATCGCCGTCGCCACAGAGCCACAGTCGTCACAGGTCCGGTTGAGCTGCGTCGCTAGAGCTGCCCCTTCGACGAGCGCGCGGTGGGAGACGGCAACGGTAAAGAAGGACGAGCCGTCGACTTCCTCCCACAGATCGTAGCCCGTGCGGTTCCAGTACTGCGCCACGTACGACAGATCGTTGTGAATTACAGGCCAGACATGTGTGACAGCAACGTCGGTGTCGCCATGGTCAACCAACCAGTTCGCATAGGCAATAAGGGCGGTTGCACGGAGGGCAGGCCCGTCACGCTGCGGCCGGCCCCATGGGCCCGTAAAGGCCGTCTCGTTCACATTGAACTTTGGCTCTCCGAGGCCAGCACCGGTGGACAGGTCTCCAGAAGGGTTGCTCACGCCTTGAAGAACCGCCTGGGCAGAAATGTACTCCTGTACCAGACTATGCAGGGAGAAATTCCCAGCGGCGACCTCTTCGACAAGAAACTTGAATGTCAACGCCGAATCTCGAGTCCAGGTGTACCAATCTGAGGAACAATTTCAGATCGCGAGTCCGAGCAAGACCAAATTGGGAGAAACACTGCTTGCTGTACTTACAGTCTGGATTCACTTTGGATGGACTGGCTACTACGATGCCGGACTCTACTCCAGCAGCACGCGCACCATCTGCGCCGATATTAGCGAGAACGCCTTGGAGGGCGATGGGGGTCTCCGAAGAGATAAATCCATCGAGCGTCGATCTTGCTACCGCCCCAGATCCAAGATAGAGCACGCTCGCCGACAGATAAGCAACAGTTGTATGGAAAAACATGACGACCTCAACCTCAGCCGTTTGTGTCTTCTTCTTCTCAGGGGAGTCTTCCAAGATATGTACTGCATACTGTAGCAATAAACTCCTCCAATCGGCGGCTATTATTATGCGTGATGCAAGGATCGAGTCCCTGTAATTAAAACCTTTCTTTTTCCTGGCCGTCCATCTCGCGTTGGACCCCGGCCGTGGCGTATGTCTCACTCACTCAACGCCCCCCCTGAACCACACCGGCTTTCTCCATATCCTCCGAGTCTCTGACTCGTGTACTCCGTAGTCCATACCGCATGGTCTTGTGATCGTGGCTTGTGTAATTGCAACCCTTCCTGTCGTCGAAGACCGACCGAGGCGCTGAGCAGGACCAGTCTGTGTGGGTATAGCCACCAACCAAACAAACACCTGGTGTCTCCCAGAGTGCCGTCTAGCAGCTGTTAGCAGAGACCAATGGATAACCACCCAGATACGCCCAACAAATTAGATCTCACGCAGCAGTCCTCTGTGCTCCGTACTAGCTGCGTACTCTGGGGCGGATCACTTCTTGACCCCTAGAGGGCGCCCACTTCCCCCCACCCAGCCCACTCAATAATCTGCACAATGTTGAGTGCACAAGGCACTAGCATCGCAATTAAGTCGAACGTGAACTAGCTAGCTGGTTAAACGAAAGCTGGCTTAGGTCAGATTGGCGGCGGCGACGTGGTCGTTGGGTTTGTGTGGAGCAGCCGAGAAACGCTGGAGGAACGTCGTAGAAAAAAAAAAAAAAACTACCCCTGGCGACCGAAAGAGATCGTGACCGCAAACGTCGTTTAGAGTCTGCCACGGCCATCTCCCACGGTCTCTGCCACGGTTTCCCACGGTCCTTGCCACGATCTCGGTGTCTAGCTACTCGACGACTCTCGTCTGGTCCTTCGTGCACGCTTTTCTCGGCCTGCAGGCGTTGTGTTTGGCCCTCCAGCTCTGAGCGTGGCTACTTTGCTCCGACGGTCGCACGCGACACCAGGGAATGAATGGTTGTTTGAGAGCGTGAAATATCGCGGCTTGTAAGAAATACGTCTGCAGTCATGGGTCGTGCCAGAAAATCCAGCAATCTCGGAGAGGATATCCGCGGCGATACGAGTGCGCCTGCGATCTCGACGATGAATGAGACGGCCCCGGCAGATTTTAACGGAGCTGCTAAGGTATATTGAGATACTCAGAAAGAGAGAGAGGGTGGTTTGAATGATTGTCTGTGGAGTTGTGGCTCATTTGGTGTTTTTTCTACTAGGATCGAACCTCTGTGGAAAAGACAACCTCCAAGGGACACTCGAAACGCCGCAAGAACCGATCGGTGCTCCATCGCTTCAAGGACCAATGCCTCAAGCACACATGGCTGCTGCCGCTTCTGATGCTGGTGGTTCTGCTGTCGGCGTATGCGGTGAACCCGACGCCTTCGAACCCACTGCACAGTGCCATCTTCTTGTCGTACCCGCAACCCCCGAAGACCCCCGGCGGCCCTGTCATGTACGGCAAGGGCCCCAAGGATATCACGTTTGTCGCGTTCTACACCATTGTTCTTTCGTTCACGCGCGAGTTCCTCATGCAGCGGGTGATCAAGCCGTGGGCGGTCTACTGCGGGATCCGGAGCAAGGGCAAGATGGCAAGGTTTATGGAGCAGGTCTACACAGCCATGTACTTCAGCATCTTCGGCCCGCTTGGCCTGTACGTGATGAGTCGCACGGATATCTGGTACTTCAACACGCGCGCGATGTTCGAGGGGTTCCCGCACCGCGAGCACGAGGCGGTCTTCAAGGCATACTACTTGCTGCAGGCCAGTTACTGGGCCCAGCAGGCGATTGTCCTAATTCTGCTGCTGGAGAAGCCCCGTAAGGACTTCAAAGAGCTAGTCGGGCACCACATCATCACGCTCGCCCTGATCGCGCTCAGCTATCGCTTCCACTTCACGTACATGGGGATCGCGGTCTATATCACCCACGACATCTCGGATTTCTTCCTTGCGGTATGCCCCGGCCTTAATTCTGTTGTGTCGACAACACTTCGTGTTTACTAACTATTTCCCAGACCTCCAAGACCCTCAACTACCTCGACTCCATCATCACCGCGCCGTACTTTGGCATGTTTGTCTGCGCGTGGATCTACCTGCGCCACTTCCTCAACCTGAAGATCCTGTGGGCTGTGCTGACCGAGTTCCGGACGGTGGGACCCTTCGAGTTGAACTGGGAGACGCAGCAGTACAAATGCTGGATCAGTCAGATCATCACCTTTGCCCTACTGGCCAGCTTGCAGGCCGTCAACCTCTTCTGGCTCTTCCTGATCCTGCGCATTCTCAAGACCTACGTCTTCTCCAACATCCGGAAGGACACGAGAAGTGACGACGAAGACGAGGACGAAGAAGAAGAGGACGAAGAGGACGAAGAAGAAGGGCAGCAGGAATCTGCCCAAGAGAACAACCGTGCCTCGCTGGCCACAGGCGCAGAAACCCGGTCCTCGGCCACGAAGCGCGAGACCGGCAAGGAAAACCAGGCGCCGCAGGTGCTCGTCAATGGCGAGCCGGTAACCTACCAGGCCCCGATGACACGCAGCAAAAAGCAGCTGTAATGTTGCCATGAAACTTATGCGCAGGGTGGACCTGGACCTGGACCTGGACTAGCTATGGGGGAAAGCTTAAGAGTCTGAGCCCTTCACCGTGACCATATTTATACGGTAGTTTCCCCTCCTTTTGTTTTCTCTCTTTTCGCAGAGGATGCCTTACGAACTTTCTAAGATCATACTTGAAGAGAAAAAGGTCCCTTCTCAAAACTGTATCTAACGTTGATCATGTGGGAAGGTTTTCGAGGGACAATTTGCCCCCCTCTCCCCGTTCTTCTTTTCCTTTCTTCTTCTAATGTGGCATGTTTTAATTCTTATCTAATTTTATAGACTGGCGTGATTCTGCCGGAGTTTCTCAAGTCGCAACAACACGCGCTTCTTTTTATTATTTTTTTTTTTGGCGGTGACTTATGACCAGAGGGGAAGTTGTTGATTTATGGGGTTGATGAGAAACCTGTATTTACGTATAGAAGAGCAGAGCTTGACGGATTGAACCATGTATTTATTCAGCTATCAATGTATAGATAGATGTGTACTGAATTTCGTTTTTGCTGACGGGGTCATATATAATCAAATGTATAGGAGTCATGCTCTGGAAAAGTCAGGTCAGTTTACCAGTTCATCTCGTCTATTTGGAACCGGAACATTGTGATCCTGACGTACCGTCTCCTACTCAGAAGAGGATTCGCTGGCTGGCTTTTCGGCCTCTTTCTGGGATTCCTGGGGCTCTTGAGCTTCCTTGGGTTCCGCCTGGGACTCTGCCGGAGCATCTGCCGGAGTATCTTCCTTGGAATCTTCCTTGGAATCTTCCTTCTTTTCTTGCTTCTGAGATTCCTCCTTTTCTTGCTTCTCTTGAGATTCCTCCTGTGGCTGCTTCTCCTGGGCTCCATCCGAAGACTTCTTAGAGTCTTCCGAGTCCTTTGTGTCTTCTGACGGAGTCTCGTCGGTCTTGGTGTCTTCGGAAGGGGTCTCCTCAGCCTTAGCTTCCGCTACAGCCTCTCCGTCGTCCTTCTCATGCTCTGCATTATGTTCCTCATGATGAGCATCATGGTGCGGTTTTTTCGTCGGTCCGCTCTGCCAGATATAGAAGATGGCAGGGCCACCGATGCCTACCGAGGCCAGGAGCCTAGATACCACGTCAGTCTATATCTACTAGCTAGGCTTGAAAGGTTCTATATAGTAATTTATATGGGTAGTAGGAAAGAAGGAAAGTAGGAAGGAAAGAGAGTAGATGTACCATGGGAGATCACTGGATTTCTTCACTTCATGTGCCTGCGCATAGGTCCGTCGACCAATCTGTTGCTGCACCGTCCGACGAACAGTCGCCGATCTGAGAGTCCGGGAGACCGTGAAGGTGCGGAAGACGCTAGGACGTGGAAGAACCATGGTGCTGGGAGCTGGTGACTGGTGAAGGAGATGCAATTGACTGAGTAGAGAGAGAAGGGACTTCGGCCGTGGGAGCTCTTGGCTAGTATGTCTTCATCAAGAACAAGGAACGGAGCAAAACATAAAACATAACAGAAATACAGGCTGGTAAACAAGGCATCAGTCGAGGCGGAGACGGAACAGCCGGCGACCACGTGATGTCATGAGACATATAAGTATCGGCTGGTAATGAGCTACAGGGATGTCCAACACGATGGATATAGCTATAGGTTATTCGAACCAGGTATAGGAACTGGAATCCTATACTATACCAATTTTACCAAGCAGTACTAATGATAATTGACACCTATTCCTTACTTCCTAGTAGTTATTCTATATGATGACAGTGGATCCTGATTCCAGGTTAGCAGTTTTGCCGATGTACACCGCCTGCTTCGGACGGGAGGAACGCCTCTTCCATAGAAGGTAAAGCGGCTCCTGATTAGGGATAGTCACCTTCCCTCTGCTTGGCTTTCTTATAGATACCTGGTACAATGAAATAGGTACCCACGACAACTACCCAGTTACTACATAACCTAGGTACCTACTGCATGGGTATAGGTTTATATTGCGAACTTTTAGATATACTCACAAAATTATGATGAATCAGCAGATTTTTTCATAGGTTCAAGTCTTCGCGTCATATTCACTCTTGTACCGTTTACCACGACACCCTCTGCCTTGGTCTTCTTCATTCACCACGATACCCTCCTTGCTTCTTTTCTTCTTGTCAAAATCTCCTCCTCTTCTTCTTTTCTCACTGTTCCGTTCTTCTCCTTCCACTCAGCCATGAGTGAGGAGTTCGAGGATGCCGGGCGTATCAGCCTCATCCAGGAGTTGAGCGAATATATCGATGATGTACCAACAGGCATATGGGCTACTTTGTGACTGGCAGATATGCTGCGCCTGCAGCGGGCAGTAAAACTTGCAAATAACGATCCCATCGGCTTTCAAGCTGCAATGAAAGGTCACGACTCGGTCGGTGTGATATTGACCTGTAAGCATGACCTAGCACCGATCAAGGTATTCAGGATGATATAACTGCATCTGACTAATCCTCTCGGTAGGGCTGGAGAGAAAGAAAATACAGAAGGCAGCTGAAGCTCGCTTTGCACTGGCCAAGCAGAATGTAAGTCCGTCTGTAAGATGGCGTCAAAATGCCTTTCTCAATAACACCTGGTAGTGCTATGATAGGGACAGAAATGAGTGTGTGATCACTCATGACCTGGGCGCTGTTGATGTCGCCCACATATATCCGTGCTTCCTCAATTCCCGCTCTGGAGAGCTCTACTAGAACCTTTGGAACTACATGTCCTGGTTCTGGAGTGCTGATAGAGTCGAAAAGATGAAGGGAGGAAGCACTGCTGCCGTCATCTAGTCTGCCTTGCTCCAACCGTCCATCGGTACTGGGGAAAGGCACGGTTTGCACTGAAGCCAATTGAAGCCAGCGAAGATGGACGGTCTCTAAATATCCAGTTTTACTGGTTGCCCATCCGCAATCTTGGCCCTAGAGTAAACCTCCTTGTACGCCCGTCGATCTCTGGGCCCGTGTCTGCTGCTGGGGATAAGGTGACCTTCTTTAACCTCGAGACTGACAGACGAGTTCGCTCTGACGATCTGATCACTCTCACCTCATCTCACCCTGATAGCCATCCTCTGCCATCAGTGCCGCTCCTCGAGATGCAGTGGTATCTTCAGCGGATCGCTGCCCTGTCTGGTGCTTCAGAAGAGGACGATGAGGACTACAGTGACGATGATGAGGATGATGGAGACACTGTTCCAATCTGGGAGGAGGAGGAGACCTGACTGGCCCTCCACCCTTCCGCAGCGAATCAAGGAGGGAGCCTACATGATTCCTCGTGAAGGCTCTCCAGCGTCCAATTCTCCTAGAAAGTCCCTTTATGGCTTATTATACCCCACTTGCTCAATTGCTGTTCTTAACTATGTAGTACTTAGCCCGTAGTCCATATTACTTGACAGCATTTCTTAGAATTAAGTGCGTATCTCTTCTACTTATGTAGGCAGTGTTTATCTCGTTGCTTATTGATATTCATGCCTCAGGCAGAAACTGCCCCACGTTAAGCCCCCCCATCGCCGTCACCAACAGCAGCTGCCACTTTAACTGCTCCCGACCGGTGCAACTGTCTCTGTTCTATTATCTATTCTGTCCTCCCTATTTCCCTTGGCGAGTGACAGCCTGGCTGTCTGTATATCAAGGCCTACTCTGCAGCTTCCCATCACTTTCAAACACAAGCAGTTCCTGTTGCTCACTAGTTAGCTACCGGCGAACCGCCCTCTCCCACCATGGCAGACCGGGCAACGCAGCAGAGTCTCAACAGCCTGCTGTCCAAGCTCAGCGACCCGGATCCAGACATTCGGTATATGTCACTGAATGATCTTCTGGCGATTTTGAACAGTCCGAGCTCGGCATATCTATCGCACGACAAGGTCTCGTCTGGCCGTCTGGTGGACGGGTTGTTGAAGACGCTCGATGACCAGCATGGGGATGTGCAGAACCAAGCGTTGAAATGGTGCGAATATCCTCCCCATGGATTAGGTGTCTGTCTATTTTATCTGACAGTTATGTTCTTTTTAGTCTCGGACCGCTTGTTGTTCGATTGCCCTTTGAAAGTCTCACCCCGCTGCTGGAGAAGCTTGCCAACTTGACGGCTTCGCAGTCTGTCGATACCTCCGTCCCCAATACAGCCCTGAGAGTGATCGTCACTGCTCTCCCCCGTCCAGAGCCCGGCCAGCCTACAAGCCAGGAGGCGCATATGGCGTACTCGGCCGTGTCCAGGGTGCTCATCCCGCGACTGACGGGGCCGACCCAATCCCAATCGAGCAGACGGGGTTCAGTTACTCGCGGAATGTTGGAGAAAGATCCCTCCAAGGGGTTCAGTAGTGATGCGATTGACGTTCTAATTGGTGTGGTCAACTGTTTTGGTCCGCTCCTCACCGAGGAGGAGCGGATGGCGCTTCAGAAGTCGGTCATGAGCATTATTGACAATGATACGGCGGGCACCGTCGTCACCAAACGGGCACTGGCGGCCATCTCGGCGCTCGTTCTACATTTCTCAGACGCCCAGCTCAGTGCCTACGTGTCAGAGCTCATCGAGAGCTTCCGGTCTGCGCATCTCACCACCATCCACCGGCGTCATTTGATTGCTGCGATTGGGAGCTTGGCGAGATCCGCCCCCGCCAAATTTGGTGCCTACCTCAAATCGCTGGCTCCATTTGTTCTTTCGGCACTCAGTGAACAGGAGCTGCAGGAGCTGGATGACGCCCAGTCAGAGATAGACGAACATGACCCTCAGGCGGACGAGCTTCGGGAGACCGCGCTGGTGACTCTGGAGGCGTTGATTGGCTCGTGCAGCCAGCAGATGCAGCCGTACCTGTCGGATTCCATTACCTCGGTCTTGAAACATATCAAGTACGACCCGAACGTGGCCGATGTGGAGGATGACGAGGAAATGGGCGGCACGCAGGACGAAGGCAGCGAAGATGACTTGACGGAGGAGCCAGACGAGGACGACGACGAATTCGACGACTTTGAAGAGGAAGGTGGCTACAGCGATATCGACGACTTGAGCTGGAAGGTCCGCCGCTGTGCCGCCAAGGTGCTATACACCATCATCTCTACTTATGGCCGTGGGCACGCGCTCGACGATGCGGTGCTCTACCAGCAGATCGCCCCGGCCCTGATCGGTCGATTCCGAACGGAACGAGAGGAGAGCGTCAAGCTCGAGGTCATCTCGACAGTGACCGCTTTGGTTCGGAAGACCAGCGAGGGCGCGCTGGTGATCACCTCTGGCGGCTTTTTGGAATCCGTCGGGGGCTCCAAAAACTCCCGCAAGAGGAGACGGCAAGACAGCGATGCTAGCATGATCGACTTTGAGCCCAGCATCGGGACCTCCTCCGCAATCAACTCCCCCGTTGTCGCCCCTTCATCGCCCAAATCCGGCCCCCAGGCCGACCTGGCTCGCTGCGTCCCGACGATCGTGCAGAGCCTGGTGAAGATGTGGAAACAGGCTTCCATTCCCCTGCGCCAGGCAGCGATCGTTCTACTCAAGAGCTTGGCTCTCGTTCGCTACGGTGGCTTGGCCGACTTTTTGCAGCAGATCGAAGACCCGATCGCCGATGCTCTGAAAACCTCCTCTCTCTCCGCCACCTCATCCGCCTCCGCTGGTGCCGCAGCCAGTGCAGGCACTCTGCAGATCGAAACGTTAAGCCTCATCGCTGCGATCGCCGAAACCCATACTTCAGATGCCCTCTTGCCCTTCTTGATTGCCCTGATCCCCGGTGTGGTCGGGGCCGTAAATGATCGCAACTACAAGGTCAGCAGTGAGGCTCTGGGAGCCATCGAGCAGATTGTCAAGGCCCTCACGCCGCCTCGGGTCACGGCCAACCCACAGGATCTAACCATGCAGCTAGAGAAGCTGTATGAGGTGGTCCGCACCCGCATTTCAGACACGAGTGCCGACTTGGAGGTCCGTCAGCGGGCTATTCACGTCTTCGGCGTTCTTTTGGCCAGAACCTGTGGAGATCGTGGCATCGAGTTCCTCCCCCGAGATTTCCGGACCAAGGGTCTGGTAATCCTTTTGGATCGTCTGAAGAACGAGACCACGCGTCTGTCTGCTGTGCGGGCCATCGACGATATCGCGGTTCTTGCCAGCAGCGAAAACGATGTCTCCACTGCTTGGGTTGGGGAGGTCACTGCCGAACTGGGTTCGCAGCTACGAAAATCTGATCGCACCCTGCGAAGCGCCTGCTTGGAAGCTCTGCGCAGCCTAGCCATGAACTCCGTCACTCGCTCGCACTATGACCAGACGACCATTGGGGAACTGGAAGGCAACCTCTTGCCATTGATCGGGGCGGAGGATTTCCACCTCTTGGCTCCGGCCCTCATCATCCTCGCCAAGCTGATCCCTGGAAACGCAGAGCTCATTGTCAACGAGGCCCTGATTTCGGCATTATGTTCGATCGTGATGACGTCCTTAGTAGGCACTGTGCTTAAGTCGCTACTCCTACTCGTCAAGGTGATCGGAGAGCAGGGCGCGGGCGCCGAGCTGATGAAGCGGCTCCTACGCGACGTGGGCATCAACGGCGACTCTTCGGTCGTCGGGCGAGCGATCGGTACGCTGCTGGTGCATGGCGGGTCCAACCTCGGGGTCAAGATGGAAGATTTTCTCACCGAGCTCCAGACGGCGCAAGACACGCAGCGCAAATGTTTGGCCCTGGCGATTCTCGGCGAGATCGGACTGCGGATGGGGGCAAAGTGCTCGCTGACGCCGGAGCTGTTCATCTCCCACTTTGAGTCCAAATCAGACAAGGTCCGCCTGGCGGCCGCGACGGCGCTGGGTAATGCCGCCGCAGGCGACGTCAAGACGTACCTGCCCATTCTTCTGAACGGGCTGGACGCTTCCAGCTCGCAGAGCTATCTGATCCTGTCCTCCGTCAAGGAGCTGCTCCAGCATCCAGAAGTAGTGCGACCGGATGTCGCGCCGTACGCCATCAAACTGCTGCAGGCCCTGCTCCTGGCATCAGAAGACGAGGAGAACCGAGCCGTGGGGGCAGAATGTATCGGCCGGCTGGCGTTGATTGATCCTGTGGCCTATATCCCTCAATTCCAGGTATTTCTTTTTAATTTTTTTTTTTTTTTTTTTTTTTTTTTAAAAAATTCAAAGGCATAACCACCCTTGCTAATTGAATTAGGACTACCTGAGCAACAGCAACCCCAACATCCGCGGGACCGTCATCTCCGCGTTCCGGTTCACGCTGACGGACACAAGCCCAGCGTACCACGATGTGCTGCGTCCGTTGATCGTGCCCATCCTCGTGACGATGCTGAGCGACCGCGACCTAGGCAACCACCGGCTGGCGCTGACGACGCTCAACTCGGCCATCCACAACAAGATGGCGATCCTGCTCCCCCACCTGGGCGAGCTGCTCCCCGCCGTGCTGGGCGACACGCAGATCAAGCCCGAGCTGATCCGCGAGGTGCAGATGGGCCCGTTCAAACACAAGGTCGACGACGGGCTGGAGCTACGCAAATCAGCGTACGAAACCCTCTACGCCTCGCTGGACACTCCCTTTTCCCGCATCCACATGGCAGACTTTTACGCCCGCATCCTCGCCGGCCTCGACGACGAACAGGACATCCGTACCATCTCCAACCTCATGACCGGCCGCCTGATCACCTTGGCCCCAGAAGATACCCTGCGCCATCTCGACGGCCTGTCGGAACGCTACACTGCCGTCCTCTCTTTCAAGCCCAAGGAAAATGCAGTCAAACAGGAGCTCGAAAAGGCCTCCGAGGCTTCCCTCGGTGTCCTCAAGGTGTCGCGCGATCTCGCCCGTGCCTTTCCCACCGCTGAACTCGACGGCCATCATCTCAAGTGGAAGGCGTACATGGAGTGGGTGCGCAAGACCTTTGCACCGCAGCTGAAGAATCTCGAGGCAGAGTCTTGACTTCCTCTGTAGAAAAATACCAAACTTCCCAGATTACCTTGACGAGTCATGTTAATGAAAAAGACATCATTTATTTCTCTCTTTCTCTCTCCCTCTCTCTCTCCCATTTAACTATGCTCAAGTAATCTCGTGGATTGGCTTCGTAACCACTAACTCCTGCTATGCAATGCTCTCTCTCATGTAGCCAGCCAGTCCACAACGCCATGCGGAAAAAAGAAAAACAAAACAAAACAAAATCCAACCATGCTTATTAGAAAAAGAAAAAGAAAAATAGAAATGAAAAGACCCTATTTATCCCGGATGGCCTTCTTTTTCAGCACCCCCAGCTCTTCAAGCCGGTTCCATGCCTCGTGCATATCAGAGCCCTCGTCTCCCAGCTCAGGCCGCAGCTCGAGTCCGTCAAGGACGCGGATTGACCCGCCCGAGCCAGCATACAGCATCAGTTCCAGGACCCGTCGGCGCAGTCGCGTCCGGTCGTCCAGCCGGGACAGGTACTTGCGGTCGCTTTGCAGATCGGCCAGCGGCATCATGTATGGGTCTTCGATTTCCAAGTCGTGCCCGCGGCTCCCCTCGGCATCGTCGTCGTCGTCGTCACTCATGCCGCCCCATGCACTCGGGTGCATGATGTCTGCCGTACAGCCAATGTTGGCCAGCGTGGAGGGCAGATCGCCAAGTTGCCGTTTTCCCCGGGTGCTTGACGACGCTGCTGCCGCCGTCGCCGCCGCCTCTTCCTTGGCTTGTATTTTACGGCGACCTTCCGCGTTCCCACTGCCTGTGATCGTAGGCGGGTAGAACCCGACAGTGACTGGATTCCCGCGAATGTCGACCTTTTGGAGAGAACATCCATCTCCTTTGGCTGTCCGGCCGATGTGGCTCAGTGCATGGCAGAGTCTTCGCATTCTCTCGATGCGATTCCCTGCCACGGCCAACCGGGCCAGGCAGTTCAGACCCGCGAGCTCGTCGACCTTGGTCAATGAATTGAAATTGAGATTGAGCACTTTGATGTTGGGAAAATTCATGGCAAACTCGTGGGGGAGATGGTCGATCGCACACGATGCAACGTCGAGCAATTGCAGGCTGAGCAGGGGAATTGAGGGAGTCAGAGCCCTTGTGGTCAGTCGGTTCGATGATAGAAAGACCTTGCGCACGTCCTTCAAAACACCAAGGTCGATCTCGAAGAAGCCGCCGGCACCTGCCTGGCTGTCTTCCGCCACAGACTGCTCTCGGGCAGACAAAATCTCCAAGTTCGGGCATTGTTCCATGCCAGAAATGGAGGTTAGATAGTTGTTATCCACGTACAAAAGCTTGAGGGATGGAAAACTGCTCATGTCGAGTTTACGGAATCGATTACTCGCCAGTCTCAGAGATCGCAGCTTGCGCAAGGGTGTGGGCACCACAATCTCATCCAGCCGATTTGAACTGAGATCCAGTGCTTGCAATGATGGAAGCGATTCGATGCCGTGGACATCTGTCAGCTGGTTCTGGCTGAGATTTAAATCTTTCAGGCGTGTGCTATGGTTCATTAGCAGGCAAGCACAAGTAAGTGACTGAGCAAGAAGAGAGAGGGAAAAAAAAAGGAAATTGCTTACAGTTCGGCCCCTTTGAAGCTGATCGATGCCAGGCAGTTTCGGTCCATCTTCAGGTTCAAGAGTCCATTCAATTCAAGAATACCGTCAATGTTGCGGATGCGGTTGTCCGTCGCTTTCAGCTCCCGCAGGTGGATAAGACCGCTGAAGGCGTCCAGGCTCTCCAGGTCATTGCTAGATACATCCAAGTATTGGAGGTTTGTGAGGCGACCCCATGCCGTCAGATTTGAGAGGCAGTTCCGTGGGATCTTCAGTGTTCTGAGGCTGGATGGTACGCCGCTGAGCTGGCCGATTTTATTGTCCGAGACGTCCAAATCCTCCAGGCGAGGACAAAAGTCGTTCAGTTTGTGCAGGGTGATCAGCCCCTTGTCCCGGAGAACTAGACGCCGCACATGCTCCCAATAGGGTTCGTAGGGCTGGACATCAGTGATGTGTTTGACCAGTTCCTCAGTCGCCAGAGCAAAGGTCCCATGCACCTGGCGTAGAGAGGTGGGATTGGTTCGCTGAGACACATAGCTGACCTCCAGATGTAGTGGATGGTCGATCTGGTTGACGGTAAAGTCAGCAAGGGGGGTGAGATTGAAGCTGTAACTCGTGTCATGATGGCCCGGGATCAGGGAGCCAGCCTCCATTTGACCTCGTCGGACTGGCGTCGATTCCAGGGGTCCCGAAACTCTCCGCCGGACGAGACTCATGCTATTGTCCACACTATCCTCGTTCCCTTCATCAATGGTGGAAACCGGGCGCCGAACAAACGCCTGCGGTTCATCGCCTGAGGGTTCGCCATCATCCCCCATCATCATCAAGAGACTGTTGTCGGCAGAGCTTTCATGGGGTGGCCGGCTCGCTCTCGTCGGACTGGGCTTATCGCTGTATCCAATGTGGGAGACCAGCGGCGAGGAAAAGCTGATCGTGACGACGCGGGCCTTGTGCTGCGAGGAGGGGCCGGCAGTGGCGAGGCCTCCCCGACGGGATGGATTAGAGGTGCGGCCTTCGTGAAGCTGGATCTCATGCTCTATCTCCCCGGAGGTGGAGGACGAAGATGGTCTAGCCTCGAGATCGTTGCTGCCCCATGAGGTTGACCGGGTCTCCGAATGTGGTCTGCTGGACGTTGATCGTGTCCCCTTGGATTGCGGCGAGCTAGCATTTACAGAAGGCTCCTTGTCGCGTGTTTGCGGTCGGCTGCCAGGCTGGTTGGACCGTCCCGTCGCCTCTTTGATTTCCTCTTTTTCTCGGGGCATGGTCTCTTTATCTTTAGCCTTGTCTGGCGAGGCACCAAGCCGTTGGACCCTCATCATCTCTTCGAGCTCATCGACGCTGAGATCAGGGATATCCTGGAAGGGGTCGTCTTCGCTGTCCTCGGCTTTGGGCTTGTCGAGGGGCTGTTTCTTCCCACCTTTCTTCTTGATCCATCTTTGCCTGAGGCGATCGTAGGTCAACCCGTTGACCTGTTCCGGGATCAAGTGAGAGACCAGATTGGACGACAGGACGCCCTTGTGGTGGGAGGAGCTCTGCGAGGAGGCGGTCGGGACGCTTCTCGTGGTGATGAAATCCGCATCGAAGTGACCATCGTCGGTGAAGGGGTCCGAGTACTTGCGTTTCCGTTGCTCGACGATGTTCTCCCGGATCTTGATGTTCTTGGGGCTGCTCTGTATGTCACCATCCAGACGGAGGGACATGGCCGAGGTGCTGACCCCAAACTCCAAGTCGTCTTGTTCTTGAAACTTCCTCAGGTGACTCAAGACACGAGGGTTGGGTGCTTGGGGCTGGCGTAGTTTCCTCATATCCACCCCTTCTTCCCGACTGGGAGGCCGAGAGAATTCCTCTAGGGTCGACTCATTATCATCATCGTCGTCGTGGTCGTGGTCGTCGTCGTCGTCGTGGTCGTCGTGGTCGTTATCATCATCATCATCATCATTATCATCATCGTTTGGAATTTCCATGCCAGATTCTTCCACACTGGTCAAGCCACCCTTCCCTCGCCCGTTGGCACGGATGATATCCATAATTTTCGTGGCTTCGTTGAGGAAATCCTGGGTCGTGATGGATCCCTTGCGGACCTCATCATGAACACTGCTGATTTCCACTCTGGGTAGTAGTAAGGGCAAGTCCCGCGAGAGAGGTCTCGAGTTTTGCCCGGTGGAGTTCAAACGTGCCGGGTTGACAATGCCACCCTTGGTCGGTGACGATCGTGTCTGGCTTGGGGTCGGGGTCCGGGGCCGGTTCGATGAACGAGGCTGGGGGGCCAGATGGCCATCCTCTTCAAGCTCCACGCCGTGCTGCATGAGACTGGTCTTCAACAGCGGCAGGTCCGCCGTGGACTGGTCAGAAAATTGATGCTGATCGTCGTCCTGGACCAAGCTGGTGATTCGCTGCAAGGTCCTTCGCCGTTTCGGCAGGGGATCCTTGGCTGGCGTGTTGGGCATACGTTTGCTGTCGGACAGTTCTTCCCTGCCGGCGCTTCCATGCTGGGACTGGGTGCTCCGCCGGGTTCGAAGCCAACGGGTCGAGCCGGACTCGAGACCATCGTGTGAACTTTTTGAATCATGAGAGATCCGGCGCAGATGATGATGATGATGGTGATGGTGATGATGGTGATGCTGGTGATGCTGCCTGCGTCCAGCCGAAGATCTGGGCGGCGGAGGCGGGGGGGAATCCCTGTGCTGAGCGACTGGGAACTTGGCTTCATACGGGCTGGTATCGGAAAAGTCGTAATGATCCAGGTGACCGCCGCCAAACTGGCTGATATGGGCCGCTGCGGCGGCTGCCTTGACCGCGTTGTTCCGGGAGCGCGGGCGTTCATTGCGTCGAAGAGAGAGCTGTTCGTCCTGCTTCGCGGTCAAGAAACTCCGAGACTCGCCCTTTCGGCGGGCCTCCTCCGACGGCGAGTCCGGTTCTTCTTCGTCTTCCTCGGACAGGCCGCCAAAGGTTTCCTCAAACTGGCTCATGCGCCGGAGGAGTCGATTGTTGGTGAAGGTGTCATGGGTGCCGAACAGCTTCAGCGGGCTGCCGGAGGAGCGCATTCCGTCGCTCTTGGGATCCTCACCGTCGGCGGCGGCGGCGGTGAACCTGGCGCGAGCCGACGACGGTCGGGCGAGCGCTACAGGGTCCGCCGCGGGGGGGTTCTTCTGGTAGAAGGGCGGCGAGCTCCGGATACGCGTGTTTGTGAAGTTGGATGGGGAAAGCCGTTGGGAGGGAAAAGAAGAAGGGGTGAGCTGTGGTTTGAGGAAGGAGCCGTCGCCCAGGTACTGGCCGCGGCGGAGGTTGACGAACTGGCCGCGGGCTCCTCCCAGGTCCATCGTACCCATGGAGAGATCCTTGGGGAGCGAATGGCTGGTGGAGTCCATGAGATGACCGTGGTCATCGTGGTCGTCGTCGTCGTCGTCGTCGTTGTCGTTGTGAAGGAGGTCATTCTCACCAAAGTCTTCGCCATCACTCCAGTGGTACAGGATGCCGCTGTCGCTAGCTCGGGAGCCCGGTCGGGCATGTGCAAGGGAGAGTCGTTGGAGTTTCGTGTCGATCTGTTTCAGAGCGGACTTGAGCACCTCATTCGAGGCCATTGCGCCGTCCATTGTGTTTGTCTGTGAGAAGGTGATGGGGGTGATGCCTTCATTGCGTAGGTCTTCCAGCCCGCTGGCCGACCGTAGCTGCGTAGAATCCTGATAGTCGCCGTCTTGCCTTGACTCTTCGTTGTTGTCCACTGGGGGGATTTTCTCCTTCCTGCTCCCGACGGCTGTCGGTGGTGAACCGGGCGGACTCTCCTCGTAGGACCTCTCCGACTCCTTCTCGTCTTGTGTATTCCCCGTCAAACTCCACAGGTTACTGCTCGGTACAGGGATGGGAGCGCTATTGCGACCAGCCTCCGACCCCGGACTGGGAGGCTTGAACACGCTCTCCAGCCCAATGGGGGCAAACAGATCGCGCTGCTCGCCCGCCGGGATCTCCCCGCGGACCAGGCGTCTGCGCCACTCGGGTGTCGTCTGTCTCTGCTCATTGCCAGTATTCCTCCCTTTCTTCGGCTTGATCTGCACCGTGCTCTGGTCGCCGCCCGCCGCTGACTGACTCGACACGTTGGAGACGGACCGCAGCGGCGAGCGAGTCTCCGCCGCGGAGGGCTGCCGCGGCGGCTGTTGCTGCTGCTGCTGCTGCTGCGCCCTGCGCGCCGCCATCGAGAGACGCGGCTTGGGACTCTCCACCGCCGTCTTCTCCGGAGATGGCAAGGCGGGCGTCTTCGCAGGCGTTTTGGGGGTGCGCGGGGTGATCGGAGTGCGCTGGACCTTGGGGACGGGCTCTCGCTTGACAAAGTGGCAGGGACGGGTGACTTTCTTCGAAGAAGCGTACGACGGCTGTCTCGAGGGGGTGGAAGGTTTCGAAGGAGTCTTCTTGATATTATGATTATGATTATGATGGTTATTATTCTGATTCGAATCGAGGGAAGGAGTAGGAGATTCGAGGGAGCGGCGCGCGGGGACCGGAATGCGACTCGGGGAGCTCATTCCTCCCAGGCTGGAGCGGAGGGCGGAACGAGCAGGCAACGGCGTGGCAGGCGAGGCAGGAGTCGAGAGCCAGTCGTCAGAGAGGCTGTCCAGCCATGGCTGGGGTTGATTGCCCATGGTGGGTTTGTGTTGGCTTTGTTTGTTGGCGGTTGGAGGGTTTCCAGGGCGTCTCGTCTCTGCTCTCACTTTAGGGCGCGTCCACACTGAAACACAACAATAACAACAAACACCGGCGCAACGGGGACATAGACTCGGGCATGGGAGGAAAGGAGAGCCGGCGACGCAGAGATGGGGATCCGGAGGGCGATAATTGATGGCAGGAGTGTGTAGTCAACTGCAAGTCATTAGTTAGTTTAGTTAGTCTGTAAGAGGCTGGAATCGGATGTTTTGGTCGTGGAGCGGGTTTGTTGACAGAAGTATACGATTCTTTATATCGAGTACAATATAATAATATTATTATTATTAGATATAATATGAATATAAATATATATATATCTATATATATATCTATATCTATCTATAAATATAAGTGATTATGAATATAAGTGATTATGACAATACTCCTTGAAGTCGCTTGAATTAAACCAGTATTTTATATTATTATTATTATTATTATCATTATCATTATCATTATTATTATTATATTATTATCATTATATTATTTATTATTATCTATTGTGCTCAGTTGGATATAAATAGAGAAGTCATAGTATTACTGGTTGTTCTCGATCTCAAGATCTACAAAAATATATAAGTAGATAGATACTACATGGTCGTTACTATAGAGTAGAGACCTGAATAATATTTTAAACCCAGATAATAAGTCAATATTTAAACCAGATCTTCTCCTCCCCCATCTCCTTCTCCCATCCAACTCCCAACGCAATCACTTTCCCGGCTGCTCCTACCCGGAACTCAGCCGGATACACACTGGGATAGATCGCGCCGTAGTCACCGTCATGTTCCGACACGGCGACGAAGAAATCCCCGCTGACGTGTTGGAAACGCAAGATCTCGGGCCAGGTGTTCTGGTTACGGTCGGCCCGCAGGATGACAGAAGATCCCCCTCCCTCGGATGAGCCCGTCTCATCGAGGTAGAGGGTGACAGAGCCGTACCCGGGATGGAGGTATGTGCCGGTATATAATGACAAGGGTAGGGTGGTAGGTAACGGCGGCGAAGGGAGAGACGGGTAGAACCGAGCTATTGCGGTAGCGGCCTCGTGTTTGCCCCGTTCGAGGAGGGCGAGGTTCTTCGCATCCCAGTCGAAGAACCGGGGCTTACCCAGTTTGCGATCGATAAGGTGGTACACCAGCGTCTGCTCGGCGCAGTTGGACGTCCCCGCCGTGTTCCCCAGCGCGACGACCGCATACTGCAGCTCCGGGATGAGGATCAGCTCGGCTCCAAACGCGTTCATCCCGCCCTGGTGTTCGAAGAACTCGACCCCGCGATACACGCCCGTCTCCCAGCCGAGAGCGTAGGCGCCAGGTCCCGTAAAGGCTGACCCTGACCCTGACCCTGACCCGTCTTGGTCGACGGGGAGTAAGGTCCGGGCCCGCCAGAGATGCTCGCGGACCGTCGTTGGAGAGGCAAACAGCGCGGGAGAGCCCGTCAGCAGCGCGCGCGCCCATTTCGCATAGTCGTTCACCGAGCTGATCACTGACCCCGCGCCAGAGACATCGGCCAGCGACATCCATTCGATGACCCGGTACGTCCCGTCATCGTCGGCATAGTTGTACGCATACCCGTGGGCGAGGGGGTTTTCGTCTTCGGCTCCGCGAGCCTCCTCCAGCCCGAAATACGTCTCGCTCATTCCTAGCGGCTCCCAGATCCGTCGCGCCAACAGGGCTCCCAGCGTCTCGCCTGTGACCGTCTCGATCACATGCGCCGCAACGATAAACATCGCGTTGTTGTACTGATACTTGGTTCGCAGCTCGGCCGTCAACGGTAGATGGCGTAGCTGGCGGACAATATCCCGTACAGCGGTACTGCTGCTGCCGCCAGCGGTGCTGCCTAGTGCCTGGTCATGGCGTGGCAACCCAGTCCGATGCGATAACGCATCTTCCACAGTGACCTGCTGTGTGGCATACTCGGTTGCCAGGACAAAGTCGTCGCGGATCAACTGGCTGATGGGCGTGTCCCACTGCACTTGCGGGTAGCCGTCGTTATCCTCCACCAGCATCGCCATGATGGCCGCCGTAAACGCCTTGGTGGTGCTTCCTGCGTAGAACAGTGTTGACGGAGTGACGCGCGTCGAGGGCAAGGTTGCCATGCCGTATCCCTGTCCATCCAGTGAGTCTTGCAATATTGATAGCAATAAACAGGAATAGGTAGGACTAGGAAAGGCATGGACTATAAACCTTGGCCCAGGTCTGATCGCCGTCCACTACAGCGATAGACAACCCCGGAACATGCCATAGATCTAGCTGTTCTTGAACCAGCTGGTCGAATTCCTCGTCCAAGGGGTTGTTGCTCTGTTGATTCATCTTTAGTTAGTCGCTCGCTTTGGAGGGATTGAGATAACAAGAAACAAAGGCCTGAGCTTGAAACAGAGACCAAGATCTCAATTTAAATATGGGCAGAAGAGAAGCTAGTCCCAGGCATCCGTATTTATTCCCTGCTACAAGGAACGCCCGGCAGCTGCAACGTAATGGCTAGTGAGGGGAAACAGACTGAGACTAGCAGCTCAAGGTCTATACAAAGGGAGTATCTCTGCCTGTCTTGAGTCAGTAGATCTGTTGATAGTATCTTGCTTCCAGCTCTTGAAGGTGTGGCCAGAAACATGCTTATGTTCTCTAGAGTCTGTGAGAGGCATCTTTCAGAAGATGTAACTTTTGATCTCACTTTGTCGATGGATGCCATCGTCCAAATCTGTTAATGCCTCAGGCTACAAACAACACCATGTGATACATGTCATGTGATATGATATTTACCGCCTTTTACTGCCAACTATCACGTGAAGGTATCCTTATCAAAACTCCCTGTCAAGTTTCAACAGGAGGCTGCAACTAATTTGAGAATTCCGGTATTGTGATTAACACCGTACTGTATTCCTCCTGCTGTTGGCAATTTCAGTCTAATGAATAGTACTCTGTAGACAATAGAGCTGATCGAGATCGGTGTGTTTTGTAGTTATTGCAGCCTTAGATAAGCGTTGCTGGGGCATCCACCACAAAAGAATCGTAGCTGTTGGCTACTGTTCTGTTGCAGTCAAACGCTGCCTAGCTGTCCTGCCCTGTGCCTGGCGACTGTCTGCCTCAGATATGCAGTTCGACCTGTACGATCCCCCTGCTCCCCCCTGCTGCTCAGATGCAGTCCCTTACGCCGGCAGACCTCGCAGCTTCCCCAAGCCCTGACGATACCTCCGGTCGACCCCAATGCCGCCCCGGCCGGTCTCTCCAGTGTCTTTCGAAACATGTCTGCCACCAACGCTCAGACTAGAGGCGGGGGACCTACTTGGCTCGGATGATGAGCTGGAAGATGCGGCCCGAGAGGCCAAACGGCAGAGGATCGAAAGGCTGGCAGAGAGTTACCTCCGTGGCTCCCCCCTCTTTATCCTCTCCGCGACACTCAAAGGACCCTTCGACGACGGCTGGGTGAACCCGTGGAAAAAGTCACGCAAACGACATATACGGGCTCTGGAGAAGAAGGAGCGACAGTCCGAACAGATCGAAGTGAAGGGGACAACTACAACGCTGAAGAGTCAGGAGCAGGAGCAGGAGCAGGAGCAGGAATGGTCACAAAAGAGGCGGAAACACGTCGATGCTCGGTCATCTACGATTGAGGTTGCGAACCCGGTGGCCCAGAGTACAAGAGTTGCTGTGCCACGAGCCTCAACAGAGGGCTCGGGGGGAGCGGGGAAATCAAGCAGATCCTCGCGGTATCAGTCTCCTCATGTGGAATATGTTCAGGTGCCAGCCACTTCCGATGGCAAGTCAAGAAGAAAGTCTTTCCCCTGGGCAAAAGAAACACCGCTACCGGTTGGAAAACCCGGACAGGATTCCTTAACGAAACACCAACACGGTGCATGGCTGAAGAAGGATCGGAAGGAAACTGATTTCAGAGGGCTCGATCCTCCAATCTCGCCAACGGCTTCTGTCTCTGTTCGCCATTTAGCTAGGAGGTCTAGTCCTACAAAGGAATCCTTAGGAGAGACACAACGGTTGATACCACGATCTGTCACGCCTCACCGGATCTCTGCAAGCCCCGCCCATTCGACAAGTTCTCCGACAGCCAGTCTGCAAGGGCCTTCCCGATCGGAAAAGGCCTCAAAAGATCGTACGTCAAGAGTCTTGACACCTCATAAACGAAGGAGATCCCGAGGGGCGTCTCCTGGCCCCTCATCAGATAACCTGCCCACCGATTCGTCTCTTCATATCGCCTCTTCATCATCTCAGCTGCAAAAGTTTGAGTATCGACTCCCAAAGCGCCAAAGGTCTAACCAAAACTTGCCTGGTCCATCTCCGAACTTGACAAAGGCCGGCAGTCGAGAAATCCATTCTCCGCAAGGAGCCGAAGTTGCCTCGAAAAATAATTCAGAAGTGCCGTCGCCACGCACAGACGATGGTCGCCAAGGACTGTCGACAGTACATCCTCCAAAGAAAACTGACGATCTCTGCTTCAAGAAAAGCAGGACGGGGTCTCCCCTCAAAGCCAGCAAATCTGCAAGCTATCCAGATGTCGAAACCACGAGTGATAAGCCACCATCAGGGCAGGGAGCGCCAGGAAACCCAGCTTTAGCAGACTATCTCACCTCGTTGCATACAGCCTCGGTCCCGAAGTACAGCGAGGAAAACGGGGACACGATCCCTGACCCCCAGCTGTCAACCCAGGCAGCTCTATTACTTGCACAGAAATCTTTCCAGAACGACCTGGAAAGTCCAGAGCACCAGTATCACATGAAGAATCCCACAAGTGACCGCCGAACTCCCCAGAGAGCCCAGCAAAGCTCACCGCGGTCAAATCACATTACGCCTTTCCACAGGCTCAACGCCCCCTACCATGTCGAGTCGGATAACAGACCAGCTGGTACAATGGTAAACACGCAGTATCTCATTGACTCGGTCATGCCGTATGCCTTTAGCACAGCCAAGAAAACAGGCATACACGCCAGAGATTGGCCGGACGACTCACCTAGCAAGAGAAGCCATCCTAGCTCTGCCCTGCCAACCCCAGAAAAAGAGCCACACCAGCAAGACGACGAAGGAGAAACGCAGCTCTCAGCCCTGCCATTCACACTGACGGGTGAAACACCCCGGACGGTACAAGACGGCCAGGGAGGAATGGGCGGCGGCGACAGCTTCAATCTCAGCCAAGCCATCGCCGAGGCCGGCAGCTGGCTACAACAAAGCTGGGACTTTAGCCGGGACCTGAAGGCGTCCAACAACGACGAGACAGCTACGCTATCCGCGGATGTAGGGCGTTCTGCCTTGGGTTTGGATGCAGCGAACTGATTGTTTTCAATTCATGTTGCATGTGCATATTTCGGGGAAACATATTACCTAGCCATTATGACAGTTGCATTTCGGTCTAAAATTATTGTATCTACAGTTAAAACCATAAATCCAAAATTCCACAATTATCATCTCAAGTGAAGCACTCCTAAACTGTTGCCAGCGTTATCGCAGCCTAATCGGAGCGGTGGGCGGAGCTCGCGATACGTCAAGAGCGGGCGGGAAACTGACCGCTGTCCACACCCGAACAAACAACTGCGTTCACCGTCGCTCATGGCGTCGATCTCGATATGGCTTTGACTTCGGTATGCTCGGTTTACATCCTGGGGGATTTCTTTTCTTGTAAAAGGCCCACGAATATGCTGACCTGTTTAGTGGAAAACATTCGACTTCTTCGATGTCTCGCAGGTGAAGCTCACCGAGGAGAGCTCCTCGATCATCAATGTATGCTGCTACCATTTGATATACAATGAAATATATGACTGATGGTATTGTTCTAGAGCGACATCTCTGCTCTCTGTACCGGATCCGCGAATCTCTTCCTCGGCTCGACGGATGGAGTCGTCCATATCCTCTCCGCGGCGTTCAAGCTCGTGCGCTCGTTCAAGGCCTTCGACACCGGCGCCATCACGCACATGAGACAGATCAAAGAGACGTCTTTACTGATCACCATTGCAGAGGATCTGTCGAACGAGCCCGTGTTGAAGGTTTGGGCCTTGGATATCACGGAGAAGAAGACCGGGGCGCCGAGGTGTTTGTCGACGGTGTCGGTGCAGAATGCGCGCAGGCAATTCCCGGTATGTCTACAGAAAAGGGAGGAGAAGAAGAAGCATGGAGATGAAGATGGTGCGGGTGCTAAGAGAGAGAGAGTAGATATCTACGGTTGCCGCCCTAGATGACCTGTCGCAAGTTGCTGTCGGTTTCGCCAACGGGTCGGTGACTATTATCCGCGGTGACTTGATTCACGATCGTGGCGCTCGTCAGCGGATCGTGTTTGAATCGGAGGAGCCGATCACCGGTCTCGAGACGCAGACAGGGGCTGTTACCACCCTCTTTATCTCGACAACTAGCCGCATCCTGACTCTCGTGATTGCGGGGCGAGGGCAGGGCCAGCCTGCTCGGGTCCTCGAGGACACCGGATGTGCTCTGGGGTGCATGACGCTTGATCCGGAGACGGGCGATGTCTTGATTGCTCGGGAAGATGCGATATATATCTTCGGGACCCGCGGTCGCGGCCCTAGCTATGCTTTCGACAGCCCCAAGGCTTCGGTCAAGATGTTTAGGGACTACGTTGCGCTGGTTTGCCCGCCAAAAGTAGGGTCGTCGAAATCCGACCCCCTCCGACGGTTTGGTGTCTCTCAACCTGAAGACATCTTCAACACGCCCACCTTCACATTGCTCGATACTGACCTCAAGTTCATCGCGCACACCCAATCTCTCATCTCGCCAGTCAAGTACACCTTCATGGAATGGGGTGAATTTTTCATCCTCACCACTGATAACAAAGTAAGGCGTGGTCTGGATAGTATACAATCTCAGTGCATGTCTCTCTAACTTTTGGTTAGATCTATCGTTACCGTGAGAAGAATCTGCAACAGAAGCTCGAGATGCTGTACCAACGAAACCTGTATATACTTGCAATCAACCTGGCACAGAAGACGGGTCTCGATATCCTACAGCAGAACGCAATCTACCGCAAGTATGGCGACTACCTTTACCAAAAGGGCGATTACGATACCGCAATGCAGCAATATCTGCGGGCAATCGATAACACAGAACCCTCTCAGGTCATTCGAAAAGTGAGAGCCATTTGCTTCCAGAGGTGTAGGGGGCACGATGGCTGACAAGTGGACAGTACCTTGATACCCAGCGGATACATAATCTCATCGAATATCTCGAAGAGTTGCACGACCACGACCGGGCGACGGTTGACCACACGACACTCCTGTTGAATTGCTACGCGAAGCTAAAAGATACAAGCAAGCTAGATTCCTTCATCAAAGCTCCTGGAGAGTTGAAGTTCGATCTTGAGACCGCTATCGCGATGTGTCGACAGGGCGGTTACTTCGAGCAAGCCGCTTACCTGGCTACTAAGTACGGCGAGAATGACATGGTGGTGGACATTCTCATCGAGGATTCGCAGAAGTATGCCGAGGCGGTCGAGTACATTTGGCGGTTAGATCCTGAGATTGTATGCTCTTCTCCCTCTAAGATGGCCTGCTTAAACGCCACGAACTAACACTGTCAGGCCTACCATAATTTGATGAAATACGCCCGCGTTCTTCTTGCTCATTGCCCGGAAGAAACCACACATTTGTTCATCGACTATTACACTGGTCAATATCAACCCAAGACGCAAGTGGTAGAAGATCCTGAAGAGCCCCAGGTCGAGACTGCAGGGGGCGGCGCAATGCAGAGTCTGGCTGCGCTGATCCCTCTCCCTCTTATGAACTCTGGCTTAGGAGGGAAAATCACGTCGACGGAAGCCGCAAACCCAGCCAAGGAGGAGCCCGAAGAAGTGCTGGCTCCAGATTACCAGACACCGAAACCGCGTACAGCCTTCTCAGCATTTGTGGACAATCCGCAGGAATTCATCACATTTCTTGAGGCTTTGATAAAACAGAAAGATCTCAGAGAAGGAGACCGAGTTGATCTGTTTACAACCCTGTTCGAGATGTATCTTGACACTGCAAATCGGAAGCGGGATGGGACGGAGAAGAAGGAGTGGGAGACGAAAGCAAAGAAGCTCATTGAAGGCAAAGATGTAAAGTTTTCCCTCCCTTCTGCCGTACCAAACTAACCACTATAGATACCAATATCAACGTCCAACGTCCTTCTCCTCTCCGACCTCTCCAATTTCCGGGAAGGATCAACGCTTGTCCGCGAGCAAGAAGGCCTCCGTTCAGATATTTTCCGATCATTTACGGCAGCAAAGGATACCCAGGGGGCGATCAAGGCGTTGAAGAAGTACGGACCGGAGGAACCCCAGCTGTACATTGACGCCCTGACCTATTTTGCGTCGAGCCCGAAGATTCTCGAAGAAGCAGGCGACGAGCTGGATGCTGTCCTGCGCAAGATTGACGAGGATGGCCTCATGTCACCGCTTCAAGTCATCCAAGCCTTGAGTAACAATGCGGTGGTCACTATGGGTCGGGTGAAGAAGTACCTCAGTGACAATATCGAGAGAGAACGCAAAGAAATATCTACTGTTCGTGCTCTTTCCCTCCGAATTTTGATCTTCTTTGCTGCTGCTAACCTTGCCTAGAATCGACGTTTAATATCCAGCTATAGTGCCGAAACGGAGAACAAGAAGAAGGAAATCGAGCAACTGGGAAGCAAGCCGGTCGTCTTCCAAGCCCGCCGGTGCATGTCCTGCGGCGGCACCCTGGACCTGCCCACGGTCCATTTCCTCTGCAAACACTCCTTCCACCAGCGGTGTCTGAACAAGGTTGACGAGGACGTCGAGTGCCCCGTCTGCGCGCCCCAGAACGCCACCATCAAGGCCATCCGCCGGCGACAGGTCGAATCTGCAGACCAGCACGACCTCTTCAAGGCGGAGCTGCAACGGTCTAAGGATCGGTTCGGCGTCGTCAGCGAGTTCTTTGGCAGGGGCGTAATGCGGCCGCAGAGCACTATGGAGTGATATCTTGATTAATATATGCATTCTTAATACAAACCATCCCTGTAGAAAATAAATAGCATCAAGTTCTTCCACTGCAATAACAATAATACTACAAGTGGGCTTATCATCACGTGCCCACGTGTCAATATCGCTCCACCTCCAACGCGTCGACCCTCTGCAACTTTATCTTGTGCTCGATAAGCCAATATGAAATAAGCCAACCCCAGACTCTTCTCATCGCCAACGCCGAATGAACATGGACCGTGTTATTCAGGATTCCGACGAGGAAGAGGACGACGCCCTGTCCGACGATGTGCCCACCTCTGTCGACGCGGGCCAGCAACAATGCCCGAGCGAGCAGCGCACGTTGTCGTCGATTTCAGCACGCGGGGACCACGACGAAGTGCACGAGGTGCTCATTCCTGGCAAGGTTGGGAGCCAGGCCGAGGAAACGCCAGGTGCACCTGTCGAGGTGCCGCTAGGTGTCAATTTTGACGACTTTCTCCAGTCGCAGGACACGGCCGGGGGCCGCTTATCTTCGTCGCAGCAGAGGAGGGAAGATAGATGGATTCCGGCCGAGGTTGGGCATGGGTCTATCGGTTAGAAATAGGTGCACCTACTGTGAAAATAAAGATAGGTGCTGAATCCATTGATACAGGCTCGGTCATGACTGAGATCGGACTCGCTCAAAGACGACTCTTCGATGACGATGACGCGGCATTTAGCGTCCAGAACCTCATCGCCGCGCCGACGACAATGGACATAGTTCGCACCAGCTACTCCATGAACACTGGCCACGGGGTATATGGAAACATGGCCCGGTTAGGTGACGAGCTCGGCAATGAAGAGAACTGGCACAATCACTCGGAACGCCAGACAATGCCCCTGGAGGTTCGGGAAGAAGGAAATTTAGCTCTCCAAACAGATCAGGAGGACATCAATGTTCAGACCTCAATGGATTCAGGTTGTCAGGTAATGCAGCCTCATACGGACACCAATCGAGCCTTGAATTGCGGAATAATGTCGAGTCATGAAAACACATCCTATAACTTTTTCGATTCAGTGATGAGCCATCCAGCAGATAGTGCACCTGGCGAGTTCCTCGTCTCAACCAGATTCCACAATGATGACCAGCTACCTGAGTTGCACCGGACACCTCTCCGATCAAAGTCGCTACAGGGGACGCTATACTCTCCACACGACACCGAGCCTATTTCTTCCGTCCTCTCGCCCAGATCGAGCCGAGTGAAAAGCGATAATCTCGCTTTGAGCATGCAGCAAGCGTCCCAGCAGAGTACTGGCGATGAGCTCGCAGGCTCTGTGACTGTTGAGCTGCCACCAATGAAGAAGAAGAGAGGGCGTCCAAAAAAGCAGGTCGTGATGCAAGACGAAGATGACGAGCTTGCCAACTCGCCTGTTGGTCAAGATTTGGCCAAACCGGAAAAGTCCACCCCTGGGGGGCCATCTGAAACCTTTCAGGAACAAACAGACCACAGCGACGATATAGTCATGGTCCCGATTGATAAAAATACTGTCAGTCATGGTGGAGACCACGAGACTCCTCCGTCTGCTGCAAAAGACTCAAAACTTGGCGTCGTGATTCAAGCGCAGGATCCCTATTTGGCAGAAGCTGATCGCAAGGAGTCGAAAAACCTCAAGGCCAAGGAACCCAAGAAGAAGAAACTTAAACGAGGGAAAACAACCTCCGCTATCCAGACCAAGTCACACGAATCCGATGTCGAGGGCGACGTTATATGGGTGAACGAGAAATCTGGTTCCGGGAAGCTTGACAGTCAGGAAGGAGTGTCTCCTTTCGACAAGTCCACCATAACTAATATGAATGAGACCCTTCTAAGTATTCCCAAAGCGGAGTCCAACGCAGAAGAAGCTGCACAGAAGCCGAGCAAACTCGTACAAGCTGCGCCTAAGAAACGCGGCCGGAAAAGAAAGAAAACAGACGAGCAATTGGACGAGGAGCAACAGCAGCCTACAACAAGCCCGAACGAGCTTCTCGACAAGGCACAGACAGATCCCAGCTTCCCCGACCTCCTCAAGGACGACTCAAAAAACACGATTAACAACCAGATGATCTCCGAAGAAGATCATCCCGACACTCACACTATCGCTGTTCCCCCCGAGGAGCAGGAACAAGAACAACCAGCAGAGATGAACGCCCTCAAAACGCCCCAAAAGCAGACACCTAACCCCCCGGGCTCGGGAAGAGACCCACGCAAAGGTCCAGACAAGCACAGCCCCATTTCAGGGACGAGCAAGGTGCCCTTCCGCGTCGGTCTCAGTCGTCGCGCACGTATCGCGCCGCTACTGAGAGTTGTCCGGAAGTGATCATCCGAACGAGAACCACGAGGTCAAATGGGAATATAATGATAAATTGCTGCTGGGCGTTTTTCTTCGGGCTTGCTGGACTTGCCTTGTCGGGTGCTCCGGATCTTCGATGCAGAATGATTACGATTTCATTGATTTGCCTGCGATTCTCTAATGACTCGGTATTCTAGTTCAACTAATAGACGGCTATATGACCTGTTTCTTTTGCTGTTACATCAAAGAGCCCATGTTCATGGATCATTTGTCGAAAAATGTATGCTTTGAGGTGCTGCTGTATTTCTTTTATACGCATCTATTTTTCCGAAGTCCTTACGAAAACTACAATGATGACTCGACGTGGATAATATTTAATGAGTGAGTAGTCTAGACTACCTAGTAAAACGAGAAAAAAATAATTGCTGGTCGGAATAATACGGCCTCGAACCAATCTGGAATTCATTCCACTGCCCGTGATATCAGAATACCCCTCCGCGAGTTGAAAGAGCTGGCAATCCGTCAAAATCGAAGTTGATGACAAGGTCCATGGCAGGTCCTTCACAGCTCGAACAGCATGGCCCCAACGAGTGCAGTAACAATGGCCATAGATAGAGGTCTCCCTAGGGTCAAAGCAGGGTTGCCGACTAGTGAACCTGCCTTGGATGTCGCTCCATATATTGAGTGAGCAGCTGAGATCTTGCTTTCAGTATTGACTGCTCCCCCGAGAGAATCGGTGATGTTCAGAGTAGTGGTGTTAGGGGAAAAGCAATAGCCTGCATCTGGTAGACAACCCACGCCACAATGCTGAGTCGAATTGCCGCAAAAGTGGTGGCTGCTACAGCAAGGCCCAAAGTTAGACTTAATGCAAGTATGGTTGGCACCGCAGGTCCCATCAGTAGAGACGGGCTTGTTGCCAGCTGGTGGCGCTTTAGGAGTCTTATCATTGGGCCCAGAAATAATTCTATTGTCTTTCCGGTACCAGTTTTCACGAGGGTCGCTGAGGCAATCTCCAACAGTTACAGCACGGTAGCCATCGTCTGTGAGTCGTCGGAGCATGTGCTCCGTCAGGTTGTATACCGTTTGCTCCTGTATATCATGACCAATGACCAGCCAAGACTTTTCCGAGACTTTCCAGTAGGACAGTTCACGGTCGAAGATGTCTTTGGATTGCTGGATGGCTTCCGGGTTTGCGTTTCTATAATCTTGCGTGTCCAGGTCGTAGAGGACAACGTGATATCCAAATGACCCCATGTCATCGAGACAATTCGATGCGATATCGCAGCTTGAAAATGGGGGACGCATGTATGTCGGAAATACCCCAATGATGTTGCGAATTGCAGCTTCATTCCTCAATATCTGCTCTCGACGCTGATCAGAAGTGATTCTGGTAAGATTCTGATGTGACCAAGTGTGACTAGCAACTTGATGGCCTTTGAGGTACATATCTTTGATCAAGGAGGCCCAGGGAAGATTGAGATCATCGATCTGGCCCTTGCCATTATTGACCCCCGTGATGAAGAATGTTGCCTTGGCATCGTATCTATCCAGTAGGTCCAGCAGGTCTTGGGTATACTTATACGGGCCATCGTCATATGTCAAAGCAACAGTCCCAGGGACATTGCATGAGCGGATGATACTTGGGCCGTATAACACGTTTCCAATCTTCGGACGAGGAATTGTGCTTGTCGGAGGGCCCTTGGGACGCTTATGTGCATCGCAACGACCATAATCCATAAGGCAGTCCGGGGACTTGCAATGTTCTTGCGTATCGCCACAGAAGCCTGGAGAATGTTTCAGTTCCAGTCAGATGACACAATATCAGGCCTGCGTACCTGCAGATGAGCAGCAGTAGCCATCAGAGCATTTGCCAATTTCAGGGCCGCATCTGGGCTTGAACCCACGGGTCACGAACTTATCGTCTTGAATTTCGTTTTCATCGCGGCTGCGGTCTCTGATAGTTATGTGATGATGCTCACTTCCTTCAAGGCCGCATGCAGAGACAATTGCAGCTAGAGCAAGACTTGAAAGTCCTAGAAGGGCTTGCAGGTGCATATTGAATGGCAAGAGACTTAAATGATCCGGGGCAAAAGATACACCTTAGGAGGTATTTTGAATACAACTAGTGAAAGATGCGATATTGCAGAAAGCAATGTGGGTAGAGGATAGGGAGAGAGGACCAGGAAGACAAAATGAGGCGTTGACTCTCAAGGACATCGATGACTCCGCTGTTCTTTTAGCAACGGCAGGTGCGTCTCAACGAAAGCGAAGGAAGAAGCGCTCCAGATGAAGGGAAAGAAGCCATACTTGGATATTTGAGACAAGGAAAGAACCTAGGCAGGGAAGTAGTACATGGTAGACGAATTAGAATAGCAAGTTCACGCATTTTTAGCAATCAGAAGTTTCCTATTCTATGGTATATACTCTGATTGACCCAAACAAGACACCCAGCATCGAAGAACGTAGTGGTATTTATAGAATCGGCTCATCGTAGGCATTGATGTCAATCCTAATGGTAGTTAGTGTTGTCATGCAGGAACGAAAGGGGGGTACTTATAAAAAAAAAGGGGGCCGTTTCCTTCGAAAAGGAAACGGCAGTTCACTCGTTCCAATCAAGCAATATAATCCTCTGCCAAAGACTCCAAACGCCCTTCATGTGTCTGGCATTAATGCCATCTCCAGTGATCACTCCACGGGCCCTTAAAACGCTGTGAGCGCAAGCATATTCTCTTTCGTACCAAGCCAGAACATCCGAAATGCGTCAGAAAAGCAGTGGCAGATGACAAGAAGTTAGTACGGACAAGCCGAGACTTTGATCCTCACTCGAGAGAGGTCCCGTATTTAACTGTCCTGATGTATACCAGCTGGATCATAGCGAGATCGGGCTGTATCTCGAATGGACGAGAACAGAGAAACGCCAATGTCGCTCCAACTAGATTCATAGAAACCACTAGAGATTGTCCATAGGACTGAAGGGCACTGAGGGTGAAATAGAGATCAAAGGCGATGAGTGACCACTTTCTCGACTGGGACAGAGTGAACCCAGTGTATGTTATCTAAAACAATCAAACGGCCAGCAGGCAAGAGAGCGGCCAGTTTTCCAATTCATTTCAGAATTTTCCAACCTCGAGTTTGTTTCTAGAACTCCATCTCTCAGGTTACCTGGCGGTGGCTCCATAGTTGCGCAAGCTGACTTCTTGTGGGTGGTACAGCACCCTCGGGGACAAGTTTTTGTTTCCTCTCCGCAGTCACCAAGTAGCAACGTAGGATGGCATTGATAGAAGCGAACAACTAACATCCGGAAAAAACCGCTTCCTTCTGCCCAGAAGGCAGGGGTGGAAATGTTGCAACATTTCCACCAGTGTCGGCGCCCATCAATCAATCTGCAAGCTACCTCACAGAGAGACGGTTAACACGGTTGATCAGGGACCTTCAGATGAAGTACGAGTCTGTGGCTGTTGCCGTGACTCGAGGCTGGCTTGCGGCCAAGTAGGCACATAGGAGAGCAAAAGATAATGAGTTGGAGGGGAGGGACAAGTCATCGAGGTGACTCGAAGTGGGAAGCATGTATAGGCCGTCAGATGGTTTAATAAAGACGTGTTTCCGGTAGTGAACAGACGCATCAACGACCGGAACGGGACAACAAGCCAATAGTTCTGTTACCAAGATAGGTATCAGAGAATCATTGCGAATGGCAAGACAATAGAACCTCGCTCCGCTTTCACCATCCATGAGGCCCCTCGACGCCCTAAGAAGTGTGAGATTGGATTCTGGCGAGTGGATCCTATGACGAGCCATTCATGATGATTGTGTGTAGGCCCTGCCTCGAAACCGCAGGCAGATATTGTTGTGTTCGACGCCGTGAGTCTGCACCAGTTCAAAACGCATCCCAGTCAGAGGCACAGTGGCCCTTCCTTTCTAAACCATCATCAAAGCGCAAAGCCACCTCTCGAGGAGGCACCCTACATGCTTCACCTCACCTCTCTCTGTATCTTTTGATATTCAAGCATGGCGCAACCGTCCTATCATGATCTTCATGTAACGTCCAGCATTGGATTCCTGACGCGTGTCCCATGGGGAACTTGAAAACGCATAGTCACCGTCTTTCACTGCCTGGAACGGCTCTGGACACCGAATGCGTTTCACATCCTTGGCTCTGGGGTGAACCAATTCAATTAATCTGACATTCGACATGGTTATACCGCGAGGCTCTTGCGTGTAAAGCAAGAAACCGACCAAGATTCTTAGGGTTAAGTCCCAATTTTCATCCACCCACGGGTCCTCGAACCGTACAAAAGCAAACAGCCCTGAACAACTCGACTCACACCGCGAGAGCGTCCGAAAACGTAAAATGAAAACTGGAAAACTGTGTGGAGGGTGTGTCTGTACAAATGCGCCTGGACAGGCAAGAGAGCCAAATGCGAGCCAACAACGTATGGTAGGTAGCCCATCGCGAGACATCCGAGTCCAACAGAGTAACTGATGAAGCAAATCGAATAGCGGCAGGAATTCTGAAAGATGAAAAAGGACGGTTTCCCTGCGACATGCGTCTGAGAGTGACTGGAGAACACCACTGTTGGGGGATGAACAGAGAAAGAGAGAGACCAAACAACAGCATCATTTTACGAGGCTGGGATCACATGATAGAAAACGCGCGACCCCTCCCCGTCGTGGCGTCGTGACGCGTGATCACGTGATGTAAGACACGTGTTTTGCTTACTAATGGTTATTTCAATGGCAGCGACGGAAAGAGAAAGAATCATTTGCCGCAACCTCTTGGTCATGGTGAAGTAGCTATTTTCAGCATGAGACACTCCTTCTGGAAGCATGGGAGACCCAAGAGTCATCAAGGAAGCGTTTGAAGCTGCGGGCAGCTTTCTGGATCCGGTACTCAAACGAGGCAGGCAAATCTCTGGCTTGAGGAAGAGAGACCTTAGCTAACATTTCTGAAGAGGAGATCAAGAAATACTCGGGATGTTCCCTGCTAGATATTCTTTCAAAAAACCTCTCAGATGTGACGCAGTCGAGGCCGTCCGCCCAAGATGCCGTCATATCACAGGCACTCGAGCTTCTTACGGCCATTCACATAGGATTCACAGAGCCAGTAGACAGTATCGAGGCCTACTATGCCGGTGATACGACATCAGAAAACCCAGACCTGGAAGATGCTAGGCGGCGTCGAGTCCTACATGCCCTTCTGGATTTGATATCTCTTGAAGGAATCTACCCGTTACTATCATCTGGAGTTGGAATACCGCTTCAATCACGAGTCATCTCCGTATTGCCGGCTGGGGTCATTGCAAAGAACCCACAAACGGTTCCCAGCAGTAAATCGAGCGACCGGCCATTGCTAGACAAGATCCTCAAAGCGTTGTTGGCGATTCTTTTTGATGCTCGCCCTAGTATTCAACCGGTCATTCGTGGTCGAATACTCAGTGACCTGATCAGTGGCACGTCAGAGTTGGCCTTCAACTCTCAAGATATATCACCTAGTGAACAGGGCTTCTATCATGAGTCCTTCAGGAGGATTGTTGACGAGTAAGCCATCAAACCTCTATTTTAATCAATAAACAATGATGCTAATAGGATCAAGTACGCCGAGCCCCGTCTTGCTGCCTACATTGTCTGCCTTTCTCCAGTCGGACACGGCTCCCTGGTTTAAATCTGTGATATCTGGCCAGTTATCAAGGATTCCTTTGCGTCAGGATGGAGTACTGCAAACCATATTTTTCGTTGCGTCGCAACTCGCTCCCGGACTTGGACAAGAAGCGCAAACCGAACCTTCCAATGGCCCACATTTCACGGTACAAACGATAATGCAGATTTCAAAGCTATTATCTTCTGTTCCCCAAGATATAGACCCTGTCTCCTACTTCACGGGGATTGCACCGCAGTTGCTAGCCCTCATCGATGGTCCAGACCCGGATTTGAAAAGAACAGCCGCTTATGTTGTGGGAAATGGGATTCTGGGGAAACGTGCATACGGCGCAGTTGGAACTATCGGGCATTCAATATTCGTGGACCCGATATTTAAAAGCCTAGCTGCTGGATTGGATGATCATTCTAAATTTTGGATGGACCGTTTTGATGTCTTGGACAGTTCTGGTACCGATGCTAGAGCTGATATAAAGTTACCGCCGCCACAAGATCGAGTTATTGTGCCCGCCCACATCTTGATTCTAGCAGTTGAACGTTTGGGCACTCTAACTCTTCAGCATCCCAATCCCGGGCTTGTGAAAAGATTGGTCTACCCCGTTCTTCTTCCTCTATGGGGTCTGGCTTGCTACACGATTGAAAGTCAGAATTCGGACTTGCATCAAAGTGTCTGGAGACTCTTGCAAACCTATTTCAGCATATCAGTGGGTGAACAGCCATTGAGGAAGATTGCAGAAAATTTGCTCTGGAATGGCGGTGCAACATGGACCTACATGTCGGATACAACGGGTGTCTTTCTAGGGAAAAGAGAGGGGTCTGAGAGCAACCAGTCTAATCTCGTGCAGCTCATGGATAGTCTGGAGGGTAGAGCTACGCTTTTTGTCAAACTTCTAGGCTCTGATCCTAGGAGTGAAGAGTTGACAGCTGATATTTTCCTCCATGTGAGCCAGGCCTGGCTTGTACAACCCCAAGTGGCCAAACAGCCTTCAAACCTGTTGAGATTGCCTGAAGATGAAAACTATGAAAATATCATCCAGAAACTGGTCAGTGCGAAAATAACAGAGAAGCTGCTGGGTAGCTTCAAAGACACGCTATCCCGTCATCCTCTCAAAGTTCTTGAGCTCGCCAAACAGGTCATCGACAGTGAATTAAACCGATTGAAAGCTCATCAAATTAGGACGCAAAATGGCACTTCTGGGAAAGTTTCTCTTTCTTCATTGGGAACCATTGTACCTAATGAAGAAAATGATCTATCTAGCACAAAAACTGACAAGGATTCCGCCGAGTCATTATCGGCTGTCTTCAGCTTACTCTCGACTGTTCTCGCTTCTCCTGAGTTCGCTGTGAATGACGAGATCCAGCCAACACTCGAAAATATCAAATTACACCTAGATCAGCTCATTCTTCTTCTCCCGCCATCCCTTTCCAAGCCAGCTACAACATCTTCAATGTTCCTAGAAATTCATCTAACGTCTCCCAAGACATTGCCGGATACAAAGAAACCTATTCGCAACGTTTCCGATATCGACACTCACAGACAAGCTTTGGCGAACATCAACTCTGACCTACCTCCTGTTCAGGCGGAAGGACTTACCCTGCTCTCTGGTTTGATCAAGAGAGGATCACCTGTTCTCGATATCCCGGCCACACTGGTTCTGCTGATATCAATCATCACAGAGCCGGTTTCTGAAACAGCCGCAAATGAAGAATTCATATATCTCAATGCCGTGAAGCTAGTCGGCGAGTTAGCATCAAGACATCCACGGACGACAGTAAAAACACTCGTGGAACAATATTCTGACAAAAGTGAAGAAAGAACTCTTGACCAGAGGTTGAAAATAGGCGAAGCATTATTGCGAACGGTGCAGGACCTGGGAGATGCCTTAACCGGAGAATCTGCCAAGATATTGGGTGAAGGAATGATTGCTGTTGCAGGTCGACGAGGGCACAAGCCAAAAGCACGGAGTGATCGAAAACAACAACTGGAGAAAGAGAGGAGGGAAGAGGAGCGTCAGAGCCGTAAAGAAAAGGAACTCCCTGTGCCTCCTGGCTGGACGATATCTTCTACTGCTCATAATGATCAAGAGCCAACGAACACTATCGAACCAGAAAACGACGAAAGCCGCGAAGTCGAATCGGCAGAGCAAACCGCGCATTCTGCCAACATCCTTGCCGCTTGGGCCGCAGGAGCAGCCTCGGACGAAGAACCAGATGACCTTCGTGTTCGAAGCTCCGCAATCTCCATCTTAGCCACCGCTGTGCAGACGAACATCGCCGGGCTAGGAGCTTTGGTTGCTTCTTCCTCTCTGGATCTTGCCCTTTCGACACTGGTACAAGAGCCCGATCCTGAAAGTGCAATTCTGCGACGTGCAAGTGTTGTCCTGCTACTGGACATTCTTCAAGCCCTTGATAGATCTCGCGAGAATGGCAAAGACACGGCTCTGGGGTTCGGATTGTCCCTCACCGAGGACGAAAACATCGCTGCAAAGGATGGCGGACAGACTATCGGCAGTATCCCCCGGATCTTACGCACATTGGGTTTTGTCGAGGGTCGCGAAACGGATGCCCTTGTTCGCGGACACATCCGCGTGCTTGTCGAAAGCCTCGAGGCATGGACTGAAAAGGCTTTGCTATGGGGAATAGGAGCCCGAGGACAACATGCCGAGGATTTCGAACCGCGATTGGAGCTTGGTGAGAGGATTGCTGGCCTCGATATCAATCCTTTGTCTGGGGATGGATCTGGACGACCCAGGATCGAGGAAATTGAATAGGAGATTCCGCGTTGGATCTTGATTAGAAATTCTGTAATTTTTTTTTCTTTAAAAAATTAAGATATATATCTACAGAGACATATTTGCTTGCTCTTGGCTCCATTCCATTACAATTTACAGATATACAAAGCCCTCGGATCTACGCCACCTTCTCGACTCTTCTGCTAAGTTCTAACAACGAAAGAGAATTCATATGTAGAAACAGTCTCATGAAGAATCGCGGCATTCTAGTAGTACATGACTATCAATTTGGATTCATAATAATTGCGAATGCTAAATACCACGCGCTGCATCATGAACGGTCGTCTGAACAAGATGGTCTGGTCTGCCTTCAAAAAAGCTTAGAAGCTTTGCACCTGGTTGTCACGGTAGACCGTCAATCAGCAAAAGAATCCCTGAAACCCAGTTCAACATCCCACGCCCAGCCCGGCAAGAAACAAGTCATTGCGGCATCGCGAAATAATAAGGCCTGGACGCATGTCGTGCAAGCTTACGCAGAGCAGAGTTTTTCCATCAGTAGCGAAAGCCGCCACGATCTCGGCCGCGACCACTCACGTTTCTATGACCGCGACCACCACCGTGGCCGCCGCGACGGGGGAAGCGATTGTTGCGCCCGAAAGAGCCCCGGGATTCGGCTGCGCGTGGGCCGGCATCGATGCGTGCCTGGCGCTCCTCATCGGTCAGATGAAACTTGTTGGTGATTCCCAGGAGCTCGCAAAACTGAGCCGTCTGCGGGTTGTTGTATTCAATGGGCATTTCCTGAGTGGTGATAGGCACAGCTGGGTCGTAATAAGGAGCGGTGGGGATGAAGTTCTCAGGAATGTCCAGCTTTTCTGCTTTGACGATGTTCTCTTCGACCCATTGCTCGGCCTCGATGATCTGGGGCTTGTAAATGGCGTCCCCCTTATCCGAAGAAGGTCGAGCAGCTGGATCTGCCAGCTGAAGGTCATTCGCAAAGACGCGGGTAATAGCAAGCCATTCTTTATCGTATTGCAAACGGAAAGGGCGGTCGACTTGGCCGTCTTCCTGCACTGAAATGGCTTCAAACTCTGTAAGCTGCAGGAATTCACGGTTCGCCACACACTTGTCGAGAGCCAGAAAACAGGTCGTGGTGTTTGAGATCGCTTCAGGCAAGGGCTCATTGATCACCGGCTCGTCTTCCTGCTTAAGGTCGGGAGTGGGACGAGAAAAGCTCTCGGGAAGTTGGTTCCGAATGTCTTGAGACACGTATGCATTTCCACGTTGGTCAGTAGTGGTAGCGCCAGGAGCTCGCTCAGAGCCGTTAGCCTTGGTATCAGACACTTCAACGGCGGTTGGTTTCTCAGGAGTTGTGGGCTTTGTCGCACTGGCGGCCGGCGCTGTCGGGGCCTCGTCATCGCTGTCCAAGTCAAGATCGATTTCATCAGCATTCTTGACACTGAAGTCTTCGGGTTCAACTTTTAGTTTCTTGCTTTCTGGTGAACCAGTGTCAGTGCTCTTCTCAATGACCGAAACCTTCCGACCAAATCCATCATCACCCGTATCAATCTTTTTCCAGGTCAAGTTATGAACGACTTGGGACGTTTGAAGACCTCCTTTGCTACCCCTCTCGTACTCCTCCAGAAGGCGCGCGTTTTCAGCTGCCTCGTTCTTTGCAGCGACTTGATGAAAGTTGTTCCAGGCCGACAGTTTGCTCTGAGTGTCGGTGGGCATACTGTGGCGAGGGCCACCCTGGCTCTCGAGAGTTCCATTTGCTGCAATTCTGGCATTCTGATCAATTCTAGAGACAATCCCCTGTTCCTCCTCGCGTTCTGACTTCACCTGAGGGCTCCTTTGCAGGATGGTTCTCTTCATCCCACGGCTTTCTGGAAGAAGATACGCGCCATGGTGGATCTGAGCCGCGAACTTGACGTGGAGGTGGGCGGAGAACCAATATGATGGGCGGAGTCTATCCAGGACGTATTTGGCAGCAGGGTTGCCCAGTCTACCATTCTGCGAGTCTTCGCGAAATCCTCGTTTCTTTCTGAATAGTGCTTCGTAGTCCCCAGAAAGCTCCACGGCTTTAGGCCAGTCATGAGAAATTCCAACATCAACTTGAGTGCGAATTTGCAGCAGCTTGCGAACATCTAGTTCTCTAACGTGATAGATGCTTTGGATCTCGTCTTGGTTGTACGGCAATCTCTCGTAATGAGGCTTCCGATAGTCGTAGCCCTTCCAAATGCCCGACATGCCTGCAATTCGAAGAGGGCCAACGCGAATGACATTTGCAGCGCCGAGGTAATAGATATTTGGAGCGACCCAGCCGCCGTAGTAAAGTTCAAATAGATAGTTGCTAGCTTCGTGATTGCCGCCCACAAAGATAGTCAAGTAGGGGGCAGTGCGTTTGCCACTGTAATACTCATGGAAGTCACCAATCTCCTTGTACTTGTGTGGCACTGACATGCATGCCAGATCGTAAGAGTTACGAACGGCCTGGTTTTCATGGTTAGTATGTGTTGACTTGCGCAGAATCCGAGTAAACTTACCTGAAAGTCACCTCCGATGATGACCAAGTCAACACCATCCCAGCCCTTGAGCTCAGCAGATTTCTCGACCGATGCGTATATGTCGTGAAGGCAGCCATGGCCCTGTAGTAATGAGTTAATCCGCCTCTGGGGATAAAGCAGACATAGGATGGAAAAAAGAAGCACTTACACAGCCCTCAAGGGCAACTCTGAGAGACCGCTGCTCCATCTTCGTAATCTCCATTGTCTTCGCTTTCTTATCAATTATTTAAAGGAAATTGAACGGTAAAAGAGGCACAAGAGCTGTGGACTTCTAGAGATGGTTGGTCGAGATACAACGAGGATGGATGTTTGATGGAGGAATGAAGAAAATGGGAAGAGGTCAAAGATCAGAGAAAAACGTCAGCAGACACGGCGAGCATCCTGGAGAGAGGATTTGGAGAAATTTCAAATGGGAGAAAAGAAAGGTGTGCGAGTTTAGCGAAGGAGAAGGTGCAGTGAATCTGATCAAACAATTTGGTGTTGAGGCGGCCACGGGAAGCTCTCACTTTCACTCAACCACTCCCCTGCTGCTTTTAACTACCTTTTGCAACCAACTCTCAATCAAGCTTACCTCCTCCTAGCAGATTACTGGGGGTTTTTGAGGAGACCAAAATGTCCCTTAGTGAATATGCTTCGCAATTGAATTTTCTGAAAGATTCTGCAACATTTCTAAGCTCTCTCAGCCCTTCTACGTCAGCGCATCTCTTGACTGTTCATAATCGGATTCTGCATGAAGAGCTCAAGCCGCTCAACCACCGGCACCATGAAAATGCGTGTGGCGCATGTGGCAGCATCAGAAAGCCTACGGTAACTAAAACATGTCACATCGAAAAGAAGAAGAAGAAGAAGACAGCCCGGTCGGACCGGTCAACGCCTCATGCCTTCGCTGATGGCGCTACAATCATCAAATGTCTACGCTGCCGTCGCCGGACAGTTAGGCCGCTGCGAAAAGAGACAGCGCCATCAGAGAAGGCTTCCCGGATTCCTACGCCAGTTACTGACACTGCATCCACGACTCCCACGGTAACAGCTGCAGACAGGCCTGTTGCAGCTGATACCACCAAAGTTGTCAAGGCAGCAGAGAACGCAAACAGCAAGAAACGCGCCAAAGCCAGGAAGCAGGGCGGTCTCCAGGCCCTCTTGGCCTCCAAACAGCGGTCTCAAGCAACCTCTTCGTCCTCTCTGGACCTCCTCGACTTCCTGCATCAATAACCACTGCGGCTGCACGTATCCTTCTTCCTGATGCCAAGAAATCGGATATCGGCCCAACATTCTTCCTCTAATTCTTCCAAATTAGGATAAGCGCGGGGTCGTCCTCTGTCAGGCACCGAGGCTCCGACACTAATCCTGAATAGGCCTGCGCAACCCCGCCACGCCGAAGCCCAAGGAACAGTCCCGCCGTTGCTAGATAATTTTTTTTCCCGGCATTCGGGCGTTATTCAGGCGACGGAGCTCCCACATCTACTCTGTTAATTGTAATCGTGCTTGTCACTCGATTGCGCCTCAGATTTACACGCGTTGTCTTGAAAAAACATCGCAAACTATCGGTTACTTATCGCGGCGAACTTTTTTTCTACTCGAGAACCCGTTATTCGTCGCAATGTCAGCAGAAGATCAGGTTTCCCAGCAGGGCGTCGAGGTCGAAGAGAATGCTTTCCAGAAGCCTGGGGATATCGTCGAAAGAGATGACGAAACTGGTGTGATGCAACTGGAGAGTCTTTGCATGAATTGCCATGACAATGTAAGTCTTTATGATTGCTCTTGCTCCTGCGATTTATAAGCACATGGACTCTTGGAAATAGGTACTGATAATTCATAGGGAACTACTAGGCTTCTGCTCCTCCGTGTTCCATTCTTCCGTGACATCATCCTCGAGTCTTTTGAGTGCCCGCACTGCCATTTCCGAGACAACTCCGTCAAGTCCGCTGGCCAGATCCAAGAGAAGGGATCGAAATATACCCTCGATGTGGAGACTGAGGCCGATCTTCAACGGCAGGTCATTAGAAGCGATGTCTCGATCTTCAAGCTGGAATCTCTGGGAATCGAGATGCCGAAGGGCGAAGGCCAGCTCACTAACGTGGAGGGCGTTGTTCAAAAAATCCACGAAACGCTCAAGAGCGAGCAGCCGCTCCGGAAAGAACAGGCACCTGAGCTCCACGATGCGCTCGAGCCGATCATCGAAAAACTCGAAAAGATTCTGAATAGAGAGGGGTTTCCCTTCACTATCTCTCTGGACGATCCCACCGGTAACTCCTGGATCGCCCCCTCGCCCAACGACAAGGCACACCAGTACAGACGCCGCGACTACCCCCGTACTCACGAGCAAAACGAGGAGCTTGGAATTTCCACGGATCCGGAGGCGGTTCAAAACGAGGGCATCGCTCTCACCCAGTCGGCGGGCGACCCTGAAGACCTCGACATCATTGACGGGAAGGTCTATACTCTTCCTGCCGAATGCCCAGGATGCACAAAGCCCTGTGTGGTCAACATGCAAAAGGTTAACATTCCTTACTTCAAGGAGGTCTTTATCTGGAGTACTGTTTGCGATCACTGTGGATACCGCAGCAACGAAGTGAAGACCGGTGGCGAGATCCCTGACAAGGGAAAACGCATTACCCTCAAGGTGGATACGATCGAGGACTTGTCTCGCGATATTCTAAAGTCCGACACCTGTGGCATGTTCAGTCCGGAACTCGAGATGTCTGTGGAACCCGGCACCCTTGGCGGTCGCTTCACTACCGTCGAAGGCCTTCTCACAGAGGTGCGCGACCAACTGCGTGGCCAAATCTTCGATCTCGACGACACCAGCTTCGCTGGCGGAGACAGTATGGCGGGCTCCGAAAAGGAGACGTGGGATCGTTTCTTCAAGCGTCTCGACGCCGCCATCAGTGGCGAGCTCAAGTTTGTCATCACTCTCGAGGACCCTCTGGCCAACAGTTATGTCCAGAATCTTTGCGCCCCGGATCCCGATCCCAAGATTACCTCCGAGGAGTATATCCGCTCGGAAGAGGAAGAAGATGAGCTGGGCTTGAGAGACATGAAGGTCGAGGGATACGAGGAAGATGAAGAGAACAAAGAAAAGGAGGATGCCACTGACGAACAGCAGTCATAATTGATACCCCGTGGAGAATTTTCCTTATTGGCATTGGTGGATACCAACTTCATTTACCGTTTGACGACCCGTATGAATGTCTTCTCTTGTTTATTATCTTTTTCTTTTCGTTCTCTTGTATCATGGCGCTCCATGCAAAGATTCGACAGCCGGTCATGTTGATGAAAGGGGTTAGGTGTGTTGCTCTGAATCATGAGCAGAAGAGCTCGATGTGTTCATGAAAATAAAAGTTTATAGATATGAATATGCTTTGCTAGATGAATACTTTGAATTCTTGATTCTAGACTCTTAATAATTTAAGCACAGGTAGGTCTCTTTCTAGATAGCCATGAGACCCTTTCCATTTGGAATGTCCCCAAGGTGCTCTGATAGTCTTGCAAAACACCAGGTCATGCCATCAATTGAACAGCCTAAATAGCTAGTGGAACAGCCACGCTCCAATCGAACCAGCATTTCAGCTGTTTCCAGTTGCGCCGTCGAACGACAGTTCGGCCTCCTAAACGGCTACCAAGCTGCGCCATTCACCAATTTGTCTTTCATGCAAAGCCGGGCAGAGTCTATGTTCCCCATTAGGAGAATCAAATCATTAGACGCAAGAGCAGCTGTTACCGGCTAAGCTTCTTATTAGATATGGATTCTCGTGTCATCGTATATGAATATGAACCGTTCACTTGGCGAAAGGATTGGCGTGGATCGTCACGTTGTTGATGCGCACAGCTTCAAAATGCTCGCCTTCTTCTCCTGCCTTAGGCTGTGTCACTCTTCCCTTCTTGTCAACTTTAATTTTCGCATTCTCAAGCTTTGTCAAGACATCCCCGCCCTCGTCTTGCGGGCTCAGGTTCAACACCTTGCCGAACACAGTGCTTGCCCCGTCCAAATGCGGTGCTGCAGCAAATGTGATGAAGAACTGACTGCCGTTCACGGACGGGCCTCGGGAGTCTTGTGACCCCGGGGCATTGCGGTCTTTGACCGGTCGAGCAGCCATGGAGAGAATCCCCCGTGAATTATGCCGCAGGGTAGGGAGGTGGATTTCTTGGTTCAACGCTAACGGATAGAAGATCGAAGTACCGCCTTTGGGAATGTCAAAGGGTAATTTTGGCTTCGCAGATTCCTGCGCCGCAGCTCCGAGGGATATATCACCGCCTTGAATCATAAAGTTGGGCATGAAGCGGTGGAAGGGAGTGTTGTCGTACGCGCCGCATGCGCAGAGGGCGAGGAAGTTCTATTGCGACAGTCAGTTAGCTATATCCATCATGTTGTATATTTATATTTGAAAATCTAAAAGAGGTGGGAATTTATATCTCATTATTGAATCAACTAGGCTTACCTCTGCTGTTTCTGGTACGGACTCACAGAACAATTCCACCTTGAGGTCCCCATGGGTTGTATGAAGCTAAAGATCACCACAGTCAGTAAACAGGAACCATCCCCTGTGTAGGAAGGCCGTGTCAGGACCAGACCAAGCCAAAGTTTATACTCACAGTTACAGACATGGTTTCTAAAGAAGAAAAATAGCTTCTGGCAAGCGAGAGCAGTGAAGATAGCAGAGGTCGTCGGCGGTGGAAGATCTAGAATCAAAGCCCGCCTTAGTCATCAATGGGATTGGAGAGCAAGAGTCGGACCAGAGTCAATTGCGCATTGCGCAAACAAGGGCTTCCCTTATTTTTCTGAAATCAAGGTCTGTCTCAATCCTGCTCTACCAGATCTTCGATGGTGGTCTAGTACTAAGTTTTGTGTATATGCGCAGACCCGAACAAGCTCAAACACTCGGCGGTCCTCCCTTTCCAACAAGCACTCCTTCGGAACGAGAATGTCTCTTTAGACGTACGGATTGTGACCACGAGACGAATTCCCTATCAAGATGAATAATAGGCCAGTTGAACAAGCTCTTTCTCGTCTGCTTCCGACACATGCAGGCGATTTGCCGCCAGAACTTGTCAGCCTGGCGCTGTCATTAGTCGGGCAATCTCGCAGCTTCTCCGCCAGCTTGAAGCCCGAGGAAGAGATTGCTAGGCCATATGCCTGCGCTGAAATTGCCTGTAAACGGCAAGTGGTTTCTTTGTTATTTGGTTCAGTTGGTCCAGTGTCACTAATTAGAATGCAGGCTAAGTCGCGCTCTCAAGCTCCCTCCGCTTCTCGGCCATCCTCCATGTCCTCCGCGCGTTTATCAAAAGCTATACCAATACCTTGACCGATCGCTCGGCTCTGGAGCGGGCTCTAAACGGAATGGCGGTGCTTCGGCTCCAGGGACTCCCACAAAGACAGGTTCTGCGCCGTCTACTCCTACAAAGGGATCGAAGAGCACCACGCGAACTCCCTCGAGAGCAGCAAATGCAACCCCTCGGGGGCTTCAGCACACCCCGTCGAAGTCGACACCACTAAAGCGGTCCGCCAATGATACACCAAAATCAAGAACTGCAGCCTTGCAAAAGAGATACGAAAGATCTATATCTCAGACGAATGGCCTTCCCAAGTTTGCCAACATCCCCGACGCCCCCGTATGGGTGATGACAGCCATCCGGGTCGTGTGCAAAACACTCTCTACCCCTGCTCCTCGGATGAGCACATTCTCACGCCCGCCGATCTCTAGAACCTTTCCACCACATATTTTCACAGGGATATCCTCGATTCTATACTTTATTTCAGAGCGTTCGTCAAAAGATGATGGGAGCGATTTCGACGAAGAAATGTCCGAATTCTTAGAGCCCATCACTTCTTCAAATTACAGCAAAGACAAAGAACCCGACGAAGAACTCAAGGAACTGGTTTACGCACTCGTTGTGGCTGTTTATTTCATCGTTCTATCTCGACGGCGGAATCCGCGGAACCCCGACACGGAATCCGCTGAGTCCGAGCCTGCTTCCGCAACAGCAGACCAAACTGGCGAAGCACAGATTATGGACAAAAAGACATTCTCGGAAATGCGTCTCACGGCGCTGAATAGTCTCGGTCTTCCATCTACCGAACGGAAACACCGCGAGGACGTTGACCAATGGATCACAACTATCATGGAGACGAACTGGGCTCACGGCCAGGAATGGTTCGAGAATATCCCTGCAGCTGGAGAAATTGACGGAGAAGACCCGAACATGTATGATGAAGAGCGATTTTACGACGAGGACGAAGACGAACAAGCAGCCGGCAAGGAAACTTTAGCGAATAAGCGGCGCAAACCAACTCTGCGGCTGACGGGGCGCCCGCGAGGAGGTCTGCTACCGGGTCTGGGCACCATGATGCAGGATCGTGTAGACTGGCTGTCAGATGAGCGACGGGAGGATTATGCAGAGTGGAAGGCCGATCTGATGAGACAGATTGAGATGGAACAGCTATGAATAAATACCGCCTCAAGAAAGAGAGATATAATCAAAGATTTGCCTCAACAATAGCATTAAATGTATTCCCTGAAGATGTATGTCTATCTATATATGTCAACGCTGGACAGGCCTCGAAAAGGCCTACCAGTATGATTGAAAGACTTTTAGAGCAGAAAGAAAACTATTCTATTGCATGTTTTGAAAAAAAAGAGAGAGAGAAAACCACCGTTAATACCAAATGCTTCTAGTTCTGTGGTGAGGAACACTTTCTTGCTTTTCCAGTTCCAGCTTCTTCATCGTGTCGTAGAGAAAGAAATCAATCAGGATCGCATTGACGCCAAACAAAGGAGCCTGTTTTGTCGCGCTGTCTCGAGAATTTTGCCTTGAGTGCTGCTGGCTTTGATCTCCTTTCTGTTGAATGCTCTCATCTAACCCATTGGTGATATTGGTCTCTGCACGGTTGGGGATGGAGGTGGATATCCGCCTCGCTTTCACCTCTGGGTGTCGGCGTTCGATTTCCCGTCGGATCAGCTCGACGCACCAGATACTGGTGCCACGCATCTCAGCCTCCCAGGTGGAACCGCTGGGGATAGTTTTAAGGGATCGGATGTGGCTATCGAGTGGTGGAGAGTACATGAGACACCCCAGCTGATGGAGCATTTGTGGGATGCGGTAGTCTGTGTGTCCAACGATTTAGCAAAAGTTCGTCCACCGTGTGGCTATGAAGAAGCGGCGAGTCCTTACCAGCAAACATGGTCACCTTGTCGATATCGTGGAATTCCCCAAAACTCTGTCCGTTGAAACAAGCCCAAAGATCCGCTACAAGGATCTGAGCGCGCTTGTAAAATCGCACTTTACGTCCGTGGAAAATGGACTCATCGCGAAAGCACGCAAATTCCTCTGCTAAAAGGTTGACCAGCACTCCGGCGGAATTGTTGGCTTCGTAGATGCAGTTGACGAAGCTTCCATCGTAAACATCGCAAAGCACCTGGCCCGCTTCACGAAGGCACTGCATGCGTTCCCGTAATAATGGCATCTCCTCCTCCGTCGCAGATCGAAAAACATGCTTCAAAACTGACTCGGAGCATTGCTCCTCATCCAGCCAGAAGGAAGGGGTAGTGATGGGGATATCCTCCTCCAGGGCTCTCTGTAACGCGGCCACCAAGCTCCAGTAACCGCTGTATGTCTTTCCATGGTACTCAATCACGAAACGCTTGGATTCGTCTGGCTCGTCAGACCAGAAGCTGAAGTTCAACAGGTCCATGGTGAAGATGAAGTTCACCGTGCTCTCATCCTTGCTCTGGGGGTGCAGCTCGTGATCCGACCATGTCTGTGTCGAATATTCCTTCTCTTGCATCAGACGCCATATCGTCTCTGCCGCCTGTTTGGTCTTTGATGGGTCTAGCGCAACATCAATGGAGTTGTCAAAGATGTATTGTGCGTTCTCCAGCACTTTGGTCTCCGCTGGTCTCCCCGTCGCCGGTTCACTGTCTAGTCCTAGGGACTTTCTTAGAAGAGCGATCAATTCAGGATCTGCTTCATCATCTGACATCTTGAATTCGTTTTTAATCCTGTTATCTAGAATCCACTAGGTTTTCTGGTTCCCCAGTGATGCGAAATCTATTTTTCTGTGGGTTGATAGAGGAAAAGGATGACTTGGTATCAACCTCAGGCACACGTCACAAAGGTCAAAGAACCCCTTTGCGAACCACTCACTTCAATTAAAAATCTCTCTCATCAAGTAATAGATTAAAAGGCCATACTAGATCATAAATTAGCCCAATTGACATCAACACAGGTGTGAATATACTAATTTCCTCTTTTTTGATATCTCTCCCGGTGGCTGCACAGAAATAATTTACGGATTATATAAGCAGAAGGCAAACCAGTCGCTTGCAGGGAGAAAGGAAAGGACTCAAGGAGAGACGCATGGGATAATTATTACAGTCTTAAATGAAGAGAAGGGAGGGAATACCAGACCCAGTACAATTTTCTCATGAGACAGGATCTTAATCATGGTCGAGCAGAGAACGCTATCTCCTCCTTCATATCCCTACATCTAACTATAGGAAGACCGACAGCATCAACACGGATTCCTTTGACTCTCGTCATAACGATGCCTTTCCTATCTCTGGATCTAGACAAGTCGATCAGTAAAGGGATTTTGGCAGCAGGTCAGTTACTGCTCCATATGCGAAGTATACCCAGTGCCGCAGCGGCTTCTCGGCAAACGGCTGGTGACAGATTAGAGGTATCACAACATAATTGGCCTCAGCGGAGAGCTGATTAAAGATAAATAGATAGTTATCATTCACTACCACTGTTGGTTTATCAAGAATTGGCATAAGATACTGAATCAAGGCAGACTGTAGAGAAGAGAGTATATAGTCTTAGCTTGGTTATCTGTCAAGGGAGAAGTGATGTCAGCAATCATCTTTATGGCCTGTAGTAAATGTAATAGGTCTTATTGATTGTTAGACATTACTATACAGTATATGGGGGGGGTTTTTTTCTCAGGATGCTGGACAAACAAGAAGTGCCAGGGTTCAAAACAAGGCTGTGGTGGAGGTTGCGTGGTGGGCTGGATGGAGCCCGCCCTGTCGCTGGAGGAGGTCTTCAACGCCTGCACCTGGTTCGCATCTTAACCTCACTTTCTCCTGTACTATCTTGGTGCCTTCTAATTGCACTCTTGACCCTTCTATCTGTAGCTTGTGCCTGGCAATTCTACAAGCTTCAGGTGCCTCCAGCAATCTGCTCGCTGCTATTCTAGAATATGATCTTCTTGCAAGCCTGATAAAGCTCCGATCGCTTACTCCGTACAGCTTCCAGTCGCAACCATGACGCGAGAGAGCTACCTAAAGCGATCGCTGGGTACCACCCTCTCCAGGCGAATCAAAGAGGTATTTGATTATATTTCTCTCAGTCCATTTTTTCGCAATTCAATATCCCCTTATTTCCGTTGCTGACCCTTCTTATCTGACTTCTAGTCGCGCGTGCTTCTCGTCGGCGCAGGCGGCATCGGCTGCGAGCTGCTCAAGAACCTTTTGCTCACTGGGTTCGGTGAAATCCACATCATTGATCTAGATACAATCGATTTGAGCAATTTGAATCGTCAATTTCTCTTCCGTCACGAACACATCAAGAAATCGAAAGCTCTGGTGCGTTGATCTGTTCGCCGTCTCCCCTCCCGAACCCCCGTCGTTCCCCCTCCTCCAAGAACCTGCACGAGGGCCCAGATGACCTGACAACGTACAATTCACCGGATACAGGTAGCCAAAGAGGTTGCGCAAAAATTCCAGCCATCTACAAAGCTCGAGGCCTATCATGCCAACATTAAAGATGCCCAGTTCAACGTCGACTGGTTCGCTACTTTTGACATCGTGTTCAATGCGCTGGACAACTTGGACGCGAGGCGGCACGTCAACCGCATGTGTTTGGCTGCAGGAGTGCCCTTAATCGAGAGCGGAACGACAGGATTTAACGGCCAAGTTCAAGTCATCAAAAAGGTGAGGATTTGTCTACCCAGAACGGTGTTGCTTTCAGAAGGGGCTTCGCTGATGCTCTGTAGGGTGACACTGAGTGCTACGACTGTAACTCCAAGGAGGTCCCCACGACATTCCCTGTTTGTACAATTCGCAGCACTCCTAGCCAGCCCATCCATTGCATCGTCTGGGCGAAGAGCTACCTCCTTCCGTGAGTACATATGGCTCTCATTCAAGTTTTGAAGTCAAGCAGCAGGACGCACTCTAATTCTTTCTAGAGAGCTTTTCGGCACTAGCGAAGATGAAACCCAAGACTTCGATCACTCTGAAGACGCTGAAAATGGTAGGGCTAATTGAGACAGCTAGTCTTTCTCCCATGCTAACATCTTTGCAGCGGCAGAGATTGAGAATCTCCGAAAGGAAGCACAGGCACTGAAAGACATCAGGGGGTCGATGGGATCTGAAGACTTCGCAGAAAAGGTGTTCAACAAGGTTTTCATGACAGATATCGAGCGCTTACGAGGAATGGAAGATATGTGGAAGTCGCGACAGCCTCCAGAGCCGCTTGATTTTGCAACCCTCCAAGAACAATCTGGTTCGGTCGATAATACCATTTCCCTCAACGACCAAAAAGTGTGGAACGTCACCGAGGATTTTGTGGTCTTTAAGGACAGGTACGTCCACTTGTCCCGATAGAGCTACAATTCTAACTGATCTGAAACAGCTTGAATCGACTGAGCCGAAGACTGAAGGACTTGAAAGAAAAGACATCGGAAAAAGACGTCAGCCCTATTCTCGTCTTCGATAAGGACGACGTCGATACCTTGGACTTTGTCGCCGCAAGCGCCAACTTACGTTCAGCCATCTTCAAGATCGAGCCCAAGTCAAAATTTGATATCAAACGTGTGTTTTATACTACCGCTTCCTCCATATGAAATAGTTCGGTTTTCTAATTTGATTTACGTTGACAGAAATGGCTGGTAACATTATTCCAGCGATTGCTACCACCAATGCTATGACTGCAGGACTTTGCGTTCTCCAGGCATTGAAGGTCCTGAAAGATGACCTCGCAAATGCAAAAATGGTATTTTTTTCGGATTTATTAGCAGAGGAAGGGCATTATTCTGATTTAGCAGGTCTTCCTCGAACGATCAGGTGTTCGTGCTATCAACTCCGATTCATTGAAGGCACCCAACCCGAATTGCCCGGTGTGCTCTGTCGCCCAAGGCCGGGTTTTCATTGACCCAACCCGTGCAACGCTCAATGACCTAGTCCGAGATGTACTTCGCTTGCAGCTTGGATACGGTGAGGAGTTCTCTCTGAGCAATGAAATCGGCACAATCTACGACCCCGATTTAGAAGACAATCTTCCAAAAACGCTTTCAGAGCTTGGCGTGAAAGACGAGAGCTTCATCACTGTTGTAGATGAGGAGGATGAGAACCCACGCGTGAATCTCGAACTTGTCATTCGCGTGTCACAAAAACTGTAAGCCCGATACTGGTAGATTGACGGTGTATTATATTAACACGTTTCCTAGTGATGAGCCCGCGGCAACAGAGGAGAAAAAGCCCGTGACTTTGGAGAGAGTCATGGATATCCCTCGGAAACCCAAGGCCGCAACTCCCCCCCCAACCGAACAAGTGAACGGCACGACTGCACATGAACCGGTGACCGGTAAACGCAAGCGCGAAGCGGAAGGCGAGCTTTCCAACGGCTATGAGCGTGTCAAGCGCGTTGCCAGCGTTGCGGTGGGTAGCGGGGACGGGGCAGATCCAATCGTGCTGGATGAAGCCGACGGCGGAGCGATTCTGATCGATGATTAAACGGAGGCACTCTGGCCAAGCACATTGATGAGTTGTTTCCACTTCCAGCACCTTTCAAGGATTGCTTTGCCTGTCTTCTCCCCTTTCTATTTTCTTGCTCTTTTCATGTACCATATCCCAACGACATTGGTGGTGGAGTTTTTGCTTTTTGCTTTTGATTGGAGACGCATTGAATCGTCGTGTTGATGTATCATGGAAGGCTTTCTTTTTATCTTCTCGAGTTCCATTCAATGACGAAATTAGATCTGCGATGAGCGGCTTCAATAACATGTATGAGAACCAAAGTGGCTTTCTTAGATTCGAGGAAGGTTAGATGGTCGCTTGTTTCCAATCACAAAGCACTCAGTCCACCGTCAATGTTGAGCACACAGTTGTTGGCATATTCGTTCTGTGCCAGGAAGACTGCTGCGTCAGCGATTTCTTGAGGGTCACCAAATCGGTGCAGCGGGATATTCTCCTTCAATCTAGAAATTTCGCTCTCAGTAAAATCTAAAATTTTGTTAAGTTTCGCATTCCGTTTGGTCGCAATATGGGTAGAGTAGTTTCTTCCTCACGCACCTGCAATCATGGGGGTTTCAATGTACCCCGGCACAATAGCGTTGGAACGAATCACCACGTCGCGAAGAGAAGCTGCCGCTTCCACCGTGAGCGATCTGGTCAAGCCTAAAATTCCCGCCTTGGATGCGGCGTATGAGACGGCACCGGTTCCACCTTTGAGCGCTAGTAGAGACGAGACATTGATAATGCATTTGGACAGGGGTGACTTGGTTAAAGAATTGGTAGCTTTCCTGCTCTTGATACGACTGCGGATCGCGGCGCGAACTAAGGCTCTCGACATGAGGATCGATCCCTCGAGGTTGGTCCGCAGGATCTGAGAGATGTCGCTCGGCTCGGTCTTGGGAAGAATCGCCGAGATCGAAATGCCCGCTGCATTGACTAGGATATCGACGGATTCCTAGATTCAGTAGCATCAGCTATATTCCTAAGGCTGATACCAAGAAGAAAAAAAAGAAGCTTACCATTTGCTTTTCCAGTTCCCGCATCCAGGATCCAGCCTCGGCAACGTCCCCAACAATCAAAGTAATACGCTCAGAGACGTTTGCTGAAAAGCTGTCTGCTGCCTTTGCATCTGAACCCAGACATGCCCCTTTGGCATCCGCTTGCTCCATGCCCCCCTCTGGAGCTTTTGTTGAAACAGCAGCGGACTGGGGATCGTAATCAGATACAGCTTGTAATCTCGCGGCTGCATCGCAGAGCCGTTGGTGAGATCTCCCGACGAGGATGACTCGCCCAGCTCCTTCTTGCAGGAATCTCTCGGCAATAGCAAATCCAATACCTGATGTCCCGCCTGTGATCATGCATGTACGGTGGGATAGCCGATTTGCAGGCGTGAATGAGAAGGCTGACCTATTATCCCTGTCATGTCTTGATACTGAGAATGGTCTGCTTATTGTCCTGCCTTTGGAATGACCATTTTGCACATTCTGCCTTAGAGGCTGGAGCAGGGCTTTTGAAACGTGGGGCCTGAGAGGTCGATAGTAGGCCATAGATGTATCAATGTATGTTATTTCTTCGCCAGTATCATCCAACACATAGATATCATTCCAACAGAAACTTGATGTACCCGGCCGGTGATAACAGCTTGAGCACAGACCACGTGTGGAGAAAAGACTCGAGAGAACCACAAGCAGAACGAACGCGCCAATGGCTTCCCCTTCTACTTCCATCTGCGAGAGATCAACGGCGTTATCTTGGCAGAACTCAAGATCGCATTTTGCTTGAAGTCATCGCGTCGAAACGCGTGACATCACTAGAGCCATGTCCTCACCCGAATATGTCACTCTAGTATCAGGGGACGGGTTCGAATTCATCATTCCGCGAAGCACAGCTTGCGTCTCTGGGACGATCCGTCGCATGCTAGACCAGTCGAGTACGTGATTATTATATCTGAATATCTAAATCTCCTGATCATAACTAATTGCTTGTCTTCTCTATCACAGGTAACTTTTCGGAAGCGATTACGGGACGTTGTGTGCTAGAGAACATCAGGCAGGTCATTAAGACAATGTCTTGGACATCAGTCCGCTAACTTTTATGGTGAAATTCAGTGGGGTCGTCCTCGAAAAGGTCTGCGAATATTTCTGCTACAATGAGAAGAACAAAGAACAAGCCAACGTGCCGGACATGGATATCTCACCGGAACTCTGCCTAGAACTCCTGATGGCGGCGGATTACCTGGATACGTAAAAGTGCAGACGCCTATCTGAGCCTATGATGCAATATTGCAACACTACAATAAACGATATGCACGGTCACACGATATCTTGATGAGGCGTCATGAAAAACTTGGGTTCACGATTTGTTCTATATGTCTAGAGTCAGGCGTTGGGGTGAGATAATGTACCTATTCAACTGCATATATTTGCATTATGTTTCCTCGCATGAGATATCGCATTGATATCATTCCACCTTCCTGGTGTGGATGATGAGAAGATGATTCGAATTCGTCTCACTTCTGCAACTCGCACATTGGCCGCGGCAAGCGCGGGTGACCATCTGAGCATCTAACATCCGACCTGGTTCCTCGATGGACGGACGTTTCTAAAGATGATGGTAGATTGATCGGAGATATCCCTTTTATTTCAGTCCTCATCCACAGATCCATCATGGATATCAGGGCCTTTGTTTTCAGGGGAAACATGCGGTTGTTCATCAACATTTGGTTTTTCACAGTAGCGTTTTCATCTTCCCTTCCGTAGGCGATCATCGAGCTTTTGGTTTCGATCTTGAATACCCGCCTGTTTTGGGCCCGCTAAGCCCAGCCTTAGACTTGTACATCTTCTCCTTTCCGAACGCGGCGTCACCTATCCGAAGGTAACTGACTACGCCTTGGTCGACGACGGCGAGGATCACATTCCGGTAGCCATGGCGCAGTCGCATATAGAGCATTCGTTCCATCTTCTCGCCGCGCGGCGGATCCAAAGGTGTACTTTCGAGTAAGGCGCCCAATTGCAAAAGAGTGGGGAGAGTCGTCTGGGCTCGGGCATCGATCACTGCTATGCGAAAGTCCGGTTCTGGAGGTGCGGTTTTGCGAAAGGGCGTCGAGGGTTTGTAAACATGGAAGACAACACGAAACGGGGGCTTGGTGGGCTCCGCCGGAGCCTTGCGGGCGGCCGGATCATACCAAGGAATCAGGTCGAGTCTCCGATAAATATCAACTGGGATGGTGATTAATGATGGCCTTTGTAAACAGGGGGAAGAACGAGTTCTCAGACTCACGATAGCTGCGGTGTATTCCCAGCCCAATAAGCGGTCCCGTTGCGGGATTGATGCTCTTTGAGTGGGAATCAGTAATCCACTGGAATAGCCAGCCAAACAGACCCGACGGCCCCGAATTTGACGATTCATTCACCACGTCTTTTTGAAGGTCTTCTCCTTCTTTCTCTGGCTCGGGTGCCTCGTCCCACCCAGGAGCCCGAAGAAGCGTATACCCCAACCGTTTCAACCCAGTGAAGACCGAGAATCGCTCCATCGTCAACCCACCGCGTCCCATCAGACACGAATATGCCGCCTGCAAGCTCATAGGCACCCCCAGTTCGCCCTGGTTATTGTCATCTGCGCAGCTGGTCGACGAAAGCGGCCACCAGATCTCTAGGTTCCCCCGTTCAAGCAGGTACAGGGCTTCTTCAGGGAGCAGCCACACTCTATTCCAGCGATCTGCCTGACCCATTGTCCGAAAATATTGGCCTTTGGGGTTCAGAGCGTAGACGCACGCATGGGGGGAAACACCGATGTTGGTTGCTGCTGCTGCTGCTGCATCTAGAGTCTTGTGTGTGTCGTCGCTTTTTGAAGAATCCTTCGAGGCCAGAACAGAAGCAGGCGGTGCAGGACCATCTGGCGCATAGACTGCGATGATCTTGTTCTTAGGATTATGGAGGCGCGGGTATGCGAGCGCGTTATGCATCGCCTGTCGTGAAGCAGTCAACCCATCGGCCTGGTAGAGCGTTGGGTTTGGTTCGAAGTCTTTTTCGCCGCGTCGGGGGAGCGTAGCTTGAGTATTATCCGAGAGGCTACATTGCTAATTAGATAAAAGAGCCCCCCAATAGCATGATTGAATTTTGATGTGCAAGCTCTGCTCACAGTGATAGGAAGCGAAAGTCCTGCGTCTCGTCAGACAGGTCGACCTCGATCTGTCCAGACGAGTCCTGGGAATCAGGCAAGTGAATCGCTTCTTCGTCGACGTCGGCCATTTAGGCTGGATTCAGAACCGTCTGGAGCGTCAATGGAGGAAATGGCGGTGGTCAGTGGGCGTGAGGTTGAAATCGTAGCTAAAAATGACGGTCAGAGCCCAGAAACTTATCGGCGGCATCGCGTTATCTCCGGCGGGGAGTTTTCAGGTGGACAGACACTCTCGTGTTCATTTCTTATATCCTCTGGAAGCATAACATCCTGGTGATGGCTTAATAAGTCTGTTTTTTTTTTTTGTTTTTTTCTTTGTTAATCAATATATCCTTCATGGCGTCCGATGGGTCGGAATTCTCTGTCGATTACAATGAAGTGCTTCTCCAGGTGTGTTGACTCGGCGATTCAATCAGTCAATTCTAACGACCTACAGATAAATTCCAGTCTGACAAATGCCTTGAACACGTTTGGCCCGTCTTCTAGACAGTATCAGACTATCCTAGACATTCTGAAAGGCTATATGCGCAATATCGACGGAGAGAAGGCCAGCAGAGATCGCCATTTAAACCCTGATGTTTTAAGCGTGGCCATGGGGTTCTTGGAGATTGGAAAATGATACACATACAGTCAATAGCATCTACTAGATGGACAGTGGGTTGAGCCTTATATATTATTTTAGATCCAAGGACCTAGCTGTGATAAGTTTATTCCAGCTTCGGTTCCAAACACATACTATAATATCTCGAGATGCCCACGAGTATCGAGCCCCCGTCACCCAATATACTGGCCAGAAAACTTAAACAGTATGCACGATGGCAGAAAAGATTCAGGAAAATGAATTCATCGTAGACCGATGGATTCGACAAGCCAAGTCCAAGAAGAAAGCAGCTAGAAACACCCCGCTCACGCCCACTAAAGAAAGACAAAAGAAGGCGAATAAAAGCAAAAAAGATGCTAATGGGAAAGATCAGACAAAAACACCAGAGCCTATGCAATCATTAAGCGTAATAAATCCCTTTTAGTATGATGGGAGCTCTCAATAGTGTCTAGAATGCAAGCCGGTAGGTAGAAAGAGACTATCCGAGAGTCAGTTAGTGATGGCTTGTTTATGAACTCTACAGCGCAGATTGGGATCATTTTTACCTATTTTAGAAACTTCACCACCAATCTGCGCAGCATTCCTTCGTTAGCTGGCCTCGTCTGTAGCGCATGCTTATCGCAAAAGTCGGACAACATCGGTGAGATGCCCCTCCTAAATAGGCTCCATTCAGTTGATCAGCGGCTTCTTTTGGTGACCAACAATTGCCACCCCCAGATGACGCAGGGCGTGTCGATCGCCGGCACGCACTATCGAGGGAAGCGGTAGCATAGGATTGTCCGGATTGATATGGACAGCATCGCGAGCGGACTGCTCGATGGCTTCCATCTCCTCTTTACAGTCGGTATGGTCAAACGGGCAAACGACTATCGGTTGGCGGATTTGAATATCTCGTGCGGACGTTAAATGGGCCTAGATTGAATCAGGTCAGTATCCAGACTCCAAAACAAAAGAAAAAAAAAGGAGGATTCCCATTTCCTTCACTTCACAACGAACCTTGACTGTCAGATAGTACTCGATCTTGTAGAGGCTGGCTGTCGTGGTGAAACCGCTCACTGCATACGTGGGAAAAGCAGGCTTGCCCCGAGGAAGGATACCCTCGGCGTCCCGTAGGTCCTTGGCCGGGAAAACGAGGCCCATCTCGGTCATGTAGCCTGCATCTGGCAGTTTCACACCTACAGCCTCTGTGCGTTTGATTAACGTTTTGATTTTGCGCTGAGGCTCGTCTCCCTCGTGATTATACACGACCTCCTCATCAATGCCGATGGTGATTTTGTTGATTGTAACCTTGCGGGCCTTGTTCATCCAGTCCGGGTTCGGGGCCAGCTTGACCCAGACGCTTACTGGGTCGAGCGGACCATACGACCATCGCGGCAGAGAGATGCCCAAGGTCACCAGATGGTCCGATACTCTCTCCGCCGTCTCTGGACGACTGTACATCCCAAACGTCGACAGGGTGTCGTAGCGTGAGATGGGGACGGGGAAGTGGTATTTGTTTTGCTCCGACTGGCCTTGCTGCACGGTAACCACCATCTCGTAGTACGTCTCCGCCGTGCGACTGGGCAGCTGAAGGCTAGCAGGAGGCACTCTCCTCGACGCGTCGGTCCCGCTCCGTCCAAAGGGGATGAAGAGCACAAAGGGCAAATCCATCAATATCACCTCCTCGTACTCGCGGCCCGCCGGGCAGCGGAACAGCAGCATCTCCTTCCCCACAATATCATTGATTTCCTTCCGAGGCGGCGCCAGACGCTTCTTGGCCATGGAGTCTGCCGACGGGTGGATCGTTTCGCGACGGTGCAGCGCGATCGTAACCAGCGAGACGTTGACGGGCGCCGTAATGCCAACGCTCGGGCGGATTTCCACCTTGCCTTCAATCCGTGGCTGGAAACGCAAGTCAAACCAAATGTCAGCCAGAGGAGACCCCTTGTACAACAGAATTCCTTAATTCCCACACAGGCAGGCCTGCTCACCATGGTCGCAGAAATACCCGGATACCCGATCAGAAAGTGACCGTTCGGCGGGCCCGACACTCGCACGAAGGCGGCCATACTCAGCGTGCTGGTTGCGCACCACCATGGGCACGCTGCTGCGGGAACGGAGACGCTGCTCTCGCGTGGTGTATCTCGAGTTTCTCTCCGCAGCGCGCAAGGTCCATGTATGTGCGACGAGGGTTGGTTGGGGAGGGGAGGGGGGGGAGGGCGCCCGATGACGCAGATCGGTCGGTAAAACTAGCTGGTGGTTGGCGGTTAAACGGTTGGCGGTTTGAGGGAGGAGGAGGGGGAAAGGCACCTTGGAAGAGCTAGTCCTCAGCCTTCCAAATGGGAGACGGGGTTCAATTCGAAACGCAAACGAGAGAGCGGTTTCAAGGCAGCAGAGAGAGAAAGAGAAGCAGAGAGAGCGCTCGTGCGATCCCCGTCAGATCCAAAGTGGTCTGCACCTAGGACAGCCCAGCATCCACTCCCAGGGCTTGGGATTGGGGAAAGGGTTGTTTATTGGCGCCAATGTGGGGGAGGAAATCGGAGGTATTTAGCGCCTAGACTCTATCCTACCTTATTCTATCTATTTATTTGTTTGATTCAACTCCTTCAGAGCTATCTCGCTTGCATACAAAGGGCAGAGAACAAGAGACTTCTTCAAACTCGTCAGCTTTTTTTGCGTTGCTGGCAGGATCCGTCAATTCTCCGTAATACGACCCGTTTGAGGCTGAGAGCCTGTCTAGCCCCCAAGGAGCATTTTCCCGTGAGGCTCAGCCATATCCTAGAGATAAATAGATTGATCGCTGGTCCAATGAGTCTAGCGGTCATATTTTAGAGCGGCATTAGTCTTCTCGCTTGACATTCTCGCCTTTGGCGCCGTAAAACAACCTGGCTGGCTTGTATAGATAACGTTAGGTACTCTGTCACTAGGTATTATCTGTTCATTATGCCATGCAGGTTTGACTCACTCAGTCTCGTTATAAAACTTAATACATGAGCGAGGGCGTAGAGAAGGGCACCCTCGTTGATTGTCTGGATGGTAAATACTTCAGAAAGCAAGGGTTTGCAGCCACATTGAGATAAAATGTCTCGTGCCCCTGGAAGGATGAAAGAGTTCATAGGGCATTTTCCCCGACTACAATCTCAACTAGTTGTCAGATAACGACATGGTTAATTAAAGTCACGTGGTCTAATGGTTATGATTTCTCGTTCACAAGCTGAACACAACTTCCGAGAAGGTTCCCGGTTCGATCCCGGGCGTGACTAAATTTTTTGGATTTTTGTTTTTTTTGATCTGCTCTAAAATTATATTCATGACAAGATTTATTATGGAACTGACTTGCAGAACGTCATTTTTTAGAGAACATAGATCGCAGCAGCCGCAACGGCAGCAACACCAGCCAAAGCCTTGTCCATAGATGCAGCGCCGTTGGACAAGACAGTAGTAGAACTATGGGATGGGCTCGTGGAGTGCGTGGTGGTGGACTCACTCGTGGAGGATGTAGGAGCAGAACTCGTGTTCTCATGGGGAGGTACCAAGGTACTGTTCTCATGGGTAGAGCTGGAGGTGACCTGGGTGGACTGGGTCGTAGACGAGGAGCTGGTAGTAGTGGTGGAAGACACGGTATTAGGGTTGGAGTTGGTGTTGGTGTTGGCGGCTGTAGAGCCACAGCTGGTTGTTTCGGCCGTCACAGTAAGTGTGGTCGTGCTTGCAGTACCTACAACCGAGGGCACAGATATAGGGTGACCAGCAGCAGAACACTCCGAGACGACAACGCTGGAAACAGCTGGGTAATGGGTCAGTATGTAGTGTTCGATATATCTTTTACACTCTCTCGGTGTGAACAGTGAAGCATACACGACTGCCCGGTCACATCGCAGGCCTTTTGAACACATGGAGCAATACTGTTCACCAATGAAGGCTTCTGACAGTGACAGGCAAAGTCGGTCAGCGAGGAGCATCCATCGGTCGACAAGGCCGTGAGAAAGCAATTCAACTGCACATGGTTTGTTAGTGTTGTAGTCTTCGAGACGCCTCTCTCACGGTAGACTTCAAACATACAGAGCACTGTGGTACATTAGGAATCTGGGCTCTAGTAATGCCGGCAGCAACCAGAGCGATGAAGGCGTGTGTGAGCTGCATTGTGAAGAGAAGAGCCTTTTTCGCTGCGGTTCTGAGGGTATAGGAGAGCTGAGAGGTTTTTCTGTAGTGTCTGAAGCAATTCTGGGGGATTAACGGCTGGGACTCTTGTAGTGTATGAGGCAAAACCGGGGGCAGGCGAGAGAAGGAAGCAGGCTTACTTTAAAACGATGAATGATGTATCCTGTCCAACGCTGGAGCAACTGTATCACATGTGTTGTGATCCCAAGAGATAGTACCTCGAGGAACTAGCCAGTCACACAGGGAAATCCATACAACAGGGTAGGGCTCGGAAGAATCAGGATTCATGGATTTGACCGGATACATTGGTTCCTGCGCCTGAATGATCAAAATATACCGATATATCTGTTTGACTCTGTGGGAACTAGGCCCATTGACTGCGCTTCTTGGTCTTGGGTCTGGGATGAGTGCGGAGTACTTGGTACGGAGACTTGGAATTTAGCGGATCCAGTCAATTAAGCAGACAGAGAGCTTATAGACTATTCTCCGAATCGAAACAAGGCCTGCCAGTGCCTTTGGTTCCACAGTTGTCCTTCTATTGTGTACCCCAAATTGACGGTGATCTCTCTGCCCCTCAATCAAGGATCAGCTCCTGGGAGGATGATGGAAATTAGTTACAAGGAAGCCAGAGCAGATCATGAACCATCCATAAATCTAGTCCGTCTGGGATCTGGGCTCGATGAACAGTTTACTCAGGAGACTGCAATGAAAGGAAATGGGTGTGATGGTTTTCGATGGCCCCTTCTTTTTGTCACACTGGAACTGAAAAGGTGGTAGTGACACTTCCATGTCTCGGATCATTCGGTTGGATGGTGACTCTGTTGCACGTTTCTCATGTACTCCGTATCAGCGGGGAATTGTATGGAAGTTTGTTTGAAGAGAAATTGTTTAACCCTTAACCCGTCAACAGATATCAGCTCAAGGCAGAAGTATGCAGAGTATGTAGAGTATGCAGAAGCCAAGGCAGCATAAAAGTAGGGAGAAGTCAAGTTGGCATGTAACCAAAGAAGAGGACGGACTAGACATAAGGTTACTAAGCCTAACGCATGAGCAATATGACAGTTCGACTCATAGGTTACGACTTATATAGTGGATAATCTTCGCCAGAAAGCTCGACTGTTTACAGAGTCATAAATGAAAATCGTGTTCGAGGGAGTAAGCTATACATATCAACCCATAACGCCAAAAACACCCACATAAAGCATAATAATATACAAGGCTCCCCCATGGGCCTGTCACGACATCAACTCATCCACATGAGCTCTCTGGTTGACATCCGTCTCGGCCTTTAGTAGCACTGCCAGAACTTCAATCGGCGGGTCGAGGTTCAACATGCTCGCTCGTCTCCACCGCTTCAACCGTGCTATCCCGATACATGGCTATCAAGGTTAGCTATGTAATAATCATACTGGGCACCGATCCAAGATAAAAACATACGCCGTACTGACTCGACAGGTCGAAATGCCTTAAGATCTTCTCCTCCAACGACAAGTCCTGCTGATGTACTGTTTCCAAATCAACAAGTTATTCCAGGTAGCGAAGTAACCACTAGAAGTCCAAGGAGCAAGACTAACCTCGTGGCGTCCTCCGCTTCGCCTCCTCCCCTTTCCAATACCGCTGCAAATCCCTCTGCGAGACCTTCAACGCCCGCTCATCCTCCGCCGATAGCGGCTGCGAGACTTCTTCCTTCGCCTGTTCTCTGACCACAACCTCCGCGATGTGAGGCTGGGCTGGCTCCGGGGTAACAACATCCGGTACTACTGCCCTTTCGACCGGGTTCTTCGCCTTGAGACTCTGTGTTGGCGTCGCAGTCGGTTTGGTGATGCGAGACCTAGTCCCGAAGGAGAGGGTGGACTGGTTGGGGCGGCGGGTGGAGGCGTTGCCTCCTCGACGAGATGGTGGCATTGTTTCGGTTTTTATCTGACAATTTCTGCCAATATCTGACGATATCTATAGTTATTATCTGCGTTGTAATTGATCCCTTCGATGGAGTTCGGAGTGCGGAGGGGGGCGAAGATGTCATGGTTGCTTATGGCAACCACTCGGACAATACGAAATCTTGGTGAAGAGTACGGGCCAGACACCGCCTAGGCAGCGATTTCTAAATAATTACATGATATATCTCTAGATAAAATAAAAATAGTCGATATAGCTATCTACCTAGGTACCTGATTAATGATAGCAAAAAGCAGGGAGTAAAAAAAATAGTCGCGCCCGGGATCGAACCGGGAACCTTCTCGGAAGTTGTGTTCAGCTTGTGAACGAGAAATCATAACCATTAGACCACGCGACTGATCTGATTGGCTGGCCGGTTTTGTCTACATCCATGTTCATGAATTGTTCTGGGTACATTATACAGGGCTTTCTTAATGTTTTTCCTCTTTCTTGATAAATTTTCTTTCTTGCAGGTAGTGGAGTCATTCTAGGTGTATTTATACATACACTGTTTTTTGTATTGATATATGAGCTCTTATTGTTCAGATATATATCTATCTCCAGAATGACATCCATGATGATAGCTGAACAGCCAAGTCCTAGAGCATTGAGCCCAGTGGGTGTGCTCTTTCTCCTAGTGAGACGCCTGGCCCTCATAGCCGGTGTCTAGACTACCCGCAGACGCCTAGAGAGCGCAGGGAGTAGCTAGAAGCTGGGGATCCTTCCCATAAGAGAAGAGAAACTGATTCTTCGAGGATTGGCAGGTTTTACAAACCGTGCCGTTGACCGTATCCCAGGCCAGAGGAGAGCCGCTTGCGGGAGGAGGAGGCGCAGAAGATGAAGAATTAGGGAGATTATGGCTACTCTCAGCTTCACCATGAAGGTCTGACAAAATTAGGGGCTGGGTCACTAGACAGCTGAGCCACTAAAAATGTCAAGACATGGGATAGGGCCGTATATGGTCATATATTCCTGTGGCAGAAGGTGACTAGAGCAGTTGGTGGGCTCTTCAGAAGGCTCGTCATCGTCGTTGTTAGAAAAGAGAGGAGATGACACTAGAGACTTGACAGGAGAGGTAGGCGACTGCTGTGAAGAGGAGGTATGACGCCGGGCAGCATCTTCTAAGAGTAAATCGCCAGGGCGCTTCTGCTCCTGTTAGCCACTATTTAGATGACCATTTGGAAACACTTACTCTGAGGTGGGGAGTTATATTATCACTAGAAGAGCGAGACAGTTGTTTAATGAAGAGAAGCTGCGCGACTGTCAACGAACCGGAATCACCTCGTCGGCGCAAGGAGTTAAGACCTACCAGTTGGAGGGCAAGAGTTGCTGAAGAAGAGAACTCCGATATTCTCTCGGCTATACCGTTGAATGCCGCAATCGCCAACGATGTAACCTTCATTATCTAGGACATCCCCTTCCATGTCCTTGCCTTCCCTCACAGCTAATCCTTTTGTCATGTGCTGGGTATGGACTCGTTGTTTGGTCTAAGGAACAAGGTTGCGAGAGATTCACTGCCCGGAACGTTGCCTTAAAACTGTTGTACTTAGAGAATTCAATCTGGAGCCGGTGTGCCTCTGGGGTGTCGGACACTTCAAACCGTAGTTTCTGGTCTATTGCAGCGAACGTAGCCCAACCCAGCGCTTCCACTGTTAAATATCGGAACGGTAGTTTTACCTTGCAGCCGTCAGCGAGCGACTCAGTCTTTCTGCTGACTAGGGCATAGTAGTCTCTATATCCCATACTGTAGTCTGCCGAGCAAATAGTATTTTCAATGGCCCAACGGACGCACTGTTGGCTGATGCGTTGTGGTAAAGATCAACTGAACGCCCTGCTCGGTTTCCAACACGTCTGCAAGGGGCATCAGCCACGTTGGATATGCTCTGGTCTCCTCCGTGTATGATCTGGTTGCAGAATGGGCCGTGGGAGAAGATGTGGTGTGTATCTGCTGATGCGACTTTTGCTCTGTAGCTCACTGCTTTCCGATTGACTTGTCCCATTCAGAATGTGCCACCAGGAGGAAGCACGAAGACAAGAGAAGCCAGCGTGATGTATCCTGCACTGATCTTCTCTTAGTGGGAAATAGTAAATACCAATGGCCACCACAACTCACGGTAGTAAATCCTACCTCATTTATGTTACTGGCGACTCGTTTAAATGTCATGTCCATTTGAAAGCTCTGCTGCTTCGTGAAGGTGACCGCATTCTAGAAGCATATAATGTGGATATTTATTCCATCACTTGTGTCTTTCTACTATGGGATCACAGGTATTCAAATACTACAGCTATATTAGTAGTATTAGTATTAATGATTTATTATATTCTCATAATCTCTCATTACTTACCATCGTAGCCCATGGGTTTACCAGTGTTCATTTTTGCGATGGCAGGAGGACTAGCAATACTAGTACTATAAAGATACTGCTGTAATTCTTTGCTTTAATTTCCTGTTTATATTAGTCTATTAGCAACCAGGTTTCTGAATAGGACATACCTATGAAAGCGTACAGCAGATGCCTGTTACCTATTCGCAGGTAAACCTGCTATAAGTAGTATTAGACAGATGTCTCTGCTATTTATAATATAAAATTGTCCAAAGTATTGAGAGATAGAAGTAATATGCTTCTATATAGAAGATAGACAGTATAAGTATCGGTTATAAGAAGAAGAGTATGAAGGTGTCTGAGAAATGGAGAGAGAGTGGTTTATATAATAATGTCAGGAGAGTGAATATACCAGTTAATGTAAGCATAGAGCTCTATGCCATATTTAGTATGGCTGTTGCCTGTCTAGAGGTTAGACTCCTTTAATTCTTATTATCTTGGTTCCTTTATTGTCATATATTTATATTGTAATCTATAGGTATTATCAGGTGAAGGATCTCTTTTAATGTTTAGGCAAACAATATCAAATAGGTATAGTATCTAGAATAGTAATAACTATGGCAATAATAACTATACTTAAATTGATAAGTAAAAGAATATAATAATCTCTAGCTCCTCTACTGTAGTACAGTCAGTCCACTGTCCCTGTCCAGTCTCGGTGTAGAGATGATAGCCAGTGGAGACTTACTTCCCTGGGATAGCTTCCTTTTGTCCGAGGAGGATTCTGAAGTCTGTCTGTACAACCTCAGAATAATAATAACTACCTGAGTACACAATACCTATTCATTAGATACACCTAATATCCTATTCTACTTGAAAGACCATCTCCTGGTACTCTGTAGTCTCAGCACCTACTACTACAGTCCTAAGTACTATAGTTCCAGATAGTAACTTAGGTGGTTAGTAGTCATCCCGCTCACCACCTCTTATCAACTCAATTCCTACTCTAGAAACAATCTAGAAGACCTACTAAAGCTACTAAGAAGCTACCCCTGTAGATCAAATCTAGCTCAATTCTAGAAGAAGATCAGATCAGATCTGATCAGATCTGAGCAGTACAATACCGTACAAGGCCCCCGTCTTTCCGCCTCGTCGGGTCTGGTCTCGGGGCAGCGGAAGTTATAGCTCGTCCCGCTACGATCTGGGAACAAAAAAAAAATCAAGCTATGCCCCCCCCACTGGGCCGGATTTCAAGCTTCTTCATCTCTGCCATAAAGCTAGCGGGTGATCTCCCCGTGAGCTTATTTCATCGTCGTCGCTTTGATGGTATTCGTGTTTCCGTACGCTGTATGGTCATCGCCGTACCTCCGTATTCTAGTATATACTCACGTGACTTTGCTCACTGAGTCACCTTAAATAACACTACACTACGTAGTACATAAGCAAGGTAGTAATTATGAGTTCAACTACGTCTATTAAAACTTAAGGTGGACCTGCAGAATACTTCACAATACTTCTTTTGGTCGAGGACCGTGCCACGACTACAGGAACATAGCATTGGGGGGGGGGGGAAGAACGGGTCAACAAAGTGAAAACGCCAGACACGAATTGTTCTATGCCGCGGGATGTCCTTCTTCCTCCTGTTTTTGTATATCCCAAGGTTCCTTCTCCCGCTTGCTTCGCTCTCTCCATCTTCGTCCCACAGAAATCAAGTCATATCATGCCATGCGTTGAGAATATAAATCCCAAAGAATTGTAGAGAGAAAAAAAAAGAAGAAATTCAGAAGATAAGAGAGTAAATATGGGAAGAGGGTTTAAAAAGAAAAAAAAAAGAGAAAAAGATAGGTATTAAATTAATAGGAGCAATCCCGATTTTTTTTTCTTAGGCGCCGAATTCCTTGACGTCGCTCTTCTTGCCTTGAAGGGCCAGAGGCACGATACCACTGACGTGCATCTCGGGACCGTAGACGTGCATGTCGAGACCCAGCTCCTCACCGACGGCCTTGATGTTCTTGAGACCCTCCTGGTAGTTGGGGCCGGCACGGCGGACCCAGATCTGCACCTTGTGCTCGTTGAGCACGGGGGCAACCTCGCGCAGGGCGCGGATGACACCCTTGAAGGTGGTGGCGACGTTGGTGAAGTTGGCGATACCACCGCCGATGAAGAGGACCTTGCCCTCGGGGTGTTTGGGGGCGCGCAGCATCAGGTCGAGGACGGTGCGGGCGTAGTTGAAGGTCTGAGTCTCGGTGGGGGCACCGGAGTACTCACCGTAGTTGGCGAGCTCGCTCACGAAACCGGCCGAGGCGATGGCGTCGGCGTAGACGACCGAGGCACCACCACCGGCGACCAGGGTCCAGACGCGGCCGCTGGCGTTGAGGACGGTGAGCTTGAGGGAGGCGCCGGTCTTGGCGTCCATGTCGGAGATGAACTTCTCCTCCTTGCTCAGCTCACGGCCGAAGGGGGCAGGGAACTCCATCGGCGGGCCAGCATCGATGTTGACCTTGCCGTCAGCCTGGGAGACGGCGGTGATACCCAGAGCCGCGGGGCTGCGGGCAACAGCCCACTTGGTGCCACACTCAAACTCGGCGGTCTGGTCGAGCTTGGCAGCCAGATCAAGGAAGTGTACCTGGGCGGAGGTACGCTCGGCGTTGGGGATGACCACCAGGGGGTTGATCTCCAGGTAGGTGAACTGGCAGTCCACATAGACGGCATACAGGCGGGAGATGAAGTCAACCAGGACGTTGTGGACGCCCTGGGGCACCTTCTTAAGCAGAGTGGCGGCAATCTCCTCGTTGGAGGGGTAGTTCTTCAGGTTAACGGGGATGAGCATCTTCTCAGCCTTGGCATCAACGTCGCCGACGTCGACACCACCCTCGTGAGTGAAGAGGATCCAGTCACCCTATCAAGTACCAATTAGCCATAGTTTTTTTTTTTTTTTTTTTTTTTTTGCGGGGGGTTTTTTTTGACGGAGAATTCAACTTACCTCACGCACGGAATTGATGTTGATGTAGTACTCGGTCTCCTGGGGGTGAGGGACAAACGGCTCGACCAGGAACTGACGCAGAACACCGGTCACCGTCTCAACCAGGACGTCCTTGCCGGCGCGGGCCTCAATCCACTCCCGAGCCTCCGCCCACGTCTTGTTCAGGGCCAGCAGGCCGCTCTTGCCGCGACGCTTGATCAATTGGTCGGGCTTGGCAACGAACTTGGAACCGGACACCAGCAGCCAAGGGTAGGTGACCTCGGCCTGGTCAAGGACATCCTTGACGGCCTTATCTTCGGGGAAGTAGATCGAGGCGAGGCGCGAGGGAGGGTTGTGGGTGGTGGAGGGAGGCAGAGGAGTCGGCTTGATCACGGGAGCACGAGTGAGGTGGTAGTTGAGGATGGCCTTGCCGTCGGCCTCGAGAATCGACTTGGCGGACATGATGGGCTATGTATGTGAGTGAGTGAGTGAGTGAGTGAGTGGGTGGGTGGGTGATTGTTTGATTGATAAGAGGAGGGGTAGACAGATGTCCGGGAGGAAGAAAGGATACAGAACAGAAGTTATTAGGAGGGGGGGGGAGGAGAGGAGGAGAGGGAAGATCGAGAGAGACGGTGTGCAACGTGTGGTGGTGTGGGAAGGGAAGGAGGGGGAAAAGAGGAATGATCTGTGGCTCTCTCTCTCTCTCTGCTGGGGAAACAGCTTCAGCTGGCCGGTAAGTTAATTTGGGGGGGGGGGACCCAAAAGAAAAAAAAAAATACAGGCACCAGGCCGAGCTCGGGGAGACAACCAGGGCGGTTTGGTCTAGGTAGATCGTGTGGTGTGTAATTTTTACTACATACGCCGGCGGTTCTGTAAGCTACTCCGTAGTTTGAGGTCTGTTGGGTGGACTAGCCTGAAGAAGGGCGTTGTCAACGGGCCTTGGAGGGGCAGGATCGCTGGCCTCGTTGGGGGGCCACTGGTTGGGGTGGGCCTGGAGATGATCAGTAGGTCCGGGAGTTAGTAGTAAGGCAGGTATCTTTAGGTACGTATTTAGGTATTCATGATTACTGTATTATCACCTATCAATATTAATCAATTCCGCTTTCCTCCGTTCGCATGTCCTTTTCTGCAGAGGATTCCTGTTTTGTTGGGTTGCCTTGCTGATGCTGCGCTTGCTGATGCTGCGTTAGACTCTTGTCGGGTCTGTTGGCAATTGAGCGAGCGAGGGCATACGGTATAGTATACTACCTCGGCCAAGGTTCTGCTGATAGCACCTGTCATGTTGCATTCATGCCTACTGGATCGCAGTGTAACATATGCAACGGTCAAGTCAAACTGTTATCTCAGTGATCCATGGAGAGAGTCTGAGTCTCGTCCGTTTTCAGAGAGATATGGTACCTACCTCAGTAGTACCTAGATAACTAGCTACTATGTACCTACCCCTCCTCGTACTGGTAACATCACATACACTGTACTGTACGGTAACTTTGAGACGACATCGGTGAAGCTGCGGGCGTCGAGGCACCCGCTCATTGGGGGGTAAACAGATGGCGTTGAGCTACTGCAGCCAAGCCCCGGTGACGCCTCAGGCCCTCATGGAAGCTCGACCCAGAGACGAAAAATAAAAAATATGACAGAAAGAAAAATGAGTTTGTTGAGGGCTGTAAACTTGTAACTTTGGCCAGGCTGTAAGGTAATCGTAAACCTAACGTCCCGCTACCCCCCCCTTCTCTCTAGTACCTTACCCACTGAGGGCCAGCAACCAGACACTACAATCAATTCCCAGCTCCGATCCAGCTGCGAGATTCTTCTCTCCCCCTTCCCCTCCTTGGCCTTCTCTTCCTCGTTCTTATCCCACCTGCTTTTTTCCATTCGATAATCTATTCATTCTACCCTACTGTCTCCAAGTCGGAGCTGAATTTCTCTTTCCATATAATTTCTTAATTGATTCTGAGCCTAAGAGGTAAGCGCTCGTGTGCCTGGAAGGGGACTGTGTGCCCTCTTTCCCCTCTCATACCTCAGGCGGGAATACGCAAGACGCTGGCTAACAACAGAGGGTTCTTGTGTAGAGCACCTGAATCTCCACCATGCCTTCTTCTGCTCCTCTGGCCAGCGCTGCCAATGGCAACCTGTCCGCCAACGATAATATCCGCCGGTTTGACCCTCCGAGCCGTGTGCTCTCTCCCCAGACCCATGCTCTCTTCCACAACAAGACACGATGCTTCGTCTAGTAAGTTTGCGGCACGCTTGATTCTGGTGGAACCGGTGTTGACGTCTTCTAGCGGTATGCAGCCCAGAGCGGTGCAGGGTATGCTCGACTTCGACTTCATTTGCAAGCGCAGCACCCCTTCCGTCGCTGGTATCATCTACACCTTCGGTGGCCAGTTCGTGAGCAAGATGTACGCTGCTCCCTCATTGATATGTTGTTGATCTGCTGCGACGAAACACACGCTAATTCGATAAAAAGGTACTGGGGTACGAGCGAGACTCTGCTCCCCGTCTACCAGGACACTGCGAAGGCCTTTGCCAAGCACCCAGATGTCGACACCGTCGTCAACTTTGCCTCGTCGCGTTCCGTCTACAGCTCCACCATGGAGCTGATGGAGTTTCCCCAGATCAAGTCCATTGCCATCATTGCCGAGGGTGTTCCTGAGAGAGTATGCTGCCATTTACTGTCAAAACTCCATAGATCTTCTAGGCTAACCCGACTTGATAGCGCGCTCGTGAGATCCTGGTTACCGCCAAGGAGAAGGGCATCACGATCATCGGACCTGCTACTGTCGGTGGTATCAAGCCCGGTGCTTTCAAGATCGGTAACACTGGTGGTATGATGGACAACATCGTCGCCTCCAAGCTTTACCGCAAGGGTTCCGTCGGCTACGTCTCCAAGTCCGGCGGTATGTCCAACGAGCTGAACAACATCGTTTCCCAGTGCACGGATGGTGTCCACGAGGGTATCGCCATCGGTGGTGACAGATACCCCGGAACCACCTTCATCGACCACTTGCTCCGCTACCAGGCCGATCCCGACTGCAAGATCCTGCTGCTGCTTGGTGAGGTCGGTGGTGTCGAGGAGTACCGTGTCATTGAGGCTGTCAAGAACGGCCAAATCACCAAGCCCATCGTTGCCTGGGCCATCGGTACCTGCGCTAGCCTGTTCAAGACCGAGGTGCAGTTCGGCCACGCCGGTGCTTCGGCCAACTCCCAGCTGGAGACGGCCGTCAACAAGAACAAGGCCATGCGCGAGGCTGGCTTCTACGTCCCCGACACCTTCGAGGAACTGCCTCAGGTCCTCACTGAGGTCTACCAGGACCTGGTGAAGAAGGGCACGATCAAGCCCCAGGCTGAGCCCACCCCCCCCAAGATCCCCATCGACTACGCCTGGGCTCAGGAGCTGGGTCTCATCCGTAAGCCCGCTTCGTTCATCTCCACCATCACCGACGACCGTGGCCAGGAGCTGCTGTACGCTGGTATGCCCATCTCCGACGTCTTCAAGGAGGACATTGGCATCGGTGGTGTCATGTCGCTGCTGTGGTTCCGTCGCCGTCTCCCCACCTACGCCAGCAAGTTCCTGGAGATGGTTCTCATGCTGACTGCCGATCACGGTCCCGCCGTGTCCGGTGCCATGAACACCATCATCACCACCCGTGCTGGCAAGGACCTGATCAGCGCCCTGGTCTCCGGTCTGTTGACAATTGGTTCCCGCTTCGGTGGTGCTCTGGATGGTGCCGCCGAGGAGTTCACCAAGGCTTTCGACAAGGGCCTGAGCCCCCGTGACTTTGTCGACATCATGCGCAAGGAGAACAAGCTGAGTATGTCTCCCAACTTCTTCTTTGTAGGGGGGGTTTTTTTTTGGTTTTAAGACTAACTTTGATCAGTCCCTGGTATCGGCCACAAGGTCAAGTCCCGCAACAACCCCGATCTGCGTGTTGAGCTGGTCAAGGAGTACGTCAAGAAGCACTTCCCCAGCACCAAGCTGCTCGACTACGCCATTGCCGTCGAGACCGTGACCACATCCAAGAAGGATAACCTCATCCTGAACGTGGACGGCTGCATTGCGGTCTGCTTCGTGGACCTGCTCCGCCACTGCGGCGCCTTCACCCCCGAGGAGGTTGAGGACTACATGCGCAACGGCGTCCTGAACGGTCTTTTCGTTCTCGGCCGTAGCATCGGTCTCATTGCCCACTACCTCGACCAGAAGAGACTGCGCACCGGTCTCTACAGACACCCTTGGGATGACATCACCTACCTCCTCCCCACCCTGCAGAAGGGCGGCGCCGAGGGTCGCGTGGAGGTCTCTGTTTAAAAACTTTTCCTTATCTCTCTCCTTTTCTCCTTCTCTGTGCCGGAAAAGCCAGCGTAGACGTGCTGAACAATCGTGCGGGGCCCGTGATTCAGTCATAAAAACGTCGGAGTTCTTATGATGGGTTACACTTTTATTTATTTTTTCTTCCATTTCCTTTTTGATTCCACCGGTTTTTAATTTGCCCATTTTATATCATTTCAAGGACACACAGTGCACATGTGGCATGACAGGCAGCTATGAATCTATGCAATGTTCTACAACCATCCAACGTAGACTCGAAATAACTCCAGTACTGACTATGATACTGGGCTATATACGTTCCCATACAAAAGCGATATACCCTACCAGTGGTAGAATCGTGATTTAATAAGCTATCCTGAGGGGTATAGAGTCTGCATTCCTGGGATCCTTTCTTCTCTGGGCTTTGGAAATCTAGCCTGTAGCCATATCAATACTACTTAGGAGAATGTACGGAGTAGCTGTTATCTCCACCAGAAAAGCTTTCACTTATCGTTATCGAATATCAAAGCTCGACACATGAAACTTCGCAATAAAGCTATAAACCACCGACGCTTACTCAAGCTATCACCTTCCCTACCATTGCTATTATATCTAATACATAACTTGCAAAAAAAATATTAAAAAAGATGGTCCGCGTCAAACACCGCTACCTCCTCCTCGACATCCTCTACCCATCCACCTCGACGAAACCGTCCTCTACATCTTCCTCGAACAGAGTCCTCAGCATCCACGCCCCGACACCAGACACCCTTACGCCCGGGCTACTCGCCAAAATGGTTCGCGAGGAGGTCGCGGAGATCTTTGGAGATTGGGGTGTTGGAAGGCTCGGTGGTGCGGGAGCGGGGGGGATAAGTGGTGGGCTTACCTTTATAACTTAAACTTGCACTTCTACTAATTGTTTACTGTTTTAGTTAAATATCTTTCGCCTGCAACGTCGACGGCTATCATTCGGTGTCCGCGCGCTTCCTTCCGACTTGTCTGGACGGCGTTGACGTATATGACGCATGTCCCGGAGGGGAGGGATGCGGCACGGCCGTGTGTGTTTCGCGTGGTGAGGGTGTCGGGGACAATACGCAAGGCAGAGGAGGAGGCGATCCGGCGGGCGAGAAGGGAGATTGTTAGGTTAAGGGGGCTGGATGAGGCGGTATTCGGCGTTTTGGGGGGGGATGCTGGCCGCAAGACAGCTGGTGGTTCAGGAACCGACTCGGCTGTGCTTGGGTCGCCGGTGGATGGGGATGACGATGAAGATATGGATGATGATGACGACGATTATTAGGGGGGGAGAAAGGTGGGTGCGGGTGTGGGTTTTGTGTGTTGCATTTTCTTCAATATTCATTTTTTATAGATACCCTTACCCTATATTACATATTTCTGTTTTTTTTATGACTTTCGTATCACTTTTACACCGCTATCAGGTAGAGGACCCAGGTCTAGATCATCATCTTCAGAGCCGTCTCCAGCGTGTTCAGCATTTCCAGGGCCAGAACCAATTGCTTGAGCACGGTCTTCCTGCCACTGCTGCCGCTCCTGTTCGTCATATTCGTCCTTGGAATCCAGCCATCGTTCTTGGACGTCTCGGATATCCATAGTACCTAGACCTTCTCGGACGGCCACCTGCCAGATAGTGTCATTCGCGCCCTCTGCAGGGCCAAACGCATACCCACCGGCCCGATCAATCACCTTGAGCAGGTTCATCATGCTCTTCTTATCCTCCACCGCGAGGGTTTCAAATGCCACGAGCCCAAAATCCTCAACCAGCTCGACGATCGCTTTATTGAGAGCGCCGAATTTCCCGTGTGATAGTCGTGATGACTCGGCCTCCAAATGCGGTAGGAGATACGACAAGTCCTGTACCTCAGTGTAGAAATCGAGGTTGAACGGCAGCGGAGCGTAATTCGACAGATTGTCAATCTTGGTCAGGACGTTCAGGTGGGGTAGGTCCATCTGCAACATGGCGCGGAGGGAAAGGAGGAGTGCGGAGATATACATGGACGGAAGCGTCAGGCTATACGAATCGATTAAATGGATGACGGTCATCTATTTTACCAAAGGTTAGCAGGCTAGATTTCCAAAGCCCAGAGAAGAAAGGATTCCAGGAATGCAGACTCTATACCCCAGTTTCTGGATCTTGAAGAAGATATTCCGCAACGAGGAGTGATGTGTGAATAGTTCGACTTGGCCAGGGCAGTCAAACAAGATGTAGTCCTCTAATCAGCCGAAGTTTATATTAGCATCCATAGTTCCAGAATCACCTTTCTATTCCTGACAATACCTCCAAGTCCTTTTAGCCCCTCCTCCAGCCATTCAAAGTTCTGCTCCAACTCCTCCAGTGCGTATAGCACCCCGCCGTTCGGTCCCAGCGTATCCTCCGCCATAATCTCCTCCAGAGTGACTAGATCGCGAACATCGAGCGCACAGGGATACGATGTCTTATCGTTTGCGGGGTCGAGATTCACAATGGAGCATTTCCTCCCAATAGCTCCGAGAAACTGGTTCATACCATCGCAGTACGTCGATTTTCCTGCGCCCGGGGGGCCTATTACAAGCTGAGCAAAAGGCATGTTGAGGAAATGAGCAGCCTGCACGCTGCTCTTCTGATCTGAGATAAAGTGTCGGACAGAAAAGAAAGAAGATGACGATGGCTAGGCGGTCTATGAAGGCAGAAAATGATCGCGAAGAAAGCGTCGCGCGAAGCTTCAATGACGCCGATCAGGTCAGTTAAGCATCGGTAGATTATTTTACAAGAGAGAGACTAAAGAGTGTTTCCCTCTATTTTTTAATACACTATGTCTTCGAGTAAGTCCAATTGCACTTCCCTTGGAGGCAAGTCTCTTCTTTCCCCCCTACTAACATGCGTATCAGATCAATTCGCTATTGCGTCCCCGCCGACAGATGCCATCTCCGCTCTGAAGTTCTCGCCTGAAGCCGACTCGACGCGATTTGTGGTGTCTTCGTGGGACAAGAATGTTTATCTCTACGATCTTCGTGACGAAAATGGGGTCTTGGGCGAGGGGAAGCTGTTGCAGAAGTTTGAGCACCGGGCTCCCGTTCTTGACGTTTGTTTCGGGTCGTCCGAGAATGAGATCTACACTGCTGGCCTGGATTGGGATGTGAGGAAGTGAGTTGATTTTCTCTGGGTGTATTGATACTCAAGATAAAGTCTGGAGCTAACAATTTTAGAATCGATGTGGCTTCGTCTACACAAACAGTGCTAAGCAGCCACGAAGCCGGCGTGCGGAGCGTCGTCTACAGCAAAGAGCATTCCCTTGTGATCTCCGCCTCATGGGATTCGACGTTACATGTCCACCGTCCAGACGCAGGGTCAAACCCGGACTTGACGCCCGCCATCATTCCTCTCCCTTCCAAGCCTTTTTCCATGTCTTTGACGCCGACCAAGCTGGTTGTCGCAATGGCGTCGCGCGCGCTGCACATCTACGACCTCAATGCCTTGGCTCTGCTGACGGCGCAATCCGACGCTTCTCCCCCGAACAAGGTTGAAATCGAGCCGTGGCAGCGAAGAGAAAGCAGCCTTAAGTTCATGACTCGTTGCGTGGCTTGCATGCCTGACGATGCGGGCTACGCATCGTCCAGCATCGAAGGCCGCGTGGCAGTCGAGTGGTTCGATCCCTCGGCCGAGTCTCAGGCTCGGAAATACGCCTTCAAGTGCCACAGACAGACGGTCGACGACATTGATGTCGTTTACCCGGTGAACTCACTCGCGTTCCATCCTATCCACGGGACATTTGCCTCTGGCGGAGGCGACGGCGTAGTTGCGCTATGGGACGGTGTTGCGAAGCGGCGAATCCGACAGTATCAAAAGTACCCATCGAGTGTCGCTGCGGTGTCTTTTAGCAGCAATGGAAAGTATCTGGCGATCGCAATTAGCCCTGGATTCGAGGACGGCAAGGAGGATATCTCAGAGGGTACTGTGAAAATCTACGTCCGTGAGCTTGGAGAAACAGAAGCCAAAGGGAAAGGCGCAAAATAAGGTTTAGATCATATGAATATTTCATTATTTAATTCTTGCCTTATTAAATGCTGTCCCTCGAGTATATCAAACAAAATACTTTATAACGCCAGAAAAAGTTGAAAAATCTTCAACCTTTACATGTATTATCTCTATGTTCCACAATGTAGGGATACTTTTTTCATATAAGAAAAAAAATAATCAAGCAGTAGCATGTCTCGAGGAGACAGAGCCATCCGGCATTCCAAAATAAGCTGCGACGGGCTTTTCACCACCCAGTCCGCCCAGAGCTTGTGTTTGGGGACCGGTCAGACCAGAGAAGATCCCGACCTCCAAGACACCCACAATCTCTTTGATCGCTCGAGAAAGAGCGTTCACTTCCCAGACACCGTTCTTCCCACTGCCATCCTGGCCTGCAGCAACGTCCGCCTTGGTCAGCAACGCCTGGAAGGGAGCATCGATGATGAAGAAGTCCTGGTCTGTCTTCAGGGGACCCTCCTTGGGGGTCGTGTTCATGCGGATGGTGGGGTTGATGCTTCCCATCTCCCTGAGCTTGGTGAGAACACGGTTGGCGGCGATGGGGGCAACCTCGATGGGAATGTATTTCCATGATTTGAGCAGACGGGGCTGAAGCTTCCGCGAGTCTTTTTTTAAACATCCCAGGTATTAGCAAAGTTGGGGCATCGGAATTTATTATTGACTTACCGGCAACGCAGATGAATTCCTTTGCTTGAAGGGCCACGATTTTCTCTTGAAACAGACAGGCACCCCCGCCTTTGATGCAGTTTAGTTCATCGTCCACCTCATCAGCACCGTCAAAGGCAACATCCAGAACAGTGCCTTCCGGAAGCGTATCGAAGGTTACAGCTGTTAGACCGGCGGAGATGATGAGCTGTTTCGACTGGTATCCGGTAGGAACGTATTTGGTCAATGAAGTGTCCACGCCCAATGCCTTGATGGCTTCGACTACGTAGACGATGGTGGTACCGCTACCAATGCCGACATATTTGGCGTTCGCGGGGTAGTGGTTCTTCACAGCGACCTGAGCCGCAGCGCGCTTTGCGGCTTCAACGGCAGATGCCATGGTGGTTTGAAACCGAGGTGATGAAGACAAACAGGGATGGGTTGCGTGGGTAAACGATGACGACGACAGCAGAGAAAAAGAACGGCAATTGGGCAGAGAGAAGCGAGGAGCGAGAGGGATGGATCTGACCCTATAGAGGTTATTATGTGCCTGAGTCACCGTACAGAAATGAAGGATGTGGGGGAGGGTCAATGGATCCAAGGACCGAGGGCGTTTTCGCAATGGGACACTTACGGTGTGAGAACACGACAATTAGAGACTACAAAAGACATAATAGAGTCTTTTATGTCATTATCAGCTACCAGCTGGCGATCATTCCTTTTTTCACTGAACAGCTGGAACAATGCAATCCCACGAGGACGAGGAATTCGCGGGGTTGGCCTTGTGTCGTCATACTTTGGTGCCTCAGGCATAATAAGGCAACAAGGAAGCTCAAACCTCACTGGTTTAACTGCTCAGGCATCACATGCACGTGATGGGCCGATACAGTGTTATTATCATCGCCTGGCCTTGACTCTTGAGCTTTCGAATGTTGAGCAACCTTCTTTCGGGTTCGCGCTGCTGACTCAAGAGACTGGAAATTACACTTCTCTGAATATAATCATCTAGTCGCCGGCTTGCTTTCTTCTCCTCGTTGTCCTTTCCTGACCCACCAGCCCCTCCATGACGGACTCGTTCCCGAGCGCCCTGACCGGGCCATCTTCAAAGGAGAGGAAGTATGATCGACAGCTCCGGCTATGGGCGGCCAGTGGACAGCAGGCACTCGAAGAGTCCCGTGTCCTCTTGGTTAACTCGGACGGCCCCATTGACAAGCAGAAGACGACGGTATCGGGCGTTGTGGGTGTTGAGACGCTGAAGAACCTTGTTCTTCCCGGCATTGGGGGCTTTACGATCGTGGATCCTGCATCCGTCACGGAATCGGATCTGGGGGTCAACTTTTTTCTAGAAGAGCAGAGCCTCGGGAAGTCGAGGGCAGAGGAAACTTGCCGACTGCTGAAGGAGCTAAATCCAGATGTAGAGGGGACTTTCTCGACCACGCCGATTGCAGAGCTCTTGCAAGACACAAAGTTTCTCCCGGCGTTTCGGCTGGTGCTTGTTTCCGGGCCTGTCAAATGCTCATCTCTGGACCTGCTCTGCAATGCCTCCCGCGAACTCGGGATCCCGGTTTTGTATACCCACTCTGTCGGCTTCTATTCCACATTTTCGCTCCAGCTGCCCGCAGAGTTTCCCATAGTAGAAACACACCCCGACCCTGAGACAACTCAGGATCTTCGGCTTGCAAATCCATGGCCAGAGTTGCTGGAGGCAGGAGCCCGTGTCAGGGATCTTGACACGCTGGATGATCACCAGCACGGCCACGTCCCTTACGTTCTACTTCTCCTCCACTACCTGGAGCAATGGAAGGAGACTCACGAAGGCAATGTCCCATCAAACTATAAGGAGAAGACCGAGTTCAGAGAGATGGTACGAGCGGGAGCAAGAACCAACAACCCAGAGGGCGGCGAAGAGAACTTCGACGAAGCAGTGGCGGCCGTACTCAAATCTTTGAACCCCTTCAGCCTGCGCAGCAATATCCGCGAGGTGTTTGAAATGGAAGAATGCCAGAAGCTGCGGGCAGATTCGGCCAGTTTCTGGGTGATAGCATCCGCTGTGAATGCCTTCTATCAGATGCACCGCGTGCTGCCGTTGCCAGGCTCATTGCCAGACATGAAGGCTCAGTCAGCAGACTATATCTCTCTGCAGAACATCTACAAATCTAAAGCTAGAAAAGACCTGGAAGAAGTTACAGAGACAGTGAGAAGGATCGAGGGCAGTTTTGGTGCAAAGCGGTCGCCCATTCCTGAAAAGGAGATCGAAGTCTTTTGCAAAAATGCAGCGCACATCAAGCTTATTCGGGGTCGTAATATTCCGCGAATTGATCGAGATGTCACTGTCCAGAGCTCGGTTCGAATGGCCCTGGGCATTCCCGAATCGCTTGCTCCCATTTCCATTGCATTCCAGATTCTCGACGCAGTCGTGGATCAGCTCCAGGAGACAGGATCAACTGTGGCTTCTATTGACGATAACGAGACCTGGGATAAGCAAACCCAACGCATTATCGGTGTTCTGAAGGCTGAAGACCCGGAATATGTTGACGAGGAAGTGGAGGAACAGATCAAGAACGCCACTCAAGAATTGCGGCGTACGAAAGCAGGCGAACTGCATAATATCTCCTCGCTGACGGGAGGTTTGGTCGCCCAAGAGGCACTCAAGGTACTTACACGCCAATACGTACCTCTCGACAACACCTGCATCTTTGATGGTGTGAAGAGCCGTAGTGAGATGCACCGATTATAGATGCCCTGGGGTGAACAGAATCTGCCGCCGGACTCTTCATTGACCCAGTGCTCTGGTCACAAAGAGTCGGGTTTTCTCTGCCGAGTCTAATGAATTTACGATTTCTCATACTGGCATTTTCTTATTCTTCTTCTGCTTACCTGCGTAGACACCGGACCTTGGCTCTCTACGTCTCACGTCATCGAAGCAGCAGCGCTCAAATCATAAAGTAAACACAAGATCCAAGTGTGGTGAAGGTGTAGATCTAGAATTTGTCAGCATTCTATAAGGTTAGTATTTTAAGTAATCGCCCGTGTTTAAACAGCTACGTTATGGCGGTGATCGATGCTAGAAGCAGCCGACAACCTTTCAGACACACTCTGTGACATCTCACCAGTCACTTCTCAGGCCGCAATAGGGCAGTGCTGATAGAACCCCAATCCAAGGCGCTGCCAAACCTTATCAGTGTTTACGTGCAAATCAAGCTTCTGGTACAGATCCTCGTATTCTGGTCGAGTCATCTTCGTATCGTGTCCAGCTATGACAGCTGAAACTTTCCTGTTCGTCGATTTTCTGTTGGCTAGTCCAGGGTTGCAGTTCTCCAGGTAACCATATTTTCTCACCATTCTGCTAGTCGGAGATTTGAATATAAAAGTTTGAGGTACTGACTTACTTTAACCTGGCCTGGATAGAACGGTCAATGAACGACCGAATCTGAGCGTCAGAGTCTTTCACAATGGAAGCATTAAACGGTGACAACAGCAAACCGAGTATCGAAACCGACTCTTCGCCGAGCCAATCTACAGCTCCTGAGGATCAGCCGACACTGCCAGACGATAAAGAAAAGGGTCTCTCAAACCCATCTGCAGATGACTCTCTGGATGATACAATACGAAAGCCTGATGGGACTCCGGACAAAGAGCCTGAATACCCAGGCCTGTTTACTGTCGGAGTGATCATAGCGGGGCTCTATCTAGCAGTCTTCCTGGTAGCCCTCGACCAGACCATCATTGGCACTGCGATTCCCAAAATCACCGATCAGTTCAAGAGCATAGATGATATCGGCTGGTGGGGGTCGGCATACTTCCTCACCTCGACCGCACTGCAGCCGCTGTATGGTCGTATCTACCGGACATTCAGCGTAGGCATTAGTTAGCACGATTCCAGGTCTGCCACTAACTGCCGCAGGTAAAATGGACTTTCCTTGCCGCCATCGTGATTTTTGAACTCGGATCCTTGGTCTGTGGCGTGGCGCCTTCTAGCCCGGCTCTCATCATTGGAAGAGCCATTGCAGGAGCCGGCGTGGCTGGTATTTTCTCCGGAGCCTTGGTGATCATCGCGTTGTCTGGTGAGATCCCAAATTCGATGCTGGTTGCTGGTAAGATCTTGGAAGAGGCTGTATGGCTGACCAAAGCTTTACGATAGTCCCATTACCTAAAAGACCATTAGTCTTCGGTATGTTCGGGATGGTATGGGGTATTGCGTCGATTGCAGGTCCTCTGCTCGGAGGAGTATTTACAGATAGTATCTCGTGGAGATGGTGTTTCTATATCAAGTACGTGATCTGTATCAGGCTAGTTATCGGGCCATTCGTCCTTGCCTGCTGACGGCGCTATAGTCTTCCTATTGGAGCTATTTCCATTGCCGTTGTTCTCTTTGTCCTGAAGCTACCATCGAAGAACGAGTTCTCTGGAACGTCGGTGCTCAATCGAATCAAGCAGCTCGACTTGATCGGAGCCGCGCTTCTTATCCCTGCCGTTGTGTGTCTTCTCCTTGCCCTGCAATGGGGCGGGAACAAATACCCCTGGAACAACTCCCGGATCATCGGTCTGTTCATCGGGTTCGGCCTCCTCACGATCATTTTTGCATATTCGCAAATCAAGCTTGGAGAGCGTGCCACACTCCCACCTCGGATTCTCAAACAGCGCTCTGTTGCAGCGTCTCTTACATTTGGCTTGTTCTTCGGGGGCTCTTTCTTCCTTCTCGTGTACTACCTCCCAATATTCTTCCAGAGTGTCCGCGGCTCATCTGCCATGAAGTCCGGTATCCAGCTCCTCCCCCTCATGCTTGCGACAGTGACATCATCCGTCATTGTTGGCGGTCTTGTCACCATGGCGGGGTACTACACCCCTTTTCTCATTGTCAGCACTGCAATCGTTTGCATTGGTGCAGGTCTCCTCACTACTTATTCCGTCGACATCTCCACCTCAAAATGGATTGGATATCAGATCCTAACTGGAGCGGGTGTTGGAGCCGGTTTCCAGATCCCTATGACGGCTGTACAGACTGTCCTTCCGGCTAAGGATATCCCTCTGGGATCCGCAGCAGTGATGTTTTTCCAGACGCTCGGGGGCGCGCTATTCATCGCTGTTGGTCAGTCTGTGTTCCAAAATGGGCTGATCTCGGGTCTCCAGCAGTACGCTCCCACCGTCAATTCAGCTACAATCATCAACGCTGGTGCCACTGAGATTCGCCATGTGCTTGATACTATAGGGCAGACAGACCAGCTGCACAACGTTATCCAGGCGTATATGAAGGGCCTTGCTAATACGTATCGAGTTAGCCTCGCCTTGATAATTGTTGCCTTTGTGGCAAGCTGTTTCCTGGAATGGAAGAGCGTAAAACATGTGGATGAGGAGAAGAAAAATATGCCTGCTGTAGGGGGGGCTTGACGGTTTGATAAGAAGATGATCGTCCCGAATATTGATAGTAACTATTGGTCAGGAGCGTGTTTGGGAGTACAATGTGTTACCTAGATTCGATTTGTAGTAATGACATCTCCACTATTATTCAGATAGCCAGCCTTTTTTAATATTGTTGGAACTTTTGAGGTTGATAGCGCTTCGAGATCATGCTCGTCACTCCCTTGCCCTGCGCTCGCGTCTTTACCAAAGATTCAGTTGGGGAAGCAAAGGCTGCTTCGACATCCATAATACAAATAGTGTATCCATTTCTGACTACATCTATCAGATAATATATGGTTTCAATACAATCCTCTGTTGTTGGTCTAAGCGGTGTGTTCGATGTGGAATGAGCGATTAAAGGCCGCTTGCTTACATAATATCCGATAAGAACGCCTCCTGATTAAGTCACGTAACAGCGTTGAAGAAAGGCATCTGGCAACGGACGTCTGTTCCTTGAGTTGCTGCCGACGACATCGCCTCACCGGTGTCTGCGTCATCCCTAAACCTCCTCGGGATGTCTTCGCTTATATTACATCTGCTGTGACTCTTATATCTCTCAAAAACACAAGACTCGCCGTGATCCGGTCTCCCCCCCACGGGGAAACAACGCGCAAACGGTGGTGGGTGGGGGCCTACCTTCCAACTTCTTACGCCATCGTGCACTTGCTAGCCAATCTCTATCCTGATTGCAATTCATGATGGCAGATACAGAGGGGGCCTCGGCGTCTTTCAGTGCTCCAGCAGGTGCAGCTTCATCGGCTGTCATAGAGCAAATCCGCAACGCTACTGCGGAATCCACTCGACACTTCCTTCTTTCATCATCGCCGCGTGAACTCTTAAAGCTTCCATTTCGCGTTCTTAATCAAGCCGAATCGTTCGCGCTCAATACACTACCTCGAAATGCGATGAGACTAGCGGGCTTGGGAGGTTTAGCCGAAAGCATTTGGGGGAATGCTCCTGGAGTGGGCTTGGAGAATGAAGCAATGGCGGCCGCAGCACATGAAGGGGTTGGAATCATGGGAGAAGGCCTGGCAGCAGCCGCTGCTGAAGAGTCTGGTCTCGGCATGATTGATATGTTCCAGGCTTTGAGGAGGTTTGGCGGCTTCTTTTCCTATCTCACCAGCCGCTGGTCACTGGCTTGTTTCACTGTTGTGAGTATCCAATGTGCATTTACTAGATGGCACTCTTGCTATCTCCAAGCTGACTATTATCCTCTACTCAGGCTTTAGTGCTTAATAGAATTACTATCTATGCTTCCACTAGACGGCATCTCAATCTGAACTGGGAAAGACGCTTGGCCTTGCGAATCCTTCCCATCCTCCTCTTCGTTTCACAAATACTTTCGCTCCTCCGTGCAATCCGATGCCAGACATCACCCGATTACTCTGCAATCCGCTATGGCAAGCCAGGAAAGCGTTTGATATTCGATCACGCCGGGGATGGAGGATTTCTGTACTCTTTGGGCTCGACTCTTTTACCATGGGAGTCCGACGAACAGTCTTGCAGCGCAGTCGGCATGGGACAACCCATAAACGCTTCAGACATTCCATATGGCTCATTTTCCCTTCTTTGGCCCGTTTTTATTCGCCTCTGCCTGAGCCATTTTGTGGAGACGTTATCATGTGCTTTACAAGGCCGGGTCGTTGTGACAGAGGCCGGAATGTCGATTTTTGAACAGTCTCTTGCATTTGCTGAAGCTGAGTCTATGATTAGCAATTCGATCGGACTCGGTATCTTCGGATTATCTAAGGAGACCTTGCCTCGGGAAGATGCTTCGCCACGGACAGAAAGCGGTTCTTCTGCCGTCCTTCTACTCACAAAAACCCAGGTTTTGGATCGAATGAATGTCACTCCAGAATTATTGCTTATCGCTCTGATATCATGCTGCAATAGCATGACCTCGCACATTTTAGATGTTCTCGGCCTACAAAGCAGATTTCGCTTTTTGCATACGAGTATTTGGGGTCTCTGCTTCATGAGTGCCATGGTCTGGGGATTACTGCCTAACGGGAGCGAACCTGTAGTCCTGAAATTCCCGACGGTTTGCATTGTGGGGTTTATTCCTCACTTGCTCATTCTAATTGGGATTTTGATATGTCTGCTGATCTACGCCCTGGCATTGACCATCACGGCTTTCTCTCTCCCATCGAGTTTGCCCCAGCCGCTATCCTTGTACCAACGGTTTATGCTTGCCCACGAAAACATGCAGGGCGCTAATCAAATCCAAAATATCAGATTCAACCGCCACGAGGATTTCTACACGACATTGTTGAGAATAGGCTACGGCGCCTTGACTGCGGCCAGTGAAGCGGTATTTTTGAATGAAGGGAAAAAGGTCGTCGCTCGGAGAATGACATGGCTGGAGGAAGATAGACTAACGGAAATCGAATTATCCCGACGGCAACACTCTTCCAACCGAGTCTGGGCCGATTCTACGGGTAACGGAACTTTTGAAGATGAAGTGGTCAATTTCGAGATACAGGAAGCTATGCCTGAATGGGAAAGTGGCTACAACCGTGAAAAGAGAATCGAGAAGCGAAAGAATGGGTCACGATCGGTGAGGTCTCAAGACAATATTGGTGGCGTTGGAGCATTCCGCGGAGCATCCCGTTGTTATAATGGGGTTTTATTCTTCCGTGGTATCTTTTTTCTGCTATTGCGGTGGATTGCATACGGACTGGATAAACTGTTGGACAAAGTCGGGATCAAGTTTCGTCCGCAGTGGTTTAAAATCCGATTCCAGCCTCGCAGAGGTGATCTTCAAAACAGAGACAAAGGGTCCAAAGAGCCATTGGACTTTTGGATTCTTAGCGACGATGGGGAGCTGGAATTACCAGAAGATGACGACTTCGATGTCGAGAAAGAAATGCGGAAAAGAGAGCGTTCCAACAATCAGCAATGGGAGCAAGCAGACGAAAATCGCCTTGATGACAAGTTATATGGCTGGTGGAAATCTGGTGGATCGTGGGGTAACCAAGATCAAAGTCCTGACTACGCTCCTCCTGCAGGCGATGTGGATGATACAACCAGTGTTATTTCCATGTCCACAAACGCAGAGTCAGAATGGGAGGAGTATGAGTCCGACGATGGGCGTCGTACGCCAACCCAAGCAAATCCTTACTTGGCTGATACCCACCGCGAAACTACCCCGATACAGGAGAGCCTTTTCGATGCAAAGACACTGGTGCGGCTTCTTGATCCACGCGATCGAGAGAGCAGACAGGAAGCACAGTTTCTAGCGGCGCACATCAGTGCTGAACAGGAGGGTCGAATTCTGACCCGATGCCAATACCGGAGGCAGCTGGAACGGGAACAAGCCCAAGTTCTGTTCTCAAGGCGCTCGTACCATGCGCATTTTAACAATGACGAGAAACGGAAGCCCACTCCTGACGAGGAATCTCAGATGCTGGAGAATCTGATCCTATCCCGACGATCCGAAGCATCCTCTTCAGTTACCCAGGACGAAGAACAGACATGGGCTTCCGGCGCCTCCGGCCTAGGACCTAATGGACCTCCCTGCGTCATCTGCCAGACAAACCCGCGATCTATCATCGTCTGGCCATGCCGCTGCCTCTGTGTCTGTGAAGAATGCCGAGTTAGTCTCGCGATGAACAACTTCGGGAGCTGCGTGACATGCCGGCAGGAAGTAGGAGGCTTCATGCGTTTATGGGTCCCTTGATACTATCCTTGTCTGTTCTCCTTCGTCTTTCGCTATGAGACTTAACGGTTGCATACATTCCACATTTTTTTTGTTTTTAGCCTCTTTACTCTCTCGTCTTGTAAAAATCACCTGTCCAGGTTAATTGAAATTGCATTCTATTTGGCCGGGTCACTTTTGTACAATAGCTCATATTGGTTCAATTCCAGTAGCGCATAGCAATATACATCGCTTAATCCTTTTTACTATTTCCAAGAAACAATGTATACGATATTCGTTCTTTGAGAACTGGTCATTGAACACTGATTCTGTTCTACCTACAGGCTGGAGAGGCCTTGACCATCTAAATATCTGACACAGTTCAGTGTAAATTCCAACACTGAAGAAACCATTGTTGATATAATTATAGCGGTCCATGCAATTTGCGAGTAAATGGTGAAACGGATCAAACGATATCTGGTTATAGAATACGTTTAACTATAGATAGACTACAAGGCCTACAGGTAAAAACCCGGGGTTGAGCCTATATAACATCGATTCGTACCCTTCAACTTGAATATATGGAGTGGGTTCTCTCAATATCAGATATTGGATGGCTCCCCATTCATGGAAAATAACAAGATTTTGAACCGAAGCCTTCCAGGTTTGTTGTCTGCGGAGCTTTACGAAGATCTCTCATGAATGCATAACGATCATTTGTAGACGCTGCAGGGCCTCGAAGGGAAGCTTGGTAGCCTTGATAGTTATGGGGTCCTCCGAACCGCTGCTGATATATTGCATTTTCTGATAGCATAGAATCACTGGTTGATGTGCTTGTTTGAATCTCGGGGAGGCGTATTTGATGCCGGGGTGTTGCATTTGTGAACATGGCTATTTTAGAAAAGCTGTTGTTATTATGAATTCCACTGAATAGAGAATCATCCCTTACTATTCTTGATGCTCCTTGCCGGTTGATTTGGCGGTGGCATGGCATGAGCATCCGTCTTTCTCTTCGTGCCTCTTGAACTACTGGTAGTGCATCGTTGATATCGATGTACTCGGTCTACTCCCTCCTTATCAATATAGTATGGTTTTAATTGGTGGGAAACGGGCCGTGAAGGTGGTTGTAAGACGGCCATGTTTTGGACTGGAGTTCGATGGGTTGACTGCTCGGTATGTGTAGCAAGTGAGCGTAGAGTCTGAGCCACAGAGTCGGAAGCAGCTGTTTGTATATCGGTTCTCATAGTTCGAGTCTTCAGGATATTGTAGAGATTGGTGACTTGAGTGAGCTTTCTAGATTTATGTCTATACAGATCCTCTAATTCTTCATTTTTCTTCTGGAGATGGCCTTGGGCTTCTTGCAGCTCTAAAATAAGGTAAAGAGATCAGTAATATGACCCGTATACCGGTCATTTGTACCATCAACTTACCGGATATCTTATCATTCAAACTCGCGATCTCTGAACTGGAATCATGGACCGCCTTATCCATGTTTTGGTTGAGGTTGGCATATTTTTCAGTCAGGGTTTTCCCTAGGAATTCTTGATAGCAGCTGTTCACATATTAGCCAGCAAGTGCTTCACATATTTTCAATGCTCATTTTACATCTCTTGTGTTGTCTGATATGACCAGAAAAGCAATGCCCGACTAGCACATTCTATGATTGTATTTGGGTCAAGACCGCTCAAGACGCTGGTTTTGTAGTCTTCAGGAGGATTCAATATCGTCGAAATTGCGTCGGCTGGGTTTAAGAGACTGGCTTGACACGCTGGACACCGGCGCTCATTTGATATTGGCCGGGAGAGACCCAGATTGCCTGCACACTGAAGACAGAAAATGTGTCTTTCTGTGGTTAGCCTGAAGCGTGGTATTTGATGAAAAGAGGAGTAGGCCACAAAGTACGCCTCGGAAGACTTACGAGCAGGTAGTGACAACAGCTTCCTTTTTGAGCTGAGAGCGACATTTTAGAGAATTGCATCTAAGGTAAAAGTCCATTGCTTGACCGAAAGTAAGACCCAGCTGGAAAGATTGTTAATTGGGCTTTAATGATGAAGCCGTTGAAGTTGAATGTTGAAGTGGAAGGGAACTTGTCGTGGGTGTTCACTTGAGGGGTCTCGATCTGTCAAGTGCAAACGATCATTCCGTACTTCGCCTAGACAGAGACACATAAACTGGATTTCAGAGAGTTATGGTGCTTGTACCCCTGCCTACGTTTAGATATTCCTGGAAGATCCGAACGTATTTCACAATTAAGAGAAAGCGTTTATGAAAATACTCTTGAATATTTTATGATAAGAAGAAGGTATTTCCCTGTGCATCGCGCCTTATGGTGCCCATCTTCTCTTCGAATTCCTTTCCTGGTTCATATTCCCGCCATAAACTTGCAGGGAAGATGTGCTTATTGCGCTCATACCACCGGCGATCGACAACCTTTGTGAGAGTCGGATCTCTATCAGCCCCCTCAAGATCATCATCGTTTGGCCGTGACAGAAGATTGTCGGCAGTGGGAGCCGGCGGTGCTTTGTTGGAGTAGTCAAATAATAGGCCGCCAGCCCGTGTAAAACTGGGTACGCTGTTGGCAATGAAGTAATAGAACTCGTAGTGCTATGAAGACGGTTAGCGTACGTTTGAAATAATAAGAGATAAATGATACACATACATGTGGAATAATGACTTCCCCCTTAACCAGCATCAGGTCATCGACACTGACTCGGGCCCATTCGCGACGGTTGTCTTTTCGGGCCTTAGAAGCCCCATTTGCACCGCCAACGCCCAAGTGCGCGCCCACCTTTCGACACCTATCTAAGAACAGCCAGATAGGATCGCCTTTCTTGACTTTCACTGTCCCCGCGGGAATATTTGTGCCATCGTAGAAAACAAACGGTATCAAGATTTCAGTGTTCTTCACTGCTTCTTGCATTACCAGAAATTCTTTTCGGAGGTTATCCCGAGCCTCTGCCTCCGCCTCCAGAGCCGCTTTTGTCATTGCCCTGGGCGGCGGCCTGGCATTTGGATTCGGCGTGATGCGTCGTGAAATTGATTTTTCACTATCCTCCATTGGTGTCTTGGAAGCTGATCGCGGGACACTCAACTCCCGTGGAGTGGCCGAGGAGTCTTCCTCCGTTTCATCGTAATCATCCCCGAAAGAGAGCTTGCTTTTAACCGGCTTCTTCTTCTTCTTCTTTGGTGGACCGTCACTCCTCGGGGTTGAAGTTCTATGGTTTCGTTATCAGCGGGCGTACTTGTAACAGAGACTCACACCTTCACTCACCCGTCAGTTACGTCACCCGTAGAAGGGGTGGCACCTCTTGAATTACCGGCTGTAAACCTCCCTAGCGACCTGTCATGTGCCTCTCTTTCCTTCTGTTCGAGAACCTCTGCGCGACGTTTGCGAAAATCGGAAAGATGGACCAAACCAACTGTCTGCGACTTGAGCAAATCTTCCGCAGACACGGTCTGGCTCGTAAACGACCGAGGGGTTGAGCTTTGTGATTCCGGTGGTGGCATATTGGTCAATAGGTGCCCCGAGATTAGTCAATGGAGGATCCTCAGGAGGAATTTCTTTTAAGCTTTGGGAGGGATCGATAATCGCAAGCCTGGCTAAAACTACTACTGACGTACTACCGTACTACGGCCATCTCAGCACGTGATAGGATGAGTTTCCTAAATTCCTGCTGAGCTGACGACCACCCTTTTTCACCTAATAGAAATGATATGGGATAGGTAAGGAAAATAAATCTATAGTATAGATGTACATTGATTAATAAATATCTAAATATATACAGTTATTAGTCCTTGAAAATGGCTGTAACTAGTAACTCGCCATTGAACAATCTGATTGTGAATAACCAATTGAAGCAAACATGCCAAGATCCGCATTATCTTCTGTTGACCTCCGCAAGCTATCCAAGCTTGTAAAAGAAATCATATCCAATTCCTTTCTTCCAAGGATTTAGGAAGCTCAGATTAATCTTCATTCCTCTTTGAAAATGTCGCACATTATGGATTATGACGACGATGACGATGACCTTTACGACCCGGCCGATGCTGTTCCAGTGCACCAGAACCAGAATGGTTTGCAACAAAAGCCGCAGGAGGCAGATGGTGCCGAGGAGGAAGAAGTTGAGGTAGAAGATGACGATGTATGCTCATATGCCAATTTCTGCGAAATATTTATCGTTTCCTAACTTCGATAGGACGAGTTCAATATTATTACAGAAGCTCCCCCAGAGGCTGTTCTCGCCGAACCGTGAGTAGATATGACGATTACTTTGATACTGGCAATTTTTCCCCGGACCTCGCTGATCTTCGCTTTCAATAGCACGCATCCTCGTCATACTGTACTGCGGAACGAGTTACAACGGCCAGGCTCGACTGATTCAGCCGCGAAATCTGCCACATCCTCTGCCACTCCCAGACTCGAGGTTCCAACACCAGTGATTACCGGGGCAAGGCCAGTAGTGCCTTTAAACCAGAAACCAGGTTCGGAATACCCACCTGTAAAAGTATCGACGATCGATGTCCATGCAAACCCGGTATTACCTCAAACCGGGAAAACGGTCCTTGCTACAGATATGGATGCCGACTTCCCCACAGAAGATGACAAGCCGTGGAGGCGGCCGGGGTCAGATATATCGGATTACTTCAACTACGGATTCGACGAATTTACCTGGGTTAGCTATTGTCTAAAACAACAAGACTTACGGAAAGAAGTCGGCGACCAGAAGAGACAGCTGGATGATATGCAAACGTTCTTGACGATGGGACTTCCACCAATGCCTGGCGGACCTCAACCAGGACCTGGGGGAGCGCCAGGAAGCGCCCCTCAAGGAATGCCAGGAATGCCCGGCATGCCTGAAATGTCTCCTGATATGATGCAGGGTATGCTGGCCGGCATGATGGCCCAGGGTCTTGATCCTTCTTCAATGGACCCTATGTCATTCATGCAACACGCACAGGCTATGATGGGCGGCCAGTCCGGCGCTGGCGGCGGACAGCAAGGCCAACCAGGCTTCGGCAGCCAATCCCAACAAGGCTTTGGAGGGCAAGGAGGTGGCCAGGGGCCTATGGGATACGGAGGCTATGACCAGCGCTCAGGATATGGCGGTGCCGGCAGAGGACGAGGCGGGAGGAGATGGTAGGCCCAGGACCAACTTTGTACTCTATAATTACAGTAATCTTTGTGATTCCCCTTCAATCACTTCAAATTGGGAGCCCGTGGGAAAATACCTAGTATATGCCGTGAAAAAGCATAGAATCTAGTTGTATTAGATGGCTTTCCATCTCACGACCACTATGGAGTTTGGTCGGTAACTACCTGTAGTTAATTGGTTGTTTCCTTTGGGTACTCGTATGTATCGGGGTAAAGGAGCTGCGTCGAGAGTACAGCCAGCTTAGAGTGGTAAACAAAGCTTCAAGCAGAGCAACTAATTCGAAAAGACGTTAATGGAAATTGAATCCTAGCTAGATTAACCGATCCAACATATCAATGCCCTTATTTACCTTGCATCTGTAGAGTTCTCCTCTGTTCTCTCGGCTCTAGCTCCGGTTTGTCGGCATCGCAAGGAAGAGCTGTCGGGGCTTGGCATTCTGGAAATTTCTCGCGGTCCGACCAGCCCAGATCTTCTTCCCCCAGACAGTTGTTAACTTTCTCCAGCTTCGAATCTCTCTACCACCGACCGTCTCTGCCGTGAAAACACACTCACATCTCCAGTAAATCAATTTGATCTTACTTTCTCGACACACATCAAAAATGGTAAGTCAATACTGAATGATTTCGGCCTCGTTCTGCGGGCGAAAGCTTCTGACGAGGCACTTTTTTCGCTGGGCGCATCATCTCCTTTGATCACGTCTCTGGCTGGCTGACAATCGCTAACAAAAATTCTGGTATCAGTCTGCCCTTCGCAACATCAAGAGCCTTGCTCCCCTCCTTGACCGTGTCCTGGTCCAGCGCATCAAGCCCGAGACCAAGACCGCCTCCGGCATCTTCCTCCCCGAGAGCAGCGTCAAGGAGCAGAACGAGGCCAAGGTCCTTGCTGTTGGACCCGGTGCCATGGACAAGAACGGCCAGAGACTCCCCATGAGCGTTGCTCCTGGTGACAAGGTTCTGATTCCCCAGGTACGTTTTTCGCCAACTCGTCAGAAACATAACTGTTTTTTCTTATATCTCCTGCTTTGACAAAAATTGACTTACTCGTTTAATAGTTCGGTGGCAGCCCCCTCAAGGTTGGCGAGGAGGAGTTCACCCTTTTCCGTGATCATGAGTATGTGACCCTCGTTCTTCAATGACTTCATCTTGCAACGAAAGTTCGACATCTAACCTATCTGTTTGCTTAGGCTTCTTGCCAAGATCAACGAGTAAAGAACACACCATAATCCGAAATGATAATAAAAACAGCCTTTCTGGGCATACCATTAACGCTATCATTCCTGCTCTGCTCGGGGCGAAGAGTCGTCTGAGCAGGTCGATCAGCCTGTATTATATCACGCAATCCCATGAGCCTCAACTAAGGCTCAAATTTATAACACCACAAAAAATCTACTCGGGAGAACAGATTCGACTGTGCATGTAATAATGCGCGGGAGCCTCTTCTCTTTCCATATCTGCTATATTTATTTGTCCTCGTTGTCAGCGTGAAATGGGCCCTCCCTTTTGCATGTCCCTCTGCCGATGTATTTGTATCTAGCGACTGTGATCTACGCCCGGATAGAAGTGCGTAAAACTTGAAATGATAATCTCCACTCAACTTCTTTTTTTTCACTTATCATGGTTTCACATATCTTGGCCATATTACTTGTAGTGCCATCTTCCCTGCCGGAGAATACATGACACAACATATGATTCCATAGAAAAAAACACGCTACATCCGAGATGCCTGCCTCAACCAACAACACAGTCAATAACGTCGCCTATTCTTTTTATCGTGTTCATCCCCACGACCTCACTGAACAGGCGAGCCCTAGCTTCTGAGTCTAGCTCAATAAAACGCGAGAGCACCGAGTCTTCTTTACAGAAATGCATGTGAGAGCCGTCGCTCTTGTATCGGGGCCCATGTCCGTTATGGTGTCCCAAGTCGGCCAAGACCATTTGAGCAGCGAATGGATTCAGCCCTGCTCGACGGAGGAAGATCTCCCAAGGGGTTTCCTCTGGGGAGAAGGTCAAATGGAGGTTTGTTTTCTTCCTGTCGGTAGTAGTAACTGGGACATTGATGGCTGTAAACCCGCTGGGTAGTATATCTCGCTCTGTATTCGGCAATGCGGTCGCGTGTTTGTGGGCGAGTGCGAGAATCCATTCCGCATGAGAGTATGGTAAGGATGAAATCATCAGCGGGATGACTATGGCAAGACTTGACAGTGATGTGCAGAAGGCTGTTAAGGAGGCCACTGAGGCGAGCGTGCCTTTATCAGCTGCTAGCACTGTTCTATCTCTGTTTTCAACTGGTGAATGAGAGATGAAGATATAGAGTCTCTCGTAGCGATGAGCGAGACGAAAAATCCGTTCTCGCAAAGGAGAATTGATCTCTTGAATCGTTTTGATTTCAGGATCGTTCGGTTTGTGGCCAGGTAGGTATAGCTGATTGATGGCCTGGGAAGCAGTTAGAATGACCCCCGTTGTAGGTGAAACGATGATGTCCGCCTCGCACGCGAGAGTGTCGCTGACAAAATTCTGCTGTGTTTGGATGCTTTTCACTTGTTTGCTTGATTTTGGGTAGTTGTAGTCTCTATATACCAGAGTTGGTGTATTCTCCATCCCTTCCAGGAACTGTACAAGCGAGCGGTGGCTCTTTAAGAGCGTAGTCGATAAGAATAGTGAAACTTGCGTCCCATCTTTTAGTTGCTGAATCTGAGGAGCTTGAGGGAGGGTCGGTATGAGTGGTATCTTATGTTTCTTTCCATGCTTGACTCTGAAACGGCTGGAAGGCTTGACAACGTCTTGACTTGCAGCCATTGTGGCTTCTCCTTCAAAGTGTCGACTTATTTCACCTGTCTTTATTCCAATGACTTTGCCTCTCGTCTCAATGAAACTGTCCAGAGAACCGAGTGCTGGGCGCCCTATCATGGACTCAATTGCCGGCTTGTTATCGACAGAAGCAGTAGAGACCAATATATCTGCTTTCCGTTGCCTCTTTGTGGTACTTCGAGATACCCTTGTCTTTCGCTTCAACGGTAACATGGATATTTCTTGTGATTGCGACTTGTCGATTCGAGTCTGCTGATCGGTAGAATTTGTACAGGTTGGAGTAGATTGCGTTGCTTCCCAATGCTGTGCCGTCGATTGACTCTCATTCCAACATGCGGTGTTTCCAACACTAAGCAATGAGCTCGAAATAGCCTGATCCATATGACCTTCCTGATCGGTGCTGTCTCGAGGATCTGTTTCATGCCCCGGTAGTTCCGTCATCACTTTCTTGCTCGTCTGTCCTCCCGTTGTAAGTTCAACGTCGTTTGTAGAGATCTGGACTATCGGGTCCTGTCTGGAGAAGAGGGACTTAGTACTGCTGGGTTTTGGGCTGGAAGTGTTGATTATGTCGACTCCGGCCTCAGTTCTATGTGGTGTAGAAAGTAAATTCGATTCCGGTGAGATTTCTTTATTGCCAATGACACAAGATCTTGAGGATCCTGCCTCTGAACCTTCTTTTCTTTGGCTGGAGGCTTGATGGTCTTCAAAGCGAAACATGCACTCAGCTTCTTCGAAAAATCCCGGTAGCTCGATGATGGGTATAGTTGACGGTATAGTCCTAGAGTGAGAAAGCGCGACATCCCTCGATTCTTCCCGGCTAGGAGATGCGATAGACGATAAAGCGGTAGTATTTTGTGTGGTATGAGTGTTGTTAATAGTGTGAGACGCCCCAGGGGAGGCAGGACTCGGCAGGAGACACGATGTGATTTTCGCTGCATCGCAGATGGGGAAGTTATCCTTGTAATCAGTTGCATGAGAAATAGCTGCTCTTGATCGGACCGCTGTTTTCTGCTGGTGTATGATTTGCACGATCAGTATCAGTACCCTTATTATCAGCCCTAATAATTCGACGTACCTGATATTGGTTGGCGATATCACCGTATATATTGGAAAGTTCTTCCGGCCCAAGCTGGACAGAGGAGCTGGCCTTTTGGATTAAGAGAAGAGAATTCTTCGTACAGTCAAGCTTCTCTGCCTCGACTTCGTTGGCCCTTTTGGAAAGTTTATTTGATTCTCTGTAGGGGTCTTCGGATGTGTTGAAAGACTCGATGGCAGTGTCGAGCACGCTCGAGACATAAGCATCGATCCCATCATTTTTCTCGTTGTTACTGACTCCCAAATTGTTTTCAAGCGGGGGCGGTTCTATCTTCAGAGACGCTGCTTCAAGACGGCTCTGTTGAGGAGTTATATCCCAAGCCACGTCACCTGTTTCCTCTCTCGTAGTTCTAAGAAAATTGGACAGGAATAGCGCTTCATCTTTGTTGACATCGAGTCTTTCCTTGAGGACGTCTCGGAAGAGCTGCAAGAGTTTGGAGGTCCCGTCGAAAGCCTGTCTACCGTCCGTCTGGTAGCTCTGGTCGATATAGATTGATGGATCGATGGTTGTCGAGCAGCGAGCAATGCCGTAGAAACGTGCATACTGTTGAAAAGATGGCTCTCCACGCTCCTCCATAACGACCGAATCTCTGGAAACCGTATGGTCTGTCTGGTAGGTATGTTTTGGGGGGTGAGGAGGATTTGGCGTATGTTGAGACTCACGTGGATGCTACTCTCGAAGCCTAGCCTAAAAGAGTTCTCTCTTCTATTCCAGGCCATCGAAGTAAAGCGAAGATGCCCAAGATATATGTCAAAGATATATGTAGACTCTGAAAGAATTTATTGTAGTTCCTCTATTAACGCCTTGAAGCTGTGTGTGCTAGTATTGATATCCTCCCACAATCTGCAATTGCTTCCTAGTTAGAAACTCCGATTTTGATTCCATGTTCCACCTCGCTTGAATATGACGCCAAATAAAAAAAACAATTGGAGATCAGAGGGCCAGCCTCCTCGTCGATTAGTCGTTGTAGTTAGACTGGCGGGAGCCGTCTTTGTTGACTTTTGGCAGATTGTAAAGCGCAGCCAGCACGTCTTCTTGGGATTTGCCCTCGGGGTCCAGGTATGGACGTTCTGCATGGCAAGCAACTCGAACCGCATGGCGACGGTGGGGGGCAAATCCATAGGTGGCGGTATGATTCTGTTGGTGCCATTAGGATTCTTGATCTTTGATTTTTCGGAATCGAGCAGAACTTACAGTTGTGCGATTGTCCCAGAACGCCACGTCGTTCTTACCCCATTGGAAGCGCGCATGCATCTCTTGGGTTGTAGCAATGACCTCTGTCAAGTATTTGAGAATAGCATCGCTTTCAGTTTTGGGGATGCCGACAATCTTGGTCACAAATCCAGGGTTGAAGAAAAGGCTGTTGAGGCCAGTGACCGGGTTGGTGCGGATAAGGGGATGCTCGGTGGTGACCGGCTCACGGCGAACGGTACGTCCGAGGGCGCGGGTATCAGAGGCTTGCATATTCGCAGAGTGAAGTGCAGTCAATCCCTTGAGGTAGGTTTGCATGTGCGAGGAGAGTGCATCGTAGGCCGCATACTGTGACGACCACAGGGTGTCACCACCTCCGCCACGAGGAGGGCCGGTCAGGACCTTCAAAGAGGTGTATGAGGGTGGTTGGACTTCATAGGTCACCTATAAGGCTAGTCAGTCAAAGATTTTAGTCGACAACGACGAAGGGAAATTTACATCTGAATGCCAAAGGAAGCCAGGTGTGAACAAAGCACGCTGGTCCACAGCGTTTTCCCCGGCGTATACTACATGGACATCCTCCAGCCCTTTCTTGCGGGGAACTGATGTTGTCGCATGCTGTAGAAACGGGAATTAGATAAGGATGACTGGAAAATTGAATTTCGACGGGTGTCGTCAAATACCTTATGAAGTGTGCCAAAATACCGTCCTAGCTCTCTCTGGGCCTCGATATCGAACTCATCCTGGTCTCTGAAGAAAACCACCCCTCTCACTGCAATTAACCTGGCCAAATCATCTTTCTGGGCATGCGTGAGCTTCGCGAGGTTCACGCCATGTACTTCAGTTCCAATTTTAGGGGTATAGTCGAAGACATCGGTCGCGTCGCGAAGTAGATTGCGAAATTTAGGATCTCCACGCAGGCCTTTGTCCTCGTAAGGTAGGGATTCAATTGGGCCCCAGGTGATATCTGGGAACGAGGGAAGCAAGTCTTCATATTCGTAATCCTCATGATTCTTCACAAGAGTGCGGCCAGGTTCATATTGGAATTTATTGCTGCTCTCGATTTGTTTTGCCGGCACTGACTGGATGGGCAATCGCTCCTCGAGTAAGGGTGCCATATTGAGAACGATCTAGTACTTCGATGGATCAAGAGTATTTCCAGAAGGCAAGGAGGCGGCCAGAAGACAATGATTGAATGTGCAGTTGTTGCTGGAAAGAGATTACTGTGAGGAATACAACTGTCCTTATATAGGCGAGGTACCATAGGTTTCTGGGGTAAGGAGGCCCTATGAAACACTATTGGGGATCCATCTAGTCCAGAGCTGACTTGCCATTATTACGCATTCCTGTTGAGTCTTGAGGCGGTAGATCGATGGCGCCATCGCTGGAGATAATCACAACGTCTCTTGAGGTGGATCCGGCTTTCATAAGTCAATTCAGTCTCTTAAGTTCAGTTTATACTTAGGCAGTTAGGTAATCTGCCGTGCAATTAATCAGCTACACTGAGGCTGATTCTGGATTAGACATTGAATCTTCCTGTAGCACGTCATATTCTCTGACGTTATGGCGAGATGCCATCAATTCTGACGAATTGGGAACCGCAGGCACAAGGGAAACCAGGGGAAAGCAGGAGTTCAAGCCGGCTGACCGCCAGTTGTCGTACGAAGCTCCCTGATGATCTGTTTCGAACTAACGTCTCACAACCAGTGGAGCGTAATACTGCGGTGTCATCCTTGATAGTTAGATGTTGATAACTCGATCGCGATCTTGGGAGAAGGAGGCTGTCGGGTTGAGGCTTTGCCTGGAAAGGTTTAGCGTTGGGCGATCTGGGGTGGGATCGTCGATCACGCAAGAGCGTCGGTTTCTTGCGTTCCAGCCTAGGATAGAACGACTCTCCACTACTTACGACGAGAGGAGATTCCAGTCTCTCCTATCTACTCTCAGGGGATGATGGCGTGGCAATTAATGAGGCAGCCGTGGCTTGCTATTAACATTACGAGATGAAACCAGTCTCTGAAGATGCGGAAACCCCTAGAGTCAAATGCAATGCCAGAAAAGGTTTCCCGTCAATATAGCCATTCATGATATTCACCGATTTCAGGGGTAGTAATATACAAGAGAAGATTCCTGACTATGTCCTTCCGATGGGAGTTTGCACCGAGATCCACTAAAACCGGCTGTCGCCCATAGACGGCGGGCCGAGGACAACCTCTTGAACTTGCTCCTTGACACTGCCCAGTCGACTGGCCACCCCCAAGATTCCACTCTCAACATCTCCGAGGACGGCTGCCAGGTCATTGAGTGCGGAAATAGGCGTTCCGCCGCCACCTGCCGCCCCCTCGCGATTCCTCGACGCCACAAATTCGTTGATCTGTCTGCTGAGGGTGAGCTCGACATTGTGTAGGTGATCCTCGATATCTTTCAGGTTGCGCTTGTAGCGGTCAAGGACCGATCCCATCTCATCGGAACGCTGCGAAAAGTAGTCCACTAGGTTGACAGGAATCCCGTTGATCGAGGTCGCGGTTGACGGGTCGCCCTCAACCTCATCGGGGAGGGCGAGGGTGTTCTTGCGGGTAGAGCGAAGCGACTGTCGGTCGGGCAATTTCTGGTCTTGGGCAGACCACCACCCGGCTCCTCCAGCAGTTTGATACTGCATCGGCAGCTTCAGTGTGTCGATGGAGCGGAAGGCAACCTGCGCCTCCGCCGCATCTCGCGCCACCAAGTTGCGCAGCTGATCGATGTCACTGGCGTCGTTCTCTAATGCGTGTTGTATGGTATCAAGTTTTCCTTGCACGAACTCGACATCATTCGGGATCGTGGACCATTCGCTCTCCAGGGTCGGGAAAAGATAGGTAATTTCGTTGCACATCTTGATCTGATTGAGAATGAAAGCATCCATTCTTTCGATTGAATCTTTGATCTCATCAGCGCAGCTCTCGAACTTGGTTGTCGGCAGGAGATTGCTCAAATCGATCTTCACGCCGGGGACCACGGTGCTTGCTGCTGCCGGCTGCTGTTGGGGCTGTTGTATCCCAGTAGGCTTATTGCCAAATAAGGAGAGTGTAGGGGTCTGGTTCTGGGTTCTGTTTGGATTTTGTTAGCTGAAGCAGAAGGACACCACAGACAAAAACATGTTTCCTTACGTAGTAGTCGAAGCCCCCAGTCCACCGAAAGGAGTTTTGTTCTGGGTTTGCGCAGCAGAGGCGCCGCCCAGGTTTCCAAACAATCCACCACCAGTAGTACCACTTTGCGTGGTGTTGCCTCCAGCTGTAGCTCCTCCAAATAGCCCGGTTGACTGAGGCTGTGATGCAGCTGGTGTTGCGCTTCCAAAGAGACCCCCACCGGTTGTTGTGCTGCTTTGTTGCTGGCCACCCAAGCCCGAAAACATATTGGTACCCGTCGATGATGGTTGCTGCGTAGTTGTGTTTCCAAATAGGCCACCACTCGGTTTTGTAGAGCCACCAAGGTTTCCGAATAGACCTCCACCAGTTGCGCCTGACGTTCCAGTAGCTGCTGGAGTGGTCGCAGAGGCAGCTTGAGTGTTGGTGCCGCCGCTTTTGATAAAAGTAAAGTATTAGCCTTCCATTCCCAAGGTCACCGAGTAGATTCTCTGGCCTGTCCTCGCTCTCTAGGGTCTAGACGAGAAAACAGGGATTGCTAGCCTGATGGGCGGCTATGCAAGGGAAGTTGTGCACTCACAACAAAGAATTGGCGGTGTTTGTATTGACCATCAGGCCGCCTGGGGCAGCACCTGTCGTCTTAGGCGCAAACATTGTGGGCCGAAGGACTGTCCGAGAACAAAGGAATGCTGATTGAGCCACAGGGAATGCGCCCTCTCCCAGTCCCAGCTTTGGCGACTTCCCCGACAGGGCGGCCCGAAAACAAAAGCCAGCCTAGGATGGACGGGGAAAGATTTCCCGCGCCGAGATCTGCTTAACCCGAAATAGAAATAGTATATCAACCTCACGTCAAGCTCCTTCCTTTGTAAAGAGTCATTATTCTCTCATTCTGAATTGACCTACATGTTGTTGAGACAGCCAGCACTCTCCCAAGTGAAGTAAAGTATTCAAAGAGCATTGAATTATCTGAAACTTGGTCAATCAGATAAAATTGGAGACTGAAAGCCCACCTAGTGCCGTGAATATTACTACTACTCAGTGATATCTCCAGATTCCTATTCTTGGTGTCCACTATTGGTTTCATTGTGCTATGGTTAATTCACATTGCATTATGGATCATAAGAAAAGATCTGTTTTGATTGGTTTTTCTGGTTTCTAGATATAGCAGGTCTAGAAAGAAATTTTCTTCAGGTTCCGAAGTCACTCATCATATAAAACAGCCTATAATTTTCTTCTTTTTGGAGGATAAGCTACTCTTTTTGCTTATTTAAATCCTTTATAAGCCTTGATTCTTTCCCTCAGGAACAGTATCTTCCTTTGGACATCATGGAAGCCAGAGCATCTGACTGGCAACCGGTATGCGTTGCCTCAACTCGAGGGTCTGATGACCAACCGAGGATAGAAAATGAGAAGGGTTCATATGACGGGTCTATTGAGCAGAAATCAAACTTCTACAAATATGCAGAGTGGTAAGATGGACAATGTCTTCTTGCAATGCGTTGAGCTCACATGGACGTACTAGGTCACCGGATGGCACCACCATTCTAACAGACTCTGCCGACCACCATATTCGGACGTACATATTGTGAGTACTTTCCCTCGAGAGGTAGTCAAATTGCCGTCTGACTTGGTTTATTCAGGCCCCCAGATCTTCTGGAAGAAAGAGAACAACCTCTTCAGTTGACACCTTATTCAATCTTGCCTTCGGTGGAGCCAACTTATGCGACTGCTATATATCCCTTCTTTTCTTTACAGGATCCATCGACGACTGTGTTTTTGTCATCTGTCAGAGACCATCCTATTCGACTCACATCAGCTCTTGCACCACATACATTTGCGACGTACTCGCTCATTCATCCAACAACGGAAGCCTTTATCACACCCCATTCTATTATCTATCCATTAAGCCTGGGCGGGACACATTTCCTGACTGGCTCGGACAGTCTCATATGTCTTTTTGATGTCTCACGCCCAGGGACTGACGGGCCTGTTTCCAGAATGGCCACGATACCCAGCAAACGGAGGCAAATTGTCGGCGGGGGCGTCGGTATGAAAGGCATCGTTTCAGCATTGGCTGTCAGTCCTACGGAAGATAGCTTGTTAGCTGCTGGAACGTTCACCAGACACGTTGGACTGTACGGGTCCAACGGCTCGGGGGAGATGCTTGGAACTTTCAGTATTGCAAAGACAGACGCCGACCGTCAAATTGGTGGAAGAGGAGTCACTCAGATTTGCTGGAGTCCGTGTGGTAGATATCTCTATATTGCAGAGCGAAAGAGCGATGGTGTGTTGGTCTATGATATCAGAGTCACAGGTCAGCTCATGGCATGGCTGCGAGGACGCAAGGCTTTTACGAACCAACGCATGAAGATTGATATTGTACCTTCAGGAGAAGATGGCTCTCACGAGATCTGGGCTGGAGGAACGGACGGGTTTATGAGAGTCTGGAAAGATCCTGCCCTTTCAGTAGGAGCTAAGGATCCTGACTGGGAATGGAGAGTACATGATGGTAAATACTTTTGGCTCTTGTCTTTATGGAAATGAAGATTTGGGCATAAATGCTAATGTTATATAGACGCTGTGACGAGTGCCGCTTTTCACCCTCAGGGGAACGTGGCAGCGACATGCTCTGGTCAGAGACGCAACCAAGATTTCGAAATGGCCGATGGCAACGGAGAAGACGAGCAATATGGCCAGGGGGACAACAGCCTCAAAGTCTGGTCACTGCCGTTTCTTGGGGAAAGCATAAATGGCGAAAGAAGCTAAGGGCAGCCAGAATACCTCGAAACTGGCTTGTCTACACCACTCGAAGGAACCGAAACCAGCTAAGCGTCTGTTTCATCTGTTGTTGGTCTATCGACTCGATGGCTACACTCTCAGTGAGGACTGCGGCCAACCGGCGGCCAGAATGCTGAACCGGAGGCTTCCATTTTATCACGGTCCCACAACTGTCCACCGTTTTTGGAAATGGGTGGGCTCGAGAACAATATCAGAGCCCAGCCTTGCCCTGATCCGCCTTTCCCTGACGAAGGCTGGGGTTCAGTATGCATATCTCTTACTTGAGGTTCAAAGTGAGAGCAACATGTTTTTCGCAGCACCCAAACTGAACTGCCACCCATGATTTTTTCTTAGGTACTCAGGCTGATTTTGCAGCTGTTCTAATGAGGGTCAGTTTATCAACCCAAATTTATCTCATTCATCGACATCTCCCCCAACCCCCCTATTCACTCTTTCTTCAGTATACAATAGCATTGAATCAGCATTGTATACCTTTAACCCCATTGACCTGAAACAAGCATCCCTCATTGTCTTTCTTATTTGGAGGGCTGGTATATTCGACTACCTCCTGCCCCCCGTTTCCCAAACCCTCTCCCAATATCTTCGTCCGTCTGGCTTCAGAACCTCACCTTCTCTCGACCCTTCCCCCCAACTTTCTTCTCTACCCAACCTGTCCCCCAGTTCCCTCCCTCTTATCTTGAACATCTACATTCAACATATCAAACTCATATCGAAAACACCTCATCTAACAGATTCCAGTCATGTCGTCCCAGGAACACGAGTTCGAAGAGCTTTACAAGGCCCTGCAGCTGGCAAACAGTTTCCCTGGTTACGACAACGGGGATGGCTATGGGATGCCCGACCATGAATATCCCGAAATCGCGCTTGATGACCCGTAAGTGGTTGCCCATCCCTCATGGTTTGATATTTGTTTTCTAACACGTCTTGACAGCATCTGGGATGAGTTCTTCGACTTTGATCCAAAGCCTGATGTGTCTGGCATTGAAGACTTCGTCAATGCATCTGATTCCACTGTTCCCAACCATGCTTCTTTGCAAGCTGAGGAGACCCCCTCGGGTCTAACCACTCAGGAACCCAGTCTTCACAATGATATGGCCCAGAAGAACAACCAAGTCAAGTATGTTGTCCTGTTTGCAAGTGTGTACATCGTAATATTGACAGTATTAGTGCTGGAATTCCCATGACCACTCCTTCGCGTTTGAGCCTTGATTCAACCGTGACTGCGGCGAGTCCCTTGGGCCTTGCCATCCAGGAAACCAATCTTGACGATTCTATGGCCCAGAAGAACAACCAAGTCAAGTATGTCCCCCTGTTTGCAAGTATGTCTAGTATTGTTTTGACAGTAGCAGTACTGGAAATGTCATCGCCACTTCTTCTCCTTCTTTGACCTTGAACACTGCTTTAAGCCCTTCGTCCCAGGGCTTCCCCTTGACCAGCTCGGCCTCTGTCAACAAAGGTGAAGGGCTCACTGCTAACTCCCCCGGTGCTAGCGTCACCAAACCTTCCTACAGACCGTCTGCTGGCTGTGCTACCAAGGCACTCTACCAAAACCGCACTGTGCAGATGGCCTCGCCTACTACTCCAAGTGAAAACTACGAAATCTTGCATTTTGTAGAAGGCCTGCCGTTGCCAGGTCCAGAACTTCCGAAGATGGCCCAGCTCATGAATCCCCTTGCTTTTGGCCTGGACACTAAGACCATCTTCCAGTCCATCGCAGAGGCACGTGCTTATCGGGAGTTCAGGGAAGAAGTCCACCATGATCCAACCTTGCCAACAACTGATCTCCAACGATGTGCAATTGTCAAGGCTTTGGTCCGTGCTTTCAACAATATGGATGGTATCAACAATGACGGAAACGACATGAAGAATATGTTCGCGAACAAGAAATATTCTGACTCCGTGATCGAAGCCGCATGTTGGAAAATCTTGGTAAGGAACATCAGCTACATTATTACTTCAGCTACCACACTAACACGTTTTAATAGCATGCATGTGAGAAACGCCATACCTATGGACCCCTGCTGCCCAATTATGGGATCAAGACCACAACACGCGGCCGTATCCCTACGTTTGCGCAGCGCATGACCCATATCATCTATTACTTGACCGTAAGTCCAACTTCGAATTAAAGACATCGGGGCCTGGATTCTGACCAACGATAGTACTCGAAAACTGGCTGCAAGCAGATGGTAGCAGCTCCAGGCATCAAGAATATCGTCGATGACCCATGTGAATTCGTAAAGGTAAGACTATATATTTTGCTTCATTGACAAGTTTGATCTGACTTTACGACCTAGCGTATCAAAACCAACAAACGTCTCAACGATAAAAAAGGCCAAACTCTCCAGAGAAACAAAGAAGCCCAGAATTCGCAGAACCCTGAAGCCAAGGCCACCGAACCCAAAGGCAAAGGGGAAAAGAAGGCTGAAAAGCCTACTGCCTCGGCCATGGAACTGCCACACGCTGCTCAGGATTCTCCAGGCCCTATGGGAGTCCAGACGCCTCAGATTCTTCGACAGACAGAGGCAATTCCTGCCACTACGCAGAGCCGTCAGAAGCCTGACCCTATTGGAGTGCGAATGCCTGTGCACCCAAGCCTGAACGGGCCTATGTCTGCCACTCCGACCGCCCAGCAGCCTGGCCTTGTGGGAATTCGAACCCCTGTGCACTCAGGCATGAACGTGGCCCTGACTATCACTCCAGAGAGCCGTCAGAATTCTGGCGTTAATGCAGTTCGAATGCCTGCACACTCAAGCCTGAACGGGGCCATTTCTACCACTCCAAGCCCTCAACAGCCTGGCCTCGTGGCAGTTCGAACACCTGTGAACCCAAGACCTAACGGGATCATGTCTACCGCTCCAAGCCCTCAGCAGCCTGGCCTTGTGGCAGTTCGAGCGCCTGTGAACCCAAGACCGAACGGGGTCATGTCTACCACTCCGAGCCCCCGGCAGCCTGGCCTCATGGCAGTTCAAAAGCCAATGCACCCAAGCCTGAATGGGGTCGTGTCTACCGCTCCGAGCCCTCAGCCTGGCCTTGTGGGAGTTCGGACACCCGTGAACTCAAGACCGAACGGGGCCATTTCTACCACTCCGAGCCCCCAGAAGACTAACCTCATGGGATTTCAAACGCCTATGCACCCAAGCCCGAATGGGGCAATGTATACTGCTCCGAGCCCCCAGAAGCCTGGCATCAGAGTGGTTCGAACGCCTCAGAACCCGAGACAGAATGGGGCTATAGCTGCCAGACAGCAGAGCCCCCCGAAGCCTGACGATCTCTCTGGTTTCATAAGCCCGGAGGCGATGCAAGGTTTTATCACCGGCTTGTCTGCCTATGACCCTACTCCCGTTCTGCGGGAAGCTCCAGTGGTCACTGCCAGTCAGGGGGCATTTGATGGCAACCCTGCTACTGTTTCACGCAATCAGATGCGTGCCGCAACCCCCATGATGGCTCCTGCCTCTCAGCCCATGAACATGCCTGCTGTCATGGGAAATGTCTATCCATATGGCATGCAAATGACGCCTTCGCCTGCCATGTACCATCCTATGTTCCAGCAAAATATGGCTATGGCTGGCTTCTATCCTTCACCTGCGGTACAAAACCCATATGCCACCCCGATGCATTCACGGTCTACCTCTGGTGCAAGCCAGCCCTCGATGTTGGGTTCCCCCTATCCTACTCCTCAGAGTTTCCATCGTGGAATGGCTGCCTCTGGTATGGAGAACAGGATCCCCACGAACATGATCGCGGCGCCTGTACCCAATGGGCCTCAGAAGCGGTCGATCTCTCAAGTCTACGGCCAGCAGTACGATAACTTGCCTGCCAATAAGCGTCAGTGCTGATCCCGGATCCTCGCACACCATGCCGATCCGGAGGCTGTCTCCTCTGCCAAATACCTTACTATTTTTGACGACTATCGAGTTTCCATATCTCTGATTCTGTGATTGATCATGTTTTCTGCTTCTCTCCCTCGACGGCGTCGAATTTTCCCCTGCTCCTAGCTATCTGATTAGGTTTTCCTAAGCTTACCCTGTTGCTCTATGAGCTCAGGAGTTGATAGCTCTCTTGATCGATGTTTTTTATTCTTCCTTTTTTCTTCTAAGGCATTGCTTTCGGGTTGGTTCCGTTTCCATGCTTTCTTCCCCTTCCCCATTGGCTTTTTCTCCCTTAATGCAAACGTCGTCACCTCAGACACTAGGTTGTTACTATGTCTCGTTGCGGTCTATCGGAGAGTCGTCCTGGAAGCTTAGTTTATGGTGTGGCTGGCGTGTTTACTGCTGATAGATATCTCTTCTTTCTGGCGATGGTTCTTGCTTCCGAATCCCCTCCAACTGCCTTATGTTATTTTACTCTAGTTTACACTTCAAGGTTATGCATAATGACGCGTTTAATTTATTTCTTAATCATTACTGCTTCAGCCCTTCAAGACAAAACCTCCCCTACGCCCTTGAAGCTTTCATTTCTCAGCGCCTCGCTAGATTTTTCTTTCTGTTTTCTTTCTTGAAGGATATCTTGTCTTCGTTTGGTTTATGTGCCACAGGAAGTTCAGTTTCCTAGAGAAATTTGATGAAACCTTGGTCCTTGATTTACGCCACGTAAATGCCGTACTTCTCATACGGGAAATTCTCGAGCGTGGTAAGAAGCTCTCCCATCCCATCATTTAACTGGCCAGGCGATCCAGAGCCCTGTACTCTCCAGGCTTGAAGAGCCTCCGCCTCTTTCTCCGCCGCGGACTTCTCTTCCTCTTTGTGCTGACCCGTCAAGCCGGCCAGGACTTCTTCCTCGCGGCCCGTGTATGCTTCCAAAAGACCCGGATGAGGGCACCAGACCACTCTCATCCCTGCTCTACGGCCGGCCTCAACGCCGGGGACGGCATCTTCGAAGACAAGACACTCGCTGGGCGAGATCTCCTTCTCGCCCTTCTGCCGAAGATTTGCGTTGATCGTTTCCAGTGCGAGCAGATAGATGTCTGGCAGAGGTTTACCACGCCCCTTTCCGATCCGGGGATCGTCTCCCAGAACACGCTCAGACTCGGGAAATGCAGAGAACAGCTCTGGCAAGTGGTCAGACTTCAGCTTGAAGTTTGCCTTGTGAGATGAGGTTGCCAGCGCAATATACACGGGCTTATCAGTCGACTGGGTTGCGACCAGCTTGGAAAGCAATGTCATGACACCAGGGAGTGGCTGAGACCGAGGGAAGTATTCGCGCTGCAGAGCGACTTGTTTCTGTGCGTACTCCTCATGGGAGATGGGGAGCTGAGCCCACTCATGGAAGATTTTGGTCGCCTATATACAAACCATTAGTCAACAAGCTTCTGGATTTGCTACTGTTCCAGAAATCCCTGGGGTAGACATGTACCTCAGGCGCCGGCCTTCCCTGCAGCTGAGCCTTGATTGACCATGGGAGCGATGGCTTTCCGTACTCGTGCAGAATTTTGTTAGTGACAGCCGAGTAAAGATCCTCGGAGTCGATTAGGAGGCCATCCATGTCGAAGAGACAAGCCCGTACGGGGGCCGTGCTGCGGGGATATATTTTCAGCGACAAGACGAAGGCATGACTACTAGCCAGCTGCAACTGTCACTCACATGGGGGAGGCGGAGGCCATTGTATATACAGTCTAGAAGAGAAAGAAAGAGAAAAGAATGGCAGAAACCCTCTTTTGCCAAGGGACAGCGACAGTTGTCTAAATACTAGTAACGAACAGGAGTTCCAGATACCTAAAGAGGGGAAGCCTGCTTACTACCAGCGGTATCCACTTTTGGAAGCTCATTATCCGCGTTTCTTGACCGCCAACGAACTGGAAGTGATTAATTACTTTTATTCCTGAATAACTAGCCATAATGGCAGGCAGTGACTCGATAGCTGGATCTGATAAGAAGATCGATACAGCAGTGGATAATCCTACTAATGATGCAAGTGATGAGGAAGATGTCTTTCACGATGCGCGGTTCCCCGCTGAGGAGGAAGCTGTGAGTTAACTACATTTAGTCCCTGGGGAGGTTTTGATGCCGAAACTAATACGATTTCTTGATACCAATCTAGCGCCTATTAGAAGAATCTCATAGTATTAAACTAGAAGCTAACCAGCTGTTTACCTCTGCCTGCTATGACCAAGCTATCTCCTGCTACGATCGTGCCCTCGCCTCATGTCCAAATTACCTTGACTACGAAGTGGCTGTCCTGCGAAGCAATATTTCTGCTTGCTATCTGAAGCTAAAGGATTGGAAAGCGGCCGTTGATTCTGCGACTGCATCTATCGAGTGCTTGGACAAGGTGGTTCCCCCGCCAGCGCAGCAGACTGCAGACCACTCCAAGGATGAGCTGCCAGCCGCAGGGCATCAGGATGGAGGTGACACTGTGGTGGAAATAACCGGTGATGATGAGGAGGCGGAAAAGGAGGAGCTCGAGCGCCTGAAAAGGCTTGATGAAAGGAGACGGGACGTCCTACGAATACGAGCGAAAGCGCTTATGAGGCGGGCACGGGCGAAGACTCAACTCGGAGGCTGGGGCAATCTTCAGGGCGCCGAAGAAGACTACAAGGCTCTGGCCGACATGGAGAATCTACCACCGGAGGATAGGCGGATTGTGCAGACAAGTCTTCGCGAGCTGCCCCAGAAGATCAAAGAGGCACGGGAAATGGAAATGGGAGAGATGATGGGCAAACTCAAGGAGGTAAGCATCGCGCGGGGAGAAGATATGAGCAGGCGCATTTGAACTGACAACTATGCTCCCTCTCCAGCTGGGCAATGGCATTCTGAAGCCTTTCGGACTATCAACTGAGAATTTTAAATTCGTCCAAGACCCAAAGACCGGCGGATATAGTATGAACTTCCAGTCATGATAAACGGGTTGTATTTTCTAGCCTTGAGATAGGGAGGGTATCAACCTTTCGTCACTCCATCGACCGGGAGGCTGCTGTCAGTTTGGCCTGTATCATAATAGAACTGCTGGTTCCTCTGGTGTCTTGTTGAACAACAACTCAAAGGGCAAGACGTTGAAACGATATTCCCCTCGAGTCGTGATGTAGAGTCATCGCTGCCCATGTGGCTTATCCGATGGTGGGGCATACGAGCTGCTTTCCCTTTTAAACCCCTCTGCAGCCCCCCCTCGTTAAGCAAACCAGGAGGAAACGATCCGGAATCACTCTTTGTTTTCAATTGCAAGGCTTGAAAGGTGAAATGTCTAAAGTTCTCAGGACATCCTCGTTGGGAGAAATCCGGGGGAAGGTCGGAGACCGCGTGGTCCAGTACCTTGGAGTCAAATATGCGGCATTGAAGAACCGATTGGCAGAACCAGAGCTTGTGGAGAGCCGTGACGGAGAGATCCTGGATGCTACCAAAGATGGGTAAAGATCTACAGCTATCTAGAAATGTTGACGAGACTGTTGACTAACAACCCTCGGGGCTGTTCTTTAGGCCAACGACAGTGTCGCCTCCCGGGGGGTGGGACATGGAAGTAGCCCATATGCAGCACGCGCTCCCCAAGAAAGAACTTGCCCAGTCTGACGTTGACTGCTTAAACTTGAACATAACCGTGCCGGAAGGCACTGTCGCGTCTCCGAATCTTCCGGTGTTCGTGTTCATCCACGGCGGCGGCCTGAGTGTAGGAGCGAACTCGTGGCCGCAGCTTGACTGTGCGCGGCTTGTCAAATTATCAAGCGAGAAGAACGTTCCCATTATTGCTGTGTCAATGAAGTAAGATGAATGCCGTCTATTTCGATGACTCTCCCTGAACAATCTACTTAGCTATCGAGTGGGTGTGTTCGGATTCTTGACCTCCGAGGAATTGCGCAATGCAGGATACAAAGCCAACAATGGTCTTCGCGACCAAATAGTCGCTCTCCGATGGGTGCAGAAGCACATCCGTGGCTTTGGTGGTGACCCAGAGAATGTGACGCTCTGTGGCATGAGCGCTGGAGCTGGTAAGGGCAGCCCGCCTCTGATACTAGTTAATCGGTAAGATGGTTAATAAGATCTAGCGTCGGTTACATATCATCTACAGTCCGACGCCCAGCTTTTTAAAAGGGCCATTGTAATGAGCGGCTCTTATTATGCTACCTCCCCCATGCCCTTGGGCGCCCATGAAGCGAATTACAAGAAAGCCATTGAAGCGTTGGGACTGGCGGGCCAGTCCCCTGAGGAGAGAATCAGGGTCTTGCTGGAGACTCCAGGGCCTGAATTGATCTCGAAGTTCCCTCCACATATTGTGAGAGTTGCACCGGCTATTGATGGTGAAGTTGTTCTGCCACTTCAGTCACTCGCGCAGACTGCTGAGGGCAAGGCCAATGGGTCTAAAGCGAGAGAATATTGCACGGAGCTGTTGATCGGAGATGCCCAATGCGACGTAAGACTCTTGAACCTCGAGTCCAACAGAGTCTCATTTTCACTGACACATTAATATTCCAATAGACAAGTATCCTCGCATTTCTCATGCCCCATCTGAAGAATGGCTGCGCAAAGAAATTCCGGTCAGCCATCAACTCAGTTCTCATCTCTTTTCCCACGGCGGCGCAGGAAATCCTCGACAAATATGGAATCAGCGATGCCGAAGACGACAAAGCATTTCTGGGAATTCTGGACTTCGCCAGTGATGCCATGTACACTGCACCCGTCCTATCTCTTGCCAAGGGCTGGAACGGCAACGCCTATGTCTACTATTTCAACGAGCAGAACCCTTGGGAGGGGCCTTGGAAGGGAAAGACAAACCATATCCTCGACCTAACGTACCTTTTCCAGAATTTCGAGGAGTTCCTGACACCCGAACAAAAAGCCGTCGGGGCCGTCTTCGCCGAGGACTTTTGCAAGTTTTGCCATGGAATCGCACCATGGACAGCAGCGGGGCAGAGAGAAGACTTTACTGCCAGAGTCTACGGCCCTGTTTCTGAAGGAGTCACAGCCACAACGGTGTCACAGCCATATGGAGGGGAAACAGGGCGGCGAAGCATCCTGTTCGAGTACACGGACAAGATACCGTTGGACGAGTTCATGAAGGTCTTCGGGGCCTTTATGACGCGTTGAGCGATGCTACAACCGCATACATAAATTTCTATATTATTCTTATAGAGTATAATAGAGTATAGAACTCTCTGGGCGATATGCAAGGACCCGTTTTCCGCTGTACAACCCCTCCCTGTGTTATTCTCCGTCATCACCTTGTCTTATGTGAGACCAGACCAATAGACGGGAGTTTTCAGCACACTGTCAGCCCCGGAGATTTCTGGAGTGGAGTACAGCCTATAAGTTCTGGAAAAGGGCTTGTTTCCGACGAGTCATCTTAAAAATCCGGGAGAAGGGCGGGGGGAGAGATGAGCGCTCGGCGCCCGCGGATTCCGTGAAGGATATTTTTTCTCGAACAGGTTGATAAGCCTCACTCACACTCGGGGATAACTATTTAAATAAAAAAGAGCTCCTGCAGTCTTGAATATGGAGGTTGTTCTATTATCTGTCACCCCTTAACTACTCCACTTTACTTCTCCCTTTCTTGTGATACTACGGAGTAGTAGTAACTATTGAGTCAGTTTTTTCCCCGCAAATGGGGACACGATTTATATCGTGGATCTCGAGGTCGGAGAAAAGATCCACAAAGCCTAAATGGATCGCGTTCCGATCGTCGAGAGGGTTCATCTGTTTTGTGGTTACGATTGCAGTTTTCACGGTACGTGGGAATGGTAAATGTTGAGTTTGGACTTCTGTTGACGGTGTATACTAGGATGTTTTCCTCTATGGAATGGTGAGTAAATGAAGGCTAACAAAACGGATTACCTTCTGAATTCTGCCTAGATCTTTGCTGACGATGACTAGATCGTCCCTGTCACCCCGACTGCTCTGCAGCAGAAAGTGGGATTGTCATCAGACCATGGTTCGTTGACGTTCAAGTATAATTTCAAGAAGAACCCATACTGATATCACGATAGAACAGAAATGGACTTCTATCCTTCTTGCTCTCTATGCAGCTGCCTTGCTGGCGGTTTCTCGTATGTTCCCCGGCAAAAAATCAAGATGAAGGAATGAACTGACCGATGTGCGCGAAAGCTGTCTCCGGCTACCTGGCCGATCGGATGCAAACTAGACGATGGCCATTGCTGACAGGTCTCGTGGCGCTGGCAGCGTCTACATCGCTCCTCTGTGTTGGGAACACCCTTGGCCTTTGGATCGCGGGTCGGATTTTCCAGGGGGCATCGGCCGCGGTGGTCTGGACGGTGGGACTGGCGCTGCTGGTCGACACAGTCGGAAAGGAGAGCCTGGGCCAGTTCTTGGGCTACACGTCCATGGGACTCAGTCTGGGGGCCATGACGGGTCCGCTCTTGGGTGGTGTGATTTACCAGAGTGGCGGATACTACGCCGTCTTCGCGACTGCATTTGCTGTGATTGGGGTGGACATTGTGCTTCGACTGGCGCTCATTGAGAAGCGACATGCAGCACCGTGGCTGGAGTCGGAGAAGGTGTCAAGAGAAGAACAAGTGACTCACTATTCGCAAGAGACCAAATCCGTGGCTACCGAAGCAGACAGAACAGCCATCGCAGAGAAACCGGTCCCCGCCGTGCTTCGTCTGCTCGCGTCTCCGCGTCTTTTGTCTAGTCTCTGGTCCTACTTCATCATTGCGTTACTCCTGGCTTCCTTTGACGCCGTTCTCCCCCTCTATGTCCAAGACACATTTGGCTGGGAGCAGACGGGCCAGGGTCTGATCTTTATTCCCATGTCAATCCCTCAGCTCATCAATCCAGCAATCGGGGCATTTATCGACAGATATCCCGGTTCACGCCGGTACCTCGGTGCAGGCAGCTTCGTCTGTTCTGTCCCAGTCTATGTCCTCCTGCGGCTGGTGACACACAACTCGATGCAGCAGAAAATCCTATTGTGTGCTCTGTTGACCCTTCTTGGTGTCTGCATTGCCGTTCTGATCCCAGTCATTATCCTTGAGATCAACGAGATCGTCGAGGAGGAAGAGAAGAAATCTCCAGAGAGCTTTGGAAAAGGGGGCGCCGTAGCACAGGCCTACGGCATGTCAAACGCCGCCTTCGCTGCTGGCAGTCTAGCCGGGCCCTTTTTCGCAGGCTACATTCGGACCAGCGCAGGATGGGGCACGATGGCATGGACTCTTGGGTTGCTCAGCGGGGTGACAGGACTCCCGGTAGTCTTGACTGTAGGTGGATGGATTGGAACCAAGTCAACGGGCCCAGCAGTCGAAGAGAGGGTGGAGGCGTAAATAAGCAGTACTACTACGAACTACCTAGGTATTCAGTTAGTAACCAGGAAAAACTGACGAGTCATTGATTAGGAAAACAGCCATTTTCGAGGAATCTGTTTCTTGACTTCGTATTCTTCCAGACTGTACACAACCAATAAAGACTATCGTTGATAGAAGACGGACTCACAAAGACGAAACGATGAAGTCACTCTGATACCCCCACGTGACCTCGCGCTTTCGCCAGAGCGAGAAAGCGCGAAGTCCTTCATCGGGCCTCATAACCGCCGACGCCCGGCCAAACAAGGCCGAACCACGACGTTCCTTGGCAGACAGGCCCCTGGTTATGGAGAAGAATCACCAATTTACCCCAGGTCCATTTGTCGATCAAATTCTGTTTCCTGCTGCTTTCATGGAGGGTTATCCCGAGCACCGACTTGGCGTCCGACATGGAAGCAAGAAGGGTTGATCCTCGCTCTTTGCTACAGAAAGTCCGTGGAAATGCAGGACTATCTGATCGCGAGGAAACGCAGATCGATGATAAATATCTTGCCATGGACTATCATTCCTGCAAACAGGCTTGACCATCGGTTGTGGCATTCCAAAACGTTTTGGGTTGCCCGCGGTAACAAGGAGCAGTCAGTTGTGTCTCTGTTTGCAGCAAGGACAGACACCAGACTATCTAAAACAGTGAAACAACAACAATTTCCTGGGAGATTGGTTGATTAAGCTTTGCCTTTTTTAATCGATCGAATTCTCGGTTTCGGGTTTCCTACGAGGTCTTCAATCGTCCCTCAGCTGTTGCGATCCTTCCAAAGCTAGAAAGCAACTACAGGTAAGCGTTGAATGGGTCGATACTGTGTTGCTTTTCTTCGTACTGACTGAGTGTCAAGAAAGCCATGTCCGCAACATCTGGGCCTCCCTATGCCCCTACTACAGCCGCGGTGGGAGGTGTGCCTACCGTTGGACTTGACGTACCGATATGCGCTGTCTTCATTCTCCTCTTCATCGGTGGTGCGGTCTCCCATATGACTCTGTTCAGACGCAACATGGCGAGGGATCACAAGTTCATTCCGTCTGCGGTGACCTTTGGTTTCTGTATGTCGCGGATCATCGCCAATGCCATGCGGATCGCGTGGGCGTGCCAGCCGCACAGCGTCTCTCTCGGAATCGCCGCCACGATCTTCGTCAACGCAGCCATTGTTTTGCTCTTCATTCTCAATTTGATCTACGCCCAGCGAATGTTGCGAGCCGCACACCCACACATCGGCTGGGCAAAGCCGGTGTCGTTGTTTTTCAAGTTCGTCTACATGCTCGTGGTCGTCAACATTATCATGTTGATCACGGCGATCGTGCAATCCTTCTATACGCTCAACGGCAACACGCGCCGTATTGATCGTGACATTGAGCTGTATGGTACCACCTGCGTTGCAGCCATCGCTTTTCTACCACTGCCTATCGTTTCTTTTGTGCTGCTGTTTCCTCGACGCATCGAACGCATCGATAAGTTCGGCAAGGGCAGCTGGCGCGCCAAAGCCTTTATCGTCGGTATCGGGGCGGTGCTGCTCTGCCTGGGCGCGTCTTTCCGCGCCGCAACCAACTGGATGCCTCCGCGGCCGCTGGATGACCCTGCCTGGTACGACAGCAAGGCCTGCTTCTACGTCTTCAACTTCACCATCGAGATCATCGTGGTATATTCCTACCTGCTTGTTCGGATGGATCAGCGTTTCCACGTCCCCAATGGGAGCTCTCGCCGCCGACACTACCGCGGGCCGGGACCAGAGTCCGACGTGGAAGAGGGCGTGGATGTCGACGGCGAGCAGGATAGTACTACTGTCCAATACCTTGAAAGCGGAGAGGACCGTGTGTCGGCTACTCACCCACCATCGCGAGACTCGGAAAGCACCCAAGTTCCTGAAAAGCAGGAATCCGAGAAACAGATCTCGGAGAAGCAGGCTTCCGAGCAGTCTTAATTCAAGAAGAACAACTTCATGTGATTAGATAATAGCTGTTTATTCTGTATACTGATTTAATGACTTCATTCCGATGTCAACATCGCATCACATAACTACCTAGCTAGTAGTAAGAACACGGTTTGTAGATAGACACAGACCAAAGTACCCATCTGCAAACGAAAGACAACGAACGAAAACCAAAATGGCCACCCAAGATCTCGAAGCCCACAAGCTCTTCCAGGTCGAAGGCTACGTCGCCGTCGTCACCGGTGGCGGCACGGGCATCGGCCTCATGGCCGCGCAGACGCTCGCAGCAAACGGGGCCCGCGTTTATATCATCGGCCGGCGCAAGGATGTCCTCGAGGCGGCAGCCATGAAGTACAGCTCCAAGGGGGAGATAGTACCGTATTTCTACTCTTTCTCTCATTCTCATTCTCTTTCCATGGCTTCTTCTTTTCTACAGCTGAAAAACTTATACTTATGTTGAAGGCTACCCGGCGACATCTCCCACCCAGACGGCATCCAAGCCATCGCCGACCTGCTCTCCGAGCTGGAATCCTCGGGCATCAACATCCTGATCAACAACGCGGGTGCCGCCCCGGAACACACCGCCAAACACTCGACAAGCAGCACGGATCTGACCTCTTCCCATGCGATCTCGAAATGGATGATCGCCGACGGCGTCTCAGCCTGGCATACCAGCTACGTGGCGAATGTCGCGAGTCACCATTTCCTAACAGCCTCCTTGTTGCCGTTACTCGATAAAGCCAAGGAAGCAGCCCCAGGACATACAAGCTGCGTGATCAATATTGCCAGTGTGGCCGGGTTGACCAAGACGCACTCGATGGGCCAGTTCGCTTACTCGAGTAGCAAGGCGGCGTTGATCCATCTCACGCGCGAGTGGGCGCATACCTTCCTCCCATTGCAGGTGAGGGTGAATTGTCTTGCGCCGGGGTTGTTTCCGTCTGAGATGTCGACGGAGACGAGAGCAGATGAGAATCAGAAATCGCGGTTTAAAGAGGGGGTGGGCAGCTCTTTGCCGGCGGGTATTTCCCCTTAACTAGCTTCTTTCTTTCTTCAACTGAATATGCATGCCTCTTATACTAATATTTAGGCCGCGTGGGGTGTGAATCGGATATAGGAAGCGTGATTCTCTGGCTGGCGAGTCGCGCAGGAACGTATGTGAACGGGCAGGTGGTCCATGTCGATGGAGGTGTGTATTGCTTGCATTCATTGCTCGTATTCATTGCTTGTAGTCCTGGCTATGCTAATAGAGTAGGTCTACTTCTCAAGTCTCCCTCGGCAATGTAATCAGGAGTGTCATTTCATTCGATTCTATTATGATAATGGGGGACAACTATGGTGGAGTATAGGCCTAGCTGCACAGTCGTCTGCCTGGAGAGCAAGCAAGCTCAGGGATTTCAAAAGGATGTGCCATGCTCCCCGCCGAATCTCTTTTATTTTCATGATGGTATCAACAAAAAAGGCCAGAAACGCAAAAAAGACATACACAATTAAGCCTTTTTCTGTATTCTTGCCTAACCCCCCGGTGGGAAAGGGAGAGTAGACCACAGGAGACAGGAGAATCCTTTACCGTAAAGAACTCAAGTCTATAATCAAAGGAAGTAGTCGGGTGTACGCCTTGATACCATGGGTTCTCCTGCTCGGGGGCATGGGTCGAATTGTAGGCTAAAAAGTCAGCACAGATGCTTGTAAGAAAAAGAAAAAAAAAGGCAACATACAATGTATACTTAAGATGCTCATCAATCTCCATGATGGCAGCTTGGTTTCCGCAGCGGTAGCAATAATTAGGTGCTAAGTAGTTAGTTTCAGGTGACTCCAAGTGACCAGTGAGCGAGAGATAGAAAAGAGAGAAAAAAATACCAGAGAAGATAGTGACCACGTTCCGATCCTGAGACCAGTTGTATCCCTCCATCACCAACTGATGCGCACGTGCGACCAGAGTCAAGCCGTTGTTGTGATTAAATGCCTCCGAAATATCCTGCCCGAATGTGTAGCCCGCACCGCGGGGAGAGATACCCCAGCCACATCGGTCATCGGGATCACTCCAGAGCAGATCGCACATGGGTCCTTCGTGGGGCACCTCCTGGATCCGATCCAGGGAGCGGATGTTGTCGAGTGTGTCGATCGACGGACTCAGACCTCCGTGCAGACAGAAGATCTGGTTCTCGATGAGGGCGGTGAGGGGGAGGTAGTCGAACAGGTCGGTAAAGTATTTCCAGACGTTGGCGTTGCCGTATTTGCGCAGGCACTCGTCGTAGAAGCCGTACACTTGCGTGATCTGTCGGGACTCGTGGTTGCCGCGGAGAATCGTAATCCGCTGGGGGTAGCGGATTTTGAGGCAAACAAGGAGCGTCACCGTCTCAACGGAGTAATATCCACGGTCGACATAATCACCTGATTTCTAATCAGTACTCATGGTCTATCATCAAGGCATCAAATAAAAACCACACGTACCCATAAACAGGTAGTTTGTGTCAGGGTTTGGTCCTCCGATGCGGAAAAGCTCCATCAAGTCGTGGAACTGGCCGTGTATGTCACCACAGACAGTGACTGGACATTTCTGTAACGGGAACGTGTCAACAATAAAGCCTACAAATAAAGGAGAAAAAAAAAATCAAAGAGTCATCAGGTAAACGTACCACCGGCTGCACATTCGACTCTTCTTGCAAAACCTCTCTTGCCTGTGACGAGAAAAAAAGATCAACCCCTGTTTTCATCATCGAGGAACAGCTCCCCCGCGCAAAACACGCGAAAAACCCACCCGGTCACACAGCCGCCGGACATCTTCCTCTGCTAATTGCTTGCAGGTCATCAAGCTCTCGATCCACCCGTCCAGGGTAGGTATAGACCCCGGGTCGCTCGTAGGCGACAGATGATGCGGCTCGGGCGACCGCGCAGTATCGATTTCCATGTTGTTATCCATTGGTCCAGACGAGCAGAGACGAAAGGCAGGCTCAGGACCACTGGAGCTGAAGAGGAGGGGTCGGAGTCTAGTTAAAGCGAGGGCCTCGTAAGATGGACAAGTCTTTTTCGTGGTCGGTGCGGGGAGGGGAGGTGGGAGGGTGAAAGAAGCAAAGCTGGACAGTGGACACCAACAGTGAGTTTTGCAAAACAGACGAAATGGATTCGAAAAGGTTCCACGGGAGGTCGAATTGAAAATCTGCGTCGAAGAGAGAGGCCGATGGGGGGTTTGCCACGCGATACGCTAATAATGGGGGGGGGGGGGGTTTGTGATGCTTGTGTTTCTGGGGGGGCGGCGGATGTTGGGTTGCGAAGGGGAGGTTCTCAGACCAGGGCGGCTAAGCGGAGATTGGCGCAATTTCCAAACAGCGCGGGCAGCCACAGCGCACCAGCCACAGACAGCACCACGCGAGCTGAGGGAGATGTCCACGACAGAAGGTGTTATTATTATCTGTGAGGGGGTTTCTCTTCTTTCCCTTTGGACTACAAGAAGGAGATCATGTTTAGGGGAAAAGTTCCAATTTATTTCATCGTACAAACGTTTCTCGTGTCTCGTCTCACTGCTAGCTAACCGCGCCTAGATGATGTCACCGCCAAATCCTCCGCCAAACCCTCCAAAGCCTCCTCCACGACCACCACCGAAGGGGCCGCGTCCTTGGCCATAAGGGGGCCCATCACCAGGACCGACGGGGTCATATCGAGCACCTGGGGGGGCCTGAGGGTTATAGCCGCCGTTGTTGCCACCGCTGCCTCCGAACATCGGGTCATCAAAGGTTGGGTGCATGCCACCACCGCTCCCACCGAGACCTGGTGGCAGCGTACCCCGGAAAGGGTCATTGGGACCGAGTCCTGCTGGATACAGATCTCTCTCACCCAGTCTCAACGGGTTTCTGTTCCCTTCTTGCGGGTATCCTCGTGGGGGCCTATAGATTTCATACTCATCTTCAAACCCTGGCGGTGGGAAATCCCCCGGTGGTTGTGGCCGACGCGGACCAGCCGCCAACGGATCATCAAAAGGGTACGGCCTGGCGGGCTCCGGTTGAGGGTCTTCCCGTAATGGGTCTCTCTGCGGTCTGGCTTCTGGCCTTTTCGGCATGACTTGGCTTGTATCTTCATACCCTTCTTTGTGTAGACCGGGCGCCAGCTTCTGGATCACATTTATCTTGAACAGGCTGACCAAGTCAGCCAGTCGTGATTGTGAAATGAACACCTCTCCCAGCTTCTTCTTCAGGTCCGGCTCGGAGGAGAGAGGAAGGGCGGATGCGGAGACGTAGTCTTGGACGGGGAGGTCAAACGAGGTCGTCTTGTCATCACCTAGCGCGAGGGCAAAGACCACCGCTTTGTCTCCTAGGCGACCGACCTTGAGGAGATACTGCATAGAAGACTGTGAGTGGGCATAGCGGAAAGCAAACGTCGAACCCTCATTCCATTCCGCGGGTAGCAGGGGACTTTCGGAGGGGGTTTCTGCTGCATGTCAGCCAACCAAAGTGGATCAGACGTGGATTTGTGTGGTGTGCAAATCTTTGCCTACCTGCATGGTGATCCTCTCCAAGACCAACTAGTCTGAAGTCGACAGCAACCATGCACGCATGGCCGATGAGAGCGATTGCTTCGTAGGAGCTCTTCAGACCACCAGGTGGGGCTCCGTCCTCCCGGGCGAGAGCTTGAGCTGCAAGACCAACAATGTGGTCTGGAGAAAGGACGTTATTCTCCTCGCTGGCCATTTCGGGCAACTTCTGGGGATATCCTCGGCTGCTCAGAAAGAAGAAAGCGACTGCAGAACGTGGTATTTAATGCCAGAACACGCCTGGGAGTACGTCACGGTGGCTACGAGTACGGAGTAGTTGCCTGGACAGCGGAAGACTAGACGGGCCGAGAACAGCACGTGATACACACGTGGACTCCGACGGCGGCCGCGGGCGCCGTGGCCGAATACAATCAGTACTTACTAGTAACTAGTTAGTTACTACTCCTAGGTATTCATCACCCCTCACTTCTGTAAAGTGGTGTCTATGGATTAGAAACGTTTGATTGCGTAGAAATTCTGTCTAGATTCTTTCCCATCCAAGACGACGGTCGAAACGCCAGAAACCAACAACTGTATATACTATTAGAGACCATAGCGGATTCCCATCGGAAAACAACCATCTTGAGTCTACACTGAAGACGGAGCGCTCCATGTGTTTGACTCTACTACTCTTCTTTATTCGCCGTTCTCTGCATCTATAATGCCTTTTAGGCGATTTAATTCGAAACCATGCCAAGATCTCCAGCCAGAACGCCTCCAATCGACTAGGCGTCCATGGTGCAGGCCCCCTCAGCCTGAGCAAACCCAGAAAACAGCTGCTCCCAGAGCTCTTATCGCGTTATCTGCAACCGGCTCCTTCTCACATCCGGCGGGATCAAACCGAGACTGTCGCGATTCATCGACGATGGAGGAAGATAAGCGTGCTCTGCTTTATAGGTGGACGCTTCGGCGAGTCCGCCGACGTCGGCTGGGCCGTCGGCATGTCCAGAGCGTCAACCCGTCAACGACACCAGAAACTGAGAAACCACCAGCAGCACTCGCGTTTTGTCATCCACGCGGCCCCTGGAGAGAAGACCGAGGACCGGCGGGTACACACCAGCGAGCTGTACCCATTGATAAGCTTCGAAGACGATGGAGACAGCTCCGTTGTCCCAGAACGGGCAAAATGAGGAGACTTCTCCGCATTTCGATAACCTAATAGCCGGCACGCCAATTGGAAGGGAGCCGTTTGCTCGAAGGATGGGAAAGGATTGTCAGAGCCAGGCCGTCTGCTGTCTCCGTTTCCAACTCGTCCCCAGACTCGAGATGCTGCTCTCCTTGTTTATGTCTCATATCTCCTCGCAAACTACCAGAAACCGAGACTTTTAGAGGTGGATTCCGTCCCTCCAGCAGTGCAACATGCAGACTGGAGTGCAACAAGCCAAGGCCAGGCGTCTGAGGAGCCGCAAGGATCGCCCGTGTGACGCTTGTCGGCAGCGCAAGTCGGCCTGTATCGTTACAACGTGTTTGCCATGTGAGTCACCGAGTGGTTGTGCACGTTTCCTTCCTACCTTTCTTCAACGCCGCCGCCGCCTCGCCTGGCTAACCAGACCAGGTCGATACTGCCAAAGCAAGGGTCAAGACTGTACCTTCACATCCACTCCCTCGCAGCGGGCGAGACAAGCGGCGTCGTGTGTGAAGGTTCAACGATGGCGGACAACCAGAGCGCAGTGCTCGTCGGGCAAGCTGATCGAGGACGACGAGCCTTTACAGAAGGTCGGGACATACGAGCCAATGTCCCCGGATATGTTGAGCTGCCTGCTCGAAGGCGACCCGAAGGTTGAGCTCCAAGATGGCGAGACCCTGGACCTGAAGGATATGTCGTTTGTGAGCCCGGTCAGCCTGCCACAGACCCCCTTTCCCACTCCCGACGACGATATCAGCGTGGCTCAGTTGCACAGTCTATCTCAGGTCACATATGACCAAGGGACGGCTAAGCTGTGTGTACCACAAACTATGAGCAACCTTGATGGTCTCGGTGGAGAATCACTGGATGAATCTATTGGTCTAACGGCCCTCTTTCTGGGGCCTTCAAGTGACCAGGATGCCAACTTACTCTCGTCAATGCGTATGAACATGGCCATAATTAACGGAGCAGCTCGTCGCTCTGTTGACGCGAACGTCCGCCAAGTGCACGCGGGAGATATCATGGCGAATGTACCCCCAGTCCATTTCAACATTGTGCCCGACTCGTGCCCCGAGCGAGACATTCGCACCAAGGAGATTGCTTCAGAGAAGATCGAATCTCATGTTGGAGAACACGCTGACGCGCTGGTCCGGCTGTATTTCCGCTTCATCCATCCTGCATTTCCTGTACTTTCCAAGGCCCGATTTCTGCAAGCCTATTGCCTTCACCGCAGGAGTATCCCTGCTTCGCTCCGCGGGGTTGTTTATGGTCTTGCATGTGCGTTCTGGGAGCACAGCCCCGTGCTCAAACCATTCCCCCGTATCAGCCACACCGATCTGTTCGAGTGTGCGCACCTGGCGCTCAACCGAGAATTTGACTCGCCCAAGCTAGCCACTCTACAGGCATGCTTGCTCTTGCTACATGAAAGCCCGCCAGTGACCGGCACGACTGAGAATCCCCGCAACTGGACACTGGCCTGTCAGGCGATCTCATGTGCGCAGAATCTGGGTCTTCACTGTGACCCGTCACTATGGAACATCCCTACCTGGGAGAAGGCCCTCCGCAAAAAGCTGTGGTGGATGTGCTTCACCACAGAGAAATGGGCATCCCTCACCCATGGCAACCCTTCTCATATCCCGCAGAGTTCGTTTGACACGACGGATTTGACGCTCACCGAGGCCCTAATCGACGAAGATGTCGCTTGCTCTCCATACGGTCGAGTTATCTCCGAGAGAGACCGGGGGTGTAACCAGACCCGAGCCATTAACCTGCTGGAAACGATCAATTTGGCCAAGAAACTGGGCATTCTGCTCGAATACTCTTAGTATGTACTTTTTCTTTTGTTGTATATATAGCCAAAGCACGTTTCTGACACGTTTTCTATTGGAATAGCCCGATTCGCGGCTCAGTGCTCTCGACATCAGAGTCTGCAGTCCTCGACCATTCCCTCTACGTGTTGAACGCAGAACTGGACAGCTGGTACGCCTTGCTCCCGCAATGTCTGACCCTGGATTTCACCCACGGGTCAGGAGGCGTGTGCACGAATGGTTCGTTCCATCCTTGATGGTGTCGTTGAAAAAGCCACCCTGACATAATGTCCAGGATCGCTTCATCTGGCGTATTTCGCCGTGAAGAGTCTTGTGCTGCGCGCAATGATGTCCCCCGCCACCCCGCTATCCAAAGCGAACCCCTTTTCGAACCTCCGGACGTACTTTGATTCCAGCCTAGAGGAATTCAGACAGTACGTCAAGCTGGTATCCAGCATTCGTGCAGTGGAACTAGATGCGTTCTGGGGTCGTCGTACGTGCCTTTTTTCTAGATTGTTGAGATGAGATTATGAGATTGGAAAAAAAGAATACTAAACGCCGTCAAGAGGCACGCACCCACCTAGTCCACGCAGGCAACTTCCTGATATACCTGTTCCTCTGCGCCTCAACTGCAGAGCAGGTCGAAAAGTCCTACTCCCTCCTCGAGGCATATCGGTATTCCCTGCGCGCCCTGGCGGCGGCAGCGACAGATAACAGCATGGGCATGCTACGACCTGCTCTGCTGCGCACCGAGTCTTTCTTTCGAGAGGCAGCTGGAGCAATGCGGAAGGACGAGAAGCATTGATATACGTTTTCAAGACTGTTATGACTTATGATGATGACTTTAGCTCTCCACTTGAGTATAGAAGTGTGAAATATATTAATGCTCGATATCAAGATCTGACACTATCTTAGATAACCCAAGTATTGTCATTAGACATCGTTTAGACAGGCTCTTTCACACGACGTGTATATCCCGACACTGAAATAATATTCTAATAATAGACAAGGATATACAAGTAATATAATCTAGTGGCAATGAAAGTAACGCTATAAACATAGCTTAGACGCATGGAAAGCAGTATATACACATCCATAAAAGTATACAAGTATACAAGTATAACACATCGCCTGCTGTACAACAAAAGGGTCTATACCCTACTTCAAATCAAACTACCCTTCTCAGGCTTAGGGGAAGATGCGTCTTGTCTCTTGCTTTGGATCGCTTGCAGCTCCTCCTGGACCAACCACACACAGACGTCCTGGACGTCGCTGCCCACGCGCCAGCTGCCCAGCACGATGTCCAGCCCCTCAAAAATACCGCGGGCGCGTTCCCAGCGGCGGCGCCAGAGTTCCTCGCGCTTGTTGGGTAGGGGGGCCGGGGGCACGTACGAGTCTAGATTATTGCCGTCGCCGTTTTTATTGTTATAGTTATAGGTGTTGTTATAGGTGTTGGTATTGTTGACGATATCCATTTGGCTGAATGTGGTGGCTGGGGAAGAAGACCCGCCCAGGCGATCAGAGGCATATTGGTATGCGGCCGTGGCGGCAGCGGCAGGATACGATTGTTTAGGTTGTGGTTGGCGGTTTTGAGAGCTTGAAGTCGTCGATGCTGCGGTGTTGGATCGGCGTGGAGGAGGAGGTGGCGGAGGAGGCTGTTTGGACCGGGAAGAGGACTGCGAGTCACTTGATTGCTGCGATTCGCCCAGATTGGCATTGGACGCCTTGCTTTGTATAGGCAGGTAGTCTGCTGTGGACGGAAGAGTGTTGTACGCTCCCACAACGGCGTTTTGGATCGTATTGGTGATGCCGGTAGACAATGGCTGGCCTGCTCCGGGAGACCCATCTGTCCCCCGATCCATCGACGACGCTGCGGTGGGAACAGGACGCCGGCTAGGAAGTGGAGGAACAGGTTTGCGGCGGATAACGTCTTGTAATTGTGCAGTGTTGGTCTCCTTACTGCCCCCATCCACACTGTCTTGACTCGTCGCAGCTGTGCGCAGAGACAATGGCTTGGAAGGCTTTGCGGGGGGCTGACGACTGTTGACTGGCTTGCGACTTTGTGTAGCAGGAGGTACAGCGCTCTTTTCTCCCTCTTCCTCATCTCGGAGATCGATCAGATCCTCATTGTCAAGACTCTGCGCGTCCACAACCGGAGCCGAGATCCCTCGAGGGGGCCGAGGAGGCAAAGCTGGTCGTTTTTCAACCGGATCCGATTGACTGGAAATTTGGCCCGTACTGACGCTCCGGGCCGCTGGAGGGCGCTCCAGATGGTTTACGGACTTCTCAAAGAACTTCCTCTGGGCAGGCGTAGTGACGTCTCGGATGAAAACGCCCAATACCCGTCCCGGATTGGCCATGACAAGGTCCGTATAGACCTCCAAGTCGGCTTCTCCGCTATCACCAACCAGGATGAATTTACGCTCGGGAAAGTCGCGCAGGATCCTATCCAAAGAGGCTCTTTTCTTTTCAGCAGCAGGCTCGAAAATCCCCTGTAATCTCCCGGTATACTGTTTCATTTGGAAGGAACCCTGTGGAAGTCCCACCAACTTGAAAAACTTGTCAAGTAGGGAGTATAACTGCCACGGGGCGTTGGAAACGTAATGGATCTCCACGCCCAGCTCTGTCAGTTTCTTATACCACTCGGCGACTCCATCGACTTTGAGATCGGCGAGTTCGCGCACGAAGACGTTCCGGAAGATATCCCGCGCACGGCCGGTGATCGCAGAGTGTTTGACAGTGTCGTCAATATCGCTGATGAGAGAAATGCCAGAAGGCTCACTGATCCGGATGGCTTGAGAGACTGACAGGCTTTCTGAAGCCAAAATGCGAAGCTGGGTCGGAACAAAGGGCAGAGCTGCGCGCAAGGAGAAGTGTCCAAACTCATCTGTCAGAACATTCCTTGCCTGGCTTTTGTCATCGTTGAAAAAGAAGACAGTGACAGGCAGCTCGCCCACTGGCGAGGACAGAAACGGGCGGAGTCTCTCCATGAGATTTGTGTTCTCCATGGAAAGATCGCCTCTTGTGGAGGTAATGGAGGACTGTGTTGTCGTCCGGCGAGGCGGCCGGCCAAAGAACCTCTCATCCGGGTCATCAGACGAAGCCGCTCTCCATTCCGGATCCGCATCCCTCTCTGCATCGTGGATCATCCGCTCGGCCTCCTTACGAGCGAACTCGTCTTCGCCTTTGGCAGATAGCCTGGCAGCAGAGCTCATATCCTGAGACGAATCCTCGCTGCTATCGGCCGCTGCAACCGACGGCGGAGCCGGAACACCACTCAACTTCCTGGCGAGAGCGATGATGAGGCGCTGCTTGCGAGTCGGCGGGCCCCGATGCGGTGCAGAAATCCAGCCATGCACATCAACATCCACCACCGTGTTGTCCTCGTCAAGATCTTCCCACTGTGTCGTCCCGTACCGCCCACTGTCCACTCTCGACCGGGTCTGCCTCCGGCCGAGCCGCCTCGCGTAGCTCGGAAACAGGACCAACTCGACATCCCCGGACCTGGCGACGTCGACGTCCGGAAACGCCCCCGGCGTATCATCGTAGAGATCGCGTTGTGCTCCGTTCCGCTGCGCCGCCCACTGCGCCTGGTACGTCTGTCGCAGCTCGTTGGCAGCCTTCAGATACTCAAAGACCTTTTTCCGCCGCGCCCCTGGTTCCCTGGCCGGCGTCTCGTCCGCAGGGCCCCATGACATCGACGAGGAGAGACCTGACTGCGCCATGGGCCTCTTCTGCTCGGCATCCCTCAGGACTGAGGGCCCGCTTTCCGCTCCTCTCGACGCGTCCTTCTTCAGGCGCCTCCAACTGCTCCCGCCGAGTCGTACTCGCCCTCCTCCTGTGCTGCTTCTTGAGAAATTCCAGCCCGGTACACCACGTGTCCTGCGACCCAGGAGATAGGCAAGAACACCACCACCCGCGCGTCGCCTCCGCTGCAGCCTCGCCTGTCGATTGACGAGCGCTTTGTAGATGCGTGCTTGCGCCCGGTGGCCTAGGGCGGGGATCGTCTCGTGCCGGAACCCCCAGAGGCGCGAGAGCACTCGGCGGCTCGCGTGCGGGCCGAACAGCACTCGCAGTACGAGAGGGAGGGCGCCCGTCCGCGGGTTTCGCTTTCTTCGCTGGAAGATGGAGGGGAGGAAGCGAGACGGGGGCTGGCGCCAAAAGGTCGGCGGCGGGGGTAACCAGCGTGTTCGGAACGGCGGTTTAGGAGCCAGCGTCTCGAGCGGAGATTGTTGTTTTCTTTGAATATACCTGGTTAACGAAGAATTAATTAGCAATGCACCTCCAATGACAGGTTATATATTCACCTCTAGAACGCCTTCCCCCCGGGCTTGCACGTGTTGTTGCTGGGAGGCTGGAAAAGCTGGGAAAGCTGATGACGCCAGTTCACTCAGAACTCAGGACCAGCCTGCAAGGAGCGATTTATGAATAGTAAAAATGATGGCAGCTGTACAGCAGCGTGGCTTAAATTATACGGTGTAGCCAGGTCGCTGCGCCGTGGAGAAGACTGTGAATAGGCTGAGCTGAAATGCTGGTGTTGTTCGTCTGACGGAGAACGGATGGAGATGAGGCGGAGACACGCCGGAGCAACAGCGTAATTATTACGGAGACAGCACTGGGCATACAACAAGTAAGATCATCGTATGTTGGTGTGGAGTGTCTGATGAATCTACCTAGGTAGTTACTAAATACAAATCCCTCGCTTTCTACAGACGTCGTCAAACTGATATAGCGACTTCACTGCTGAACCGTCTACTAGTCAATGAATGTCAAGTCGTGTATTTCATATGGGTATAGTACATTATATTACAATATATACAAACAAAATTCTATCAAGCATCGTGGTCACTGGCTTCGGTGTACATGACCTTCTTCGCTCGTCGACTGCGTCGAACTGCGGTGGAGATCGTCAGGGACGGCTCAGGCATCCCGTCTAGGCCGGGAGACTCATTTTCCGAACTCGAGGGAGTAGAGGGCGACTCGGAGGCCTTTCGTTTCCTTCCAACTTGTTTCTTCACACTCGAAGTGCGCTGGGCCCGTTTGCGTGGTGTCTTGACCGGGGTTTGAGGGGAGATTTCGGGAGCCTCATCGGCCGCCTCAGGGCCGTCGACCGTGGTGGCTTCAACCTCGCCGGTTTTCTTGGTTGCGCGGCTCTTCTTGGGACTCTTTGTTGCCTTGACTTTGACCGTCTTCTTGGCTGGCCGCAGCCACTCTTCCATGCCCGGGGGCCAGTAGACCCGACCTTCGGGTCCGCCCATGCCGACTTCATCCTCGGAAACGGTGGGTGGGGGAGGCGCCAAGGCGTCCAAATCGACAAAGCCATTCTTCTTGCTGGAGGGTTTTCGGGGGGGCTTGAAGGGCTTGTTTTCATCATCGCGGATGTGGGGGATGATATCGCTAAACAGATTGTGTCCCGGCAGTCTGAAATTGCGCATAAGCTCGAAAACAGCTTGCTCTTTATCCTTGGCCTCGATCATAAGGTCCATGGTTGGGTCGCACGGTGGTAGAGTCGAAACCCGTGGGCTGTGTTTGCGGCGCTGGCGGTTCGTGATGGCGGATGGCTCAGGCTCAGAGTAGTGCATCTTTTGGGTGATCTCTTTGCGGGTCCAAGTAGCTTTGATCCGATCATATAGCGCCATAATGTCCAGCGTTCCTTCACGGAGCTGACTGGAATCAAACATGATATTGTGATGGTGATAGTCGAGGACCAGGGGTATATTCAATTCTTCGCAGATAGGAAGCAGGTCATGAACGGTCCAACTCACGTCATCGTTTTCTAGGACTAGGCGATTTTTAACATCTTGGGATAGCAGCTTGTAGTTCTCGCGAAACCGGTCAAGGGTCGCTTCCTTGTCTCCAAACACTCCGCCCATATGGAGGATCATGACCGCATCGCGGTCTTGTTGGGGCGGCAGCTGGAGGAGCTGCAGCATCTCCGAGTGGTATTCGAGATCACGAAAGGAGCTCTCCACAACCTCCTTCTTGGGCGAGCCTAACTGAGTAAACTGGCCGGGATGGACTGATACACGGTGGCCCAGCTCAGCGATCACCCGGCCTGTGTCGGCGAGCACCTCCGAGGCAAACGGCGCTAACTTGTAGCCATATTCCTTGTGGCTGGCGAAGGGGAACATCTCACTGCTCAGACGCATGAACTTGATGCCGTAGCGGTCATTCCACCGGACCATCTTCACCAGATCTCGCGCATTGGCAAGGCCCAGGGACTCCACAAAGGCCTGGCCCCGTGCAACATCTGCGGGCTGGGTTCGATCCGGGCGGTTCTTGGTGGGATGGGCGGGTTGCAAGGGATCCGCGAGTGGATGCCGATTCTCCAGAATGGAGGCAATGCGACACGTGCGTGAACAAAACACCGGCGGATTCGAGTATCGCAAATATGTGTTCAGACAGGCCTAGCAGGGCACATCAGCAATCAGTCCGGGAGCGTAGTGTACACAGCCAGATGGCAGACACAAGACTCACATAGCCTAGCCTCCCTTTCCAGGGCAGTGGCAGGTAATCGCTATTCACCGGCGGTGGTCTCGACAGGGCATTCTGAAGCTCTTCGGCCTCCAGGGGCACATCGACATCGGACTCCGGGTCCACGGCAACCTCGTCGTCGGCCAACGGACCGTGTTTTGCCTCGTCTGCAACAGCCATATCCGAATAATAACCAAATTGTTCCGTAACCTCCTCCGAAACGCGTGAATTGGAGACAGGGGTGGAAGAAAGCTCGGCTGTGCTGCACGAAGAAGAATGTATCCTAGCAGACACGACGCGGCAAACACCCCTCAAGGCCAATCCCGGATGATGTGCAAAAGCTCGGGTGTTGGCAGAGGCCTGGGGACCGTTCGCCACGGCAACCAGCTGTGTTATCCACCGTGAGGGCCTCATGTGGCGACCCTGACCGCAGCGTCGATCAGATTCCGTAGAGCCATGGAAACGCACGGCATGCTGGGCACGACGGAGCCTCGTCAGCGAGGAGAGACACCGCGTCGACATTCAACTGAAGGAGCAGATGACGTATGTGATTCTCCCCAGGCGATGGACCGAGAGAATCTCACAGCATCTTTGTGCGTTGTAATTGCCAGGGGGGTTGGTTGAGGAGCGATCGATCGTACTGAGGGGAGGGGCGATGATCGAACCGCCAGATCCGGCCCTTCCTCTTCCACGCTGCACTCAAGACTTCCTACTCACTGCACAATACTCGGTGCTCCGCATTCACCACGCCTGTGGTTCGCTCCAGTCTCTTCTCGATTGTTTGAAAGGTTAAAAAATCAAGAAAACAAGGAGTAAGGCGGATTCTTCGGTCTGGAACCAGGTTCCGTCTGGCGATCGCCTGGTGGGACGCGTCCGGGACGCGTTTTGACGTCGAGTTTCTACGAAGCAATTACTCTCCACCGGGTGAGAGGGCCAAGACAATAGCGATTCACCGTCAAAATACTGGAGAAGAGCCCCTGGAGATGATCGAAAGGGTCAAAGGGGTTTTTTATCCGCGGAAAGCCATTCGAATTCCACTGATCGCCCGGAAATTGGCAGGACATTGCCCGATCGTCCATCCAATGATCTCCAGTGGAGAACGCCAGGGCCCTTGACGGCTCTATATTCCGTCTTATTGATGGTTGTGAATGGATATGGGAGTCGGTACCTGCGTCTGTGGCCTGGAAGAAGAACCCGTGGTATTCGCATATCGCAGAGGAGAACATGGGCGAGACAACGGCCTACACCAGATGCTGGTGCACAGAAGCTATCTATCGACCATGAAGGTCTACTGATTTTGCAGGATATGCCCCATTAAGCCCTAGTAATTGTCTTGACAATTTTTAGTGGTTTGAGGGTATAGCGTCTTCCTCCATTCTATGAGAACTAATATCAGTCGGGCACACCGGGCGAAGAGGGATAGAGTTATGTGAGCTATGTGACACCCGATGGGTGCGAGTTTATCTCTGATTCGACTGATCCTGGCTATCTGGCGTGGTGGTCTCGTTCAGCTGCTTGATGGAGGAGCTGGCGACGCATTCCTCGCGGAGATGTTGTGCCTCAAGGTATGGCAACCGCCATTCCACATGGAGTGGTCTCCATGAAGGAAATTATTTCCCTCGTCTTCTGAAAAGGCGGTCGAATATTTAAATAGGATCTTCTCGGGCATGACACTGCTCTGATATTCATTCCTCTTTATCTAACACCAGCGTGAGTGGTGTCTTTTTGCTTCTATCTATTCTATCTTAATCCTCATCTACAAAGGACAAAAAGACAAAAAAATATTGTACGCATCAACTGAATTATGTGAGTATGCTTATGGGAGCCAGTGAATACTCCATAACCCTCTGAGGATCTATGGGCTGCTGATGATTATCGGCTGTCTTTCTCTTCAAAGATCATATGGGATGGTTCTGAGCTTTCTACTTAAGCCTTGATTCCGGTGGTGGACTTTGCTGACAGCTGTATCCAGTTTTGCTACTTCTTCTTTCTCACTCAGAATACTTGTGATATCGCCCTGGTTGGCAATTCATCAGTCTTCTTAGATTCGCCTTTTCGACTACTTTGTCAGAATGAAGAGCTTTTTCATAATCAGTGGGCTGTTGGCCGCATCGGCCTCCGCGCACATGCAAATGAGTTCGCCGTATCCTATCAGGAGCCCATTGAACAAGAACAATACCGGCAAGGTGGACTATTCTTACACCAATCCTCTCTCGACTTCCGGGTCTGATTACCCCTGCAAGGGGTATGCCAACGACTCGTTCGTCTCCGTGGCCGACTATACCCCGGGACAGACGTATCAGATCACGTTGGCTGGTAGCGCGACTCACGGCGGTGGCTCGTGTCAAATCTCTTTGTCTTACGACCAGGGGAAGACCTTCAAGGTCATCCACTCCATGCTTGGAGGTTGCCCACTGCAAGATTCGTATGACTTCCAGGTGCCATCCGACGCGCCTTCGGGTCAGGCCCTGCTGGCCTGGACGTGGTTCAACAAAATCGGGAACCGTGAGATGTACATGAACTGTGCCCAGGTGACAGTCAAGGGAGCTTCCTCCAAGCGTGACCACCGTCGGGATATACATTCCAAGCTCGCGCCTCGGGCTGCCTTCAGCAACCTCCCTCCCATTTTCTTGGCCAATGTCAACCAGGAGGGTCAATGTACCACGATTGAGGATTATGAAGTCAACTTTCCTCTTCCCGGTTCCAGCGTCGAGGGCAGTCTCAATGGAACAGGCTTCACTTGCAAGAGCAACGCTGCCTTCCTGGGTTCTGGCTCAATCTCGTCCGGGCCCTCGAGCTCTTCGTCTTCTTCTAGTTCCAAGTCCCCCTCCGCCACCAACGCAGCTCTCTTCCATGCTTCCTCCAGCTCCGCCCGGATTTTCCAGTCCAGCAGCAGCATGAGGGCATCGAGCTTTGGCACCGTCCCCACCCCCTCTCAATCCTTCCCCAGCTCGACCCCGGGTTTTGCGACCAGCCTTCCTAGCAACACTCCCAGCGCTGATTCCCAGCGCACTGGATCCGAGTCCAACACTGGATCCTGCTCTTCTGGCTCCATCATCTGCTCACCTGATGGCAGCACCTGGTCTCTCTGTGCCAACGGCGCCGCCGTCCCGATGGGCATGGTCGCATCTGGCACCCACTGCCGCAATGGCGCCATGATTCCGGCTTAGCCGTGCCTCGGTCCCTCAGCATTCAGCTTGTAGTCAATACCTTTCATCATCTATTTCGATTCCCCCTTATTCGGTCATCGCCTGGCGCGATACCCCCGACTTTCCCCAGTTCCTCATGGACCAAACTCGCCATTTTTCTCAACTACGCTACTCCTCTGGTTTCTCCCCGTTAATGTCTGGAGGACTGAATGATTTCACGGCGATCTTTCTTTCATACTTTGCCACCTTTCAATGTCATACTCACTTGATGTATTTCAATAAAAATAGATAGCACTTTAAGTAGTCCTGAATAAACAAACTTGCGTACAATTGAAGCATATGGCCAGTAGTCAGTAAAAACATCATTCATTCATCCCTTCGTTACATACCTCCACTATTCTTCAATATAGCTTAGTTCAAGGCTTTTTTCTACTTCAGCGGCCAACAACTTTATCCAACACTTTCGCTCACCATGGGTCCATATTGTCAGGCACAGACCCAAGGGAAGATTCATATAGTCTTTACAGGGATCAAACCCGCAACAGTTGTTGCAATCATGTCTTTGGGTTAATTAACTAGCAGACGGCTCTCCGTGGCGCCTAATGGTCAAGCAACCACCGGCAGTAAAAAGAAAAAAATAGCCCTGTCACCGATTCGAACGATGGACCCTAAGATCTGCAATCTTATGCTCTAAACCGCTGAGCTAACAGGGCTATAGTCAATAACATTCAGATTAGTGATATCTCACACCTTCTAACTACACATAATAATATAATAATACCGCCCAAGCAGCTGATTCTTTGTTGCAAAAGAACGGCGCGTAGAGGTCATCGGTCACCCAAGAAGTGTCATATAAACAAGCCTTGGCCAATCTGCCTTGTCAGGCTGGATACTATTGAAGCAACCAACTGGCAGTAGACTCCTGAGACGCGAAAAAGACAAGGGAAACAGCCGTAAATCAGTACTTGCAATGCCCACAATAACCACACGACTCAGCCGAACACGCTGTGAAATCCTTTTCCCCCCCCTCCTCCTCCTCCTCCTCCTCCTCCTCCCAGTCCAAGCCATCCCTGTAGTCTCCCGAGTGTATCCCTTCACTGTCTTCAAGTAGGAGACAACCAGGCTGAGTTTCGGTTGTCCAACGCGCGACCAAATGCTCAGGTAGCGCACGGCAAGCGTCATCGCACTGCCGCCTCAACTCTAGCGTGTTGCTGCCTTCAGTCCGCCGCAGCTCAAATCTCTCTTCCTCGCAGCCACGAGCAAATCGGATGATCTTGTTGAGCAGCGATGCAAATTGGCAAAGCGTGGGTTTGTTCTCCCTTTCCCACTCCTGGACTCTCTGCCGGGTATCGATTTTGCGGATCTCTTCAAACACCCCTCGGTTGTGGAAGGCGAGGATGAAGTTGGGGATCTGCGAGATCCAAAGTCGGGGCAGCTCCTCGCCCACAACATCTGTATCGACCTTCTTGATCGTTCTGGTTTTCAGGTCGAACACGGCTTCCTGGGAGATATGCCTTCCACCAGGTCTCAGGATGAGGGTTGAACTCTTTGGGAGATGCATTCCGATGCTTGCTCCGCTTAGGGTTGCCAGCAGAGAGTTCTCACTGGCCTCCATATCCTCCTTTTCTTCGTTCGTTGGCTGAATCAGACTGGATTCCGTTTCAGAACCAGAAACCATCTCCGGGTGGTAGCCGTCGGCTTCAAATCTAACGAGACACTTTGCACCTCCAAAGCTGTACTGGATGATTCGTTGGCTGGATTCAGACCCTTTCACTTCTGGAGCCCAGGTGGTGTACGCCTCCGGAAATGTATGGCCGTAGCCATACACGCCTTGAATGAGCTCAGTGGGGGTATTTTCCCTGCGAATGAAGAACACAGTCGACCCGACTACTTCAACTAGCATTCGGAATGGCTTGTCCACCTTGCGCACAAAACGCAGGAGGTTCCCCAAGGTGCTGCCGCATGCGACGATGTCCACCTCCGTTGTGGGAAATGTCGGCTCTTCCAACAAAATCGATTCCACGGCGGGCTGGAGGGGGTATGAGGGCAGACGAGCAGCATTTTGGTCGCGAAAGTATTGACCGGAATCTTCTGAGAGCTTTCTGGGGGTATCAAGAGGTGACCAGGCCGGTGGTTCTCCTATTATACGACGCGGTGAGAGATTAGTTCTTGTCTGTTTATGGGATACTTCACCACCACAGGGAACGTTCATCATACCTGGCACAACAATCGTCGGATCTGCTCTGTTCAGCCAGTTGAAAGATGCAACAGTCTCGCAGTCCTCAATCTTGGTAGATACATCTTCCAAACTGAAGGCCTCAATAAGATCCGTCTCACTGATGGTTGCCAGAATCTCTCCCAGAGGCGGAGACGGGGGTCTCTCGATCTCCTGTTGAGCTCTGAATGACTGACGCCCAGTAGCTCTCCAACTAGATCTACCGGAAGAAGAGAATCTTCCTCCATAGTAAGAATTGTTTCTCCCTCTGCTCGACATTTCTGGCTGGAGAGATTTGTGGCGGGTTTCCAATAGGACAGGAATCCCTAAATTGAAAAACTATAGATGAAATGTAAACGGATAGAGAAGACGACGACCCTCTAGGCAGCAACAAGAGACTTTCAAATAGTAACCAGTTACTCTGCAAGTCTTATAGAGGTTGGTTCTTTGCAGTAGAAACTGAGCTGGTGGAGAGCCGGCATCGCGCTCTTTCAAATACCCTCTCGCCTTCTTGTCTGGAACGTTGACACGCAAACATCGCCTCGTTTGATTCAGCCTGCTTCTTTTCCTTGCAATCTGCCTTGAATTTTGCGCAGGCGGCGCAGCTTATCGGCCAATGAAGTATTTGCCGCCTGGGGAGTTGTTGGTCGCCAACAGCCTCTGCCTGAGAGGTTTCAGCCTTGCAAACGCTGCGCACTGGAGCTGCATGAGGGGTTGTTTGCAACACCCTGGCAGCTTTAAAGAGCAGAAACCTTCTAAGAACACTCATCAGAGTATAGTTACTACCTCTTGTTGATTCTACTTTTATCATTTTCTGTGGAACTGGCCTATATTACCTTCCACAAAGGGCTGATTCTATCTCAGTAGTACCTTCTAACAGTACTGTTACCTTTCTCCAGCTTCAAAGGAATGTCTTCCCAAGCCCAGAGATCTGCCCGGCTGGCCAAGCTCTTCGATCAGACCATCAGCGGAAAACGTACCATCGCAAATACAGCTGACCTGAAACGATTTTTGGAAGCGGTTCAGGATCAGTCAGATCCTCCAGCCTGTGTCGAGCGTATCGTCGCCAGCCAAACCACTCTGACGGCCCTCAGAACTGCCTTGCGCTTCAATCTCACAGCCGACTTCATCAAACAGACAACCGCCCCATTCATACAGTATCTGTCGGATCCAAGGATCAAGCAGCTTTGCAATGGACAGTTCCTTCAGCAGTTGCTTATGGTCTTGATCGAACCACCGACGTTGTGGAATGCCTTCTTAGATGCGCTGAGGGCCTCGAAGCTTGACTCCAGTGCAATCCAGACTCTTCTTTGGATGCTGGTTGAGCTTCTTTCGCTTTCAGACCAAATTCAGATTGATGTCCTGGAAGATTCTCGGATGGTTCTTGGAAATGCAACTATCTTGGGATCTTCCTCCGTCGAGATACGCACCTTGGTGCAAAAGATCGAGAGAATTCTTCTCGTCAAATCCTCGGGTGCTCAGACAAATGCTTCAGGCCATGTGCCCGGCGGTCGTCACGATAATGATTTTGTGGACTTCCGGCAAATTGCTATTCTACCCACCGCACAAGAGTTTCTGTCTTCTGAAAAACCGTTCTATCGTCAGGCATCAGAGATATCGAATCTACCAGCAGACGCACGCATCGACGCCCATCTAGACAACCAATTCCGGCTCCTGCGCGAGGATATGCTCGTTGAGTTACGCGAAGACCTCCAGATCGCTCGAGGCAAAAAGAAAGGAAAACGCTCTGCCTTTTTACTTCGAGAGTTGTCGTTGGTGTCGATCTCTTGCGGTGATGAAAGGAGATACAAACCATGTACCCTTGGAATTCAGTGTAGAAAAGGTCTAGAGGGACTCAAGCGATTTGACTCTTCAGCCGAGAAAAAAGCATTCTTGAAGGACAACCGGAATTTCCTAAAGCATCAAGCGTTGGGATGTCTCGTTTGCAAGAATGAGATCGTGGCCTTTGCTACCGTGGACCGTGATATCGATACTCTAGCATCGAGTCCTCCAGTCGTCATGCTCCTCATTGCCGGTCACGAGGCATTTAAGAAAGCTCTCCTGTACTTCAAAATGTATAAGGATGTTGAGTTCCTTCTAGTGGACACCCCCATATTTGCTTATGAGCCAGTTTTGAAATGTCTTCAGAGCATACCAGATCTTGCTCTCACCGAGGAGCTATTACTTCACACGAAAAAGGACCAGCTCGCTGAAACGAGGCTTGTCCCGCCTTCAGTTCTGCTAAAGCTAGAAGACGAGGGAATTGGGAATCTTCAGAATATTTTACAGACAAAAAAGCCCGTCAGACTTGACCCCTCGCAGCTCGAATCACTGTGCTCAGGATTGAAGCAGAGGCTGAGTCTCATCCAGGGCCCTCCTGGTAAGCAGACCAATTGGTTATAGTGCCCTTGGTCACTGATACTAATCATATATACAGGCACTGGAAAATCCTTTATTGGAGCATTGCTTGCAAAGGTCCTTCATGATCAAACGAAAGAAACGATTCTAGTCATGTGTTATACCAACCATGCCTTAGATCAATTCCTGGAGGATTTCCTTGACATTGGCATTCAGGCGTCAGCAATAGTACGCCTGGGATCACAGTGCACACCACGAACTGAATTCCTACGTCTCCAAGGCCAGACAAGTTCCTACAGACGTTCGACCCAAAGTTGGAATTCAATAGACCAACTCAAAACGGAAGCGAGAGAGTTGAAAGAAAAACTTGTCAGTGCCTTCCAGGCATACCAGTCATCCAGCGCCAACTGGAAGGCGCTACTTGAATACCTCGAGTTTGAAGAACCAGATTTCTATGAGGCATTGTCTGTGCCTGAGCAGGAAGATGGCATGTCCATCGCTGGAAAGGATGGAAAGGCGATTTCAGTTGACCATCTCTTCAATCTCTGGGCGCAAGGTAAAGATGAAGAAGCCAAGGTATTTTTAACCCGAATGTCCATGGAGGCCCGTCAGGCGTGGGAAATGGATGGTCCAAGCCGGCAAGCTCATATTCAAAAATGGATGCATTGTCTACTGGAGGAACATGCGACGAGTCTTTCCAGCAATTGTCGGGATTTTAATCGGTGTCAAGGGTCAGTAGACAGAATTTGGAACGAGAATACCCGGGAAATCCTCAAGTCCAAGCGCATCATAGGCTGCACGACAACGGCTGCTGCTAAATATACAGAGGATCTGCGAGCTGTCTCCCCTGGCATCATCCTCGTAGAGGAAGCCGGCGAGATCCTGGAGTCGCACATTCTCACAGCAATGTCATCGGAGACCAAGCAGCTCGTACTCATCGGTGACCATCAACAGCTTAGACCAAAGGTAAACAATTACGGTCTAACAGTTGAAAAGGGCGACGGATTCGACCTGAACCGATCCCTTTTTGAGCGTCTGGTCCTAGCCGGTTACCCACACACAACACTGTCGAAGCAGCATCGCATGATTCCAGAGATATCAACGCTTGTTCGGCACTTGACCTACCCTGATCTGCAAGATGATGCAAAGACAATGAACCGGCCTTCAACTCGTGGCCTTCAAGATCGAGTGATCTTTTTCCATCATGAAAAACCTGAAGCTACCTTCTCTGATATTTCTGATCGGCGTGACGAGGGAGCAAAAGGTAGCAAATGGAATGTATTCGAGGTGGACATCGTCTTGAAGATTGTCAAGTATCTCGGACAACAAGGATACGGAACAGACAAACTAGTCATTCTCACGCCTTACCTGGGTCAGCTACATCTTCTCCGCCAACAGCTACAGAAAGAAAATGACCCTTGGCTCAATGACTTGGATTCTCACGACTTGGTCAAGGCTGGTCTTCTCTCCCAGGCAAGTGCAAGATATAACAACCGACGTATTCGCATTTCCACCATTGGTGAGTCCTTTTTTTTTTAAATACTCACGTTCTTGAAGTCAAAGACTAATGACAAATCGAAGATAACTACCAAGGAGAAGAAAGTGATATAGTCATCGCATCCCTCACTCGGAGCAATGCGGACGGTGATATTGGTTTCATGGCGGCCCCTCAAAGATTGAACGTTTTGCTATCCCGTGCAAGGAATACTTTGATTATGGTAGGAAACATTAACACATTCACGAAAAGCAAGAAGGGGAAGACGGCCTGGGTCCCTTTTGTCAATCTTATAAACGCCAATGGCCACCTATATGACGGCCTCCCCGTCAAGTGCGAGCAGCATCCGCACAAAACAGCTGTTCTAAAGACAAAGGAAGATTTCGATATCGAGTGTCCGGATGGCGGGTGTGCCGAGCCTTGGTAAGTTATCGTCTAGTCATACCTGAGCAGATCATAAGATGGTATAGAAAACTATACTAACATCCATTAGTGGTGTGAAACTCAGTTGCGGCATCCACGAGTGCCCCTCCAAATGCCACCAATTATCCGATCATTCCAAGATGCCATGTTATAAGATTGTAGAGTGGGAATGCCCCCGGAACCACCGCGTCTCGCAAGCTTGTGTGAATGCCAAAGGGAACTGCACCAAATGCCAAAAAGAAGATTTGGCTCAGGAAAGGAAGCGGCAGCGGGACACAGCGCTCGACATCGAGCGGCAACGGCGCCAAAGAGAGTATGAAATCAAACTTGCAGAGTTACAGGATGAGATTGAACATGAGCGTCGATTGCAAAAGGACAAGCGCGAACGGGAAGATCAGACGAATGTTCTCAACCAGTTGCAACAAGATCTAGCCTCGCTAAAGATCAGAGATCTTCCGCTTCCCCCTTCGCCAGATCGGCCAAGCAAATCGACGACAGTCAGCAGCCCTAAAACTCCAGAGAGCCCTGCTGCAAGACCCAAGGATCAAAGTGTTGTCCAGAAGGCAAAGCCAAAACAACAAGTCTCTGCCGCCAAAGAAGAGTGGGAATGGCAGAAGAAATACGTGAACGCTCAGAGCCCCGAGATCGATACTTTGATGGACATGATCGGGCTAGAAGAAGTCAAAAGCAAGTTTCTCGGCGTCAAATTACAGGTAGACACTACCATTCGCCAGAAAGTGGACATCAAAACCGAACGGTTCGGCTCTGTGTTTCTTGGGAACCCAGGGACAGGCAAAACGACCGTCGCACGGCTCTATGCCAAGTTTCTTGCTTCTGTAGGTGTTCTTCCCGGCAACTTCTTTGTGGAAACGACAGGCTCGCGCCTGGCAAATGATGGAGTTACCGGGTGCCAGAAGACCCTGGACACTATTCTGAACAATGGAGGCGGTGCACTCTTCATCGACGAGGCGTATCAGCTGGTTCAAGGTCAAAATTCCGGAGGCACCCAGGTCTTGAACTTCCTTCTCGCCGAAGTCGAGAACCTGACGGGGAAGATTGTTTTTATCTTGGCAGGATATCAACGCCAGATGGAGGAATTCTTCAGCCACAACCCCGGATTACCAAGTCGATTTCCCCACGAGCTCAAGTTCCACGACTATACCGACAATGAGCTTCTGCAGATCCTCGAGTACGGAATTAACAAGAGGTACCAGGGTCGCATGAAAGCCGAAGATGGTATGGGTGGGCTGTATTGTCGCATCGTTGCCCGTCGGATTGGACGTGGACGCGGCCGCGAGGGGTTTGGAAATGCCCGTGCTGTTGAGAATACACGGGCACGCATTTCTGAGCGTCAGGCAAAACGCCTTGCCCTTGAAAGGAGGACCAAAGGTGGCTCCGTTGATGACCTCCTCTTCACCAAAGAAGACCTTATCGGCCCGGAGCCATCACAGGCACTTGAAGACTGCTCAGCTTGGGAGAAGCTTCAGTCAATGATTGGTCTAGACGCCGTGAAGAAGACAATCAAGGCCCTGTTAGACAGCATTCAGTTCAACTACCAGCGGGAACTGGAAGAAAAGCCGCCGGTAGAGTTCACGTTGAATCGTGTCTTTCTAGGCTCTCCTGGGACGGGAAAAACCACTGTGGCCAAACTGTATGGCGAGATTTTGGTAGATCTAGGTCTGCTGTCCAATGGCGAAGGTATGTATGGCGATATATTTCCAAGGACAAAAAGATATCACTCTTTGACGGCTTGCTTACTATATTAGTGATTGTAAAAAACCCGGCTGATTTCGTTGGTGCTTACCTTGGACAATCAGAGAAGACCACGAAGGGGATCCTGGCATCGACAGTCGGGAAAGTTCTCGTCATTGACGAGGCGTATGGGCTAAATGGTGACAGAAATGGCAATGGTTCTGGGGCTGATTCGTTCAAGACTGCTGTCATCGACACGATCGTCGCTGAAGTCCAAAGCACCCCGGGAGACGACCGATGCGTTCTTCTCTTAGGCTATAAGGACGAGATGGAAGCGATGTTCCAGAAGGTCAACCCTGGATTAACGAGACGGTTCCCTCTTGATCAAGCGTTTAACTTTGAGGATTTCAACGAGGGTGAGCTTGGACAAATCTTCGACCTCAAGTTGAAGCAGCAGGGCTTCGATACTACTCCGCGCGGCCGCAAAGTTGCCCTTGAGATTCTTGAACGAGCCCGGAATCGGCCAAATTTCGGCAATGCCGGGGAGATTGACATCATGCTGAATGGTGCGAAAGTTCGTCATCAGCAGCGGCTCTCGTCTACCAAGCGTTCATTGAACCAGTCGACATCGACACTGGAGCCACAAGACCTTGATCCGGATTTTGACAGGGGAGAACGTGCAGATACTAACATTCCAAAGTTGTTTGAAGGCGTTGTCGGGTGCGAAGAGATAGTCAAACAGCTTGAAGGCTACAGACGGACTGTCAAGCACATGAGGGAGTTGGAAATGGATCCTCGCGAGCAGATTCCGTTCAACTTTCTCTTTCGTGGACCTCCTGGTATGTTTTCTATGCTTGCTTGGACTATTCGCATGAAGTAAGAAGGGAGGAATACTGACACGCCTGTTGCAGGAACGGGTAAAACAAGCACTGCCCGAAAAATGGGGAAAGTCTACTATGATATGGGCTTTTTGGCGGCTGCCGAGGTTGTCGAGGCGTCCGCGACTGACCTTGTTGGGCAATATATCGGCCATACGGGCCCCAAGACGCAGAAGCTGCTTGAAAAGGCAATGGGTAAAATCCTTTTCATAGACGAAGCCTACCGTCTTGGGGAAGGCCAATTTGCCAAGGAGGCAATGGATGAGATAGTGGACTGTATCACAAAGCCCAAGTTCTACCAGAAGCTCATTATCATCCTTGCGGGCTACGATGCAGACATCAACAGACTGATGGATACGAACCCTGGCCTGACAAGCCGTTTTCCCGAATCGATCCAGTTCCCCAGCTTGTCTCCGAACGACTGCATCTCGCTACTGACCCAGCTCCTGCAAGAAAAGAAGTCCAAGGTGAAGAAGAAGGGTTCCTTCTGCCTCGACGTACTGGAGCAACCCCGCGAGGAGTTCATTGACAGCTTACGGGATCGTTTTCTCACCCTGTCGAAAATCACCAATTGGGCGAATGCACGCGATGTGCAGACGTTGGCCAAAGGTGCCTTTGGACGCGCTCTCCAGAACTCACCCCCCGGTAGGCTCCGCATGGAGGAGAGCATCATCTTGCTAGAGATAGACACACTACTCAATGAACGACAAGACCGGCAGACGGCACTCAACCCCATCGGACAATTCTTACGCAGCAATCCCCTCCCTGCTGCTACCGACGACCTATCCTCGCAGAGTCAGAATGTCAGCACCGGAAGCTCGACCCAGGATAACCCGCCTCCGGCTCAAGGGCCGCCACCCGAGCAAGAATCGAATGCGAACGATACTAAAAACATCACAGACTCTAGAACCGCGAATCCCACGGAGCCCCGAGACGCGGGTGTGTCGGATGAAGTGTACGATCAGCTACAACGGGACAAAGCGGCGGCGGAGGCCCGGGAGAAAGCGTACGCGCAACTTGTTGAAGAAGACCGGGCAGCAAAAGCAGAGATGGAGCGAGTGCGGCAGGAGGAACTGGAAGCGATCAAGGCTGTGGAAGACGCTCAAAGACAGCAGGACGAGGAGGCCAAGAAAAAGCTTGAGAAGGAGCGGATCGAGCGTGAATTGGCTCGGCGGAAACAAGAGGAAGAACTCGAACGGATCCGTCGGAAACGCGAGGAAATGGAGCAGAAGCGTCTACAGGATCAAAAGGCCCGGGCCAAGTTGCGACAGATGGGGGTCTGCTCGGGAGGATATAACTGGGTCAAACAGAGCGACGGATACCGGTGTGCTGGGGGGATTTGTTTCGTTTCCAACGCGCAGTTGAATTTGTTTTGATGAGATGGATTACTAGTACAATCTGTCTTGAATAGATATCCCAGAAGGTTGACAGCAATGCTACATCCTGTACTTGATTCAATCTTCAATTCTATCTATTCATTAGGTAGTAAAAGTTCATCAGACTCATCACAGCCCACGTTTTTGCAACCGTTTGGTGGCAAACCAATCATTTATTTAGAGTGTTCTACTCAGTACTCGCCGTAAGTCCCATTATAGGTATTTCCATTAACTCCATCTGTGGTGTTCTTGTTCCGTCCCCAGAATCCGTTATGAAAGCGCGTCTTCTCCGGGCTAACCTGGTACTCGAGGTCCTGCGGGGTCGGATGAGCCGGGAGATCGTTTTCATTGAGGTTCTCCGTTTCAGGGGCATTATTCTTGCGGCGCCAGAAGAGGAAGCCCCGAGGCCGATGGGATTCGTAGGTGTATCCATTTGCAGGCGAGGGGCCGAACGCCTTCTGGCGCCGGTGGTTCCGGGCGAGAAGGACCTGGAAGAGGATGGAGAAGAGGAAGAGAAAGCTGCAAATTAGACACTATGACTTTTTTCTTATTTTAGAAAAGTAAATATATGGTGACTTACATTCCAATCATGGAGACGGCAAAGACCGTCTTCTCAAGCCTGCAGGTGAGACCGAGATTGGCCTTTGTCGTAGAGGAATCGGAGCTGCTGTCGCCGTCGCCCAGCGGGGTATTGACGGTGCCACTGCAGGACTGGGTGCCGTGACGGTTCATGATGGCGATGGCCATCATGGCGGCGACGAAGCAGACGTCGAGACCGACGGCGAGGACGGCAAAGAAGGTGACTCCGCCCAGGCAGCAGGTGAGGAGGATGCCGAGCAGGGCGTAGAGGGCGGCGGCGCCAGACAGGCCCTCGACGGCCTTGACCCATCGCGGAATCGACACATTGTGGTTGGCGAGGACGGCGAGGAAGTAGGAGTAGATGGCGAGGATGACGGCCGAGGCGAGAAACTGCAGGATGCGAATCGCAAAGCTGACGAAGCGGAGAACGACGCCGCCGGCCATGTTGACTCCGAGTATACGGCAGTTGAATGAGCTGTTCAGTGGGAATTTATTTCAATAAGTTGATGGGAAAAAGCAGGTTCTTTTGAAAGAAACGGTGTTAAGGCAGCAGAATTCTGTCGCTCATATACAAGGGTCGTTGCATGACCCACAGCCTTCCAGGGTCGCAGCGCACATCAGTGGAGGCAAAGACCGTTTGCCTCCATTGTTGGTCGGTAGAAGCTATTGGACGCTGGATACTGGAAAAGTAGAGGGCCTGGAATTGAGTCTTCATGATCGCCCGCCGTCATTTGCAGACCGTAGATCGAGGGGGAGACAATGATGTCATCGCACTCTGATTGAAGTGGTTGAATCGCCCAGATGGAAATGATTCGACACAGTCAAGACTCAAGGGACTCTCGGGTTCCACGGAATGGCTGGAAGGGATTGAGAAGGACTTAATAATAGGAGCAAATCAAATTAGAATGTTGAGCCTGGGTTGGAAGCACAGCCACTGTACTTTGTCACTAGGCAGTAGTATACTACATAGGATGGCAGTAGTTATTATATATAGACTGATTGATTTATATATTCAAACTTCTTCCATTGAGATGATAATTTATTATTATAGATAGTATATCAACAGCCAGCATACCCTGCAATTCTACCACTTGGTGTACTTTGTTCATCACCCCATTAGAGACACATCAATATCTCTGCTATATTTTCGGCGACAATGGCAGTCCAGTAGAACAATTAGGCAGTTCACGGCTCTCTATGCTGGATGCTCGCATAGACTGACGATGATGCCGTAGAGGTCGTTGATCGAGGAGACTTGCATTTTGACTAGCAAGATCTGGGAGACTTCTAAACAGCTCGTTTGGTTAGCAGTTATCATCCAGATCGGAAGGAAGCTTATTGTAGACTTGCTCCATGACGCGTACGACTTAGGTATCCAGAATAGATATTCCTCGGGCCTTCCAGCCTTTCATCGGTGTCCATCTGCCCAGTTATCACAGCAGTGGCTATCGCGTTGATGTCTCTGGCGATAAATTCTTTGCTGTCGAAGACTCATCCAGTTGTCGCTCTCTGCTTTCCACTCAGGACTAAACATTGTCAAGGCAATTGGTAGTACTGTATGGTCTTTTTCCTGCAACACCTCTTTATCAGTTGACACGACTGAAAGGCTGTATCCCTCTACCTGGGAGCGAGGTGGTATAATCTTCCTGCGATGGTGGAGGAATGGAGCTTAATGATCTCTTGCGTTGAAATCGTGTGTCAGTAAGCTGCAGATTGTAGATTGTAATTCTAGATTGTAATTCAAGGTTGTAATTGTGATTGTAGATCTCAAAGTGATCTGATGCAGATGAAAGCGTTGACTCCGTGTCTGTTGTTGAATCCAACTGGAGTCACCGGCGCAGTCACTGTAGTTATACTTCAAGTCATTGAACTACCTCAGTTAATAGGCACTTGTTAAGTTAGTATTTCCTTCACTTTTTTATAGAAATACAGCCTCAGTGCAGAAGTCAACCAGCCTGCACATCAACAAGAATCTTGCAATGCCGGTCCTTGTGTTCGACCAGCGCCTCGAATCCCTTCTCAACCACGTCATCCAGCTTGATCTTGTTGGTAATCATCTTCTCCGGCTTCAATTGGCCTGCTCATTATAAGTAAGTCGGGTGCTATTGGCCTTGTGGATTTCATTCTGGTCCACCCACCATTGTTCAATGCCTCTATCACATCGACAAAAGCGCTCTCGTCGTACAACGCAGCCCCCATGTACATGATCTCGCTGTACATCAGCTCATTCACCCGTATGGCCGGCTGTTTCTCCCACACGGCGATGTTGACAATCGTCCCGTGGGTGCGACACGCCGGGATCGCGCTGTTCAGGGCGCTCTCCACGCCCGCGGCATCGAAGACGATGTCTGCACCTTGCCCGGCGGTGATCGAGCGGACGGTTTGGGTGAGATCGTCTTCGCGCGGGTCAACAATGACGGTGGCACCGAATTCTTGCGCGAGTCTCTTTCGGTTCTCCATCAGCTCGGCGACGATGATGTTCTTCGCTCCCTGCAGTTTCAGAACTTGCACCACGCCGATCCCTACTGCCCCCCCACCTAGAACTAGGACATTATCGCCGGCTTGGAAGGGCGAGATGCTGACGGCATGCCATGCTACCGCTAGAGGCTCGATCAGCGCCGCAACCTCCAGCGATAATGTGTCGGGGAGTAGGTAGAAATGCTCGACGGGGGCTACAACGTGGGTTGCCATGCCACCGCCATATCCTAAAACATTAGGCTTTATAAGACAAACAGACTAAACAAGGTGGTCATACCGCTCAGCCCGATGAATCCGATATTCTCGCAGCAATATTCCAACCCCATCTTGCAAGCGGAACACGTCCGGTCGAAGATTGTAGGCCGAACGGCTACCCGTTGGCCAGGCGAGAGGCGTGTGACGTCCTCTCCGACCTCTTCGACGATGCCGCTGAATTCGTGGCCCATCGTGACCGGATACTTTGTGCCTGTGATAGCGTGCGGTTCCTCGGGGATCAAGACAGGGCCAGCGGTGAATTCATGGAGATCTAGTCGATCAGATATTGAACAATTTATTACTGAGACAGATTTTTGAACTGCCAGGCATACCACTTCCACAGATTCCCACGTAGGCAGGTCTCATCTGTTCCATTAGCCATGGAAAGGTGAAGAAAGGTGATATGAGACCTCAAGGTATTACCTTCACTTGCCCCTTGCCACATCGCGGCTCCTCGACTTGATCAACCCGAATGTCACCCCGTCCATGAAACTGAGCCGCCTTCATGGTTGACGTTTTGAGCGTGGTGTGGAGTGGACTGACGAGCTTGACTGCTGTGTTCATTATAGAGCAATGTACTTACTATCCATAAACGGGTTGTATGGTCTAAAAGACAAACGCTTCTCTATTTATATAGATTCGCTTCTTATTCGAACGCATATCAGTGGCGATGTATATGAGCGAGGAGCCCCATCAGGTTGACATCTATCTAGAAACAAGTAGACATTCTGGACGCTCTCGCTTGCTCCACATATTACCCCTGGGGGAATGGGGTGTGACGTTTCAGGTCATCACCCATAGGTATGGTATATGTGTCGCCAGCCTGTCAATGACAAGATACAGAAGGCTGAGCTAGGTAGATTCGTCCCATTTGCCGCAGACCGTCCACGAGACTATTCCTTCCAAATAAGCACCTGTCATTTGATGGAAGCGATTTGCCCGTCTTCGTAGGGGAAACCGTGGTCATGACGTCCGCCGATATAAGATTGGGGGGATGCACTGTCTGCGGAGTGTGGCAAAACTTCATCCAACATGTCTTTGGTAGGCCGATCTATCCTGCACGCAGCTGAAAACCTGTTTCGAATGAGATGGTAAAAGGATCCGACCAATTGAATTACTGGATTCTGGATTCTAATCAGATTCAGCCACTGGACTGCCGGCTGAAGCCTCCCCGCGTTGCTGGTCGATAAAGGCACGCAGGATCGACTCCAGCCCTTCGTTACGGCGAGTGAGAAGCATCACGTCGGATGCGTTGATGGTTGACCGCCCGGCATGCCTGAAATCGGAAATTCCGACGTCAACACTCCTCGATGGCTCCTCTCGTAGACACTTACTTGGCGAATGACTCTAGATCCTGGCTGACGTTCTCTGATCATGTCAGTCAACATCAACCACACAAAGAGGATCCAACAGGCGGGAAAGGAAAGTGCTGGCACGTACCAATTTGTGTCCAAACCAGCTCTGTCAAGGCCCCAATGAACTGAGGTGTCGCGTTGACCCCGAGTTTGAGGGTCTCCTCGTCGACGATCTTCCCGATAGCCAGCCAGAGGGCAGACTTGAGACGCTGCGGGCTTCAGTCAATCCCAGAGCAGAGCCCCGATTCAGACAGACATACCTCTTCCAAGCCGACTTCCTCGTTCTGGTCCATTTGAGATGACAGCCAAATACTGTGAATATAGCAAAAGACGCCCTCTGTACAGTGTAAGCTACACTCCGTTGAATACAGGTGGTCAGTCTAAGCAGTGCCTGCCTCATCGTAGACGCGACGCGTTGGCATATGTCTCGATTGGGACTGGAGGATTGTATCTCCGGGATCCGACGCCCGCCCAATCGGAGCATCCGCATATGGCAGTTTGCAGTGTTTGCAGTGTTTACAATGTTTGCAGTGTTTGTTTCTGGCAGCTTCAGAAAGTCGTCGGCAGCTGCTGGAAAAAGAGAATCACAGCTTCTTGTCGACTCTCGCCATTCGCCCAGACAGCGGGACTGATTCGAAAAAAGACCATCTGTACTTGCTTGCAGTCTACTTCTTATTCCTCTTCTGTATCACTTCTCGTGAATACCGATAATCCTACGCGATCAAGACTGTTGAATTTGATTCCGCGGGGTTCCGCACGCTCTCAGTACAGCTCTACCCCTCAAGCTCCTTTTAGAAGAATCACCCAGCTAAGAAGAAGAAAATGGATATGGAAAAGGTCACCGAGCTGCTGACCGACTTCGTCGGCCAGCTCCTCGCCGCCGCGGAAGCCACCCTGAAGCGGTTCGTCAACCGGTTCTCTGCCTCGTTCACGACGGGCGACGCCAAGCGCTGGGTGCGCGTGCTGCTGATCGTCTTCGCCTACCTGCTCGTGCGGCCGTATATCGACCGGTTCTTCAAGTGGTCGTACGAGCGCGACCGGCTCAAGCGCGAAGAGAAGAAGAAAAAGGAGGAAGAGGCGTTCGGGGTGACGGAGGACTCGCAGGCGAAGGTCTCGGCCAACTCGCTGCGGGGCGGCGGTGCTGCCGCCGCTGCTGCTCCCAGGGAACCGGGGAAGGTGCTCGGTGAGGTGGAAAACTCGGACGACGAGATCAACGAGGCGGAGGAATTTGCAACGGCGAGTGGCGTGCCGGAGTGGGGGAAGAACGCTCGCAAGAGGCAGAAGAAGTACCAGAAGAATCTGGAGAAGGGGGGCAACACTCGTGCGAAGAACCTGTCGGAGGACCAGATCAAGGAGTTGCTCGAGTGGAGTGATTCGGAGTGATCATTTCTTCAAAATTTGCTCAATCATTAAATACAGTCGATTAATAAAAGAATCATCAGATTTCGTTCATTGTATACAATATCTAGTGCAGCCGTCTCAATGCCTCAACCATCCCACGGACAGAATCAACGTCGAGTTCCTCGCCCACCAAGCCTACAATCTCCTCCTGCACAGGCGGCTCGAGCTGGAGGAACCGCTCGATCAGATCGCCGTCGACGAAACGGAAGGGCTCCTCGGACGCGCGCACCAGACTGCGGAACGCACGGAACTTGGTGAAGGGCAGCCCGCCCAGGGAGTCGATATACGCGGCCATAGTTGACTGGAGACGCATGAGGAAGTCCTGGTGCGCTGCATTGATCAGAGCGAACAGATAGATGGATCCTTCGACCTGTTGTTTTGTAAGCAATCAACCCGAACAATCAGGAGAAAGAAACGGGGAAAGGAGAGAGAGAACAAGCTTACTGTAGCGATGAATGCTCTCGGACTGACGATCCCACTGGAGAGCTGCTGGACGTTCACCGGTCGGATACGATTGACCATCTCGCCCAGGGAAATCTCAGCGGTGACTTCGAGCCGCCGGCGGTCCTCTTCCGTCACACCGTGGACGTTGCGCCGCAGGACGATCAGGTTCCCCTCTGCGTCGCTTTCTAGAAATGTTTCTCCATCCTGCTGCTGCCCCTGTCCCTCGGTAGTGCTCTCGCTGGGGTCGCCGCCGTCCACGCACGCAACGGCCGTCGCCCACACGGTCTGGAAATGGCGCGCCACCTCCGTCAAGCGGTCTGGAAGGCCGTCCACCCCGGCGGTATACTGGACCACCGACACGCTCTTCATCAGGTCGGCGACTGCAATCAGGTTTCCCGTCACTGTGATGTCGACGGGGGCCGTCGAGGTGCGGTAGCTGGCTGCTTTTTCGAGCTTGATCTCGCTGAAGTTGTTTGCCACAACATTATACACGACGACCTAATCAGTTAGAAATAGAAGAATAGAAGAGTAGGAAGATAGAAAAGAGAAAAGAGTACCGTCTTCACTAGGGCAGCCACCAACTTCCCCCCCATCATAGCCAAGGCCCGACAGGCTCCCTTGACAGGCAACTCAGCGATGCGTGTCAGCTTACGACCATTGTCGACTTCGAAGATCAAGATCCTGCCACGGATAGACTCCTGCCCTTCGTCGTCGAGGTAAGCGGTGCCAACGACGAAGCGGTCACGGAGTAACGGACGCCCCGCGTCGTCGGAGCCGACGACGAGATCCGCGCGGATGACGCTTTCAACCAGTTCCTCGGCGTGCAGGTCAAACGCATCTAGTTGGCGGAAGAGGATCTCGTCCGCGAGCACGAAGCGGCTGTTGACGACTTCGGCGCCACCCTCCAGAGTCCGCGAGATGGTACCGATGCCGAACGCCTTTTCCGCGGGCGAATACGCCACCCGCCGCACCGTCGCGCCGATGGGAAGCGTTTGGATCTGCGTCGTGCGCTCGCGGTCCACCAGCGCGATCTTGAGGTCCTGGGCCGTCGCCACCGCGATCGCACCGGGGTACGCCGCGCAGTGGAAGTGGCAGACGCGCGCGGCACCCTCGGAGTTGACGGCGGAGTAGATGATGCGTCCCTCGGAGCCGTAGATCAGACTTGGGTTCTCGCATGTGGCGAACACATTGGACAGGCCTCCTGCGTGGCTATCACTATTATCATTACCCCCGCGCGGCAGTCGTTTGAACGTCGGCTGTTCTGAGCCTAGGATCAGCTTGTTCATCCCCGTCAGCGAGTATTCGGTTCCCTCCTCCGCTTGGAAGGCAAAGGTGATCACGCTGCCGTCCGCCATGGAGATGAAAAGCGTCGGCGGGCTATCGGCCAAGACCTCTGTGACGAGCACAGAGCGCGGAAATGCCTCGCCAGCGGGACCCAGGGATTTCTCGTGCAGGATGTCCAGAGAGTCGAGCGAGAGGACGGAGACAGTCGCCGACTGGGGGAACGCCACCACGCAGATTGCGTTTTCACTTGCTGAGGAGGAGGAGGGCACGGCGACGCCGGAGATTTGCCGGTCCGCACCCAGATCCTTCTGCGACTGTACGCGGACGGTGTTGGAGTCGCGGAGGTCGATGATGGTCAGGATCTGTCCTCCCACAACGATGGCCAAGTGGTTGTCATTTGCCGAGGCGGCCGTGATGACCGACTGAGCTGGGGCCGTCCACTCAAAGGAGAGCATGCCTCCGACATCAGCGATCAGGACGCGATGCTCGGTGACCTGCAGGATGCGGGCGGCGGGCAGATTTGCGACGAGCAAGGTGCTCTCTGCAAGCGACAAACCGAAGAAAGAGTCGAGTTCCTCGACCTCACCGTCAGGACTGAAGGTAAACACGCGCGTCTCGTTGACAAAGGTCACGACCAGAGTATCGAGAAAGTCGGTGCTGCCGGTGGCGTCTTGTGCCTGTAGCCCCCACAGATCAGTGATATGGTTCATTTCGCCGAGAACCCCCAGCTCCTCCATGCCGACGCCGGAGCGGACGGAGCGCAGGGTGCCGTCGCCAAAGGCCCCGGAGCCCGTGACGATGCGGGCCTGGCCCGAGGAGAACTCGTGCGTCTGCTGGGACTCGCTGGTGCGGCTGCCGAGATCCATGACGGTGAAGTCCGGGATCGGGGCGATATTCGAGATGGTCTGCAAGACGTCGATGGAGCCGTCACCGATCCGTACAACCTGCGAGTCACCCTGATGGGAACCGACAAAGATGATCCCCGCGCCCAGATAGACCAGGACGGAGGCGACGGAGGTGGTGCCCAGCAGATCGAATTTCCAGCTGCTAACCTGGTTGTCGGCGTCGAGAACCAGCATGAGGAAGTACAGGCGGCCGTACAGGTCTGCGAGCAGCCAGCGCTGGCCGTCGACCTGCTCCCAGGCGGCGAAATCCGTGGCCTCCTCCAACGGTTGCGACAGGGTATCATTGTTATCCTCGTCGACGTAGGCGATGGAGGTCTCGCCGAGAACCAGCAGGCCGCCCAACGGTGCAGGGACGGGTATCAGATGCGATGCCCCGAGGGGCAATTCCTGCGAAAACACCTTTGTCTCGACAAACGTGGCGTCTGCGCCCTGCAGCTCGCGCACCTTCAACCGCACCGCACGCTGGCTATCCTCGTACAACAACGCCAACCGCGGCGAGCCCGCCTGGACGTGCATGAAAGTCGACGAGCGTACGAACAGCTCGTCGATGCGTGCGTTGGTCGGCTCCCCGAGTTCCCCAACTTTGGCAGCATTCCCACCACCACCACCACCTCCTCCTCCTCCTCCTCCTCCTCCTCCTCCTCCTCCTCCTGCATGACTCGGTCCCGGTTTTTTTTTCCTGCCCGAAAACTGCACAATGGGCACCACGGTAATCACGCCCTCGTAGATCTCGAGCGTAAGGAACTGTCCCGACGGATCGATCAGACACCGACCGGCCGTCTGCGACTCGCGCGACGACGGATCCGCAAGGTCGACAAACTGCCGCTCCGTCCGTACCGACCTGCTCTCCCGATCCCACGAGAGAGTGAAATAGGTGAACTGGTCTGTTCCGACGAAGAGATGGTCTGTATCCGAGTCGGCGGGGGTAGGGAGGCGGGCGAGCATCGTCGGTCGGGCGAAGAGCGGACGAGACGTCGTCAACGATAACCCGTCGGGCGTTGGACTGTAGAATTCCAATCTATTTGCTTTTCTTGACGGTATTAGAAAGGAAAAAAAAGAAAATAGTTGATGTAAAATACGTTGATAACTGAAGAGGAAGCTCACGCAACAACCAGACACTCCTCCTTTGGTTTCAGGAACTCGAGCTTCAACGCATGCCGGATGCTGCTTGCCCGGTGGATGGGCACGACATAGGCCATTTTGCTCTGATATACCGACTATACTTGATTCTTTCTGGGTTTATCCCAGCTGAAGCGCTGGTTGAACGTCGCCGAAGCGCTGGTTGGACGTCGCTGAAGCGCTGGTTGGACGTCACTGTAGCTGCTGGAGCTGCTAGAGCACGTATGTATCTGACACTCTGCTGAGTCTGCTCAGTCTCTATCACATCAATTCATAGTCATTCAATAACGTGTTCGTAATCCGGTGTGCTGGAACCGACTGTGTCGTATCCAGGCTGGTGGGATGAAGTGAGTTGGCGATCTTATCTACGATGACATAATTTTCATTTCACTAACACTGCAACTAATAGTTCTATAACAACTGTCCTAGGCTAAACTGAGCTATGTAGTATTTCTATTCAAGCATTATACTCTCATGCCTCTATGATAGACCTCGTTCAAACTCGAAACAAAGAAAGAAATGCTCGTAAAATATGTGCATGCATATCCGTAAGATGGTCCGTAAGACTTCCACGAGAGAAATCTCTACTTCACTCGGGGTTTCTTGTATAAAAGAAGAAAAGAAGAAAAGAAGAAAAAAACTAGGACCAGACGTCCTCCTGGTAGCTGCCATTACTGCGCATGTGTTTGACGAGCTCCTCGCCCCTGTCGGCGGGCAGGTTACGCTGCTCCGCCAGGATGCGACCGAGGACGAGGTTGACCTCGCGGGCCATGTTGGCGGCGTCGCCACACACGTAGAAGACGGCCTTTTGCTTGAGCAGGTCGCTGACCATGGAGGCGTGTTCGTGCAGACGGTGCTGCACGTAGACCTTGGAGGGGCCTTCACGGGAGAAGGCGGTGATGATTCTCAGATTATCGCCCAGTTGTTCTTGATAGGTCTGATGGTCAGTGTAAGAGTATAGAAGATAAATATACTATAAGAATAGAGGATGGAAACTTACCTTCCACTCATCCTGGTAGACAAAGTCCTCGGTGCGGTTCCGGCAGCCGAAAAACAAGACGGTAGGCCCGACCTTGTCGCCACGGGCGGCCAGAGCGGCGCGCTCCTGGATGAAGCCGCGGAAGGGGGCGACGCCGGTGCCCGGGCCGACCATGATGATGGGGCGGGAGGGGTCGGAGGGCAGCTTGAAGTTGGAGTGGCGGACATGGACGGGGAGATGGATGCCGTCGTACCTGTTGCGGGGGCCGGAGAGGGCGTAGGTGAGGCCATGCGGGTCCGGGGCGGGGTCGCCGTTCTGCTTCTGCTTGAGGGCGAGCAGGTAGTTGGTGGTGACGCCCTTGACGAGGTGGCTGGCGCCGGGCAGACGGAGGGACTCGACGACGGCGGTGATGCTGATGGTATCCTTCTGGACGAGCGAGGAGGAGGAGATGGAGTAGTAGCGCGGCTGGATCTTGTTGATGCCCTCGATCAGGAGGGAAAAGGGGACGGTGGTGAAGGGCTCGGGGGTGAGGCTCTGCAGCGCCTGGGCGATGGTGTAGCAGTGGGTGGAGAGCTTGTCGTGGAAGTAGTCCTTGTCGGCGCCCAGACGCACCATCTCGGCTCTGGTGGCCTCGTCCGGGGCGAAGGCGGCCAGGGTGGCGACGAACTGGCGGGAGACGGGGGCGGCGATCTCCATGTAGTAGCGGGCGGCGGCATCGTAGGTGGTCGGGGTGGGGATGGGCACTTTGGCGGTGACGTCGAGCCCCTTGACGCGGATGACGGCGTCGCGCTTGTCGGCCAGGCCAAACACCTGCAGGAAGCGGTCGACCTCGGCGCCGGCGTTGGTGGGCCAGACGGCGATGTGGTCGCCGGTCTGGTAGCTGAGGTTGCTGCCGGCGATGCTGACCTCGAGGTGCAGACAGTTGCGGCCCTTGACGGTGAACAGTTCGCGGGACTCGACGATGGGGGCGATGAAGGGGTTGTGGGCCGAGTAAGGGCCCTTGGGGCGGCCCTGCAGGTGGGCGTGCGTCGGCTCGCCGAGATAGACGGTCTCGTCGGCCGGGGTCAACGCCTCGTCCTCGGTGACGGAGAAGACGGGCTCGTACTTGGCCTCACGCTCCTGGAGACCCAGCGAGTCGGCGAGAGCCGCCCACATGGGCTCCTTCCAGGCCAGAAAGTCCTCCTCCATGGTGCCGGCGCCATCGTCGCCCTCGCCGGCATCGCCGACGCGTGTGGCACCCATCTTGGTGAGCGCGGCGTCGACGTTGCGAACCATGGCGTTGTAGTGCTCGTAGGTGTTGTTTCCCAGGCCAAAGGTCACGTACTTGAGGGCGGCCAACGGCCGGTCGGCCTCGCCGCTCTCAAAGGCGACGTCGTCGCCCGTGATGAACTGGTAGAACTCGACGGCGTTGTCGGTCGGCTCGCCCTCGCCGTAGGTGGCCAGCACGAAAAACACCACCTTGTCCGAGGGGAAGCGGTCCAGGTTCTCGTAGTCGTAATCCTCCAGGTCGGCGACCATGGTCTTCAGGCCAAAGCGCTGGGCGCCCTCCTTGGCCAGGCGCGAGGCGTAGTCCTCGGCGGTGCCGGTCTGCGAGCCGTAGAACACCACGCAGTTCTTGCCCGTCGCCTCCATCTTCTCGAGGATATCCCTCGTGGCGGCGGCTTTGGCGGCGCCATTGACGGCGGTGGTCGACGAGGCGTAGGGGTCTTTGGCGACCGCCCAGTATGACCCCTTTGTGAAGTAGGCGACACTGCCCACGAGGAGGACGGCGAGGACGACGAGATCGAGGGTATCGAGCTGCCCCATAGTGGGAGATTTATCGAAGGAAAAAAGAGAAGAAAAAAAAAACACAAGAAGAAGAAAAGCAAGAAAGAAAGAAAGAAGAGGGTTGAAAAGAAGAGTCAGGATAAGCGTAGTGGAAGGCGTGAAGAAAGCCAAGTGGTCTGACTTGGAGACCGCCGGAAAGCCAACGCCGATCCCGGCCCAAAGTGGGCAATCGTGAGAGAGCGAACGCGAGTGCGAGTGCGAGAGGAGGTGGAAGAGATGGTTTTAGATGAAGGATGAAGGATGGAGAATGGAGAATGGAGGATGGAGGATGGAGGATGGAGGATGAAGTGGTGAGAGTGGTGAGCAATAGAATGAGAGGGTTCCTCGGCAGGCTCGGAATTACTGCAGGAAGCTATCACTCCAAGATCTAGGATGGGATAGAATGCAGAGACTTGCTATAAGACAAGAAATGTCTATTATAAATAGTTACTCTATCTTATACTAGGTTATAGAATAACATTCAGTCCTCGGATTCCCGAATCCATTGCCGACTGCCGTGGAGCGGAGGACTTTACAGAGTAAGATAGTAATAATGATAATGATAATGATAATAATAATAAGATACTCTGTAGTATTATAATGATATGAACAGAGAAGTTAGGTGTAGACTGGAATGCATTCCAATAGCCGACTGATGAAGGATTCCTGTAGTAACTAATAGAAGACGATAGATGAAAGCAAAATCCAATCAGGGTCTGTTTAGTATCTCATAGAATACTTATAGTCAGACTTGTATAGTATCTTATCAATAAAGATAGTATAGAGTCTATAGTATAGACCAGTAGAGTATTATCTACAAGGTTTTTATTAAGAAGTTATAGTGTATGTATAGTAACTATATCATTGCGGGTGTTGCCTATATCATTCACTCCCTCTCAACCGAGATACTTCATCTTCATCTTCATCTCATCATGGAAAAAACATGGAAGATGCTGGGTAAGTTTTCCTATCCCATAGTATTCTCCAACTGATCAGTAGAGAACAATCCCGAGGTGATGACCCAGCTCGCCACCACGCTGGGCCTCTCTCCCGATCTACAGTTCTACGACGTCTATTCCCTCGACGAGCCAGACCTGCTCGCTCACATCCCTCGCCCTGTCTTCGCGTTGCTGGTCATCATCCCCCTCACGCCAGCCTGGCACCGTGACCGTCAAGCCGAGGACGCCGGAAGGGAGTCCTACGAGGGATTCGGCCCCGACGAGCCCGTCCTCTGGTTCAAGCAGACCATCGGACACGCGTGTGGCTCCATCGGACTCCTGCACAGCGTCCTCAACGGACCAGCAGTGGCCTTCATCCAGCCGGGCTCCGACCTCGAGGCTATCCGCAACACCGCCATCCCGCTGCAGATGACCGACCGCGCCGAGATGCTCTACAACAATCTCCCCTTTGAACGCGCCCACAGATCCGTCGAACACTCGGGCGATACGCATGCACTGCCCACCACCCAACACACCGGTCTGCACTTTCTCGCGTATGTCACCGCCGCTGGACGACTCTGGGAGCTCGAAGGTTCACGCCAGGGGCCGCTGGAACGAGGTCGAGTCGCGGAGGGGGAGGATGTGCTGAGCCCGAGACTGCTGCAGATGGGGATCAAACGGATCATGAGGGTGGCCAGCGAGGGGGGGGAGAAAGATCTCCGCTTCAGCTGTATTGCTTTGGCAAGAAGAACAAGAACTGTTCAATAAGGAGTGCCAGTTGCCAGTTATTCTGAAGCTATTGTAGCACAGCCACAGGCTGTGGCTGTGGCTGTGGCTATGGCTGGACTGTGGCTAATACTGTCTGCCTCAGGATCAACAGCAGGTAAAGTCAGTCAAATATCCAGCTATTTATATCAACCAAATCGAACAATCCATATACTCCGTACTACTCCGTACCGTCGATCAGACAGTAGACGATACCATCTGCTCTGAATCCACTCCTGCTGGGTTGTTCTACGACTTGCTGGCCATTCTGTAGCTGCCCACAATCCCTATGGGAATATCTGGAATCACGGCGATCTCTGAGCAGTCAGGACGGAAGTCCCAGTAAATAGTATTTCCAGTCGAATCAAATCATCTTCCCTATACTCTGTATACATATATATCCATTCTTATTGCAGACCCGGATTGCAACTCCCCCTCGATCCTGTCCTTGCCAGCCCGTGCGGTCGGACAAACGAGCTGGAGCCTCCAACCTCGTCTCTCACCACCACCACCACCGAAACTCCTTCTCTCCAACGACTCCCACCACCGCAACCCAGTTCCTGCTCCTTGCCTGCTGAGGAACCATGTCCCGCTCGTTGTCTCTGCTGAGCACTCGTGTTTCCTCCAGATGTCCCCGGCTGTGAGCTTGAGATCGCCCTTTCAGCGATGCAGCCCCATCGTGAGTTCCTAACCTCCTCCTCCTCCTCCTCCTCCTCCTCCCAAGAGATTTTCCATCCCCCCTTGTCTCCGATCGGGACGTCTCAGATGCTAATCCATCTCTGATGACGTTTCAGCAATCAAATCTGGCCCCGGCCAGCCCCCGATACCCCTCCTCCCCGACGAACTGACCGCTGCGTCGCACCATGGCCTCCCCTCCCCACCAGAGCGTCTGGGCCCGCGCAGCACCCAGTCCTCCTCGGCCGTCCACAGTCGTGAACCCTCCTCTGCCAGAGGCAGAGGCCTTGACCCGTCTACTGCTACGCTTCCTCCCTCGGCTTCCTCCTCCTCCTCCTCGCCGTCGTCCTTGCCGCCCTCCGCCGCCGTCTCCGCCTCAGTCTCTTCCTTGCAACCCCAACCCCGCCGACGCGGCCAGTCCCATTCAAAAAGCCCTGAGACGGGCGTCGTCGTCGGCCTCGAGCGACGGCCCTCCAACTCCTCCTACGGGCATCATCGTCAGACATCCATCGTGCACGGCATTCAGCATTCCCGGAACCCCAGTTTCGCCAATACAAACCCGCTCAGCCCGGAGCTGATCGCCTCCGTTGGGCGTGCCATGGCGGCCGAGTCGATGGAAATGGGCAGGTCGGACCAACAACAACAACAACAACAGTCTCAGTCCCCTTCACAATCACAATCACAATTACAATCACAATCACAAGATGTACTACCCAAGAATCCGAGTCCAGGTCATTCCACCTTGGCGACTATTGAAGACCAGGGCCCCATGGATCCGGCTGCGGCCTCCCACCGGCGGAATCCTTCCACGGGCAACAAGAACTGGCAGAAGAATTCGCATAGCCGGACTCACTCGAAGCATCATCATACCGAGTCAAAGACTGTCGGCGAATATGCATTACACCACCTCTTCAACTCGGTAAGACCTTGTGTCCATTCTTCTGGCTGCCTATTCAGGACACTGACCCGGACTAGTTCGTTGGACAAGCAGACGCCAAAATCAACCAGGCCATCATGAAGCTGGGAGAATCCTCGGCCCCGGTAGAGGAGGTCTGTGGACCCGGCGCGGATCCAACCTTTGACCAACTCATCGCTGCTCTGGGGCATATTGCCCGTGATAAACCTAAGCCGTTGATCGACACGATCATGTTCTGGCGTAAAGCCAAGGGAGACGCCGCTATCATGGCCAAACAGGTGGGGGAAGGGAAGAAGTTTCTTGTGTGATTCATCTTGCTAACAATCTCTATTAGCCCAGGCCATCATTTGCAGAGAATGGACTACTGCACCGTCGCAACACGGAACCCACGCAGATAAATACCGAATCCCCAGCGGTGGATCCTACTCCTCCTCCTCCTCCCCCGCCACCTAGCACCCTCCTGTCAAGACACGAAGATGTGGTTCTGGCCGAGAGACGGGCCACAGTCTCGGTCTATCTGGTCTGTCGTGTCCTCATCGAGATCTTCAACCAGAGCAGCCTGGCCTCAATCACCGTCGATATGGCCGACCGCCTCGAGGATATCATATTTGGCCAGCTCAAGACCGTCGATCCGGACCAGATCGCCGCCTCCCCGCTGCGGATGGCCAACTGGCGGATTTACGCCCAGCTGCTAGGCATCATGAGCGAGACCAACTTCACCAGTGTCACCAATCGCTTCCTCGCCGAACTCGACCGCTACCAGAAGGACGAGGCAATGCGCGGCGGGCCGACCAAGGACAGCGAAGCCAAGGTTGAACTGCTCATCCTGGGCATGCGCTATCTCCGTATCAGCACCTATCCGGAATCATGGACCAAAACCTGTGATTTCATGCGCTCTCTCGCCCGCTTGTTCGTCAACGCCCACGGCCAACGCATCAAGCAAGCCTACTGCTACATCTTCGAGACTCTGCTCCTCATCGTCGCTGCCAGCCCGAGTGCCGACCTGACCCTGCCCAAATGGAAGGAGTTTCTTGACCTCGTCCAGCCGCGTCTCTCTCAACTCATGACAAAACCTCGCCACTGGGCCGCAGCTTTCCCCCTGCATGTCCTGCTGCTGTGCGTGTCCACAAAGGAAGTCTTCTCCGCCCAGTGGCTGTCCATCATCATGGGCCTGCCTGCCAAGTTGAAAGAACGCCCGGCCCGTGGGCCGGCCCTGCAGGCCATGTGTCGTCTCTTGTGGACTTATTTTTTCCGCCACTCCGATTCCCCAACCGTGACCCTCCGCAGGGTCGAAGAGGTCGTCAAAATCGCCTTACCCCCGGGCCGTAAGAGCTACCTCACCACCGAACCGACCGTCTCCGACCCCCTCATCCAGCTCATCCGCATGATCGGGCTCAAGCACCCAGACGTTTGCTTCCGCAACATCATCTTTCCCTTGATCAACTCCGACCTCTTCCTGTCCGGCCGCGAGCTCCGGATCGACCAGATGGAGCCCGAACGCATGGTCATCGGAATCCGCTCCTTCTTGGCCATCATGTCCGATCTCGAGCACTGCGATCATCTCTGCCCGCCTTTTCCCACGGGCGCCGTTCCCAACCCCTTCACCCAAGTCAGCGTCGCCCACATGCACCGACCACAGTTGCTAGCGGAGCCCAGAGTGACGCGCGGGCTCGCCGATGCCGATCCTACTACTACTACTACTACTACTACTACTACTACTACTACTACTACTACTACTACTACCCTTTCCCGACCTGTCAACACGGCCAAACTTGGTGATAATACCAAAGAATACTACATCCGCTTCTGTGAGATTCTGGGCAAGATCACCATCGTCTGTGACAACGCCTTTGGTGGCCAGGCGGCCTTGGACGAGAAGTTCGGCGGGTCCACACCCAAGACGCCCATCTCCGAGGCGTTCAGCTTCGCCCGGCGCGACGACCACCTGACGGCGTCGGAGCAGAAACAGGCCTTTTATGACCTCCTCCACGTCGCCGTGCAGGCTCTGCCCCGCTGCCTCTCGGACCACATCCCCTTCAATTCGTTGATCAACCTGCTCTGTACTGGCACCGCCCATGTGCAGTCGAACATTGCCGCCTCGTCGGCCGAATCGCTCAAGGCGATCGCCCGCCAGGCGCACGCCCAGCAGGTGACCATCGGATTCGCCCGGTTCATCTTCAACTTTGACGCGCGATACTCGACCATGTCGGACGAAGGCATGCTAGGCCCGGGCCACATCGAGTCCACGCTGCGGCTCTACGTCGAACTGCTCGGCATCTGGATCGAAGAGATCAAGCAAAAGACGAAAGGGGTGACGGCCGACACGGCCGACAAGTCCCCCTCTGGAAGCCGGGCTCTGCAGCTCGATCTGTCGAGCGTGCTGGCGTACGTCGATGAGATCGAGTCCCATGGCCTGTTCTTCCTCTGCTCGCAGTCCCGGCGGGTGCGCGCGTTCGCCATCACGGTCCTCCGGCTCGTCACCGAGTTCGACAGCGCGCTGGGCAAGGAGAACACGCGCATCATCCGCATTCTCGAGGCCGACTCCCAACAGATCCTGGACGTCAACGACGAGCAGCTCACGGTGGCGGAGCGCAGTCGGATCCAAAAGGGCAAGCGGCGGAGTGCCTCGCAGAACACCCTCATCGAACTGTGCAGTAGCGAGGTCTCGTACGATTCCACCCTGTGGTCCAAGGTCTTCCCCAACATCGTCCGTCTCAGCTTCGAGACCTGCCCTTTCGCCGTCATGCTGGGCCGGGAGATCGTCTGTGCCCGGCTGGTCCAGATGCACAACACCATCACCGCCCTGGCGGAGAGCCCGCGCCCGGCCGCGCCCCAGTACGGTCCTCTGCTGATGGATGCCGCCCAAGGCCGGACCTTGGCCCGCAACAACATGACCGCCGAGATCCTGGTCGAGCAGTGGAAGCTCTACCTGGTCATGGCCTGCACCACGGTCAACACCGTCGGCGCCCAGTCGCAGAGCCAGCTGGCCAATGCCCAGCACGCGCGCAAGGCCTCCAAGGGGGCGCAGCAGTCGCAGGACAAGATCAGCTCGGCGCGCAGTCTCTTCGCCTTTGTGATCCCTCTGCTCTCCGCCGAGCGCGACTCGATCCGCAACGCCATCGTCGTCGCCCTGGGGTCGATCACCACGAGTCTCTACCGCACCCTCCTCGAGTCGCTGCAATACGCCGTCACCACCTGCAACGAGGAGGCCAAGATCCGCATCGGCACCCATGCCCGCACGCCGAGCAGTCCCCGGCGGAACCGCAAGACAGACCGGCTCCGCACCGAGGTGACGCATGTCTACAAGCTCACGTCGCAGTTCCTGCAGGAACCCGAGGTCTTCAACGACGACTGGATCGTCAACAACCTGGTGACCTACACGAAAGACCTACGCATCTTCCTCAGCGATGCCGAGGTTCAAAACGATTGGGAGTTCCAGCGCTTGCGCTTCCACTACTGTGGCCTCATGGAGGAGTTGTTCGAGGGCATCAACCGTACCAAGGACCCGTCGCGCTGGCTTCCCTTTGAGTCCCGCAAGTCCGCCTTCTCCCTCATGGAGGACTGGTGCGGCTACTCGCCCAATCAGGCTCAGATCTCCCAGCGTGAGGAGAACATGCGCAAATTTGCCATGTCTCACCAGCAGCAGTCTGAGGCCGCGGGCGGCAGCGGCGGCGTTGGCGGCGGCGACATGCGCAACAAGGCGGCCGCCATGGAGATCGAGAAGAAGAACCTACGGGCCGCCGCGTTGAACGCCATGGCCTCACTGTGCGCCGGTCCCATCAGCATCACCACCGAGAGCGGCTCCGTCCTGCAGTTTGATGTCGGTCGCATGCTGGCTTGGATCGCGACCATTTTCAATAATCCCGGAGACAAACTCCACGCGATTGGCCGCCGCGCGCTGAAGAACCTGATCATCCACAACAAGGAGCACCCGTACCTGCTCGAGCGGTGCATCGAGATGTGCTACATCACCGAACGGCCCAAGGCGCTCGAGAGCTACTTCGAAGTGGTCACGCAGGTCCTGAACGAACATGCCGACTATCCCTTGGGCTTCTGGCGGATCCTCGGCGCCGTCCTCGTCACGCTGGGCAACCAGAAGCGGGAGATCCGCATGAAATCCGCGCGGCTGCTGCGGATGTTGGAGGAACGGCAGCAGAAGAGCTCGCGGCTGCAGGACTTTGACATCAGCATCGCGGACAAGACGACCGCCGTTTACAAACTGGCGCAGTTTGAAACCTCCAAGCGCCTGGCCAAGCAGCACTCGGATCTGGCCTTCACCCTCTTCTCCGAGTTCTCCCTGCATTTCCGTAACCTGCAGCCGGACAGCCAGCGCAACATGGTCGCCGCCATCCTGCCCTGGGTGCAGACCATGGAGTTGCAGGTCGACCCCAACGGCGGGCCCACGGCCCGCTCGTACATGCTGCTCGCCAACCTGTTCGAAATCACCATCCGCTGCAGCACGATCCTGCCAAATGAGGTCCAGGCCCTCTGGCAGGCGCTGGCCACGGGGCCCCATGGCGGCAACGTGCAGCTCGTGCTCGACTTTATCATCTCCCTGTGTCTGGAGCGCAAGGAGCAAAATTTTGTCGAATGTGCAAAGCAAATCGTCGTCTTTCTCGCCGGCACCCCCGCCGGCTCCAAGGTCATCGAGTTCTTCCTGCTGCAGGTCGTCCCCAAGCATATGGTTCACGAGCGCAAGGATGCCACCACCACCACCACCACCATCACCCCAACCTCCCCGCCGGACACAAAGAGTCTCCCCTACGTGGCGGATCTGGCCACCGTCCTCCCCGTCGGCAACAAGCAGGCCGGCCTCTCCCTTGGCCAGGTGTCTCTGATCTTTTTGGTTGATCTGATGGTCGCCCCCGTGAACGTCTCCCTCAACGACCTGGCCAAGCTGCTTCATGTCGTCCTCATCCTGTGGGACCACTACACCGTGACTGTCCAGGAACAAGCACGTGAGATGCTGGTCCATCTGATCCATGAGTTGATTGCCGCCAAGATCGAAGATGATGCCCCGTCGGGAACCCGTCAGTCAATTGAAGACTTCGTCGAGTCTATTCGCCGGAGCGACCCCAAGGTTGTCTGGGAGTATGAGGAGAATAACAACAGCAGCAGCAGCAGCAGCAATAGCAGTGGTGGTGCTGGCAGTCGCAGCAGCACCACCACCACCACCACCACCACCAACGGTAATGTTAATGGAAAAGAGGATCAGGAAGATGACGGTAGTCGTGTGCCGGCAGCCATGGCAACCGTCACGCGCGAAGTAGTCAATTTCTTCAGTCTCGCCTACGAGGGGATCAGTGATCTTTGGGCCAAGGAGGCCCTGAACTGGGCCACCTCGTGTCCTGTTCGGCATTTGGCGTGCCGGTCCTTCCAGGTGTTCCGGTGCATCTCGACCTCGCTGGACTCGCGCATGCTGGCTGACATGTTGGCGCGGCTGTCCAATACCATCGCGGACGAGGAGGCGGACTACCAGACCTTTTCGATGGAGATTCTCACCACGCTCAAGATCATCATCAGCTCGTTGGCGCCCGCGGATCTTCTGCACTACCCGCAGCTGTTCTGGACGACCTGCGCCTGTCTGAACACCATCCACGAGACCGAGTTCATCGAGAGCGTTGGCATGCTGGAGAAGTTTCTCGACAACGTTGACCTGAGCGAGGCCGCGGTCGACACGCAGCTGCTCGAGAGCCAGCCACACAAATGGGAGGGTGAATTCGAGGGAATCCAGCCCTTGGTCTTCAAGGGTCTCAAGTCGTCCGAATCCTTCCACCAGACACTCGACGTCCTGCACCGGCTCATCGGGCTGCCGAACCATCCGCTGATCGGCGACGGCAGCCGTTTCTTGTTCACGACGTTGGCGAACCTGCCGCATTTTCTTCACTGTTTCGACGAAGATATCGACGGCGATAACGACCCGGCCGCTCAGACTAGAGCCGTGCAGTGGGCCACGCTGCTGGCGCGTGTCGCCGAGCGTGAAGGGTGCCCTCGCCTGGCGGCCTCGCTGCTCGGATTCGCCAACGGGCAGTACCAGAGCGAGAGCGACTTTCTCGACCACATCGTGGCGGAGATCCGCGCGTGCTACTTCCCCCAGCACGACGTGTACAGCCTCATCTTCCTCATGGGCCTGTTGACCAACATTGTGACCTGGTTCCGGGTCAAGATCATGAAGATCCTGTGCGCCATGATCCCGGAGATCGACATGCGCCGCCCGGAAATCACCCGGCACGGGCCGGACCTGATCTCTCCGCTGCTGCGGCTGCTGCAGACAACCCTGTGCTCGCAGGCGCTGCAGGTGCTCGATCACATCATGACGGTGTCGGGCAACCCGATGGAACGGCACCATCTGCGCATGAGCATGGCCTCGGCGTTGTCGTCGCGGGCGATCCGCAAGGAGTACGAGCGGACGCAAAGCTTGTATGGAATCCCCGAGCCCACGGGCTGGTCGATCCCCATGCCTGCCACGCAGTCCAGCCTGACGCGCAACAATGTGCATGCCGTGTTCTACACGTGCGCCGAGGTGGACCGCATGGAGTCGCAGGAGACGGTGGCTCCCGATGTCGAGTTCCATGCCGACGACGAGTACAGCGAGGCCTTCTTCCCCATGCGCGCCGACACGATGAAGTCGATCGACACGCAGACCGATGGGAACATCGGCGACATCGTGCAGAAACTCGATAGCCTGGACGATTTCTTCGAGGACACCGAGCCCACCACGCTCATCACCCACCCTTCGTCGCTCATGCATCCCATCTCCTCGTCCGCCTCGATCTCCGTTGCAGGAAACCCACTGCTGCTGCGCGGCTTTGCGGGCGTCTACGCCGACACCACCGCCGCCAATCTCTACGACCAGCAGACGGCGCCGATCCTGCGCAAATCCCTTGCCCGTACGGCTTCTACTTCCTCCTTCCATAACGGCCTCGCCGAGTCCCGGCCCTCAAACCTGCGATCTGACGGCCTGGGTGGCGTTCTCTCTCCCCCGACCTCTTCCCCCTCCTCCATCATCATCGCTTCTTCGTCGTCTTCTTCTTCCTTGACGCCTCAGATGTCTGTGGCGCAGACTTTGAGACCGGCCGCGCATGTCCGTTCCGTCACCTCACCGGCCAACAATCTCTTTTCCACGCCGCCACTCCCACCGCTTATGTTGTCTCAGCAGCAGCAGCAGCAGCAGCAGCAGCAGCAGTACCAGCAACACCAGTACCAACAACACCAACAGCATCCCAAACTCTACCATGCTACTCCCCCCATCGGGTTCACAGAATCGGCGTTCTTGTCCGATAGCGAGGCCGAAGACGGGTTCTCCGATCTAGACGACCGGATCCTCCTGGGCGGCAGCAGTAGTGGCAAGTCGCAGACCTCCACGTCCGCCCGGAACCTTCCCGACGGTTCCTCCTCCTCGTCCTCGCTGGAGTCTATGATCCGCAACGGCATGCGCCGGCTGACGGGGGGGACGGCCACGGGCCGTGAGAAGGAGCGGCAGCGTGAACTCCTCCGGGCACAGCAGCGGGCTCTCGCGCAGACGGCCAACTCGCCGCGTGTGCCCAAGGTGCCGGCTGAGTATCTGCCGGGAGGGTCCAATCCAGCCTCGCCGAGACAGTAATCCCTTACCTTACTCTTCCTTTACTCTTCCTTTACTCTCCCTACCACCATCACTCTATCATTATCATTTCATTACTCCCTATCGGGTTACTTGCACCTACTATACCCATCGTTCGCTTTCTTTCCTGTTCATAATCAAGCATCAAGCATTTCGGTAGTGGAGTTGGATCCATCATACTAGCTCACAAATGTACTATCAGGCAACTGATGGATTTAGGTAAATTGTATAGACTTGTACAGTACCAAAAATATTAAATACCTTACCTAGTACCTATTATCTCTATCCTGTACTCACCACTGATTGGCCTCCGCTTCCCCAGATTTATCCCCCAACACTAACTCTTTGGGGAGTAGCCGATTACGGAGTATGGAGTATGGAGTATGGAATATGGAGTAGTTACCACCTAGGTAGGTAGGAAGTAGTGTGTAGTAAGAGGACAAGAGATCTACATAATATGTCTAGTTATGCACAGCCACGTCAGTACTCAGTAAGGTAGGTAGCTTAGACCTTTACAAGTTTCTGTACTCCGTACTCCGTACTGGTTATCCACGGCCATACCTGCTACCTTGTACCTTGTACCCCTCACAGCTCGGAAAGACGCGGCCCGCAACATACCAATCAATTAGTACTGAACATTCATAGCATCTCTTTTTCGTACCTGTTACTCTTTGTTGATTCTCATAACCATAAGAGCTATTCGACGATGAGTGTGTTTAATACTAAAATCCCGGTAGTACGCCACGCTTGCTCTCGCTCCTTTGCTACGAGTGCCCGGCGTGATGCGACGTGGGGGTTTATCGGACTGGGACAGATGGGTAAATATGACTGACAGCAAGTTGGAATCATCTTCTGACATACTCTGTAGGGTACAATATGGCGAAGAATTTGAGGGCAAAGATGCCTGCCGAGGATACGCTGGTCATCCGCGATATCAACTCGGACGCGATGCAGCGGTTTGTGGCCGAGACCAAAGCCGCAGGGAGTGAGCGGGTGGAAATCGCCGCCAGTCCGAGGGAGGTCGCTGAGAAGTCGGTATGTCGGGCATGCTCCTTCATTATATATATATTAACGATGTGTTATTAGACCACCCTTGTTACGAGTCTCCCGGAGCCACAACACGTCAAGGACGTCTTCCACTCTATGTTGAAACCTGGCGACCTCCCGACTGTAGAACGCGAACGCCTCTTCATCGACACTTCCACCATCGACCCGACCTCCTCGAAAGAGGTTGCCAATGCTATCCACACAGCCCGTGCCGGTCGCTTTGTCGACGCCCCCATGTCCGGCGGCGTGGTCGGTGCCCGCGCAGGCACCTTGTCCTTCATGTTCGGCGCTTCGTCACAATCCGGCGAGCTCGTCGACCGTGTCCGCTCCGTGCTGCTCCTCATGGGCAAGACCGCCTGGCACATGGGTGCCCAGGGCTGCGGCGTCTCGGCCAAACTGGCCAACAACTATATCCTTGCCGTCAACAATATCGCCACCGCCGAGGCCATGAACCTAGCAATCCGCTGGGGACTTGACCCCAAGGTCCTGGCAGACATGGTCAGCACCTCGACAGGCCGTTGCTGGCCCATGGACGTCAACAACCCCGTCCCCGGGGTGGTCGACGCCGCCCCGGCGTCAAGGGGGTACGAGGGCGGGTTCGGCGTGTCGTTGATGAAGAAGGACCTCCGTCTGGCGATTGCCGCTGCTGAGGAGTCAGGAACACCGCTGATGCTGGCCGATTCGACTCGTCGGGTATATAACGCGGTGGAGGGGGCGTATCGTGGCAAGGACTTTTCGGTCGTGTACAAGTGGCTGCAGGATCAGTCTCAATAGCGACAGCGTTCAAAGGAGGATTCACCGGGGCTTGTTAATTCCAGAACTAGACCACTTCTCTTTTCCTCCAGCATTAGAGAATACCTGTTCGTGCCCTCGTCACGGAGTGGACTGTGTTGTTGCTTCCAGAGTTGTGGTAGCGAGATGCCTCCTGCCTGAATCAGGCTGCCGTGGCACTTTCCGTATTTGCTACTTCGACCTTCGCTTCGTCTTCTTCTATTCCTCCCTTCCTCTCCTCCTCTCTTCCTCTTTTCACCTTCATCTCTTCATCTTCTCGTCTTCTTCCATTATCACCACCAGCCTTCTACAAGGACAGTTTGGTCCGATCGGCCCAATTCTTACCTTATACTTGCCCCGACGTGCTCTCACTCGCTGCTCTACGTAAGGATTCATCTCTCTCTCTCTCTCTCAGCTGTAACTGACATTCCATGGCACAGACTACCCAGTGCTACTCAGATATCTCGTTTATTACCAGAAAACAGTCAGTAGCTGATTACATACCCTTTCATACCCTGGCCCAGGAATAGGGAATCCCCGTTTTATCAATTTGGAAAGCGGCACTTCCATTGGCATCATGTTCTAATTTATTTTTTTTTTCAGACAGGATGACTGCCGCCGTGGTTCAGCCCCAGCTTCCGCAGCATTCGATTGCTGTTGACTCTAACAAAGGCCCGCAGCTGCCCCAAGGCCAGTTTCATCACGATGGCCATAATACTCCTTATATACCTGGTTACCCACAGCTTCCGGGTCTGGGAGCCCGGGATGGAGCTAGTCTTGACGGTTTGCACCATCTTCTGGGTAATATGAATATCAACAACCCCCAAGGTACCATGAAGTTGGGTGGTTTCAAAGGACAGATCCCCAATCTCAACGTGGCGACTGGCAACCGTGTCCCTTGCAACGGACAGCTTCTCCTGTTTCCTAACGGAGGGCTTCTTGGCAGTCTCCCGCAGATGACTGCGTTCACCCCTACCACCGCCACGGTACCGACACAGAGCCAACTGGGACATATTCCGTACTTGCCGACCAACCTCTACCCGAACATGAACCCAGGTGTCATTCCAGGGGCTCTACCGGGCTATGGATGGCCATATTTCATCAATGCAGATCAGAAACGGAATGGGTGGATCAACGGTGACGATCAGAACGGTGTCTCTTCCCCGGATGACGGTGGCCAAGCAGAGCATTTCTCTGTTCCCGGAATAGATGGCTTTTCAGCCAATGCTACTCTCTTGAATCAGCCTTGTCTTCCCCTGCAGATGATGAAGACTTCCAATGGCTACATCTTGCAAGACCTGGAAGCCTTGACCCAGCAAGATCCTCCCATCCCTCGTGCAGTCCCTGCCATGTGGACCAACCCAACTGACATGACGCTTGCAAAATGCCTCGAGAATCGTGAAGGCATCACAAACGTGTACATTAGGGGGTTCCTACCAGAGACCACCGATGAGCTTTTGCATGCTTATGCCTCGCGATTTGGAAAGATTGACCGTTGCAAGGCAATCGTCGACCTTGACAATGGTCTCTGCAAAGGGTTCGTTCTTTCTTTTCGACTCCCTTTATGATATTCCCTTTTTGACATTACATGCTAACCCCCTTTCTTTAGCTTTGGTTTCGTCCAGTATTTCAACTTTGATTCTTGTGAGAATTGCATTCGAGGCTTCTTCTATCTTGGATACCAAGCCAGCTTTGCCCAGGTATGTTATTCATCATTGTCCTGTGAACCGAGGTATATTCTTTGATTAACAGCATATAGAAATCTCGCAACTCGCGCCTCAAAGACCTGGAGGACAAGGCATCAACCAATATCTACTGCACCAATGTACCTATTGACTGGACTGAAGCGGTAGGTTCTCGAGGGAAAGAACTTCGAAAGTCCGTCCACCTAACTGTGCTATCTTTTTTGTGCAAAGGACCTTCGCCGTCACTTTGAGCCATACCGCGTACTGTCTGAGAAGATCAGTCGTGACGAGAAAACGGGCGTCAGTAAAGAAGTTGGATTCGCTCGGTGAGTGGCGCCCAGCTTGATGGAAATTCGCCCATGTAGACTGAACAAAGATCTTGATGATGGAACAGTTTTGAAACCCGAGAAATTGCTGAGAAGGTGCTGAATGATTTCCACAATATTGTTGGAACGGACGGAGTAAAGCTCCTCCTGCGCTTTGCCGACACAAAGGCGCAGAAGCTTTTGAAGCAACAGAGCAACGAACGTCGTGCCTACCGCACCGGGGAATACAATTACTCTGTCGAGGTAGTTCAGGGCTCCACTCCTTCACCTACCATTCATCGATTGCAGCAGACCGCATCTCATCTCAGCCCTGCTTCTCAGATTAGCTATAATGCGTCTCCCATGGGGGTGAGCTCTTCGTGGACTCCGGCTTCATCGATATCTCCTTCGTGCGTTCCCCCCAAATCCCCTGCCAACAAGAGAATACTAGACTAATAATATGCTGTAGCTATCCATTGGCAAAGAATCAGATTCGCAATGGACGTTGGTCCTCTCGTGCGAGCCTTCCTCCTCTGGACCACACACCTGTGAATCGTGATCGTCACTCGACTGGGAAACGCAATTCCTTTGCGGACACCCTCTCTGCGGAGTCGTCCAAGACAGTCCTCCCAAACATTACATGCGGAGATCCACGGTCGACCTTGTCAACTCCGCAGAAGGAGAATACCAAGGCAGGATCTCTGTCTCACAAGGAGGTGGTTATCAAGAGCCCTCGCTCCGCCACCTAGATGGGACATCACACTACCTCATGGCCTTTTCTATATTTATGAAGACCCGACTATGAAAGTCTCCTTACTATAACTATCAAGCCCCCAAGGGTATAATGTTTTGTCCGGGAATATGACTGCTACGATTCAATGTCTTACGAGGAAATGATGTATGATCAGGAGAATGGTTGCCTGGTTTGATTTTTGATGATTTGACATCCGTGGTTACCTCGTCATATGTTATGATCAACATGGGATAAGGCTGCAGTTTTTTTTTTTTTTTCCTTTCTTCTTTTTCTACCTGTTGCAAGCTGCAGACGTTTATTCGGCATTGATTTATGGACGAGTTTATCATGGACAAGAAATGTTATTAGTGCTAGATATCCAAATTGAACAACACATCAATCGGAGAATTTTTCTATCCATCCAACAGAAGAATCCCGTCGTCCAATGACAACGATATTTACAAGAAAAAAAAGGACGGCAAAAAGGGAGAACAAAACAGGGAGAGGAAGGGGAAGGATGAAAAGACGGAGGGGGGCATGATCTAGAAGCCACGAGTGTATAAAGAGGTGCCAAGTATATACAAGCCATATCTATAGTAGTGTTAGTAGTGGCAGTTTTTGGTGTGGGGTTCAGAAAAGAAGACGTGTCGCGCGGACTAATTGCGGCCTAAGCGTTCCTCCAAGTCTTCCGTGAGGTCATAGGCAGGTCTGTACCGATCATGATTGAGACGCAGTCTAGGATTCGGGTCGGTGTCTGTGGTGCCGCCGAGGGAGGTGTAACCCTGGTCGTAGAGGGGGCAGTAGTCTACGCGGAGATGGCGGATAAAGGCCCAGATCTCGGCGTAGTGCCAGTCGATGACGGGATGGATGCGGACAAAGTCAGGCCAGCCGTGATCTGTGCGGTCGAAGTGGGTGAGGGAGGCGCCGTGCGGGTCTGTACGACGGGTGCCGACGAAGATGGCGCGGATGGAAGGGTTGCGGGCGAGGTAATTCTCGAAGGAGGACCGGAGGGTGGTACGAGGCGGGTCGGTGGTGTAGCGGGTGACATCTAGGTGATAGCTTTGCGAGGAGGCGAGGACAAACTCCTCGACGGCGGGGAAAGGATCTGGGGGGAGGGCGTAGATGGCTGGGATGGAGGTGATGCTTTTGTCGTCGTTGGTGTTGTTGTCGTTGTTGTTGTTATTGTTGCTGCTGCTGCTGCTGCTGCTGCTGCTGCTGCTGTGGCTGGAGAGTGGGTGGAGGCCGGCGAGGAAGAGGATGAGTAGAACGAGACAGTCCTTCCCACCGTTGTAAGAGAGAGAGAGCTCTGAAAGACGGTAGCGGAGCAGAGCAGAGGCCACGACGTCGAGCGAGATCCGAGTTTGTTTCTGGACGTGCGCCAGGAGCGAGTCTGCCGGATGGTCTTCGGCGAGGAACGCATGCACCCGGTGGTGGAGGGAGGCGACCACCTCGGCGAGGGTCGCCGGCGGTGCAACTGTTGCCTCTGTGGTCCCTGTCCAGTCTGCTGAATTCCTTAATGTCCTTGATTCCACCTTTTGCGTTGCTTCTTCCGAGAAAGGCTCTGGTTGGGGTTGCTGTTCGATCGTGGGTCGGTCGTCCGCTTGACGATCCGGGGCGGTGTTGGCGGTCATGACAGGAGGATTTCCTGATTAGATTCCACAATTGAGATAGAGAGATGGAGAGATGGAGGACTCAATCGGGGTAGGATTGGTGAAGAATTATGGAGATTCGGAGGTGGTGGGAGGGGGGGGAATCGTAAGTTGGATGGCAAGCCAGTGCTGAGTCACGGAGCAAGTAATCCTCCAAACCGTTGAAATCTGACGCCAGCCGTCTGATTGACGCCAATGTCTCGACCAGAGCACTGAAGGGGTGTTATTATTGACAGTCCCAGCTAAGGAGAGAGATTGAGGAAGAAGCGAAGAGAAGCAGAGCCCCGCATTCCTAAAGACTGATAAGGAAGATTAGAGGGAAGAGGGAGTGGATGCCTGAGGAATCATGGGTTACTGCCTGGTAAGTTGTAACTACTGCGTACACTTCATATAGGGTATCAGCTACCCTAGAACCTTTGTCTTCTTCTTTTTCTTCTTGTCGTCGCTCTTCTTGACCCCCTTCTTCCAGTCCCGCCAGCTCTCGATCCGCTCCTCGCGCGTGTCCTCCCACGCCTTGTCCTGGTCTCGCTTGCGCTTGCGCGCCTCCAGCTCCTCCTCTTCCTTGCGCTGCTCCCGGCCTTCCTCCTGCATCTTGGCCTTGATCTGCCGCCGCCGCCGGGCCTCTTCCTCCATCAGCACCTGCACCGTCTTCTGCCGCCACTCCTTCTTGAACTCCTCCGTCTTGAGCTCCGGCGAGTCCAGCGTGTATTTGTGCTCCCGGATCAGCAGCCGCCGCGCGTCCGCAATGCTCTCGTCGAGCTGCTCCCGCGCCTTCTCGTCCATCAGCGTCGTCTGCGCCTTTTTCAGCCGGTCAAACGCATCGGGAGCCGCGGGGTTCTTGGTCTTGTCCGGGTGGATCAGCAGCGATTTCTTGCGGTACTGTATCTTGATATCCGACTCGGGGACTCCCGGCTGGAGGTCCAACACCGCGTAGCTACACCACTTAGCCTTGCTCTCGCGTACTGCTCGTAGTCTCTGCCACCACGGAGCAACACTTACGCGTCCAACGGAAACGCTTTCCGGATCCTATCGATCTCTGCATCCTGGAGGTCGCGTGTCAGTCACCGCGGCATCAACGCAGAAAAGGGGGGGGGTCATCGCGTTGGAAACCACCCATAACCAGCCGCCACTCACTTTCGTAAACTCCGACGCCTCCTTCTCCAGCGCATCTAACGCATCCTGCTCCTCGTTGGCCATCGTTGTGCTGTCTCTCAGTCAAGGTCCAGGCGATAAGGCAGCCATCGGAGCCGGGTTCTTATCGCGCCGCTGAGTCAGCAGCGAGAAGAAAAAAGTCGCTCTCACCGCTTTCGAGCAGCAGAAAAAAAGAGCAACTGATTCGGCTGAAGAGTCAAAAGAACAAGAGAACAAGACGCGTGGCAGGGCCGACCCGGCGGTGATTAACTGTGAAACATGGCTCAGGAACACGGCGCCCGGCAGAAGAAGGGCCCCCGGCCCTCTGTGGCCCGCGGAAAGACGCTGAAGCGCAAGCGTGGCCAGGACAACCTGTCGTCGCTGCAGGAGCAGATCGAAGCGCTCGACCCTAAAGCCAGCGTTGCCTCCTTCACCGACCTGCCTCTGTCCGAACCGACGACGTCGGGGCTCGCGGCCTCGCACTACAAGACGTTGACAGACATCCAGTCTCGCGCCATCCCGCATGCGCTGAAGGGGCGGGACATCCTGGGCGCGGCGAAGACGGGCAGCGGCAAGACCCTCACGTTTCTGGTGCCCGTGCTGGAGAACCTGTATCGGAAGCAGTGGACGGAGCACGATGGGCTGGGGGCGTTGATTTTGTCGCCCACACGCGAGCTGGCGATCCAGATCTTCGAGGTGTTGCGCAAAATCGGCCGGTATCATGCCTTCTCGGCAGGCCTGGTCATCGGCGGGAAGAGTCTACGGGAAGAGCAGGAGAGGCTGGGGCGGATGAACATCCTGGTCTGCACCCCCGGCCGTATCCTGCAGCATCTGGACCAGACCGCGTCGTTTGATGTATTCAACCTGCAGATGCTGGTGCTGGACGAGGCCGACCGGATCATGGACATGGGCTTCCAGCGCTCCGTCGACGCCATCGTCGAGCATCTCCCCAAGGACCGCCAGACCATGCTCTTCAGTGCCACGCAGACGAAGAAGGTCTCCGATCTGGCCCGCTTGAGTCTGCAGGACCCGGAATACGTCGCCGTCCACGAGGCCTCCACCACCGCCACCCCGACCACCCTGCAGCAGCACTACGTTCTGACCCCTCTACCGGAGAAGCTCGATGTCCTGTGGAGTTTTATTCGCAGCAACCTCAAGTCCAAGACCATCGTCTTCCTTTCCTCGGGCAAACAGGTCCGCTTCGTTTACGAATCCTTCCGACATCTCCAACCCGGTATCCCCCTGATGCATCTCCACGGCAAGCAAAAGCAAGGCGGGCGGCTCGACATCACCACCAAATACTCGCAAGCACAGCATGCCGTCCTGTTTGCGACCGATGTTGCCGCGCGAGGGCTGGATTTCCCCGCCGTCGACTGGGTCATCCAGCTGGACTGTCCCGAGGATGCAGACACCTACATCCACCGCGTGGGGCGGACGGCCCGATATGAACGCGACGGCCGTGCCGTGCTATTCCTCGACCCGAGTGAGGAAGCGGGCATGCTCAAACGCCTAGAACAGAAAAAGATCCCCATCGAGAAGATCAACATCAAGGCCAACAAGCAGCAGAGTGTCAAGAACCAGCTGCAGAACATGTGCTTCAAGGATCCGGAGCTCAAGTATCTCGGCCAAAAGGCGTTCATCTCGTACGTCAAGTCGATCTACATCCAGAAGGACAAGGAGATCTTCAAGCTCAAGGACCTGCAGTTGGAGGACTTTGCCTCCAGCCTCGGTCTTCCTGGTGTGCCCCGCATCAAGTTTATCAAGGGAGACGATACCAAGGAGCTCAAGAACGCCTCGCGGGCGATGACACACTTGTCCGATGACGAGGAAGATGACGACGATGGAGCCAAGAAGGCCGACAAGAAGGACAAGGTACGGACAAAATACGACCGGATGTTTGAGCGCCGCAACCAGAACGTCCTGGCGGATCACTACTCGAAACTGATCAACGACGACGGAACAATCGTGGATACTCCGGACGAGAACGACGACGGCGAAGGATCAGGCGATGAGGATGACTTCCTGACCGTGAAGCGGCGCTTCGAGGCCGGAGACGAAGATCTTGGAATCGAGGCCGGCGAGGACAACACACTGGTCGGCGAGGCGGCCAACAAGAAGAAGGATGTCAAGGTGGTGAACCTGGACGGCAAGGAGCTGATCATCGACTCGAAACGGCGCGAGAAGCTGCTCACCTCCAAGAAGAAGCTGCTCAAGTACAAGGGCAACGGCAAGAAGCTCATCTACGACGAAGACGGCAACGCACACGAGGTCTACGAGCTGGAGGACGAGGAGAAGTTCAAGGCCCGCGGCGATGCAAGCGAGCAGCGCGCCAAGTTCCTCGCGGACGAGACCGAGCGCACCCGCATGGCAGACGTGGAGGACAAGGCCCTCGCCCGGCAGAAGAAGCGCGACAAAAAGGAGAAACGCAAGGCGCGCGAGCGCGAGCTGCTGGCCATGGAAGACCAGAGCGACGACGCCGACCTCGGCGTCCAGCTGGCCCCTTACCAGGATCACCACCACTCGGACTACGAGCTCTCGGCACCCGAGTCAGATCTCGCTGCCGCACCACCCCGGCCGAGCAAGAAGCAGAAGGTCTTCTTCGCGGACCCCTCGTCGGACGACGACCGGGTCCCCAAGCAGAAGAAGAACAAGGGACAACAACAACAACCGGGCCCGATCGAGACGCTGGAAGATCTGGAGGCGCTGGCCAGCGGGCTTCTTGGCTGATGATTCTAATAAAAAGAAAAAAAAAAGAAGGAAAAAAAAAATTCATGTCCTTGTTTTTTACGTGCTTTTTATTGTGTTTCTGTTGCATCTGTTAGCGAGGGTACAAAAGCATTTCCCAGTATATATTACGCAGATTATCTGATTAACCCTGTTTTTCATACAATTGGCTCTCTATTTCAACCCTGGAAAAACAGTAGCTGCCACTTCTTCATTGGCAGTATACTCCGTAAATGGGATGCGCTTGAGCTTTTCGTTTTGAGAAGCGTTTGCATGCCTTCACTTAGGTACTCATTCCAGTTGCAACTGCAGACTGCTCACGGCTTGCTTTTTTGTATACTCCATATTTTATCTATAGCCTATGGTTATCTCTTAAATGGCGGAGCCGAATCAATCAGGCTACTGACTCGTAGATGCCCGTGTTCATACTATAAATATTGTGTATTATATCAAAAACAAATGTCGGTCTAATGCTCCATATTAACATTATAATACTGTACTCTGACTTTTCTGTCCCTGCGCAGCAGGTCTACAGTTCAGTCAGCTGCAATCGTTCATGGAAAAACAATCAAAAATATACAGGCCATTCGAGGCTCTCCCTCTTTCCATCATAGTCAAACATTCCGACCAGACCTCCAGACCTCCAGACCCCCAGAATAAACGCCATCCTGTTAGATGATGAACCAGTCAGAATAAGCAAAACCAAAATCAAAGCCTTCTCTAAATGGCGCCATGCGAGAAATGAGATCCGAGTAGGATACACAGGGAATTGGAGGGGGCCAGATAAAACCACCTCGCGAGAAAAAGAAAAACAGCAACAGCAACAGTAATAAAGAAACAGCGCAGTGTGGAGTGTAGTGTAGTCAAATAGACAGAACAGGGGGCTCTTTCTCAAAATAATGTATAGCCCGGAGCGAAACGACTCACGGGCTACCTGTATAGATAGATCCTCAATAGCATTTTAAGTGTACCCAAGGGTTCCAGAATATCTGTTCTGGCGAGCCCCTATCCATTCACCATGTCATCCAGTGCCATTTTCCGCCGCTTCCTTGGGCGTGGCCCGCTTGACTCGCTTTCTGAAGTCGGCGGTTCGGCTCTGGACACCGGCAGAGGTGTCTCGGGAGGCCGGACGGGATGTTCCCCCGCACGCGTTGCAGCGTCAGCTTGCGGTGAGATATCTACCTGATGCGGGCCCGGAGGTGACCGGTGGATCCGTGTATGAGGAGAGACTGGTTCTCCCAGTGATGGTGGCGGTGGGGGGTGCCGTTCCTGGATCCGTTCTTCATGTGGCAGGCGTGACCAGCTGGGCAGATACGGATCGCTCAATCGATGGGCATGAGTGTATGGGCCGGGCCCGGTGGTCGGCATGGGCGGATAAATGGGAGGGAGGCGGACCGAAGAATCCAGATAACTGTCGCGTGGTTCTCTAGGGACAAATGGCTCGGAGACAGCGGGTAGGTTTCCCGGTCTCGACCGTTCCAGAAACGGTGAGATTGCGTGGGGGAAAGGCTGCTGATACTGCAGTGGCGAGGTGGATGGAATGGAAGGGCTTTGGTACGGTTGATATGTCCGTCCAAGTCGAGCAGGGGGACGAGAAGCGCCGAGGGTAGAACCGAAGCCGCTGGCAATCGAGCCAAAGGTCGGTTGCTGCAGCACCGGTGGCGTCAGATGTGGCGGCGAGCCCACGGAGAAAGATCGTGGCGCCATATTCCCATGTATCGAGAGCGAAGGGTCTATCACCGGGTTTGGGGGAAACGCAGAGGCCGACGACCATCGCGGCGGTTGCCCCGTTGTGGACTTGAGCCCAAGGTCCCCCAGCGCTGTACCCGGCGCCTGCAAATCGGTCATGGGTCGCAATTCGCGCGAGGTAGTCGATCGGTGACTATATCGGCGGGTATGGGATGCTGGATGTGCCTCTGCGGTTGCCCCTGCGCTCTCGGATTGGGTTGCAAACGATCTCACGGACGGTTCCTCCGCCTTAAGCGGTGGTCTACCCCGTTTCTTGTGCGTGACATCCACACAGGTCGCCTGTCGTATCCCCAACAGGACCAAAGCCCCATCATTTTAGTACTCTATTACTTCTTGCCTGAATCCGTGACAGACCAAGGGAGGTGATCCAAAAAAAAGGGGGGGGGGGACTTACAGCCTTTCCCGCTACCACACATCGACGGCATGGTCTCGCTGGATCGCAGCCCAGATGCTTTTTCTTACAATTCACACAAGCCGATGCCACATGGGCCTTGGTCCGCCGGGTTTGCTTCTGTGGAAGGGCGCGTGGAACCGCTGTAGCTGATGAAAGGGACGGTGGTACGGCCGCGGCAAAGGATGACGGCTCGACGGCGCCAAATATCCGAGGAGGTTGGGAAGATATATACCCTTGGTTCTCCGATAATCGACTCGGCGGTAGTTTGCGCACTTGCGTCGCAGAAGGATCCTGTACGGGGTGAGGCTCTCCTCGGACCGAAGCAGAAGATGCGGCCGCAATTATCGGTGGCGGTGCTACATCTGACAGAGCCGGAAGATCTGAAGGTCCTGACCGTGTGGTACTCCCAAGGGTCTCCAGTGACTTCTCTCCCAGAGGAGATCCAGACATAGAGCGAAGGTTCGGAGGAGGCCGCGGGTAGGGCCCTCGAGCATTAGAGGTCCCGCTGAGGTTGAAGGGTAACCGCTCCGGGATCGATTTCAGCACAGAATGTCCAAATTGGCTGGTGGAAAGGGCTGGTTGGGAAAAAAGAAGGGATTGCATCTGGTCAG